CCCCTCTCTCTCGTATTAACCGTACTTACTTGACAGATATTTTACAAAACCCCCCCCCCCACCTGTTTGTTTCCTTTTCTTGTTTCCTTGTTATGGTTATTTCATGTGTTTATTCGAGGCAAAGTAGGCATTGCAATGCGTTTTATTTCCCCGGCATTTGCATTGTGGGTGTGAGATTAAACAGAGCGCGCGCTTTTGTCGGTGGGGCTGGTGTGGTGGGAAAAAAAAGAAAAAAGGGAAAGAGAAAGGGAAAGGGAAAAAAAGGGGGGAGGGGATACGTGTGTATGTGTGTGTATGTGTGTGTATGTGTGTGTGTGTGTATAGATGTGTGGATGTAATGCATTTAACGTCCCTGCTTGGAAATTCTCCTGTAGGGCATCAAGGGACGGGCGACGCCTGGGACTTATAGTGGTAGCGTGGTGCTTGGAGTATCTGTCTTCTGTTGGGTTGTGCGTTGTTCTATATATAGAATTTTTACTGTTCAAGTGGCTGTAGCTTGTGCGTGGTGGGTAAGGAGAGAGTTAGACTCCCTATATCCCTAGGTCTGGTCAATCATTGGGGATTTAGAGATATGCAGGTAGAGCGATTGTGGAAGGGGGGTATGACTTACAAAGAGGCTGCATATATGGGTAGATGGGGTACTGGCGTGTCTTGTGTGTAGAATTATGCAAGACCGAGTTATTGGGTGGGTGTTGTAGATGTGTTGCTAGTGTGGCGTTTCGGTATGTGTTTCTTCATGTGTTGACGGAGCGTTCAAGTTGCAGTTGTCAGGGTGGACGACGGGTTCAAAAAAGCAATGGTATGATCAAGTCAATCAATCCATTAACTATCTACACTTCCCATACACCAAAATTACCAGTCACTATATTCTTTACACCCACACAGACGCTGCAACACTAGCCCATACACCCAACAACTACACACCTACAACAAACCCAAAGCAGCAATGCCAAAAGCACCAATACCAACAGCCGCACCAGCCGTCTTCATAGGAGCCGGGTTGCTAGTCTTGTGGTGTGTTGTGGTGACGTCGGTCGAGGTAGTTGTGTCAGTGACGGTTGTCTTTGCGACCTGGCTGGCAGCCAGCGTGGTAGTGGTGTACGAGCACTCGGTCAGGAGACGGTAAGCGTCGGCGTCGTTGCCATCGGTTTTGTTGTCGTTGTGGGACCGGATGCAGGCCTCGCAGTCCGGGATGATGGAGTTTGCGTCGGTCGATGTGCAGATGCACTTGAGTGCTGCCGAGGCGTCGTTGTCTGCGGCAGGGGTTAGTTTTTTTGTTTTGTTTAGAAGTTGATCTGGATATACAAAGGTACGTACTATGGTCGTTCTTGCATGTCTTGGTAATGTCGCCGACCTTGGAGCATGTGTCTTTGCACGCCGACGGGACCTTGTCGGTGTTGAAGCTGGTGTCCTGGGCAGCAGCGAGCGCCGCAAGAGCGGAGACGAAAGCAACCTTTGTGAAGAGCATGGTGAAGTCTTTGGCCTTTTTCTTTCTTTCTACTTTGGGAGGAGTGAGCGAGTGTGGGTGGGTCGAGAGATTGAAGTGACTGAAATGGTGGAGGGTGTGAAAGGGATGAGAAAGATTCCTGACAGGCTGAGCACCCCGACTCTTATACTAGGCTTGTCGTTTGAGACCAAACGCCTTGGTCCAACCATGATTGCTAGAGGGATCTGGAGTGCTGCACGAAGCAACCGTCGCATCCGAGCCGCTTGAGCGCTTGACTGAAAGTGTAGACACCGTCGTTTTCGAGGCCGTCGTTGTTCGTCAGGCTATGCCCAAGGTGGAATGAAGCCGACTGTATCCTGAAATCAAGTCGGTTGTCTGGTTTCGCGGATGATAGACGAGCCTCGCCGCAGCCATTGCCAGGCTTGATTAATTTAGACCAAAGCTTAGTAGCGCCATGTGGCGGCTGCGGAGGGCGAGCGAGGCGTATTCATTGGCTCTTGGCCGTGCCTAGATGGAACGACCCGGCCAGCCGAGCGATCATGATGGATACAAGAAAGCTTGTTCTGGCCTGCACAGCCACATGCACATGCAGAGGGATGACCGGGCGACTCGAGCTACTATGGCATTCCCAAATTGCACAAACGCGGTACTGCACACATCGGTGGGACCGAGCCATCGACTCCAGACGTTGCTTGTGACGTGACCATAGACGCTCTGCCCAGCGGTGCCATTGCCAGATTATGGTGTGGGTGAAGTGATCGTCCACCCCAGCCGGCTCTGTGGGAAAGCTCCAGTGACCGACGGTCTTCCCGGCCGAGCAAGCCGTCGCAATTCAGCGTATCAAAGCCTCTCTGTCGTGCCGCTGGCGAGACATTGCGTCGGCGTGGGCACAGCAGTTGGTGTGGCAGGCAATGGAGGTGCTTGGATAACTGGCGGAGCCGTGTGCTCCAAGGAGAACCTGTTTATGCAGCAACAGCATCGGCTCCATGCGGTACCGGGTAAGGCGGCCGCGCTGGCACTAGATGGATTACCAGCTTGCAGCTTGCAGCTTGCAGCTTGCAAGCCAGCAGTAGCGGCAAGTCGAATGGCGTCTGAATGCCGAGCCCATGGTTGCATCTCGACCACCCCCCACAGCCACACCTTGCCCAGTCCCATGAGCGGGTTTCTGTCCCCCCCTCCCCCCCCCCAAAAAAAAAACAATGATAAAAGCTCAAAAAGGAGCCCGGCTGACGCGGCATCGAGACCTGCTGGCCACTGCCAGGCCCATGTCGCGTCCCCTCTCAAGCTCACGGACAAACCATGGCGTGCCGCTGTCGAACTGTAAGTACCAATAGTCGGCCATGCTAGCGTCTGCAGCTTAATTAGCCACATACACCACGGGCGAGGGGGTGTGAGGCCTTTGGTGCTACCGCCACAGTAAGCAATATGACAGACGAGGACGAGCTAAGCAGCCTGGTAGCCATGGCCATGGCCAGCCCCGACTTGAAGTCATGGGCCGGTGCCGTAGCAAGCAGAGCCATGTTAGCTCCATGACCACGGCGATACTCTGCCTTTATTCCCTTGTGCCTCGGCTCACGGCGCAAACCCAACCTCCCCAGAGCCAGGGGCCAAGGATCAAGGTCGAGGGCCAGTTGCAGTTGGACTCTCATGCGACGTCAACCATTCAAGTGCCGCGCCACATGTGCATGCTCTCCTAGCGCCACACCCATCCCGCACTCGCCTTCATTGCCTACTTGTCTGGCGGCTCCAATATGCATACGACGCCTGCTGCCACCTACACCTAGACACACCCGCCCGCCACAAAAAACACGCAAGCTTGCCTTGTAATCTTCGTCTTGACAAGCTAGTACATGTACTGCTCGACAACCACCACAACAACCCGCCTTCCTGGGCGCTGGTTGTTCTCTTTGTTTCAACCATACAGTCATGTGCTCTATATCTGGGTATCATTGTCATACATGGGTGCACGTACAGACTATACATGCTTTCTGTGCAATACGTCCTCACAAGACCGCACACGCCCCCTTTTCATTGGCATAATTGCCTAATCAGTCTCCAACCAAAACCAATCTCGACACCCCACATGTCCTATTGTACATGACACCATGTCGGGCTGCCCTTCACCGCGGCTGAACGGCCGGGAAATATCGAGGACCCGAGTAACCGTAGAACTGAACGCTTTCAATGTCAATGTTGCCGTCTCGTTTGGGGCTCCAGAATTTGAGCAGGATATATCTTCCCGAGCTGCACCACCAACGTCAGCATATGCCTCATTCCAACCAGAGCCTATTCAACTTACATGGACGGGTGGAACTTGATGGTAATCTTGTTCTTGTTCTTGGCAATGAAGAAGCGCGCGTGGGGAGCAATCAGCGCTTCACTGTCTGCACTACGCTCACCTGGCTCGATGCGGCTGGGCGCAGTCACCCGCGACGCTCGAATTGGCTGCAGATACCGTTCCCTCCGCTCCTGCCATTCTCCGTACGCACTGTATTCGAGCGCGGGCGCCCGCCGGAGAGAGCCCAGCCGCGGTATCGTCTCATCGTCATCATCGTCGCTGTCTGGGTGCCAGCGGCTCTCCCTGCGCAGACGGTCTGCCATGATGGCCGCGCTTGGTAGTTCTTCATTGGATTCTGACTCGTCGTCATCACTGGCAGCCGTGGTTACGGTAAACGGCGGTGGAGTAGGAGCCGAAACGCCAGCAGCACCGCTGTAAGAGTCCTCTGCCATGTGATCACAGTTGTCAGCGTCGGCCTCGTCCTCATGCTCAACCATCTGACGCAGTACCCGTCGACGGTCCGAGTCGGACCGGAACGACGAGATCAAGTTTGCCGATTCGGCGTTGAGCCGTTGATTGCGAAGACGGAGGTTCTCAATGCGCTCTTCCATTTCCTCTTGGGTGCCTTGGCGCGGGTACTGCCACACCAAAGGGTCGTCAAGGGCCTCTCGCAAGGATATCTGCTCGTTGTCCTCGTTGAGAGAGCTGGGCGTGGGCGACATGAGGGGAGATTGGGTATCATAGCGCAGATTGTATGCACATGTCCCGGACAAGAGATCATCGGCCGACATGGACACAAACACGAGACCTTCTTGGACACTGCTGCGAGGTTAGCTGTGGCATCAGACCATCAACAGAAGACACATACGGAGCCGTAAATCCACGGTCCGGTGCTCGAATGACAACCTTGTCAAGGGCAAACGAGGCCTCTCCGATGTGCTTGAGCAAGAGGTTGCACTGGGAGCTCTCGCTGCAGTATACACTCTTATCGTTGCGCAACACATTCTGGACCCGGTACAGGCCCGGGGGGCTGTCTCTGCGGTGCTCGCCGCCGTCGCAGCTTACAATCTCCATGCGCAGGCGGCCGGGTACTACCTGGCCCTTGTGGCCATACTTGAAGCACATGTACTCGGTGGCGGGCCCCGTGTCGTGCTGCAGCTTGCGGCGCTTGTGCCTGCGCTCGCTGTTGACCTGGACGATGGGGCTGCGGGGGCGCGTGTGCGTGGCGGCATGCGTGGTGAAGGGGTTGCTGAGGGGAACGTCACTCAGCGAGTCTAGCATGTCATTTGCCGACTCCATGTCGGCCTCGCGTTGTTCTCGTATGCGGGCCTGCGAGCGGCGGAGGTAGCGTTCACTCGGCGTGGCACGGGGACGGCTGGGATTCGCGGTGGGCGGCCGCCGCGACAGGCTATCGGCGGCCCCGCTGTCACGTGGAGGGCCGAATATGCGGTGCAGTGGGCCTCGTCTGGTGGAGGTGCGAGTGCGCACGCGCCGGGAGGGCTGCTGCGGCGACAATGGCGCATCGTGCGCGGCCGTCTGGTCGTCGGCTACGGGGTGCAGAGCATTGTGTGGTGCCGACGACGAGGGCGGGCGGGCAGCATCTGGCGGCGAGGCCGACGCATGGGGAAAGTCAAAGCTGCCGGTGGTGAAGGGGAAACTGGCGGGGGGAGGAGGAGGAGGAGGAGGAGGAGACGGAGACGGAGGCGGTCTGGGCATTGGTGACGTCGGTGCGCGCTCTCATCGGGCGAGGGGACGCAGCAAGGCCGGCCGGAAGACGCCAGGAGTGCTGGGGAGAGGCAGTAGCAGCAGCAGCAGATGGGCTGTGTCTGGTGGCGGAGAGAGGGCGAGGCGGAGGGGCGGGGGGGCGGAACACGGGGGGGGGGGCGGAGCGAGGTGAAGGACTGGCGCTCTTGTTGGAGGCTGAGAGGCCACGAACAGAAGCGCATTGCCCCGTGCCAGGCAGTTTGGCAACGGTCCCACGTCGCCCGTCGCGCGCGGGGTGTGGCGCGCAAAGCTAAGCTGCCCCCCCCGGAGCTCCTGTCCTGTGCCTGTCGTGCAGAGCCGCATCGCATCCCATGGCAGCAGCCATTGCGCTTAGTATTCTTATTCTGACTTGCTCTTACCTGCACTGCACTCTCTGCCCGCCCATTGCTGCCAATTGCAGGCCCTCGCCTCGAATCCAGCCCCAGCCCGACTGCCGTCCTGTTTTTTTGTGCTTTTCCATTTGTTTGCCCACGCGTCTGGGCTGCTGCATTGACCGCGCCGCCCAGACAGGCAGTCGCCTTCACGCCTGCCTGCCTGCTCTTGCACTTGTGCCTCTCACCCACGCCGCCCCCTCTTCCTCCTCCACCCCACCACCAAACCATGACTGGCACAACCGAGCCCGTCGCGATACCCCTGCCTGAAACCAATGGCGCCCTCCCTGCCCAAGACGCCGCTGGCCAGACGGTAGCTGCCATTGCCGAAGCCGACAAGATCTCCGCAGACGAAATCGCCCTCTACGACCGCCAGATCCGCCTCTGGGGCGTGCAGGCGCAACAGAAGATCCGCACCGCCAACATCCTCCTCGTCTCCATCAAGGCCCTCGCCAACGAAATCGCAAAGAACCTCGTCCTCGCCGGCATTGGCTCCATCACGCTCGCCGACCACGAGGCCGTCACCGAAGATGACCTGGGCGCGTCCTTCTTCATCACCGACGCCGACGTGGGCAAGAACCGCGCCGAAGCTGCAAAGCCCCAGGTCGAGAAGCTCAATCCCCGCGTCGCCGTCAAGACCATCACCACCGATGTCCGCATGGAGCAAGATCCCAGCTTCTATGCCGCATACGACGTCATCATAGCCACCGACATGGACTTTCTCTCCACCTCCGCCATCAACGCTGGCGCGCGCATAGCAAAGAAGCCCTTCTACGCAGGCGCATCGCACGGCATGTACGGCTACATCTTTGCCGACCTCGTCGAGCACAACTTCGTCATCGAGCGCGAAAAGAGCAACCGCGACACGCACATTGGTCCCGAGACTACGACGAGAAGCGTCAGGGGCGTGCAGGTCAAGAAGGAGAATGGAAAGGTCGTGGAGCTAGTCAGCAAGCAGGAGCTCTACAGCCCGCTCATGCTCGCCAAAGACTCGCCGCTGCCCGTCGACATTGCCAACAATGCAAGGAGACTGAAAAAGGTCCACCCACTTCTCACCTGCGTGCGCGCACTGTGGGAGTACCAGCGCAACGGCCACGGCATCTACCCGTTGCACACGCCCCAGGACCTCCAGCTCTTCACGACCATTGCCAACGTCAAGCACAAGGAGCTCCTCCTCCCAACCGAATCTCTCAGAGCAGACGTCCTGAGAAGCTTCCTGCAGAATCTGGGCAGTGAAATAGCCCCCGTAACGGCCTTCTTGGGTGGCCAGCTAGCCCAGGATGTCATCAATGTGCTGGGTCAGCGCGAACAGCCAATTCAGAATCTGATGCTGTTTGACGGCGAGGACAGCGCGGGACCCGTGTATGCGCTCTACCCTATTTTCCCCGGTACCCCCGTGCCCATCATGCCTAGCATCCCTGTCGATGCGCCCGTGGTCGTCTAAGGGAGTAGATGTGATGCACGTACTGGCGGCGCCATGTACAAACGGAATGTAGGCGTAGGAGGAACAGTGTATAGGCAACGAAAAGATACCCAGATGATTAGCGCTGCATAAGAGCGACAACAAGAGTAAATGAAGCTTTACCAATCTTGAATTTCTCGCAACGTTTCAACGTGAGGCTGATCTATTACAATCACCAACTACTGCGTCTTCTTCCCCTTGGCGGCCTTGTCTTGTCCCTTGCTTCTACTCCCCCCAAACAAGACCCAGCACAGTCCCAAAAACGCCGCAAACACGACTCCCATTGTCCCCGCCTGAACCCATCCCGCCCGTCTCGTATCCAGCACAGGCACCTGAATATACTCGACCAGCTCCTGCGTCGCAACATCCGGCTGCACAGTCATGAACCGCGTCTTGGGCCCAAACAATCCTTCATACCCCAGATGCACCCTATCAAACGGATTCGACGCATGCAGCGCCCCCTCTTCTGCTCTACACGCCCAAAACACCACGGGCCACGGCACCGGCAAGCGCGTGTGCGAGCGCGGCTCAGCAGGCAAGTAGCGCAAATGCAACGGGATACTAATATTCCAGTCACCCTCTGGCATCTTGTGCGTCGGCAGCCCCTCCCAGACGTTTTCGCCAGCCCCGACATCGACTTCTGGGTACTCGATCTTTTCTGGTTTCGGCACGGCCAGCTCGAACAGCGCTGCGGAACCCCACTGGCTCACGGCCCAGTCTGGGGCTTCCAGGTCGGTGGTGCCGGCGATGGAGCGCAAACGCTTGAGGTTCTTGGATTGCAGGAAGAGGAGGTCGTTGAATTGGTATTGGTCGATGAAGAGGTACGACGGGAGGGTTAGGTACGTGTGTAGTTTGCACGTTGAGGCTGGGGCAGTCAAGTTTTGTGCTGGGAAGGTGAGGGTTAGGGTCGGGTGGAGGCCTGTAGGCTGGTTGAAGCTGGTTGTGTAGGTGAGCGGGTGGGATTTTGGTGTTGTCGTGGGATTTTTCGAGGGCGCAAGGAGTGGGTAGTGGCGTGTTGGTGTCTGGAAGCGTGTGGGTTCTATTGCTGGGTTAGCTGCTATGGTCCTCGAGAAAGGAGGAATGCGGCATCGTCAAAGAACGTACTCGGTTTGTCGTCTTGGCCCAGCACTGTCAAGAAACCTCCAAATTGAATGTCTTCTGGATCCGCGTTCCCCTCGTGGCTCAGCACACCGATCTCGACCATTGCATCTTTGGTCGGCGGCCTGATTAAATCGTTCCAGCTCTTTTCAGTCTCATCTGCATGTGGCCAGAATGCAGTCACGATTACAACCCGCGAGATGGTGTCGTAGTCTACATCAATGTACGTCGACTTGAATATTTCAGCAACCAAGTCCATACAGTAAGCCTTTTTGTCTCCTTTGCAAAATTCAGACTGGAGATGCTCCTTCATGAAGTTAACATCTCCATGGTAAGCGTAGAACTGCGATGAAGGAGACATGGCGAAGCGCTCCGAGAGGATAGGCAGTTTGGTAGCGCTCTCAGAGGCGGTGGAACACTTCGCTTCCAGACCAGGCACGTCTTTGAGCGCATTGCAGAACAGGTCGTCAGGGGTCGTGTCCAAAGGCGTAAAGAAGGCATGTAGACCACTTGGCAGCCGTGATGTAAAGGGCGGTGTTGCAGCGTAGGGTTTTTGCGATTGCCAACGCCAATGCATTTCGTGCCATTGTGCAAAATACTTTTTGAGCTACACCAAAAGTTTCAATATTCACATATATGCAGCTGAACAGAACGGGGCTGTTTTACGTACGTGGTCATGTAGCTCGTCTAACCCAAACGTGATGCGGTGTTCCTTTGCGGCTTCAATGCCCTTGACGGCGAAGAATGGACCTTGGGCATCTTTTCCGATTTCAAGTTGCTCGGGCGAGAAATCATCGGGGTTCTGCACCACGTATGTAATTCGCTGTTTCATGGTTGCGGATAAGGTTGTTGCGGCCCAGGTGTCCTTGCACGCGTAGTGCTCGCGGTGGCATGTGAACGAAGCAAGCTAGTCCCAATCTGCTCCTAGCGCCACAGCGACCCTGGTGGTGCGTGCCTTCACGTTGCGTCATTGCCATTTGCTGGCGCCGCCACTCAGGCTTCTAGAATCGCTGCTCCAAGCAACAACGCATGTTTCTACCGTGTCCTTTATGTCGTCGCCACCTGCGCTCTCCTGGGATTTCATCTACCTATAGCTGTTGAGTTTTCCTACCACCAGGACTTATCACAAGCGACATGCACATCTCCAGCCTTTTATATCCAGCGCTGCTGGTTGCCAGTGGCGCAGATGCTCTCCGCTCCGATAGAGTCAAGCTATCCAACATACAAAGTCTCACCTTGCGCAAAGGGCAGCAAACATCTGCGCGACGCGTCGACCCGATTCCCCAGGTACGCAGCACCCCAAGCTACCCCACCATGCACAAAAACTAACATACATGTGCAGCTGAAATGTATCGGTGGTTCCGCTCGCGGCCTCTACGAACCCGAAGTAATGCGCTGCAAGAACAGTGGCTCCGACTATGATGAAGACTCCATACAATGGACTTGCACCGCGTCGCTCCCCGAAGAATTCAAGCTCGGTTCTACCGACGTCATTTGCGAGGGCTACGACTATCCCGAGGACCCGTATATACTGAAAGGCAGCTGTGGAGTCGAATACCGACTTATCTTGACAGAGAAGGGGCGGGAGAAGTATGGCAAAGGGCGAGGGGGGTGGGAAGGCGATGACGACGATCGGCCCGATGGTCCCAAGACTATGGGCGAGAAGATTGCAGCAGGTCTGTTTTGGCTTCTGTTCGGTGGTGTAGTGCTATGGATGATTTATTCCGCTTTCACGAATCGCGCGCAAGCACAGGATGGCGGTTTCGCTGGGGGCAATCGGCCTGGCTGGGGCGGAGGTGGCGGCGGAGGAGGCGGATGGGGCTATGATGACAACAATGACCCACCACCACCGTATTACCCCAACGATCCCACCAACCCTAACAATCCTAAATCAGGATACGGAACGACCCAAGGTTGGAGGCCGGGATTCTGGTCTGGTGCCGCTGGCGGTGCTGCTGCTGGATGGGCTGCTGGACGCTTTGCCAACCGTGGCAACAGGAGCTCTCAAGGTGGAGGGTGGGGTTCTGGCAGTGGAAGCGGCACCCGGTGGGACAATGGTGGTGAAGGCAGTTCAAGGAGTTCCTCTGGAGACAGTTTCTCCAGCACGAGATATGAGAGTACTGGATTTGGAGGCACGTCGCGTAGATAAGACGTGAGCGCGAGTTGTGGATTTTCTCATTTGGCTCAAGAATGATACCCCCTATTTTATTTATTGAAACGAGGAATTTAGGTTGAGGCTTATCACCTGACTGGCACTGACATTCCAGTTTAACTTGTGATGTATACGACTTGTTGGTTTTGATCATTTTCACAATACTGCTGACAGAAGTGCTGTGTAGTTCTCATTGCATTCCACTTGTGTACAGATAACTTGATCCAATTCATCCTCTGTTTGTATTGTTTCGAATCTCTCTGTGCTGCACGTGATATCGCTTCTTTCCTCCGTTTGAAAACGAAATTCCAAAAGTTCTGCCTTTTGGGTTTGACGACACATCGTGCCTTGCTGAAGAAGCTCAAGAAGCTGGAACGCATAGCTTTGGGCGAAAATCATGAAATAGTGCGTTGGAACTCACTTTATAGTAGGGGGTTCGGCGAGAATGATAAGGGTAGAGTAGATTTGCCGCATGGCCGTTAGACTTCATGCACGCGCACTGCTCGTGAGTCATTTCACTGACACAGCAGCATTTCTGAAGATAGCACTGCTTCTAGATTGATTTATTAGGCAGGTACAATACAGCTACCCACTGAAATCTCTAGTAGAGCATGCGGACATGCGAGGCCAAGACTCATCGTCGAGCGAACTAACGCCGCGATAAAAGTAGATTCAGCACAAAGGGGAAGACGAAATGGATACTGCAGGTTTCTAGGGCTGTGCTTCCGAATTTCACATTAGAATGTGTTGAAACAGACCCGTAAAGTGGGGGAAGGAGTTTTGTGACACCTTTGTATCAATCTGTCCAAGCTTTGACGAATGCCCAATATCTTTCACTGGTGCTGTGGAAGGAGAGGATAGGACGAAGCCCATATAGTCATTCCTCATGTTTTATGTCTATTACACAGCCTTCCATACAGTTTTCAAATGACGTATCACGAGTCTTGCGGCCGTAGTGAGGCTGTTCAGCGGGTCTGTTTGAATCGGCGGTGAGTATGTATATCGGAAAGCCCGAGACAACACATGCCGTCGCACGGAAGACTGGACGAGATCTCGTCATACAGTGATCCGACACTGTTGGGCCGCACGAAGCCAACAACTAGATCGACTAAATCCATAGAAGTGGGAATAAGAAGCATTAGTACATGCAGTCAGAGGCCAAAAATGGGGCTGCCGACATGATACCGACGTTGCCCAGAGTCACAGAAGATGGGTTTATGCATCGGGTAGTGTTAAACTTTCTTTTGTTAGCAACACATATTCGAGACCTTTTCCTACATTGTCAACTGCCACCCGCGGTCGTACGTGTTCTATTCAAGTGCGACATGACTAACTGCACTACTAATCCCGCATCTGACGGTGATCATAATATCCAGAGGCATTTTGTAAACTTGCAAGTAGCATGAATCATTTCCAGTCGCAAAGAACGTGCTTTGTTTCAGCCCCCAATTCCTTGATAAGTGAGTGGAAACTGTACGAGGCCGTGTTTTCTTGGAGCCCGTAAAGTCCCGACCTGGGTGTTACTACAAAGGCGCGTCGGTTGATCTTCGGGTATCCTGTGGAAATAGCATGTAGTTGATCGGATCTAAAACGGCCCGTATATTATTGCCCGTATCCACCAATCTTTTGAACACACTCCGGAACGTGCTCTACATATAGCTAGGCGGGCGTTGGCTGCGGTAAATGACGCTGGTGATCGGAAAATTGCTTTTCCAATGCTGCAAGAAACAAGCGTTGTCCATGTAGATGGTTATTGGATGGCTGGAAAGCAGATTTCATGTAAAGCTTTGCAAATGCTCGGCGGTAGCATGTGACGCATGTATCTGATGTTTTTTTGTCTCCAAAGACATTCACATCACAGCACAAACTTGAGGCATGTGAAGGAAAGCATGTAGTATTGTGGTGATAACCAAGATAATAACGCAACGAGCACAATTGCAGAAATCTTCAAGTACAATAGACTACACAAACCAAACCAAAGATAGTCAAAAGCTTCATCAATATTAGTCGATAAAGATTCTGCGCTTGAGGTTCTCTCACTATTTGGCGAAAAAGATAATGACGGAAGTAATGCCGCAAGAGAGAAAACAACAGTGGAGTGTAGTGGACCTCATAACATGGCCGGTGCTTAGATAGCGATTCTGATACCACATAAAAAAAGGGCTAGAAGTGTTCTAGCGGTCTATAATGATCCCTGTTTGGGTTTAGCGTCTCGTGACGGGTCCAGGTACCCGGCGCCGCAACCGCCTCAACACCACCAACTGACCTTTTATGCAACTTACATAGTGTCTTGCGACTTCAACTCCTCCGGTGGGCTACAGGCGCAGCCAAGAGCCCATCTTTGGCGTGATTTCGTCAGAGCGACCCAGTATACCAGTCTCCCCATCTCGTGACGTATCGCCAAACACTTGCACAGTCTACGTCTGTCGGTACAGACCCTTTATCTTAATGTGGGCCCGACATATCCTTACAACATATTGGGCAACGAACATGCCATCGACATGGCAGCGAGGATCCTCCGAAGGAAAACCAACGAAAAACTTGAAGACTGCAAACTCCGATTGCTAATCGGACCAGAGCCTAAATTAGGAACAGGACGGCATTGCGACAACGTCACGCTGAATCACGTGTCAGCGCCATGAGCCGCAATTCGCGCTTACACCCGTCTTATTATGCGGCGATCACCAGTTTCCCGGCGGTTGTCGCTATCCTTCCGGTTGGCGGGAAGTATCAGGGTCCCAGAATCCCATATGCAGGAACACGTGCAGAAGATAGCGATAGAAGTCTTTTTGAGCGCTAACCATTGAACAGGGACCTTCGGCGGCATTCAGCCAGCCTCGTCCTCGCCAGATAGCCAAGCCTCTTGAATATTGGCAAGATGGCTTTGCAGCTGGCTTGAGATAGTCTCCCTTCACCACTTGTCTTGGTAATGCACTTGGGGTAATTGCGAAGCTGTTTTATGAGAAAGACAAGGGAAAAATACAAAAAATATAAGTATCTGAGCCAAAGGTTATTTCACGTCCCAGCCTCGAGACATACTTCAAATGCATGTCACGCTCACTGAAACTTTCACCATGGGAAACTCTGCGCAAGCCTACTCAGCCTTGCACAAAAACTTATTCCAAACCCTTATACAAGATCTCCTGACCCACGGACGCTGCGCTATCCTTCGGATCAACGTTGGGCAACGGTTTTCGGCGCTGTTCCGGGCGCTCCACCACGGAATGCACAACGAAAACCAGAAATTTCTCTCTCGTGTCCCAGTAGATCCCTGTCTGTTGAGTTTGGGACATGGGACAAAAAAAATCCACATGTTTGATGTGAATGGTATAGTTGGGTTATCGGGCGAGACAAATTTTCTGGGCGTTTTCCATCTCCGATGCCTAATGCGGGTATGCCAACGCGCTGCTCGGCGTTACAAACTCACCAGGCCTATCTACACGTGGGTATGGGTGAGGCTATCCTGTATATTTTGCATGCAGGTGAAAATGATATAAACAGCTGAGAGAAGCGACCATGATTGCTTTTCTCTATCACACCATCAAGCAATTCTCATCCATTCTCATCATCTTCCATAACTAAATCCGCATTTCTACACATTAGTATTCTTGAACGCCATCACAATGTTGTTCACTCAGCTTATCGCTCCCCTCGCTACTCTGATGGCTGCCACCACACAGGCCATGCCACTAAAAGAACCAGTGATGTATCCCGGCAATGCCTACATACTCTTCGCTGGCGGAAACACGTGCGGGTTCCCATACATGGCGTGGGCATACATGGTGGAAGAAAAGGGGTGTTTTAACAGCCCGTATCCCGGCTCCATGGGAGCCGTCAGAATGGCATCAAACACTTTCTCAAGGCCTCGTAAGTTGATCCATTGCGCGCTAGTATTCAAGTATGACCAACGCTGACTCCCGGATGCAGTAAGGCTTTATGCCAATTTCGACTGCAACGCGACCGAGACTGAGCGAGGCAGTTACTTCGATATTGAAGCAGGAAAAACTGATTGCTACTACGCAAATGTTAGTTCGTGGCATTACTTGTAGGTGGAAGAAGGGGGAGGGCGGATAACATATGGAAAGGCGTACTGCGGATTGGCGTTCTTGGGTGCAACAATATAAGTGGTAGAATTGGGATATAGACGGGATGCCGACGGAGATATAGACGGGCGACACCAAAAGGTATTTAGACTTGACGACTTTATGAACTAGATAGAATTCCAGTATGATATACGGCTTAATGACACATCTACAATCAATGCTCCTGTCTCGCAAACCATCAAGTGGGTGATGTGATTCGATTGGTCTAATTATTAGAATTCAAAACTCTTCATCGAGACAAGTCCGGCCTGGGGTATTTATTCCTTCTCCTGCAAGAACTCCACAACCGCTGCAACATGTTAGCGTACTACTTAATCAAGTATACCCAGATGTTGTACCATTGATGAATTGCTCTGGCTTCTCGCTAGTAACCCAATGGCCAGCTTCAATATCAACCAACTCAAATCTAGGAAAGAAGCGACCAATGATTGGAAGCGTCTCGTCGCTCACATAGTGGCTCTTTGTTCCGCGGATAAACAACGCACGCTTGTTGAATGAGGCCTCATCTGGGTTGGTAAAGGGGAAGTCGGCCATGTTATTCAACGCCTTGGTGAGGATGTTGACAGGAATTCGGAACCTTAGGGGTTCTCCAGGGTCGCTTCTAACGAGGTTTGAGAGAAGGAATTGGCGGACTGCAAGATCCTTGGCGTATGGCTCCATTAGCTTATCTGCCTCCTTCTGGCTCTTGGGTTTCGATTTCTCCACATGTTGCATTCCCTCCGCATACTTGGGAAAGTCACTGGACAGCGCAGCGTCTACGGGAGCATTATCGACGGGTATTATATTTGCGCAACAATCTGGGTTCCTGAGAGCCATAGCCATTATTGTCTTTGCGCCCATGGAGTGCCCTATGAGTGTCGAACTCTTCAGCTCGTGCTTTTGGAGGAAGGCCTCTACATCTTCGGCGAGCGCCGTGTACGTGTGTACTTTCTCATGGGGCGAATCTCCGTGATTGCGAGTGTCAATGGCGTATACCGGTCGTTTGAGGATACGTGCGATTGCACTAAAGGCAGTTTAGTTTCACGAACGTAGAATTATCGCATGGTGTTTGCATACTTTCCAACGCTCTGGTTATTCCTCTTGCTTCCAAACAAGCCATGTATCATGACAATTGGATCACCTTTGGCTTTGCCGGAGTCATCATGAAGCCGATATGCGAGGTCGACAACCCTCAAATTTGCAGACGCGTGAAAGGAGCGCGTCCATGTTGGCAGTGCAGTCGCATTTAACGCTCCTATGCGACATGCGTGCTTCGTAGGCACAAGCGACGCGCACAGTGGCCGTGTACTTCTCGCCAAAGAGCGCATGTTGAAGGTTTGAGGCTCGTGAATTTCGGAAGGCTTCCGAACTTTTTGTAGCGCCAAGCCCGACGTCATGCCGCTTTCGCCCGATCTATTCTTGTCCGGCAGCCACTGTCGAAGCTGTTGGAACATCTACATGATTGCATGATCGTCGTCCTGAGATCAGCCGATCTGCATACTATAAAATTTGGAGGCATGTACTAATCTTGTTTTTAGTGTAGAAAGGTATCTCGGCTACTATTATAACTCCACAGCTTCCAGGCACGTTGTGGCATCACTGTGGACAGGACGCACGACACCGTATAGATTGAGTGGCATCCCGTTATTGTAAAGAAAATTAAATACTCAATGTAGGTAGTAGATGGCACATGGATCGATGATGCGTTGAGACATCATCTCCAGTCCAGACATCCCCTCATTGCATGGACCTATCAACGCCAAAATGACAAAAGCATATTACCACAAGACGCCGCCATGTCCGCGCATTATTACATTTCACAATACTGCTTCAATTAATTACCTCTCACAGACACTTCTTATAATCATCATGGTAAGGAAGACCACCTATCACTCATCAGCACATTCGCACATCCATCACACATAGCAAACTTACTCTCACACGTGCCCTGCGTCCATCCACTCCAGATCCAACATCCCCACCCCGGCACCCAGTCCCACGTTGTTATGCCGTTGGAACCCCAAGCCTTGCCACGGGCTGTACAGCGAACTCCAAAGTTTTCGTTGCCCCTGACATCCTTTATGCGGTGGCCGTCAAAGGGCGTGGAGTCGCAGCCCTGAGGCTGGTGTACCAGAGCGTCGGCATTGAGCCAGCACCAGTTGTCGGCTCGTGGGAGAAGGTTTTCAATAGCTTCTGCGGAGGGGTTTCGGGTGGTAAGTGGGAGGGCGTTTGCAACAAGGGGGAAAAATAGGAGAGTGTTGGTGTTAAGCTTCATCTTTTCTATGTGCAAGCCTTGGTGATTTCCTATGATGGCGTGTAAGAATATCTTTGAAGCAGTGAGCGCTACTTTGCTAGAAATGGGTCGCTTGTCACATTATATACACCATGTAGGCGGAATAGTGTATGCTTGCACGTTGCTCCGCGCTGGAAAGTTTGGTACAGTCACTGGGCGTTTTTGCCTTTTATTCTCAAGCGAACTCCGCGTACATAATATCGATAATGCAGATACTTTAGGTTATCGGGTTCATCGCATTGCGGACTGAATGAGGAAGGTCTGTATCACCTGTGTGTCTCGCGATGGCTCAGCTGCGGAGTCGTGGATAGCATCTCCGCATTTTTGCGTTGCACCGGTTAGTACAGATATATGGAGAGCTCATCACCAGATTCCCGCACTTCATGCTTAAGTCTCTACAGAAAAACTATAGAGTTTTAATCATATGATCTGTTCATTACAAACAGCTACTGATTATTAAACTGGCACCAGATCAGAAACTGCTTTATCTACCGATTGATGGTCTTGAATGTATGTGTATATGAAGTAGAAGCTTCAACGCTAGCTGCAGTAGTAGTATGCTACCAAAGCAGACTAATGCAAAAGTTACGTGATGCTTATATACTAGGAGGTTACTGGATTAGAGCTTAATTAAGTTAATTACTATTACGTTCTTCTAATGAATTACATGCTGTAGGGAACACGCGACACCTAACCTGACCATAACCTGCAGCTAAAGCTGCAATCAACGGCTTGGCAACCAGTGAGTATGCCACAAGTTATTACAAATACCGACTCGATGAAAAGCAAACATGCATCTTTGTCCATCCAGAATCCTCAGTCCTGCTTGATATGCACGACAACCTTTCCCTTCGCCCGTCCCGTCTTCAGCTTCTCATACGCCTTTGGTACATCGCCAAACTCCCATGTCGAGTCAATTACGGCGCGTAGCTTTCCTTCGACCATCCAAGCTGCAAGTTGCTCGAAAACCGCCGTGTCGGGCTTTGCATCGACAAAGACAAACTTTCGTTTTCCCCAGCTAAGCAGGCTAGCGATGTTGTTTGTGAGCAGCTGAAAGACGCCGCGGACATTGAGCCCTGCACCGACTTGGATGAACTTTCCTTGAGGCCGCAGAAAGGCTTTTGACACTCGGTAGAGATTGGCTGGAGCACCGACGTTGTCGAGCACGAGATCGAAACCTTCGCCTCTGTTCTTCAGCTGATCAACAATCGGTGCGGATGTGTAGTCCAAGACTGTGTCTGCGCCCAAGCTCTTGACCAGTTCGATATTCGTCGTCGAGCAGGAAGCAGTGACATCGTATCCGAGGATCTTGGCAATCTGGATCGCAGCTACACCAGTGCCTCCAGAGCCGCCATTGATAAAGACCTTGTTGCCGGGTTTTGCGTATGGCACCAAGCCAGCATAGACAGTCATGCCCACGAGAGCAATGGAAACCACATCGTCTTTGTTCAGCCCGTTTGGCATATGCGCGAGAAAGTTTTCCGGCACTGGTACATATTCTGCCAGAGCTCCATATTTGATACCAGGACCAAGAGCTCCAAATACGACGTCGCCTTCCTTGAACTTGGTCACTTTACCTCCTACTTTGGTGACACGACCACATATTTCAAGACCGGGAGTTACTGAGGGAAAGACCAGCCGTGTGATGAGGCCGAGTTCAAGGACCTTGTAGTCTATCGCATTGAGGCCTGTAGCGTAGTTTTCAACGAGTACCTCGTTGTCCTTGATGGAGGGTATAGGGACGCCTGATAAAGGGATGTGGAGATTCTTCCCCATGGGCCCAGAGGAGGCTTTGAATTGCCATGCGCGCATTGCAGTGGCCATCTGAAGTATTGGAAGAAAGGTGGGCTAGTCTAGTGTTGAAGTTTTGAGTGAGTAGCTTTGGTAGATCCTGATGTAGGAAGCTGTGTTGATGGTGAACAAGTTATGTGATATCCATTCCATCAGCTCATACGACGGATATATATGTCCTGACTCTGAGCTCAGCTGTCCAGAGTGTTCCCATGTTGCGACGACGGAAGCCAAGAGCGAGCAGGGCGAGCTTGGTCAGCCAAAGAGGATGGCATCATGGCAAGATGGGGAGACTGACGCGCAGCAGCCATGGCTTCGGTATTATCGCTCCTACCAAAACCTGGTTATGTCATTGCTCGCGACTTGTAAAGAGCGAGTCCAGGCTTACAAATGCGTGGGATTTGTGATTGGGATGACCAATGGCGATGCAGCTAAGCGCTAAACCGTAAGCGGCAGGAAGCTATTGGTGGGGTACACGGGGAGCGGGGTCAACAACGTAGTGTGGTATCGTGGCCCCAACATGTGCCTGGCTATCGTTTTGCTATCTCGTCCATGATGTAATTATTAGATGACTGTACTACCTACCATTAGTTAGTATCCTCTTGGATACCGAAGAAATGGCTGCGGGTGTTGCTAGGAAAGGATGGTGAGGCACCGAATGTATGCAACTGATAGTACCATCCCCATTTCTCTTGACTTGAGCAGGTCTAATCGAAGGTGCTTTATATGGAGCGATGCAGAATACGCTCCGTGATAAGACTGAAGCGGTGCTTTTGTGAAAGTCTGGGTGCAAAGATAAAATGTATGGCAGTGATGTTTGACACGAGAATAACACGTTTTAGCTGCCTATCAGCTCTCATTTTGGGAAATACTGCAATATAGCAGTCTCTGCCTTTAAAGCGCTATTCATAGTGATCTCGATAGCGCTCAGATCAGCACTAGTATGCTGTAGGGGCGCCTCTTACTGGCAGTGTATCCCGCGAAAGAATACAACAGGAGCCGCGCTATCCCTCGTGTGGCGTACGAATGTCAGTACGAAAGCAGTTTAATGGACAAGCTGTACGAGTCAGCTTAGTTTTTCTGCACACTCAACTCTGGTTGGGTAGCTGTGCTGATACTATAACATCAGCAGATGGATAGCAAAAAGCATATCTTGGTGTTGTAGAGAGCATCGCTAGGTTATATGCGCCAAATCAAAATGGCTCTTTTCTGGGAAAATGTTTGTCGCACAGGATAATCGTCGAACTCGAGCCACTTGCTCGTGTGGTCGCACTAGGATAACATATTACATATTCAACCAACCGTCCACTAGACTCTGAAGAAGGCTCGCATCGAAAAAACATCCTGGTTACGCAGAGGAGTATGAAATTATCACGAATAGAATGTGTCGACACCGGAACCCGTGAACGCCAGCCCATCCTGTGTAAGGCATCAGTGCTGCCCTGTGTCACCAACACGCCCCCATAGCTGCAATCAGATCGAAGGCCAAAATGCTGGTTCGAGCGGGAGTGCAGAAAAATTGCCTGTTCAATTCCCCTTCCCAATGACCTTATCCAGCACCCCCGCGGCAGCCTTCCTCAATAACTCACGATCCTCATCACTCATGTGATCCACTTTCTCCACCAACAGCTTCTTCAAAAATAGATTTTCCTTCTTCAGCCCATCATTTTCCGCCTCCAGCTGCTTTGCCCGCTCCTGCATCTCCTGGCTCTTCTCCATGAGGTGTTGCTCACGCTGCTTCTTCTTTTGGCGGAAGCGTGCAGAAGCCGCTTGGTTGCGTTTCCTTTTGTCTTCTTCGGCTTCGACAACCACAGGGCCGGAGAGTAGAGCGGCATTGGTAGGATCGGGGGATGCGGCTGATGAGGTGGATGTCGCATTGCTGTGGGCGTATGGCGGGCGATAGGTGCCAATGTTGTAGCCTTGCGTGACTGTGGACAACCTGTGAAGATCATCCAATCCCAGTTGCATTGCACTATCGGGTTCGTAAATATGCGAGAGGTGGCTGCTCATGCTAGGCATTGTGGGCGAGGTAAAAGTTAAGCCTTAGCGACTGTTAGTGAGCGTGATACTGCGGGCAAAAGTGACACCCTCAAGGTACGGTCACCGCTACATATTTTATCAGTAAGCAGAATAGACCAACGGAAATCAATCGATACAGCATGCATATAGACCTCCTCAAGCAGGTAGGTGGCCGTCGTATGCGCGCAGTGGCATCGCTCAATCACGTGCAGCTAGCGAGAGCACGCCATCCGCTCCCGGCCAAACGTCATCGAGGCCAACAACTTAGGTGGCAGCACTTGACTCCAGGACAACACAACCAAGAAAACTTGTATTGCAGGAGTCGCGTACAGGGTGCGAGTGAAAATGAACATGGTGGAAAAAGACAGATGGAGGGGTACGCTTACCTGCAACCGAGGCACCGCTGTCTTGCAACGCATACGCAAAAGGCTGTGTTTGCGCATACTCATCGTGAGCTGCTATCTGCTGCTGTGGCAAAGGCTGGCCGCCAGAATATGCGTGTTCGTCGAAGAGAGTAGATGCATCGATGGCCTCGAACGGGTCACGACCAGAGGAACTCCCACTCGCATATGCATCGGTGAAGGTCGGCTGCCCAAAAGCTTGCTGACTGAAAGAATCCGACATTACTCTCCATGGGCCACATGCACTCGGTGCGCAGTCGCGTTCTTTTCTTTTGAGATTGCTTGTGTTGGATCGGCGGTGGGAGGGGTCTTGTGTCTTCGGTGTTGAGCTTCGCCCAACGCCTTTTTGGGGGGGCGGGTTGGATTGAATGTTCCTCCCTGCATGTGCGCTGATAGGCTGTCCTATAAGAGCGACACAAATGCACACCAGTGATGCGCCGAGGTGGGCAGAGCACCCCCACTCTCTGAAATTCCTTCTGCGGGCGATGAGAGGCCATAATGGTGATGGATTGCGCCATATTTACCGAACGATGACAACAGCTCTTCACGCTCCGCATGACTCGCTTCGCGGACGGGATCCAAATGCGGCTGTCGTGCCTTCGGTCGCTGCTCGGATGCGCGGAGGGGGGGGGGTCGTCCCGGTTGGAGTTCGTGCATATGATGTGGGGGGGTTGCATATTGCCCATTCATGCACACTGGGCTGCCGTCCGCTGGTGGCGATACCTTGGACAGGTGTCTGCGCAGTCTCGGCCCAGACAGCCCCAGAAATAAGTGTCTCTGCCGATAATTCTCCCAGCATAACCATATAGCAACGCCATTTGTCTGCTGATGTACCACAGTTCCTTCTCCGAATGGCCGAAGTGTGTTCTTATGCATCCCTTGGATTCGCACTGAAGGCACCTTCCGAAGCCATGCGTCCAGCATACAAAGCGTTGGCGCCGATACAGGGCTAGTACAGTATAACGGGAATGCGAAGGCGTTGCATTAATTGGAATCGCTGTAACCCGCCGGCATCGGGATATGGGGCAATTGTGAAGCTCATAACAGCGGAAACGAGGAAGGCGTTGCTCGCGAGAGCGCTTCGGGGGTTCGATCGTATAGGAAGCCAATGGAAGAAGGCACCTGGCATCCGCGGAACTGTTGTTGTTGGTTCGCACCTAGCGCAATTTCGTGGAACACGACGAAGCCGAGCCTGTATTTGGAGGCTTACTGCATGGTCTGTGTTGACAAGCACCTAGAAATGGTAGATATCCGTAAGCAACAGCGTCAGAAGAGGTTGGGAATGTTGGCAAGGCCCAGGCAAGTACTTGAAGCCTCAACAATAGATGTATCTTCTGCGATTCGGGAGGATCGCTCGATTGCACCTGGGTTGTCCTCCAACTGAAATGCCGCTGCGTCTGTGATCCCTCCAAGCTCGATATTGAAATAGTCAGAAAATTGGGATGGACAATCTTCACACCCTCTTCATCTTCTCGCATCAACGAACGGTCCACATAAGGCGATGGCGCTGAATGAGTCTAATTGTGGGCGCTGGGATACGGATCGAAAATAGGAAGTAGAGAGGAGAGACAAAACTGAGCTCGATGCTGAGCGTACCCCACTTGAGCCGAGGTATGCAAAAGACTCCCCAACACAAATTCCATATAGAGTGGTGTTGCTGCGATCGGACGGAAAGAGGGTGCCGTCGCCCAGGTTCGATGTGGCCGATGGAGCGGGACCAAAAGGAACAAAGCAACGTGCTATGTTCAGTTATCAAACATCTCCGCTAGGAGGGTCTTTGTAAGTAAGAGAGATACTAAGAACAAGAAGCTCTTTCGCAAGTCCGACAAGGCGTTCGCGTAAGCGTCATAGACAGAAGTTAGATCGTATATCGCAGCGTAACCCGGATGCCATGGACGTGGTTTTCCCAGCCCCTTCTCTGTACCTTGATGAGACAATGTAGGCGCTACTTATTGTGGACCAACTTACCTTGGCTCTTGCCCATATGCATATCCAGTCGCCGTCTTTTAGAGTGTCAATGAACCCCTCGCCGCGCCCAGCTCCCTCGTTGCCTTCCCACGCTGGGTTGTCCTTGCACCCCCAGACAACGCGATACCGGCGTATAAACTCGCCGTCGAACACGGAAGATGCTCTGCCAACTTCATTGCCCTGTAGGTACCAAGCGTGCTCACCCTCGATACCCAGTGGTGTCCCGTCGTCTGAGAGCAATGTTGACTGCATCTCTCTGCAGTGCATCCTCTGAGGCTCAGTTTCCGATGAAGGGCGGGGTACAGCCTTGAGGTTGTACTCATGGAACGAGTCGTTCAAGACCTTGTGGATATTGCTCTTTACAGGAACATCGCCGTCAAAATGCCCAACGTCGAGCTGGTGAGCGAGAAGATTTTTCTCGATCCGCTTCAACTCTCGCGTGCTGCGAAGGATGGAGACTTCAAACCAAGAAGAGGTTTTGAACGTTCCCGCGGTATCTTCCGTAGTCCAGCCTTGGTCGTGACTCACAATGAGGAACTCCATCTCGCGCAGCTTTGTCTTTTCGCGAGACCGCGTCGGGGGGCTGTCGAAATAGATGCCCAAGCACGGGCACGCGGCGGAATAGTTAAGGGAAAACTCGTCATCCAGAAGCACTTCATGGCGGGTAAATTCACGGATGCGTTCGACCCAGTAATGGGCTTTGTCCAAGATGTCGAGAACCAGCTCGTTGGGCAGTCCGAGGCGATAATGAAGGAGAGCACGGGTGCGGAGGACATCACGGCGGCTTGGAATAAATGGCGCCATCACGAGACATTAGTAATTTGAGCTCTCGGTCGGTCGCAGTGCACTTGGGTTTAGGTTGCGAGGATAAAGAGGGTCGCGGTTGCATGTGGTGCTGAGACGCCCAATGGGAGATGAGCTAGACACGAAACAGGTTTAGTATCGCCCGACAATCCCTTCCGACGAGCCGGATCGGCACGCCTTCTACCTGCCAATCGGCCCTGTTACCTTGTTACATTCGCCGCCTTATCTTCAAGCTCGAGAAGTGTAAACTTGGAGATAGCTTGGGACTTGACTACCGTCTTCAAGTACCAAATCAACTGTCCGCGTTGTCGCTTAACCTTCCTCGCTCAACCCGCGGAAGCTTGCAAGCGACGAAGACATCCTAATAGGGTCTACCATTCTTGCTCTCAATGTGCACACACACCCACACAACGTATACTGCAAACTCTTTTTCATTGCTAGTTTGTCTGCTTATTCCATGACTGTATTTTTCCAGCCCGCAGATTTCAAGTTGTTCCTGAATCTTCTGTTCCATTGATGTCTTCAAACCCAACGTTGTATTCCACTTGAGACTGTGCCGCTTATGCCGTCAAAGCCCGCAAGATGCTGCTCCTTTTCTAGAGAAAACAGCCGACAGCGAAGCCCAGTGCGAACATGATGGCGCCAAAGATCGCAAGGGCAAACCAGGGGCGGAGAAGACGCTGCTCGATGGGCTCGATCAGTTGGCCATCATCCTTCCACATCAGTCAGCATCCATCTTTGAAACCCAAAGTTCGCCAAATTCTGCTTACCAGTGGTGACGGAGGCCTAGTATCCGAGTGCTGGGCGGATTTATTCAGCCACTCAATGACGCTCCGATCTGCCCGCTGGCGGTCTGCAAGTCTGCGCGCATCGTCCAACTGCGCGAGTATGTGGTCGGCAAAGGGAAGAAGTTGCGCCTGGAGAGTCTCATACTCCATCTCGTAGTCCGGATCTTCGTTTGACATTGAAGCGGCAAGAGATTCCAGAGAAATGCGGTAGGAGGCGGTGGAGACTGCAAGAATATGGGGAAAGGTGCTCGTTGGTGGTAGGAAAGAACCGTCCTTGATGATGTGAAGGTGTAGAGGCTAGACACGGACGCGCTCAAGATACCAGAGAGTGGTTTTGATGTGGTTTTGTGCTCGTCAAGCTATAGGCAAACGGAGTATCTGGTAGAAGGGGTTGCGTAGCAGTACGGGGTCGGTGCGCAAGTTACGCAAGGCGCTCAACGACCGACATATTCACTGCAAGTTGACTTTGAAGCGACGGGAAACTTTGGAACACGAGGCAGCTCCTGGCCTTCAACGCGAATTTCGAGTATATTTGAAGGGATCTCTAGCCCCGTATCTATTTCCTAGTATAAACTGGCTTCCTTATGATACGATGTAGGTGCCGTGGGTTTTGGTTGCCAAATCGGCCTCGGAATCTGTAGCCTCCTTTTTAGCACTGAGACATCTTCTTGCGTATTTGAAGATATACGTATTCCATTGACGGTCCAGTTTGTGGCTAGTTTGAGATTGCCACTCTACTCGTAGTCGCGGGTCTGTGTTGCACAATCTCTTTAGACTTGTTTCCCTCATCAAGCCTTACCACACGCGAGCAACAACTCCCTTGTATCGCATGTACAATTCTGCTTCATTTGACCAGGCCATACGGCCATGCCTAGGTGTAAGGTTGCTTCTGCGTATATCTGCACACAACTTCGTACTGGATCTCTTAGCAGCGCCACGGACGAGACCTTTATCCCGCAGCGCTTCGCACGAGTCGCGCACGAGGCCGATCTCCATGACATCGATTTGACAACACAAGCTGGAAGCCCGAGTCGATATGGAGGAGTGTGCCGGGTTGCAATAGCTCCTGGGCTGCATGACATTCCTGGAAGTGGCACAGATATGGCACTGCGACAATAAGCAGCGACGGGACACGGCCCTTCATAAGCACGGCTACCGTGCCACCGATCGGACCGTGTGGACATCCGCACGAGGAACTGGAGAAGAAACCCAGGAGTGCATCGGTCGCCATACATCCTTCCGTCTGAGTTCAAGGTAAGAAAATCCCGCATTCCACTATGAAGCGTCTCTTGCCATGAAGACATGCTGATGATGACCATCCTGGACCACCGCTTTGCTGAAGTTGGAGAGCTCCACTTCAATCTCAGACTTGATCTCGATACGCGCAGGCGGCCCGACCGTCGTTCGTCGAACGCTCCAAGCCCCGTTTGATCCGCCTTCCATGGCAGACGGATACCTCGATTTCGACGATGACACATACTTGAGCAAGCGCTTCGTGCTCCTCCACAACGAAATGAACCCAACGACTGGTGTTGGTTACAACTAAGATGGGCAAGTGATGGGGGCGTCGCTGTTCGCACGCGTATTGTCATGGAGAACAGTCCTAGGGCTGGAGAGCGTGATGCGCGGTTCTAGGTGTGCAGCGTTGATAGGGGCGCAGCTTTTGATCTATGTGCCGAGAACAAGGAGCATATTCAAACTCAGTTCAGCAGCGGGGAGGAGCGATCTCGGGCCGTGGAAAAGGAAAAATGACTGGTAGGAAATGATAGTAGAAATGGAATGATACCCCCCTTTAGAACCATGTACTGCGGAATCTCAATGCAGAGATGAATAACTTTACTTGCAACTTACCGTGTCAATGTAGAGCCAGTCTTGATGCAATGGCATCGCCCGGTTCAAGGCTCGCTTGTGAGATTTAGATGCATTGAAAGCAGATCGAGAGCTGCATATTCAGTACGTTCTTTCAGGCTGTTCCGTGTCTATCCCAGCGCCAGACCTGGGCGTTGGAGTGCAGAAAGTGTCGCATCCAGACCTCGCATCGGCGGCATAACCAGTTGTTCATTGCATGTCTATAACTGGGGGCCCGTATTGCAGCGCCATCTCTTTGCAGTTCGACAAGTTTCCGTTTCAGAATGCTGATAACTGATTCAGGTTTCGGCACCCGCCTCCGCTCATGCGGTGAGAAAGGAAGCGTCGGAGGAGAGGATGGCCTCTGGAAGTTGCTCTCAGATGTAAAAAAAAGGCGCAACAGAAGGAAATGATCTAAGGTCCTGAAAATCAGCAGAAAAAAACTCCAAAAAATGATAACAATGTCAACCACAGAGGGAGGACTGAAGCCTGTGAGGGCTTTTTGAGCGGTATGAGAACCGAACCTGGAGGGAGGAGGTAGGTGTTAGCATATCGTACAACACAGTGTGGGCTATCTAATCAGTGGGCTATTCCCACTGGGCTACGCGATCGCACTTCCCGCTATTCGGGCGAAAGATTGACGATTTGCGGCGTATATATAGCCCAAAGACTTGGACTTGATAGAGGATCCTGTGGTGATAGAGAAGCGATGGGTGTTATGAGTCTGTGCGAGCGTAACGGGGGGCGGGGTGGCGGCGATGACGAGTGCAGAGATGCCTCAACGGTTTCACTGGCGACAGCGAGGCCTAGGCCTGACCATGCAAAACCATTATGCTGGCGACAAGTGCTAGCAATCGCATGCTCGGCCTTTGCGTTGTGTGTTGGATGCGTTTCCACACCTACGTCTGAACTCGTCCACACCAGAAAGTGCGGATTGACTTCAACCAACACCTGCAATCTTGCTTAGTGATAATGTCGAGTTTTCCTCGACATAGGTCATAGCCCTCGGGGGTAGAAAGACGGTACTGGCCAGCTGTGTGGTGTGAATCGTCCTCGGTGAGTAGCGGAGCTGAGTAGCAAGTATCGTATCCGTTCACGGTCACCACTCCGCATTCTGCATTCTGCATGCAAAATGCAAATGGAACGGCTCACACAGCACCCGCACCATCATTGAAGCCCTAGAGTCGTGGAAATGTGTTGTCAAAGCCGATCGACTTGATATAATGTCGAAAAAACAGCATGCTGCACTGAATGTCGAAGGCATCGGCAAAAAAAGAGAGACCATGTGTCCCGCGTCATGCCCCGGATATTGGTAGTTTTGCTGCCTCTCTAACCACAGTATTGGCGGTTGGCGTGGCTGCTACGAAAAGGCAAAAAAAGAAAGGGGTGCCTGAAGGCTCGATCGTAGGGCCAGAACCCTCCTGGAAGAGTAAATGGATTAGCAAGATCTTTGCAAACCGGCAATAGCCCCGCCACCACTCGGAGTCATTACCGATGAAAGAACTTGGAATATTACGGTATCTATAGCCGTAGAAACTCGAGGCCAGAAGGTTTGGTGTTGGACTGTGATGATTTTCGCCTGGAGGAGTTGTGTGTAATGAAGGTGAGGCATGACATCGGCAAGGCCCATGGCCTATATACGGCCTACGGCTCTTCATAACACACAGCACCTTCTTTATGATGTGTTTTCGGAGGGTTCCAGACATAAGAACCCCTCGCTTTCGTGATGTTCATGAGCGCCGGCATCCATGATGTGCAATTTGGTGGGCGATGTACTGCTCCTCTGGATCACAGCCGCATGGCTATCAAGAATGCGCCTCAAGCATGTTCAGCCCATGGAATGAGGCTTTTCATGGAAGGTGCAGTTGCATAAACGTCCGCATAGGATGCCGTGCGTAGGAAAGCCCCTGCTTGCACCCTTCATCTTAGATCTGGCATGCAGATGACGGAGCGACTCGTGTTTGTCCAGCAACGACGGCACTGCAAGATGATCCTCATCTAAGGGCACTGGCCCAGATGGGCGCATTGTAGAGCTTCTTCCCCGCAAACGTGCAGCAATCATGTAGGCGAAAAATGGGCTGAGTCTCTTTCCAGCCCCTGCTGCACCGCAAATGTTTGCTAGCTTGGCCATGCTGTGCATCGTCTGAAATCAAGCTGGCACGCATGCCTACTTGCCCAGGGTTGCTCTAGTTGTGGTGAGCGCCTTCTGGTGTTCGTGCCCGCACATCGCAAGTCTCGTTGACTTCTCCGGTGCCTGCACATCAACACCCCACCATCTTTGACGCCGGCTACACCCCCATCGCGACAGCATCATCAAGCGGGGATAGATGGTAACTGTCAACTACATGACAGCGGGCTGTTGGCATGTCCAATGTCCGAAGCTGGCGATGCTTCAGAACCGTCGGTGCCGTCGAATCAGCTCCGCGAAGTCCCTTCAAGGACACGCGATCTTCCCCCGGCGCTCTCCTTCTTGACGAATACTTTCTTTCTCACCAAGAACATTGGCAGGCTCTCATCAGCCCTGCGAATAAACATCAATCAACGGAGAGGCGACGCCGTATCCTGCCGAGACAACAAGAGTTCATCAAAGCCTCATCCGAGACAAGGAGACCACGGGCCGCACCGTCAGCCAAGCGCGTATGCTGGTGAGTACAAAAACATCAATACGGATGGATCCTCGGCGCAGATGTGCTTTACAGTGCGGCTTCCGGCACCTGGTGGCAGCTCTGAATCCCGCGGCGATGCCCAGGCTTCAGGCTCCGTCGCAGAGCATCCACGAAGTCGCACCCCCCAGCACAGGAACACCTATAACATGGAAGAATAGATGACCGGTGCCAGCAGGAGACACATGCATGAGAGCAACCTCAGATGAACGTCGTGCATCGCAGCCATGAAACGCGCCGTAGCCTTCAAGATAGGATGGCGAATTTGCAGTTGGCCGGACCGCCGACTCACAGCGGCACTGGATGAAGAGGCGCAGACAAGTTTCCCGAACACAAGACACGCCCTCTGGAGGTCCTGCGTGTGGAAGGTGGGGTCGCAACGAATATGCCAGTAAGTGTGAGGACCTAGATGCGCTGGCGAATGGTTCCTTCCAGTATGACCCCTCTGTTCCAACTGACACGGACAATAGATCGAGATTCGCGCACCGATCAAGCACACGCCGTACCGCCGATAACACAAAGGACCTGCTCGCCGACGAGCGACATGGACGAGTTACGCGCCTAGGAACTCTACATGCATGGACAAGCCGCAGCTAGCCACACTATCCAAATGTATAGGAGCATCAGATAGGGACAAGTGCCGAGACACTGATTTAGAGTGTTTCCTCGGGCCATGACCTCTCTGGCGGCAGTCAAGCGTGGGCTAGTGTATGGCGCGTAGCTCCCGGTGACAGGCAGTATATCACGACCGTCGATACGTGAGAACTTCCCAGTAGATGCCGGCCATCAAGCCAGTCTCAAAGGCGGTACGTCCCAGAATGGGAAAGGTCCAGGATACTGCAAACCGAAGGGCAAACCGGTACGCATGAACAATCGATGCATGGTTTGTGCATCTCAATTCCGATGTTCTTTATTTCGACACAGGGATAACCACCATCAGGGTCCGCAAAGCCATCCAGAACCCAAGCACTGGAAGTTGTGCAATGACGAGAGGATGCAACGAACCGCCGCAAAGGATGATCCACCCGAACTTGTCGAGAGCACCAGCGAATATGGCGAACAGGCTCGCCACAGGGCTGCGAAAAAAAAGAAGGAGAGTGCTGATCTAGCTACATCCCAAATGTGGAGAGTCGTACTGTGGCTGCTATGTCGATTTGACATGATATCGTATTCCGGTCTCAGTCATCTAAGACAGTGAACATAGGCGTACAACCACTGCAAGAACTGAAGAGCAGATGTCGACCTCTATCCCAGGAAAAAATACCACGGTCTACCTGGAGGCCATCTGGGTGGATGACACACTCGAGAGCAGCTCCAAAATATGCTAGAAGTTTTCACTTCAGAATGAAGGCGGTATGGCTACCGCAGCCTGTCCTCTTGGCATTCGTGTCTCCTCAGGTCGGAGACAAGGGTGTAGAAGTACGCAATGCTGAAGGCCGAACATGAGCTGACCAGAGTCGAGGGTTCAGAATGCCCTAGACAACCAATGCTGGTTCGAACAGCAGATGATGCTTGATGGTGTCGACGTCTGTTACCAATCCCTGGGTCGGCGACAATCATATTTCGACTAACACCGGCACAAACAGAAGATGGGCTGGAGCCTATGAAGCTGGGTTCCTTGGATCCAGCCAGAAGTCCTTGATGACTTTACCGGCCGTGTAGAGAAGAGACGGATTCCAACCAGGTCATGATGAGAACCAGTCACTTTTCTTTTGTTCCGCACGGTGTGCAAACTTCATTCCGGTTGGTATACCGTCCCCTCGCCAGCAACAGATTACTCGGTGGATTTGGACCAAACGAAGCGATTCGGATGAGCCGACCTCGACAGGCCTGGAGGACATGAACCTTTCCCAGGGTGGTGCGGCCCAAATTTCTTCGATGTTCAAGAGCAAGGACTGTGGTATAGAGACATCTACATCCCAGTGTATAGGCCACATATGGGAGAGCCCAAAAATTCGTGCGTTTGTCCACGTAGGCATATACTAAGGGCCTTCTCTTGCTTAGCCCTGCGAAAGGGTAGTCTCCATGTTGGAATTGTCCTCGACATGGCCGCCGCCAATATTGGTGTTCGTCTCGAGGGTCTTTCCAGCAGACGTGGCTCTGGTAAGCCAACTCCGACAAAGGGATTGCAGGTTGCGGTGCAAGCGAGAGGACTCGGTAATCATCTGCCCAACACCTGCAGATGATCTTAGGTATACCACGACTTCGAAAGTGGTGTATCGGATGATCGAGTTATGATCGAGTATTGGATAAGAGCCATGATGGTGTCATTATCGACTCGAAGCCGGGTTCCCGCCTACGGACAAAGATTGATGTCTTGTCGCGTGCGACACGCGATACACCCCAACAGGCCGCAGAAGCTGCCCAAGCCGAATCAGGTGGTCGAAGGTGCACCTGTCATGAGGATAGGTAGTTTGGAGGGTGTTCCAAGTGGTGGTTGGTGGTTATCGCCTCGTTACCCGCTTCCCACGAACCTTTGTGGCCGCTGTGGCGGGGTAGGAGTACGCTGGCCCCTGCGAGTGTTTCCTTTCTCTACGTCTCTGTTGTATGGCCATCCCAGCGAAGGGAGACATGTGTCCCATGACGAATTGTGCGCATGGAAAAGAAGCTCGCTGCCGCGTTCGTCGGACGGTCGAGCGTCGAGGATCGAGGGTCGCCCAAGAGGTTGACCGCGCCTTCGGGCTTGTCGATGCTATGCAAGACTCGAGAAGAATCAGCATCGAGGGACCGCTACGACAATGAGACAAAGATGTTTGAAGTCTTGTTCTTACCTTTACTGAGCTTCCTTGGTGTCGTGCTCGGGCGATGTCGGGAGCAAGACTCAGCGATGCGGACCTCCGAACGCGCTGAGAAGACGCGCTGAAGCACACCGGCTCCTAGCAAGGCGAGCTATCAGAAGAATGCAGACTGATAATAAGGCTGCTTTCTATCGTCATCATGTATGAGCTGCGAACGCTCGAGAGGCTATTGTCGTGGGCGTTGGGTAGACGCGAAGGAGCTTCGTGGCGCGGGGGCTGGTGCCACGACAGGATGCAGGGGAGACTCAAAAGACGTGTCCATCTGACCGCTTTAACTCTCCATCTCAGGACCATGTCGGAGAGGAGCTCCAGCGGTTGGTGGTCATTGCTGTCGAGTTTGGTGGCTTGTCGTGGTGGTGGAAGGGTGGAGAGCAGCGAAAATCAGGAGGGGGAAGGGACACCAACGATGAAGGTCAATGCGGACTCAAAGGCAAGAACAACCCCCTCGGCGCATAGCTTGCAGACGCACGCATAGCAGAAGACCTGTCGGCGACGTCTGGAAACCCAACACGACAACGGAACAAGGAGCAGTTTCGCAGCTTCGAGGGCCGACGTCATTCGAGTCGGACCGAATACTTCGCATCTTAGCGAAGCCCACGGCCCCGATGGTTGCCCTACGCTGCAAGGGAAGAAGACACAATGAACGGCGCATGACAACCGCCACATACAAGATCTCGATTACTACAGCCTCCGGAAAGCCTCACGCTGCTTACCCGCCTGGTTCTCTTTGGGGGAGGCTCATGTCAAACAACATACTACACGGCTCAGATTCCAGTAGGTTTGCCGTCTACAATGCACACAAAGGCCTTGCCAGCTACTAATGATCCTACAGATAGTTCTCTTGTTGCAGTAGTTTACTTTGAAAGTCGAATGCACCGTCTAATTTGCCCCTTGATTGCACCCAGTTATCTGCTTTGTGAGACCAAACTGTGCCAAGGCTGTGAACTGATGGGGCAACGCCCTTGCTCACCACACTTTTAGCGTCAGAAACCTTATTTCCACTTCTCCTCGCTCCCCACCTACCTGTTGACCTTTACAACTTCAGCCTTTGCTACACGCTATCACTCTCCACAGGGTACTCTGAGTACTCGCATCTATCTCTACAGTATCTTATGCAGTCTTGGGTTCATTCGGAACCCCTAGACGCCCTCCCCTTGTGTATCGCGTTGCCCGCATGGTAAGATAACTGGACACCGCCAGCCCACCAGGCCATCCCTTATGGTCATCTCTTGAAGCGGCGCAACAGAAGCCCCTTCTTCAAACACAAAAAGAGCTACCGAACAACATTAAGATTCGACGAACTGCTCAATGTCGGCCGCTGCGACTCGGATTAATACGAAGCTCTAGCGACAGCGTGACCTCGACCGTGAAGACAAACATCGCAGGCTAAGTATTATACAGACCAACAGACACACCGCTCCGAAAGTACCTCCAACAACAGACAAGCAGCTTCATTCCTCGTAATCTGAATACCTATAACCTACTACAGCAGTCGTTGCGATATTTGTCGGTACCATGTACATACGCCCAGGGTAACATCACTTCGGTGCCTCCGAACTTCCAAAGACTCGAGATCATCTATATCAGTTCATATTCCCCACACAACTACACTCGGGTTATCAATGGATAACAGCACTGCATCGAAAACATTTGTCTGACTGGGACACTGTGGCACAAACAATCCATAAGACAGGTGGCAGAGTAGCGTGTCAAACAAACATCGACTCATATACAAGAACCCTCGCTCTATAAACATGACAACATGGAATTCGGCTCATAACGCACCGTCATGCCACACTACAAAAGAGAACACATACACTCGTTCAACGCTGGTATTAAGCCGACCTATCATATCTCATCACTGAACCACTTCCAGCGAGGATTGTCACACACGCTAAATTTCCCTTCTTACTGGCTGGGATGATTGTCGTTTGTGCGCGAGCCGAACCATACTCAGATATTTGTGAGGCCCAGGGGTTTTGCAAACCATCAATACTATTGATGAGAGGTTCTAGTCCTAGAACGCCTTACACTCACCTGTGCTCTTCCACATTATGTCCATTGACCTGGCGAAATTTCGATTGGATACAAAGAAGGTCGGTACATTGAACTCGATGGCCAGCTCTATCGTGCTGCCCTATCTTACATTCCCACTGGAGTAGGCCCTTCGCTATGCTGCTCAAACTCCTACCTGGCTATCGAACATACCCTTATTTCTCGTCTCTAACTTTTGCATGCTTTCTTTTATTCATTGTTCCCTTCTCTTGCTTCTTGCTCACATGTCGGTAGCATCTATGGACTAACCTTCCGGGCGCCTACGATCGAACAAAGTGGAGACGTATTACCTCTATTACCACGGATGGAAAGAGTTGGAACATTCTGGGACAAGACCTTTTCTTTTGTTACATGGCTATAGAATGCGAGCTCAAGGCTTCACGAAACACCTCTACATGGAAACTCTCATCGATGTCTGCTACTGCTAACCAAGGGATACATACAACTACAATATTACAGCATCGACAATCTCTTCAAGGTCCAAGGCTTCGGATACAGATCAAGCCTAGTATCTTCTTAGTGCCGCCGACTTCTTGGTATCGACCTTCACCTGTTGTGTAACGCCCCACTCCAACTGGCGCCACAGAGAGCTTATGGACGCGGGGTAGAGGAGTAGCTGTGGAGCTTTCTCGTGGGTCTCTCTCAGTAAACGATACTCTGGCTCCCCTTGCTCACCGCTTCTATCAAGGGTCACTGAGAGTTGTGGGTATAAAACCCTGCCAGGGTAGGGTTTTGCCCGTCCACGGTGGTTCTTGCAACTCCAAGATCACGGTCCAAAACTTTCAATCTCGCTCCCTCACTTGAGCATTCAAATTTCTACTATCCATTAAATCAACCACACGCTTAACAGTCTTCTTTTCCGATCCACCAACATCTTCGCATTTGCGAATCGGAGCCGCTCTGCGCCAACGAATCCATCAAAAGCTTATAGGTTTGGTCGAATAGACTTTGCGCCACCTGGCATTGGACCAAGCGAACCGTCATTTGATCCAAAAGCAAGACTGTAGAAGAGGCAAGACATTGGGGACACGCAGTGGTCGATATCTTTCGACTTTGAGCGTCGAACCACGCCAGTGCGGGCCCTGCGCGCCACCTTGCACTTTCGTCAGTTCAGCTGTCTATAGCTCATCACGACCCCCAACACAAGAAGGTAAAAAGCTGTAACGGGAGGGCTCCCAGAGCGAGTGTTCCTCTGGCGTCTCCTGTCATTTCGCCTTCTTGTCGAGTTGGTTGCCTGGGCGATTCGGCTGCTTCACAGCTTCTTGGGAACCCTAGCGCCCGGTCTCAGCGACTCTCCTCTCCTTCCTAACCCCCAACCCGGTCCCGCTCCCCCCACCAAAAGGTACGTCTACTCCAATTCTACTGGTTCTTGCATCTGCCTCTGAGCCTGAGCGGCACGGGAGCGGCACGTGCGGTTTTCCCTCAGATCTGTATTGTTGACCTTTGGTTTGGTGTTTGAGACCTGCCTATAACACCCTCGCTCTAACCCCGCAAATGAGTTCCCGCCTCGGACCCCACTAACAACACAATAGAAGCTCGCTTGGTCTCTGTCCCTGTCTGAAGAGCTCTTGCATCACTTTTAGCAACCAGTCTACGGTTTGATTATTCTCAGCACCCAGGTCAGTCTGATACTCCACGTCCTTCATAATCCATTGTCGCTGAATTTTCTTTAGTTGCAACTATATCCCAGGGATCCAGAACCACCATGTCCGCCTATCACAACAACCAGCTAAACATGGTCGGCCTGTTCGATCCAGACGACGGGTTTGCCTCCTTAGGTCAACCGCCAGCAATGCCATGGCCGGCTCAGAATAACTTTGGACAAGCCGCCGAGGCCGAGCGACTCTTCAATGACTATGCGCCTGCCCCGCAAGTTAACTACGATTTTGCTGGCGGCTTCTTCCAGCCCGACCATTTCGTTGCGGATTCCACTGGCAGCCAAGACCAGAATTCAGACGATGAATTTGAGGCTAGGAGCGAGGACGGCCTGTTCGCTACGAGCTCCAACTCTCCACATGACAGCGATTATGTTGAGGGTTCTTCCAAGGCTCGTCGGTCATTCAAGGTGACCAAGACGCCCAGGACGCCCAGGACGCCGAAGATCAACAAGGATGGTGAGCCTCGCAAGCCTCGGCAGCCTCGTCCGAAGCTTCTCAAATGGAGTGACAACGATTGGAAGAACGTTCTTCTTGGGGTCGTCTGGGCGTGTGGCGAGACTGGTGTTCAAATCCCATTTGACCAAGCTGCACAGGTTCTTGGAGAGAACTGTACCGCTGGCGCCCTTCAGCAAGCTCTCTTGAAGTTGCGCAGCAAGCAAGTTGCCGATGGCTTCCAGATCCCAGCTTTGAAGATGGCGTGGTCGCGCAAGAACAGGAATGGAAGTACCTCCTCGCCCATTGCCAGCACAAAGACTACGCCGGCTCAGACTCCAATCAACACCCGGGCCAGAAAGTCTACCCTGCAGAAGAGCGACAAATCTCTCATTGTCACACTCAAACTCAAGTCTGAGTATCGCGGCGTTGGCACCATGCAACTCGAGACCGCGAAGATGCCTATCAAGAAGCAGCGCTCTGGTACCTCTGAAAGCCCCAAACGCACCCCAACGCGCCGACCTACTCGTCAGGGTGAGCTTCAGGCCGCGCAACTGCCTCAGCAGCCTGTCACCGAGATCGGAGAGCCCAGGAACGAGAATGGCAACGATACGGTCAAGGCACAAGCTCCTGTTCACGGAACCACTGAGGGCCAGGCTCAACTTGTTAACAATGGCGAGGATCAAGACCAGAAAGTCCCCAACGTCAACATGGAGCTGTTCCCAAATCTGGTCGATGAGTTGCCGGACTTGGTACAGGATCGCATGCTTCACAACCGTAGCCAGGCATTCATGGACGACATTCGGGTTAATGGAGAGAACTTCGTTGCCGAAGCCGCCGAAGCCGCTGAGGCGTTGCGTTCTTTTGAAGGAATCATGACTCCACTGAACAACTCCTTCGGTCATGGATACTTCCCCGAATCTCCAAACCAGGCAGTTCCCACCTATGGTACCCAGTATGGTATGGCCGGAGGTCATGATCAGCAGTTTGCCTTGGGAAATCCTCAGCCGCCTGGTCTTTTCGAGTACTCTGACATTACTGGTTATGATCCTTTCGCTACTCGCGACATGAACCAGGGTCCATTCGGCAATGTCTTCATGGACGAAACTATGGATTTCCAGCCATTCAACTCTGGTTTCTTCCCTTGATCTCCTTTGGCCGTGCCTCATTCAGGGAGATGGTATTTCATCATCGTAAGTTTTGCAACAATTTATCATTCAATACTTTACCTGACCATGACCCTCAGTACGATTGACGAACACTTATGATTCAACGGCTTTGCGATTTTTGCTTACTGATTCATTTTTCATGGCTTACGGAACTCATTATCATGGCCCACAGCATGCACTTCATGGTTCATGGAATGCAATATGCATGCTCGGGGATTCAACATTCATGCTTGCGGATTCAATATGCATAGTTCACGGGATTCATTATCATTGCTCATGCAATGCACTATTCATGCACACAGAGGTCGGCATTCATGGTTCAACTGCTTCATTGGTTTCATTTCTTTTGCTTCAGGCCCCATATTTTGCAGCATCATCAGAGCAGCGATTTCTTCTTCCTTCAGGATTCCCGGTCAATTGGCATTGGCAATGGTTTCTGTCTTGCTTCGCACTTGGATAGCGTTGGCTTGACACATGGAAGAAGAAGATATTCAAATTCACAAGTTTGGCGACAGTCAGTTAACATAGATATCACGAAGCAATATAACGTGGTTCACAAGTGAGTCGCTAACCCAAGCGAGTCGCTAACGCCCCACCAGCCCATCAACTTCATCACTATAACGCGTGATGTCTCAACAACGCAACCGTCTATTAATATATTCTGAATCTGATCTTCAACTTGCTCTTTTTGACGTCCAGTCGCAACGTGTTCAGAGTGTAAACCGTGCTGCTACTATCTACAACGTCCTACAAAGAACTCTATCTGATCGACGCGCTGGAAAGCGCCCTCGACGCGACTGCGAGCCGAAATCGAAGCGTCTAGATAAGCTAGAAGAGGAGGCTATAGTTGAGCGTATTCTTGAAGAGTCTGCGCGAGGATTTGCGCCTACAAAGCTTGACGTTCGAGTAATGGCTGATAAACTATTGGAGGAGCGTGGTGGCAACCCTGTTGGCAAGAACTGGGTTGACAACTTCGTTAAGCGGACTCCTGAGCTCCGTACGCGCTGGAGCCGTCCCTATGATCACCAGCGAGCCGCCTGCGAGGATCCAGTGGCTATCCAGCGCTGGTTCGACTTAGTCCAGGCGACAAGGCAGAAGTGGGGTATTGTGGACGACGATATCTACAACTTTGACGAGACTGGCTTTATGATGGGCAAGATTTTATCATAGTTAGTTATCACAGCATTAGAAAGATATGGGAAAAAGAAGCGGATACAGCCAGGCAACCGTGAGTGGGTTACTGTGATCCAAGGCGTGGGCGCGTCGGGTCGCCGAATACCACCCTTCGTTGTCTTTGCGGGCAAGGTGCTTATCAACGTCTAGTTTGAGGATTTGCCTGCCAACTGGGTTCTTGAAGTCAGTCCCAATGGCTGGACGAATAATCAGCTTGGTCTTGCCTGGTTAGAGCACTTTGATACCCATACAAAGAGCTCTACTGTGGGTGGGTATCGACTGCTCATTATCGATGGCCATGAGAGCCACTGCTCTGTCGATTTCCAAGATCTTTGCAAGGAGAAGAATATTGTGCTTCTCTGCATGCCTGCGCACTCGTCTCACCTGTTGCAGCCCCTTGACGTCGCCTGCTTCTCGCCGTTGAAGCGCAAGTATGGCGACGCTATTTCAGGCTTGGCACGCAACCGCACCCACTATATCAGCAAAGAGACCTTCCTACCAGCCTTTAAGACTGCTTTTGAGCAGTCTATCACGAAGGAGAATATCCAAGCTGGCTTTAGAGGCGCTGGTCTAGTCCCACACGACCCACAGGCTGTGCTATCTAAGCTTGATGTGGTGGTGCAGACACCTGTACAATCACCGCAACAGGTAGCCGCCTGCAGGCGCAGACACCACGCAACGCGCGCGAAGTTGAGTCTTAAATTGGTCTTATTCAAGAGAGCGTGAGAAAACGCCGTGGGTCTTCTGCCAATTCACTCACTGAGCAGATCGCGTAGCTGAGTAAGGGGGCCCAGCAAATGGCACATAAAATGACGCTTATGATGGAGGAAATGGGTACGCTTCGAGCGGCTCTTGACGAGTCAAATAAGCGTAAAAGCCGCAAGCGGCGATACGTACGGACAGAAGAGACTCTTACTGTAGGCGAAGTACAAGAAGTATTAGCTGAACAGGCGGGTAGCAGTCGTGGTGATGGTGAGAGTGCGTCGAAGAGGGTGCGAGGAGAGCGGCGGTGCGGGCGTTGCAAGCAGACTGGACACAACGCTCGTACCTGCGTAGTTGAGATAGATAGTGCAAGTGATAGTAGCGATTCTGACAATTAATTTGGTGTATCGCAATAGTTTATTGACTGTGATAAAAAACTGTGATAACGTGTTGATGTAGATGTAGTGGTGGGGCGTTAGCGACTCGCTTGGGTTAGCGACTCACTTGTGAACCACGTTAATCCTTTGGATACCATAACGGTGACTCTTTTGACTGCTGTGATGAGGATGTTGAAGCAGACTCATGATGCAACATCGTGACTAGTATATCGCGACACTACTTTATTCCATACAAATCGTGCGCTTGGCAGATGTGAACGGCTGGTTTGTGGCTTGTTCACAACAGCGACCCATTACCCAGTTCGTTCTTTGTTCGTATGTTTGTAACAATCCATTCATGTAACCGCAGCCATTGAAGCCCAGCTTCGTTATCGTGAATTTATTCACGCAACCGCTTTATCCATAATCTTAGCCCACTATTTGTCAGTATTAGATTGGAAGGGACCGCATGGAGTAAAAGCCTTCCTATATGTTCATATATTCCGTCTATTAAATATTTCAGAATACGTATATCAAATAATACACGCACGCACGTACGTCCCGTCCCGATTTCCACCACAGCCCAAGATTCACAGATACCCATATTCATCACACCATCTCGTCCACCTTGCAAAACATGTTCCATGAAAAGGCGAGAGAAACAACATCAACCGTAGCCAAAAGCTGTACTAATCACAGCGCACTTGAATATTGAAAAAAATAGCAATAAGTAATACCGAAGAAAAGGAAGAAGGGAAAAAAATAAATAAAGAATTTGTCAGAGTGCAGAATAATCCGGATTTCTTTAAACCCCCCCCCCCAGCACCACGCCGCGCCACATTCATCAATTAACTAAGCAATTAGTATAAATCATACACATATATATGCACACGCATACACAAAACCATAACCCTAATCACAACTATATCTGTATCCCAACTCCCCCATCCCTAAACAATGAATCCCAACCCGCCCCCCAAAAAGCTCTCCCAGTACCCGCGTCCGCACGCCTTCCTCAACCCGTTTACGCCGTCCTCCGCGACGCCGCCCACGCCGCTCGGCCAGCACGGTAAACGAGCGTACGTAGCAGGCCAGGAGAAGCTGCGGGTTGCTGATTACAGCAGGTATCGGGCTGATGAGCCGGGGGTAGGGTGGAAAATGGTGCGCGTGCTGGATGGAATGAGGAGGAGGGTGGAGATGAGGATGGGGCTGGGAGCGGGGATGGGGCAAGGACTGAGACAAGAACAAGGGGTGGGGCAGGGGAGGGAGCAGGGGGTGGGACTGGGGAGAGGTGGGTGGGGTGGGGAAAGAGGGAGACGGAGAGAGATGGAAGGGAGGAGGGGTTGGGGATTTTAATTTGGCTTGAGAAAGTTATTCTACCAGCACTGTTGTTCATTTGAGAATTTCTTGTGGGTATTGTTTCATTTTATAGCGATGTATTCATTACATGGGGGGGCGCATATAGTCACGTCATGACATTGTACAACACATCCATGTTTGCACCGCAAATTGGTTCATTACATTACTCATTGCTTTCCGCCCTCCACTTCATCACCCTTGATCCTTTCATCATGTCATTTCCCATTTCCCAACATTGCGGCTTGAACACTGTCATTTCTTTGTCCCCGTCGATAGTCATTCAAAATGACTTAGTACTTTGCGGTTTGGGTCTCAGCAACAGGAGCACTCTCCTCATGCTGGATGCTGCGCTTCCTCTCCTGGTTTGCGGCAACCTCGCTGAGGCTGGCCTTGCGAGCAGCACCAGAATCAATGTCAGCGAATGAAACGGCGGGACGGAACTCCTTGGATTTCCAGGCCTTGCTGACGATGCCGTAGAGTTCGTCGACTTGCTCGAGGGTAAGACCCTTGGTCTCGTAGATCAATGCCCAGCTATATGCATATGTTAGTAAGCTATGTTTTTATAGAGGCTAGGATTAGAAGACTTACACAAAGCCAATGCAGACGAAGCAGAAGGTGCCCCAAATGAAGAAAACCTTGGAACCCAGGTTTGCGTGGACGGGGTCAACCATGTAGGGAGTCGAGTAGGCAATAGCCCAGTTGAGGAGCCTAACAGATGCTTGTTAGCTCAATGATATCTTGATGTGCTGAGATTGCTTACCAGTTGCTGGCAGTGGTCATGGAAAGACACTTGGCACGCGCCTTGAGAGGGAACAACTCGCCGGTGACGACCCATGCGACGGGTCCCCAGGAACTGGCGAAGAAGAAGATGTAGATGCACACAAAGGCAATGGCAGCGCGCTGCGATGGCAAATCGGTGGTTCCGGAAACGGTACCCGTAATGGCGACAATATATTGGCAGACGCACATGCCCACTCCTCCCAACAGAAGGAGATTGCGGCGACCGAGACGCTCAACCATCCAGAGACCAGCTGTGTAAAAGTTAGCATCTTGTATATTTAGGAATAACCCTTGGAAACTTACGGAAAGTGGAAGCAACGTTGACACAGTTGGTGATGACCTGAATAATGAAAGGGTTCCTGAAACCGGCGCGCTGGAAGTATTGTGTTCCATAGTCTGCCCGCTATTAGCCAATGTTCCTTGTCAGGGCAACGCCATCACTCACAGAAAATGAAGTTGACACCAGTCAGCTGTTGGAGCGCTTGCAACAGACATCCGGTCATCAGTCGCTTTCCCAAAGTACCCTTGAAGCACTCGAGGTATGTCGACTTGCCCAATGACATCTCGTAGAGATGGTTGGCTTGTACTTCGTTGAGCTCTTCGACAATAGCGGGGTGGTCGACAGGAAGGCGGCGCAGCTGACCAAGACTCTTTGCAGCCTCATCGTACTTGTCCATCTTGATGAGGTATCGAGGAGTCTCTGGGAGGACGAGGAGACTGGCAAATGATGTTAGTCGCAGCGGTTCGGTGTTTAGAGGGAGAATACGTACCCGCCAACCAGGATGATAGACCAGGCGAATTGCACAGCGATTGGAATACGGTACGATCCGGAGTCGTTGCGGTTTTTGGTGGAGTTGTTCACGATGGCAGCCAGTAGCAGACCGATTGTAATGGCCAGTTGGTAAGCTCCAACAATTGTGCCACGGATCCATTTGGGCGCAGTTTCACTCTGGTACATGGGAACTGCCAATATGTTAGCCATTCTGTCGCTGAAGACTGGCGCGAGGACGCGAGACATACTCAGAGCGGAAATAAGACCGACACCATATCCAGCGAAGAAGCGGCCAGCAATGAAAAGCTCCTGTGTGGTTGAAGCAGTTTGCAGAACGACACCGAGGTTGAAGACAAGGCCGGCCGAGGCGATCAAACCCCAGCGTCTTCCAAGCAAGTCGCCAAAGGGTGCTGCCGTCAGAGCGCCAAAGAAGGTACCAGCGGAGAGAATGGAGACAATCAAAGAGTCCTGAGCAGCTGTAATGCTTTTGTCTGGTTGCGTCGAGAATTCTTTTTTCCAGTAGTCCATGGCAATGATGCCGGAAATGGTACCAGTGTCATATCTAGTGTAATCAGCCAAAGTCTGTTGCTGCGGACGCTACGGTTGTAGACTTACCCGTAAAGCACACCTCCAAAGGCGACGAAAAGACCAATGAGAATGGCTGGCCTGAGAGTGGGTTAGCGAGATGGAGGAGAAACGTGTTGAAGGGCACATACCATGCCTTGCCAGGAGTGTCTGCCGGGGGCTTGAGCATGAAACCCATGATGTCGGTTTACAATTTGGTATGCTGAGATGGGCAAAGGCAGGATAGCAAGCCCTCAAAAGCGACGCGGGGTGATTCGAGTAAACGACGCGCGAAGGACGCCTTTATCTGAAGAGGCGTGTCCCCGAGCAACTCTCCATGCCGCCTGGGGCAGCACACGCGTGCCTCGTCACCCATGCCACAACCCCGGTCGATGCTACGAGCCTAGTAATCCCCGTATGGGGCGGCCAACCACTCGGCGACAACCATGGCTTGCTTCCCCAGATTCGTGTGGCTGTCGGTCTTCGCGCCGCTTACGTCGGTGGCGGTAAATGCGCCGACGAGTGCAACCGTAGCGAGTGTTTCATCCAACGACAGCCTCCGATGCCAGCTGGGCGTCTTGGACAATGTGTAAAGAAGAAAAAGGCAGAGAGGCGAGAGGAGGCCATCGCCAAGCAAAGCTCGGCGCACCCCGACTCGAAGCATGGCAAGCTTGCCAGGAACGGGGTAGGCCAAATGCATGTACCGAATAGTCGTGCCAGGGATGCCCGCAAGCTGTGCCGGACTTTGAGCGAAACATGGCAATGGCCTTATTGCCGAGAAAAGAAAAAAATCTTCCGCCAACCCTGGTTGGGGTGCATGTCGTGACGGGTTTTCGACCACGACACGGGCCGACTGTGTTGCATGTCCACCCACCCACACTCGCCCGAACAGGAACAGAAGTAGAAGCCGGATAGAAGCGTCCGCCGGGAGAATTTTCGGTAGCTTCATATTACGCACTACATGAACGCTTTCGGCGGCTCTGGGCATGGCCTATATACCGTAATATTACCATTGCGGCACACGCTTGCCTGGTACCCCACGGCAGGCGCCGGCGCGCAGCCAGCGCTATTTTGTTCCTGACCTAATGCCGGCACTTGGGAGACCGACGACGGTGAAAACTTCTCATGATGGTCGTGATGGTGCTGCTTGTGTCCACCGAGTACTGTTCCTACTGTCGCGCTTTGGACTCGACGCATCCGATAAGCCTCCACCTGCAGGGGCTGGGCGTGCTTAGATGGGGTGACGCCAAGGTAACGCGCAGGCTGATGGCGCGCCTGGGCAAGAGACGGCAGCAATACCAAGGGCGACGAGCAGGACGCGGTCAGCGAGGGCGATTCGCCCCAAGTCGGGGCGTGCAGGGCTGGTATAGGTGCATGGAGTCGCAGAGTGCGGCGACGTCGTCGACGTCGGAACGGGTGGAGAGGCTCTCTGGGGCAGAAGCTGGAGGTGCGGAGTTTGAACGGGCCGTTTGTGACAAGCTTGACATGTGTCTGTGTACATGTACGCGGTGGGTTCAGGTTGGTAGCCGTGGCCCGATCGGAAGGTCGCCCAACGATTTTTTGCTAATGGCACCGGCATAAGCGCTCACGGGCTTGCCAAGGCCTCTTTGCCACGCGAATGGCCCGTGCTCCCAGTCTTAGCCTAAACCGCGTCATGATGCTACTGTACCACTACACGACCACCACATCTCCATCCCACTGGCAGCAGTACACTACGCCTAGGTGTAGTCCGACGTTCCGAACCATCGGTCACCTGTTCACACCCTCTAGCACTAGTCCACGCTGGTCGCCTCCCGTGCAGCCGCATTCCTGCGCCCGTGGTAGCGACCCGCTGCTATCTACGCCACCATTCCAGCGGCATGTATCCTCGGGTGTCAATCACATGCCCAAAGCAGCTATCAGATGGACTACCAACGCCACTACCGCCACTCTTGCACACTGATTACTATACATACACATGTCTCATCGGTGTCTATTCAGAGATTATATGCATCTGCCTGCCACGTCTCGTCGCAACACAGCAACAAGGAAGCGCTACGCCTTGCTCTTCTTCTTGTTCTCCCCACTCTTCCTCCTCTCCTTCTTCGATAGCACCTTGCTTTCTTTTCCATCGGCGCCAGGCGTCGTCTTTGTCGCAACTTCAGTCGCAACTTCGACGCCTCCACTCTTCTTCTCCTTGCGACCCGCCAGCTCCTTTGCACTGACGTGGCCGTTCTTGACCTTGGGCGCTTCCTTCGCGCCCTTCTCGCCCTTCTCACCCTTTGGAATAACAGCCTTGGGATCCTTGCCCTTCTTGCGCATCGACTTGGCCTGGCCCCGTTCAATGTACTTTTGATCCTCCTCCTCATCAAACCCACCAAAGTCAGACTCCTCGTCGCTGTCAGCCCTAATAGGAGTACGGTCAACCACCTCCATTTCATCCGCCGTGCTGTTACCACCACCGTTTTTGGAAGCCTCGTTGGCACCAATGGCGTTGGCTGGTGTAGGTCCAATCTTCTTGAACTTGGCGACGAAGAAACCGTCAACGTTGTAAGTGTGGGGGTAGTACCTCCGAGTCATCTATCAACCCATTAGTATGTCTATTCTGGAGTCGGATCAACCAATGCTATCTTACCTTCATGGACGGGTGGAAAGTTTTGCCCCCAATCCTGGTGAATCCCTCTTTGCCAAAGGTAAGACCAGTCTCAACAAGCTTGACATTCGGCCGCTTGTTCAGCGCATACTGTACAACCTGCTCGTTCTCCTCGACCGTAACCGAACACGTACTGTAAACAATGTAACCGCCCGTCTTGGAGTGGTGGTTGACAGAGTCTATCGCAGCAAGAATCAACTGTTTTTGGAGGTGAGGCAGCTTCATGAAATCCGCCTCGGTCTTGTTCGTCTTGACACTGGCATCCTTGGCAATGACACCAGTACCCGAGCACGGAGCATCGAGCAGCACGCGATCGAAGCCACTCATGACCCTAGGGAACTCCAACGCAGAGTAGTGAGACACAATCACGTTTCTCGCTCCCAGACGGTGGATGTTTCCTATCAGACCCTTGGCACGGTCCTTGTTGGCATCGTTGGCGAAAATGCATCCCGTGTTCTTCATGAGTGCCGCCAAATGCGTCGTTTTACCACCAGGAGCAGCTGCCATCTAGAATTTCATACCATTAGTGTCGGGTTTCATACACGTTTAGACAACCAGTTCCACTTACATCCAATACTCGCTCGTTCTCCTGAGGCGCAAGAGCCATGACGGGCAGGAACGAAGAAGCAGCCTGCAGAATGTAGTGTCCGGCAAGGTACTCTGGCGTAGCACCGAGCGGCACCTGTGCATCGAAAATCTGCAGTCCAACCTTTGACCACTTGCCAACTGGTTCGAGCTGAACACCGCGGTTGATCAGCGACTGTGCCAGCTCTCGTCGGTGGGTACGAAGCGTGTTGGTACGGATGACGACGGGTCGCGGTGTTTCGTTGGCCTCGAAGAAAGCCTGAGCTTCACGCGGTGGGAACAGGCTCAGCAGCTTGTCTGCAAGGAATTCGGAGTAACCTGTTGTTTCGTTAGAATAAGAACAGGCAATTGGCAAGTCTTGTCTCATGTTAGCACGTACCATAGTAAGCGCAAATGTCCTTCAGAAGTGATGCTCTGTACTCTGCCCTGCTGCGACCCTCCTCAGCCAAATTCTTAAAGTCGTCCAAAACGCGAATCGTATCGGTGAGCCTTGTCCTCAGCAGCTGGATATCCTGGTTGACCAGGTTCATAATCGGCCTGCCCGCTTCATCCTCGTCGTCCTCGAGAATCTTGGGCCTCTCCCCAACAATATTGGTCTGCATGTTTTCTTCCAATTCAGCTTGCGCCTCGGCCTCCTCAATTGCTTTTTGCTCGTCCAGCTTCCGGGACAATCCAGCAATGTTGGCTGCTGTGAGCTTCTCTTCGGCGTCCTCGTCATCTTCATCGTCTGACCACATCGAAACGCCTTTTCTGATGTCGGTATCCGAGTCTACAATGTCCGAGTCGAATTCGTCTTCGTCGATGGACTCTTCGTCCTCAGAGGCGCTGCCAAGCGCATCGAGCCCGGTAACGTTGATGTCGTCCTCGTCCATCATGTCAGAGTCGTCTTCAGAGATGTCGTCTTCGTCGTCGTCATCGGATGGTGGAGCAGGAGCGGCCTTGGCAGCCTTTCCTTTGGCCTTTGCTCCATTGACGATAGCAGCAGCCGTCTTCACAGGCTTTACGGGCTTCCCAGCAACTCTTGTCTTGGGCACAGCTTTCGCCTTGGCCCCCTTTTCCCTAGCTTCCCTCGCCTCTCGTGCAGCTGTCCTGCTTCTCTTCTTGCGCTCCGGGTCCGCAGCGACAGGCGCATCTTTACGCTTCCTCGTCACCAGCGACTCGTCCAGGGGCTCAGGGATACCCTGCTTCTTCATGCGGCGACCTTGACCCATGGCGACCGATATTTGGCGAAAATTCTCGAGCAGACAAAAGTAGGGTGGTGGTGCGAGGTTGGGCTGCTCGACGGCTGCGCGAACCTCGAACTTTCGCTACGAGATTTTGGGAACTTTTTCCACGCTAGCGGACCTCCTTCGGGTTAGCGTGCTCTGCCCTGGTTCCAGCCCACTGTCCCGCATCTCTCCAGCGGCGTCATCGCAGGGGAGCTATAGACACGCACGAGAAACAAGCGCACCGCTACCGACTCGCACGGAGGACAGCACTCGTCTCTACAATCTCTGGACACGGGCCACTGCAAGCGATCGTCCGACCGTAGCCCGCCATGTCAGAACTCGCCTTCTGCAAGTCATTCCTGAGCGCCCTCGACGCGCGCCCCGTCAAGCTATCCTCGGACCACATAGCAGATGCGCGGCAATATCCTGCGCAAGGCGCCGTAAGATCTGTTCTCTCCTACGCCCACAAGACGCCTACTGAATGCATTGCCATAGTACACGCTGCCCCGCCTCCCACATCCGCCCCACCCACAGCGCCCAACCCCAAAGTCCACAGACGGCAACGAAGCCTCTGCCTCATCGACTTCGACCATTACGGTGACGCTCAAGCCCATGAAGCCTTCGACGCCCACAATCCCCCTCTCGGATATCGACCCCGCCAAAACATCCGTCTACGATCTCAAGCAGCAGTATGCGACAAAGGCCTCATTATCAGCAGCCAAGATCAAGATCCTGTACAAGAAAAAGCCCGTGACGGATTCAAAGATGTTGCTGGAAGTAATAGGCGCTGATGCTGGCGCCGACGTCGAGTTTGGTGTCATGGTCATGGCAGGTGCTGCTGCGGCTAGTAGCCCCGCCGCGGGAAATACGCCCGTGACGAGCCCGCCTGCGGTTGCGCCCCCGACAGAGAGTGAAAAGGGCCTGGCTAGCGCAGGAGAAACGTCTGGGGGCGCCGTGCCTGGAGCTAGTGCTAGTGGGAAAGAAGTTGTGGCGACAGAAGAATTCTGGGGTGATCTAAAGACCTTCATATTGCAGAGGATAAAGGACGCAGAAGAAGGTGAGAGATTGGTGGGCGTGTTCAAGAGCGCTTGGGAACAAAACCAGTAATTGCCATGTCTGAGCTGCTACCCCAGATGCCTCGGGCGAAAAGCATCGCATCAGGTGAGCAAGGCACCACGTCACATTAGGCTAGAGATACCAAAGACATGTCCATCAAAGAAAATTTGGCCAGTGCCTATCCTATCAAAGGTACTCCAGGCCTGACAGTGCAAAGAAAGACCCAGTAACGCTACTGCCCACGTATTGCATATTCAACCGTTTTCATTCCATTGCTGAGAACGCGCTATGACATGACACGCTACCAAATTAATTGTTCAACTTTATATCGCCGTGCCATCAACGACTCTAGGCATCCACCCATGCTAAGCCGTGCGACTCCCATGGGCCGGACAGGGAAGAGGCGCTTAACGGCCCTTGGAGACGCGGGTCTTGATGTTCTCAAACTCGATGTCGTCGGCATCGTTGGCCTGGATGTCGGCGGCGAGACCGTTGAGGGCGCGCTTGATGGCTTCCTTGGAGGACGAGTACATCATGCGAGGCTACACAGCGTTAGTTCACTTTGGGCTCGTCCGTCGGCTTCCTCGGCATCACGTACGTATTGTGGCGCGTCGTCTGGTGTCCAGCTGATGAAAGTGATCTTGCTCCTTGATCCCTCACCGCTTTCGAGATCGTACTCGACATCGAAGACAGCGTAGCGGCCGCCAATGCCCTCTTTGCCCTTGCGGTCCTTGCTCTTGGCGTTGAGCAGCTTCTCGCGGAACACGTCAAAGTTTGCTTCCTTGGAAGTCTCCTCGACGACAATCTCTTTCCAGTCGTCGCTAATCTTGTAGATGATCCACTTGATGTCCTTGCCGAGCTTGAGCTCGTTGAAGGCGCTGATGCACTCAGGCGAGACGGAGACACTGTGCGTGGCATTAGCACTGAGACAGAAGATTGTTGGAGGCATGCGCTGGCAGTGGGCCTAGGTGGAGGTGCAAGTGGTTGCGCGCGTCAGTCCCGGGCAGCGCCAGTTGTTCACGCCCGCGTTATCGGCATTGCGTAACGTACCCAGATTGAGCCTGCGAGTCTTGTTAGCACATGTCACTGAGCGGACAACCCTGAGCGAGGCTTACCATGATGTTGTGCGTGGAGATTCGGGGATGCGAAGGGAGGGTTCGGGGCACGAGGCAGCTTTATCAGTCCTGTGTTGCCTGTCAGCGTCGTCGTCGTTGTCGTCGTCGTCGTCGTCGTCATGGGCTGCGATTGCCGCGGTACCAAGAGGCAGCCGTGGATAGCTGCCTGGCAGGCAGCAGGAAACGGGCGCAGCTTACTTCAATGGTGAAAACTGACCGTCAAGTGTAGCTTGTATCCTGGCGGGATGCAGAGCGGAGGTGGAGGAGCGGTGTTGCTGAGGCTGAGGGAAGTAGTGGGGTTATTTTCAAGCGACGTACCTAGTGGGGTCATCCTGCCTCGCCCGGTTTATTACTTGACTGCGCCGCCACAGCAACCAGCTTCGGCCCAAGCCCCGGTCGCTCCCCTGCTGCCCAGCTGCCCAATGTACGTACACAGAAACAGGTGCATAAACACGGCCGCTGCACGTCATGCTGCAAATGTTTCAAACGGGTTCGCATTTCCTTCGTCGCTTTTCTCGTCTCGTCCTTCCCAGGACATCTTTCTAGATACACACAATATTGTACAATAAAACATCAAAAAAAGAACCAAAATGCCGTGCTTTTGAAGAACCATGAGGGAAGAGCGGAGACCAACTCAACATCGTGCATACATGAGCCATGACTGGGAAAGACGTAGGACTAAAGTCATTATAACGAAATGGGGGTATATGAAGAAGAAAACAGACGGTCAGGCTTCACTTTCTAGAAGCCCATGCCGCCCATGCCTCCCATACCGCCCATGCCGCCGGGCATGCCGCCTGCAGGGCCGGCCTTCTCCTCGGGCGCCTCGACAATGGCGACCTCGGTGGTGCCGAGGAGCGAGGCGACACCGCTGGCATCGACAAGAGCAGTGCGGACAACCTTGAAGGGGTCGAGGATACCAGCCGCGATCATGTCAACGTATTCGCCCTTGGCGCTATTGAAGCCCTTGTTGAAGTCGTTCTTGTGCTCGTCGATGAGCTTGCCAACAACGACAGAGCCCTCGGCACCGGCGTTCTCGACAATCTTGCGGGCGGGGTGGGTAATGGCGTTCTTGACAATCGTGATACCAAGTTGCTGGTCGAAGTTGCTGGCCTTGACGTTACCAAGAGCGTTAGCCGAGGCCTTGAGGAGACCGGTACCACCGCCGGGCAGGATACCCTCCTCAACGGCAGCGCGCGTGGCATTGAGAGCGTCGACAATGCGGTCCTTCTTCTCGCCGACCTCAACCTCGGATGAGCCGCCGACCTTGATGACGGCAACACCACCCGAGAGCTTGGCAAGGCGCTCCTGCAGTTTCTCCTTCTCGTACTCGGATGTTGTCGGGTCGTTGATGACACCACGGATCTGCTCGCAGCGCTGCGATACCGCGTCCTTGCTACCCTCGCCGTTAAGGATGACAGTGTCCTCCTTGGTGATGGTGATGGATCCAGTGGAACCGAGCATGTCGGGGGTGGCCTTCTCAAGCTTGATGTCGAGGTCGTCGCTGAAGACGGTACCGTTGGTCAAGACGGCGAGATCGCCGAGAATGGACTTCCTGTTGTCACCGAAACCAGGAGCCTTAACAGCAGCAACTTGGAGCTGGCCACGCAGCTTGTTGAGAATGCAGACGGCAAGCGCCTCGCCGTCAATGTCCTCAGCAATGATGACAAGAGGGCGGCGGAGCTGCTGGGAAGCCTCGAGCGCGGGGACAATGTCCTGGACAGCGGAAATCTTCTTCTCCGAGAGAAGGATGAGGGGCTTCTCAAACTCAACCTTGGCCGTCTTGCTGTCGGTGATGAAGTAGGGCGAAATGTAACCGCGGTCAAACTTCATACCCTCAGTAACCTCGAGCTCGTCCTCGGTCGTCTTGCCCTCCTTGACGGTGATGACACCCTCCTTTCCGACCTTCTCCATGGCGTTGGACAGAAGCTTGCCAATGTGTGTGTCGCCGTTGGCCGAGATGGTGGCGACCTGGGCAATTTCCTCGCTGGTGGTGATGTCCCGCTTGTTCGCCTTGAGGTATTCAACAACGGCTTCGACAGCGGCCTGGGTACCCCGCCTCAGGTCCATTGGGTTGCATCCAGCGGCGACATTCTTGACAGTCTCGGAGAAGATGGCGCGGGCGAGGACAGTAGCAGTGGTGGTACCGTCACCAGCAGCCTCGTTGGTCTTGCCGGCGACATCCTGGAGCAGGCGGGCTCCAAGGTTCTCGAATTTGTCCTCGAGGGTGATGGCCTTTGCGACAGTTACACCGTCTGGGGCTACGTTAGCGAACAATCTTGGAGACGGCGGATGGCGCCATGCGTACCCTTGGTGATCTTGGGGGAGCCGTAGCTTGACTCAATCAATACGTTGCGACCCTTGGGACCGAGGGTTGTTGAGACAGCCTTTGCAAGTGTGTCGACACCCTTCAACAGTCCTGCTCGCGCCTCGACGCCAAACTTGAGTTCCTGCAGCCTGATTAGCTTCCTCCTCTTCTGCTGCCGCTTATTTGGCGGGGTTATCTAGCAATGGCCTACCTTGTGCGCAAACCTCTGTTGCTGGAGGTTCACACTGGTGGAGCGAAGCTTCGAGCTCGAGTTTAGGGCCGAAGCCCGCGCCCGCGAAGCAAAGGCTCTTTGCATTGTGACGGAATTGAGATGTGAAGATAGCGGTAACGAGGCTCAAACAATGCTCCTAGACTCCAGCTCAATGCAAGATAACGGAGAAAAGAAGATTGGATGCAGAGGAGGAGTGTGGAGAAGAAATGGGCGCCGCCATATGTGTAGAAAATTCCAAGGAATCATCGAGAAAACGGCGCTTGGACCACATCGCGACTAGCCTCGGTTCTAGGTCTCCGCACTCCGTCTACAGCCTCACCTTGTACAAACTGACAGAATTTTTCACCATGTCTCGAGAGTAGTGCAATTGAGTCACTGTTTGGTTGGGTTACAAATGTTCAGGATTCAAAGAAGAGGATGTGGTGGATGCAGGCGTTTTGGGGCATGTACGCGCTTCCACGCTAACTCGCTTCATCAACCCTCTGGCTTACCAACAGCAAATCATCCTTGATCGACTTCAAGCCGACGCCGAACATGGAGAAAACTTCTCTCCGGTCAGGACCCAGTCCCACTACCCCATGGACCTTTTGCACGACTTCAATGCATCTCCAGACATGCAAGTGCTCTTCATCCAGCTGCCAGATCGTTCCCCGCGGCCCTGTGCTCAGTTCCGTGAGCATTCTCGTGTTCTTGGCGTTTATAACGGCCAGCTTCGCTTTAGGAATCTCTTCTTCAAGCGCCTTCTGCTTTTCAATTTTGATCTCCTTTTTGCTTTTCCCTTCCTTTGACACTTCTACCACAAGCCCTTTTTCTGCGTACGCTGCAGTGGCTTTACTTCTCATGGGATCTCTCCAGCTCAAGGCCACTTCGGGCGCGTCGTTTTCATATGTCAAATGGTAGTATAAAACCTTCTCACCTTTGCCTATGAGAAGGTTTAAAGGCCTTGAGATGGATGCATTCGGTGGTGGCCAGCGCGTATCACCAAAAGGACAAGAGTTCTTCTCCTCTGTGGTCAACTTCCTCTTTTTTCCTGTATCTTCTTTCGGTGTCGCCGCTACCTGTGCTGACGTCGAAGATTCCTGGTCCTGCGCAGCCGCTGGCACAGAAACTTGCATGGACGCAGGACCATCGTCGTCATAAATCGTTCGATCGAAGCTGGGTATTTGCTGTTGGCCAGGCTTGGGCGCGGCACGATTCTCCCGACCATAATTCGCGAGCGGATCACTCTGACTATCAAGTGGCATGCTGACACATGAAAACGACTCTTACAAGAAAGCCAGCGACCTCACGCAGCGCGTTTTATTCCTTGTTCTGTGGGTCTTGTTTGCCTCCTACATGTGACATAATAGCTTACAAAGTTGTTATAAACGCCTATTTACGGAATCCCAACGCGTTTTATGGAATAGCAGATGATTCTTGAATGTTTGGAACACATATGCAGCCCCACCACATGTACCACATGGATGACGGAGTATGACGGTCCATTGTTCAGCGATGCGATTGTCTCGAAGCACATTACAGGCAGAGCACGCGGTCACGCCTGTTCACACGGAGGCTGTGTCCTCAGCTGTTCACGGCAGACAAAAGACGAAAAATTGGTCCTCAGCTGCAGTCTGTCAGCTGATACCACCGTGCATGAACATCGCCTTGTACAGTTATACTATTTGCCACCAGCACCTTGCATGCACCTTGCATGCACGAGGCAATTTGGCCTCCTCTCGAGGGTGGAGAGTCCAGCATTCTCAGTCGCTGCCATCATGAGTCACAAGGCTGAGGCCGCTCATAATCAAGCATATAGTTTCATCCTCAGCCTTCCATCGCTGGCCCCCGGAAGAAAAACATTGAACACACACAGAGATAGAGTCAGCCTACCTTCGGGGTCCACAAGATACGCAATGCACTGCCAGCCCTGCTGATCTGCTGTGCCTAGTACTGAGCCACCACCAACCAACAAAGAGAAGAAACGACACCCGAATGCAGCCTCGCAGGCTGACCAATCCTGACTTGGAGCGCGCGAGGCAAGTTCAGCGCACGCCTACTCTCCCGTCCTCGAAAAAAAGTGGACGCGTCCAGGATTCGTATACAGCATACAATGATTTTGGGTGGGACAAGATTGAAGAATACCTGAAGAGTAAATGGCCAAATTGGAATTTCAATGCGACAATGGTATGCCATGCACATACGATGCAATGCACAAAACTGACAAGTTGACAAGTTTAATGCCAAGTGGGTATTCGAAGTGCCGGAGAGCCTGACGGAGGTGAGTCTGGCGCCCTCAGGCTATGAGCGCGTGATTAAACGAGTTTCAGGTTGACCGGAGAGAGCTGAGGAAACGAAGAGATGCGACTAAACGAACGAGGAGGCCTTCAGTTTCTCCGGAGCGAGCGCCAGAGCGAGAGCGAGAGGCAGAACAAGAACAACAGCAAGATCCCGCTTCGACCTCATAGCAGCAGTAAGGAAATATATGTAAAGTGTTAAGTTGCATAGTTGGTGTGATTCAATCAGTTGCGCCCTGTGTGGAGGCTGTAACACCGGTATGCGGAAGTGATCGATCATGGGTGACGCGGGGGCTTGGATCGCCCTGTCGCCTTGCATGTGCAATATCCACGCCACCCAGGCGCAGCAAAATCAGCCTTGCGACACTATATTGTATTGGCATTTGAGGGATCAATTCTTCCTTTTCGTTCCTCACGTCACTACAATCACTACTGCATTCATCATCATCAACGTCAGTATTGTGCCAACATCAAACAGCGAAACGATGTACCCACTACCGATCGAGTTACAGAATTCATACCGTGAGAGCAGCAGATATCCGGAGAATCTCATACCGAGTGGAATTGCGACGTATAATTCAAGACTAAGCGCTTATAAGAAACGACTTGATGATGCTGAGGTTGATCTTTGTCTGGTTCCTAGCGAAGACGAAGTTGACGAAACCTTCGAAATTCCCATGATTGATCTTCAAACTGGTGATGGGAAAGGTAAGCGATTTTCTAGAGTGTCTAGAGTGGTACTAAAGAGCATAGTGCGGGACAAGAGATACATACATACCCCAGCAAAACTCACTGACTGGCTCGGTGTTACGACTGTGCAAAACACAAACGATCCTAACGCGCGTTCGCTTAGCACGCGAAAGAAGGATCCAAAATGCCGCTTCATGTATGACCAACTGTCGGTTTCCTCGGTATTATACTAATTGCATAGATACCTGTACGCGGAAAACTCGCGCGACAAATTGAAAACAACCCGTCAAAGTCTATGTGAGATCATGTCCTACCACCAAGTCATGCCCGTGTATCTGGATTTTATGCTGGTCTTTGGCGGGCAAAGTGATGCCAGGGACCTTCGTTTCAGTGGTTTTCACCAGCAGATACGCCTTAGAAACCCTGTAAATGGACACGCAGCTCCTGAGTTAGGTCGAAGTGGAAGGCAATTCCAGCTCTGCTACAACCTGAAGGGTGTACAGTTCAAGAAACCTAGTGAAGAGCATATCAAATTGGATGAGTGGTCGATCCGGGACGCCGCAATTTACCACCAGTTCGATGTAGAGTACGGGACCACACTCTGGATCGTCACCAAGGGCGGAAGAGACATATTAGATCGTTACCTGGATATGGTAGGTCCAACAGGCCGACCAGAAGACAAGGGGTTTCAGGACGCGATTGCTTGCTTTCGGTCTACACTTGTGACCCATTTGCTTTACTGCCATTGGTCAACGGAGGATTGGAGATGGTACATTGTATGGCTTGAGACAGTGGTTGAGAAAGAAGTAAGCATATACGCCTATATGTTATAACAAGCTAACGTCAAAAATCAGAGTGCCATGGCCGTGAACGGCCTTCATGGAGCAGGCTATGCTCACAAGGAATACGAACCATGGGACATACAGGACTTGCAACATTGGCAGGAGGAAACCAATACGGCAGTAATGGCCCTAGAAGCGAATTCTAAGAATACGAGGTCACTGTACAGCTTCTACGAAAACCTGACCGCTCGAAAAGACTTTCCCGATACGTTAAGAACGGCATCCGAGGACTACCTGCATGCGTTCTTTTCGCAGCTTCATGAAATCTTGGGCGACTTCGATACGCAAATAACTCGCGCCAAACTTCTCGCGAGCATAATCAGTGACAGAAAAGAACTCGTATTGCAGCATCTGCAAAGTCAAGCGTCAGAGAGAACAGAGCAGCTGAACAAGAACCTTGAGCGCGAAGCTGTGGTCATGCGTATCATCACGATCGTTACCTTGACCTATCTGCCAGCTACATTTGTATCTGTAGGTTGAAAATCAAATTTACGTCCCCTGGCACTAGCTAACCTATGTTAGACTTTATTCAGCACTGACATCATTAAATATCAAGACCAAAATCAAAGCAGTGCCGACTACGAAAACGGGTCTTTCTCTCAACTCGCTATGAACCGCTGGCTCCAAGTCACTATACCGCTGACATTTCTGACTCTGTTTGGCGCCTGGTCAACATTTCGCTTCTGCGACACCACCGCTGGACCGCTCACGATTTCTGAAAGAATGAAGCGCATCATACCTGGTCTGAATTCATCGGCGACTCCCCCCAATACAGATGAGTCGACTCAACACTACTCTGATGTAGATACCCGAAGAGAAGCGATCAAAAACTGGGTACACTATGTTATGAAGCTCGTCAAAAACATGCGCTGGCTCCGTAGTGATCGCACTACACTGCCATTCCAAGAGAATGTGGCCACCAAAATAGGATGATACAAAGCTACATTGTAGATATACATAAAAAATAGATTTGGATTTGGTCTTTTTGCATCATATTCACTCCTTGGTCCCTTGGGTTAGACTTCCATATCATAGAACGAGCAGAAGGCATGCACTGCCACCAGATGGGTCCCAAAATACAACACGTGTTTGCAGCTGGGGGTCGAGGCTGAGAAGGCTGGAGTGCGAAGCCATGCCTCGAATGATGAAGCGGGGTCGGTGGCGCTTAGCGATATTCACTGACCCAGCCTGACCTGTCAATGTATCGTTCCCGAGATTACCACCTTCCACTATTCCCTCTCGAAAGCACACTTTTTCATCACAGCCTTTATCGCAAATCATAATTGATCTTATATTGCACGTTTACACTATCTATTGTGTAAGTTTACTCCTACTCAATCGGCAATTTGCGGTGGTGGAGCAAAGATTCAGCCTTGTTGCATCATCCAGGTTGTCAGCTTGCAGCAGCCACAATAGGTCCTTCGTAGCTCTATTGGTGAGGATCCCAATATGGAGCTTCTCCCGTATTGCCTGGCCCTGTTCTGGCCCGTCGGATTTTAAGAGTCCAGTGTCCCGCCTGCCGTCTCGAGGCTCCAGAACCACAACCACTTTTCCATTCTACAACCACCTTTCTGTCACCACGCGCATTCTTTGCACAACACACTCAAAAATCGTAGCGGCCCAAATCTCAGCACATCTTTACCTTCGGTGCGTTGAGCACTACTCGAACATCAGCCTCATCTGTTGTCCTATGACGCCATCGCCAGCCTGATCGCTGGTTGGAACCACGTCAGAATGCAGAACATATCTCAAGAGCAAAGCTATCGTACACGTATTGAGGATGAGTTCAGGGACCTCTTAGCTTCGAAATGGACGCGCCGGGTTGCATGCCAAAACGAATGCTGGCCCCCAAACTCGTGCAGCTGCCGGCGCACAATCGTCCACGTACATGCGCTAGAGGCATGGTGGAAGAAACCAGCCTCAGAGGGTGCCAAACAAACCAAAGCCCACCGGTTTCTAGAAGAAATGCGACTGCCGCCTCACCTAGTTTTTCCGCTCAATTATCAGGAAATCTTGACCGGTGAACAGTCCTGTCTTCGTGTCCTCAGCCTGCTCATTACCCAGGGTCGTGGTCATCTTATCGACCGCTTTTACTACGCCGACATGAACGACAGATATCTTGTGCGCAGCGCAAGTGACACAAACCTCCGTGAGAGTCTACTCGGAATCAAAACTCTACAACCGAAGGATGTGGACGTCATTGTGGAAGAATTCCACAGAGACAAATGGGCATACTGTCCCATGAACTTGACCTTGTACATGCATGCTAACCTACATGAAACAAAGGTCATACCGCCCTTTTGTGTGAAGATCAGACTCACAGATAAAGGAGGTACTGCATCTATATATTGGGTAGCGGTGCAAAAGGACCTCATCTCGGACGATGCACTCGCCTATGCTTTGCGGAATTCAGTCTACTACGATGAAGATTTTGGCGAGGTATTCATTATGTAAATTGTAAAGAGTTTCATCTACTGATAAGGTTCTAGTGCTATTGCATGGTTCTCAAGTCATTCTGCGGCAATAAGAAGCACGATTTTGAACTGGAGAAGCAGGCTTTTTCCGGCCTGCACTCAAGGGAAGACGTGCCCATAGTGCAATACTTGGGCTCTTATACTCACGACTATGGTGAAGGCGAAGAAATGGGAAAGACTTACAACCTACTATTGGAAGCTGGCGATCGCGATCTTTACCAGTCATGGGCAGATGAAACCAATGTTCCCCCCGTGCGAGCACAAGAAATTCTGCGAACATGGAACTCAATATTCGAGGTTGCCAAGGCTATTCGGCATGTACACCATCCCGTGCTCCGTCGAGGTGGTAGGAGGCCGTGGAAGTTCAATGGGTATGTACCCCAGAAATATTTTTTGACCATCATGACTGACACCAACAAGCTGGCACGCAGATATCAAGCCGGATAACATTCTCAGCATACGCGGAAAGCTGAAACTAGCGGATTTTGGGTTCTCAAGTTTCGCGCCAGTACTCGAAGGGGAACATGGCTCAGTTGTAACAAAACGAATTAGGGGGTTCACGGATACGTACGGTAAGTCAAGCGGTCTACAGTTCTTCGGGGAGAATTCTCATACTTTCTAGGCGCACCTGAGTTGTATCGCATGAAAAATCCTGATGGAACGCTTTCCGGGGTCTCACAGACGATCGATATTTGGTCTTTCGGGTGTGTGTTATCAGTTACAGCAACTTGGATTGTTTTAGGATTTCAAGGAGTGCGGCAATATGAGCTGCTTCGGCAGTCGTCACCTGCAAACCGCAAAGACGGAAACCCCCACGACCGGTTCCACGACGGTTCAGATGTTCTTCCGGAGATAAGGCAGTGGCACAACTTTCTGCGGGGACACCTGCGCCATTCAGATACCACAACAGGTGAGGTATTGACCTTGATAGAGAACAACTTGCTTAAAGCGAGCCCAACGGAGAGGCCTGACTCAGAAGAGCTCTGCAAGATGCTAGAACATGTTCAAAATGTGGCAGAATCCCAAATCGCCAGTCTTCAAAAGCACTCCAGGGATGCCGACGATATGGTTCTCAAAGCACTTGCCGAGATGGAAGAGAGAGCTCAAACCCAAAAGTCTCAAGACACAAAGGCGGACTCAAAACTTCTGCAGCTAGCAATACCACCAGGGGGCATCAGCCAAGCCAACCCTCGAAAGCGGGCGTCAATGCAATCTCAGAAAAAGGAAATTATCAAGAGCAAGCCCCTAGGTCAAACGGCGTACCGCAAGGAAACAATCAAACAAGAGCTAGGAACGGGCGACCCTGGTCCTTCTGCTACCAATCCAGGGCCCCAAGGGCATTCTAGATCTATTGAGCAGACTGTGCCCACTCTACCTTCGCTGACGCATATGTCGAGTGTGCAGCAATATTCCCATGCACCCCGTCCTTACACACCCGAATCCATGGCTACAGAGTACAATACACATTTGAAACAACATGCCAAGAGACTCACGATTCCGCAAAGCAACATTCCAACAGTCGAAGTTTCCGCTCCTGAAGGATATATCTCTGATGACGGGCATATGGATGAGCCACTCAGTGCTGCGACAGACCCGATAAGCATCGGTACAAGCTCTGATACAACTACCCAGCTGGAGCCTGTCGACTATAGAATGACAAGAAGCTTTATAGGATCTTATTCAGACAGGTTTCCTCGTGAGGAGCAATCTATGGGGAGTCCGCGCTCGGCTGTGCCACTCGAATCCATAGATGACATGGAATCTATTCTGCCGCCTGTACTGGACTTGAAATACGACATCTGCCAACGGAGAAGAATCCTTGATAAAGAAAAGTCAAGAGGACTTATCAAGAAGATGAGCAGCAAGATGGGCATGGAGACGAGAGCACGTGATGACAGTCTTGAAGAAACGTTCATCGACCATCGTGAGCTGGTAAGACTGCTTGGGTTCTTTCGAGTGTCTATAGCTGATGCGTAATAGGTATTCGTCATCGACAATGGCTGGACAATGTTCGATCACTGGCCCATTTTGACCTTTGTCGCTGAAACGCTCGCCCTGAATGTTGCAGGCGTCGACAGAAACGGTATCGACATCCGGTTCACAGTTGACGGAGACACGCATGACAGACAGCGCCTCAAAGGCGATTCCGGCCGGCAGAAACTAAAGAAGGCTCTGAAAGCCGCATGGCCTGAGCCAAATCAAAAGGACAACGCAACCACAAATATGTCATCGATTTTCAACAGCATCTACAAAGAATGGAAGCGCAACGGCAAGCGAGCCATGACTCTGTACGTCTTCACAGACGGAGAATGGACCAATGCGAACCCCTCAGCCATCCACGCCACCATCCTCGACTTTGCCAAACACGACAAGAAGAAGACTGGCAACCGCCACTTCAGCATCCAATTCATCCGCTTCGGCGAAAACGAGCTCGCGAAACAGAACCTAGAGTATCTCGACGACACGCTCTGCACGAAGCACAACCTCCGCGACATCATCGACCACTGTTCGTGGCGCGCGCCCGTCGCCAAAATCCTCAAGGGAAGCATCGAGGGCGTGCGCGACCAGCACAGAGATGACGAGCCGGCTGTTGAATACGAGTACGCGGCTCTCGTAGAGAGATTCCGCAGTTTCAACACGGGCGCAACGGATGTGAAGAATGGAGAGCCTACTACCGCGTCGGCGCTAGGTCTCACGCTTTCACCATCGCTGTCTCGCTCGCCGTCGAGAATTTCCAGTCGCTCGTCTACGAGCACGGCGAGGAAGAGAGAGTCTTTTCACGTCGAGACGGTGAGATCTCGATCTAAGCGCTTTTCTGGACCGGCGTTTTCTATGCCTTGAAGATTTCGTTTCCACCTCTCCTCCGCGTTTTGCCATTCAAGTATAGCTGTTGTGTTTTGCGACAGTTTTGTGTACGGCACTACAGTCTTTCTCTCTTTTTCTCTCTTTCTCTTTCTCTTTCTGTCTACTTTTTTCTTTTCCTTGTTTTCTCTCTATCTTATCTTATGCTACCTCACGACCATATACCCCCCCCCCCTATATACCCCGATTCCACATTCCACATTCTCCTTTTGCTTGTCCCTCACCCTCTCCATTTGTTCCCTTTTCAAACTTCATTCTAGACCGTTTCCCCATGTCCTACTCGTCGCATTTACCGCATGATACCCCATATATCTCGCCGTTTCTCTCATCTCTCCTCCATCTCTCCTTACAGATACCCATGTCTTCAACGGCCGTGTACGATTTCCATGTTACGAATCATGTACTGTCTCATTTGATATACCCTTTCTTCACTTAGTACATGTCTTATTTATCAAGCGTTTGGATTGGGGTCATGGTGGGAACAAGACGGATGATTGTATTAATACTACTAATAACTAGTTTCCTTGTTACTGAGCGAGTAGCATCATATTGCACGTGTTTTTTACATACCCATTTTTTTTCTCGAATACGCTTTATATCGTTTCTTTTTTCTTTGGCATCTACTTGGTTTGCAGAGGACTAGCACGGGGACTTCTCAAAGTAGAAAGAGGGAGTTGTATGTAAGATATAGAGAGGAGTAATCCGCCTACACTGATGGAAAGAACCATGATTTCCACAACGTCAATCTCAATACATACTTGGATGAACCAGAAATATTTTCAGTTTATTCTACATTGTAAATCGTGACGTCTCCGATGGGTGGCGGCCCATCGGAGATGCCGGAGGAGATAGAAGCCAGCTTGGCAGAAAGAAGAGAAGATGCGACGCGCTCCGCTTGTGCATACGGATAGAAAGATATAGGAGGTGAAACAATCGCGCTCCTAGTTAATACTATATAAGTAGAGTTACTATACTACCTTAATAGACTACTACATATTAGGGTAGTGCACGATGAATTATAAATAAATAAAAAACTTTATAGTAATAACAAAAAGAAGTATAGGCTCTTAAAGAGGTGCCTATGAAGTTTAGGCTATTAGTTAAGTAAGAATTTAACTAAGAATAAAATTACTTAGTAGTCTTAGCGTCTAAGAACATTAAGGCTCTAGCTACTAAGAGCTAAGCAATAGATTATGTACTTTATTTTTTCTATCGATTTATATGACTAGTAGGTAATAGGAGCATATCTGAGTTTGTTAATCTATAATTACTCCTTCTCCTTCACGATAAAATAGGAAATCGTAAATTGTGGCGAATCATCCTGATCACCCGACTCGGATGTCTCCTTACGACGAGCAAGCGCCAGACTGTTTCCCGTATACCTAATACTCGGCTCTTCAATCTCCCTCACGCCCTCCCTCAAAAACCGGCTATGTCGTGACGCCGTCTCATCGGGGTCGGATACATATGGCGAGGCAGCATATGTGCGGACAAGTGGCAGTGGCTCCTTGATGATATCAGGAGGGTCTTCTCGTACGAGACGGCGCAGCAGGTATTTGGACTGGCTTGATAAGACAGGTTTTCCGGGCTGGTAAGATTCCACGTGGTGAATGGGCGGTGTAGTATTTGCGGGAGTGATGAACTGGTAGGATCTGAGACGTGTGGAGGGCCTATCACGGCGGTTTCTTTGGCCAGAGGCAAGCGGAGAAGTGGTATCTACTTCTCTAGGATATGACTGAGAAGTTGTCTTACCGAACTCCGAGTTGGTGGATGTCTCGTCTTCGTGTTTGGCTGAAGGTTCGGATACCGATGCTTCCCCAAGACGTGAGGTCGTTTCTGGCTCAGTTGCTTGATGCATTCCGGTAGACTGTGATGTTGGTGAAACCGAACCTAGCTTCTGTGAAGTATAGCGTACTTGAATACCAGTACCCAGGGCCTTGTTTTTCTTGCGATTAAAAGCTCGTGGATTTTTCTCTTCCAATCTTGGGAGCGTGGCCGGATCAGGGAGTGTCCGCTTCCGCACCGTGGTATATATGGTGCCTTTGACAGCGGCACCGCCCGTTGGACCCTCAATCCATACGTCGTAGATGCTTCCATTTTCCAGCGTCTTCCTTTCTAGGCCACAGATGCGCATCTCCTCGTCGCAGTAGAGTGGGGCAAGATTGCGATACTCCATCGACTCGACGACTTGCTCTCCCTGAGTATGCGTCTTCAGGTGGCGGTTGAATGCTTGCAACATGAGTATCAAGGAGAGCGGCCCATGGACCAGGAGATTTCGATGGCCTTCAACATTGCGGGCAAAGTCGGGATCGAGGTGGATAAGATGGGCGTTGAAGGTAAGGGCAGAGAAGCGGAATAGGAGGTTGCGGTCAGGAATCATGGTATAGGAGTAGATAGGTTTACCAGGAGCTAGGGTAATTAGCAGATGGCCCACATGCCAGATCAACGTACGCACGATCTAGATACTTTATAGGCGTCACCTGGCCCGCCTTGATGGCGCCGAGTTCTTCAGTGCTACGTTCCTTGAGAAAGACCAAGTTACGCTCTTCTTTGAGAAGGGCATCGCCCCAGTCGTCGTCACTGAGCAGTTGGTTCTCAAAGAAGGCTTGGATTTTGGGCAAGCCACTGTCCTTGCCCAATCGGTCATAAAGGGCGCTGTAGCGTTGCTTCAGGGTATCGAGCCTCGCAAAACGTCGCTCAATGGTGACGAAGATTTTGGCGGCGTCTCCCTGGCCGCGCAGTTGGACATGCTTGATGCGCTCGACACCTGTCATGGGGGTGTCTCTAGCGAAGCCGTTCCTTTTGTTAAAATAATCATCCGAATTCAGCTTCAATGAGCCTCCAGCCCACATGCGGCGCACCCAAGGGCCGCCCGGACTGTGTGATGCGTCTGTGCCGTCCGGAAGCAGGTGGTCAGTGGGTACCGCTGGATTGAACCATATCAGATGGTGGCCGACAGGAAGTATGGGCTTATGGCTTGCGGGTAGAGAACAGCATTCCAACGGCAGGAAACCCATCAGCGTCTGCGCGAGCCTGTATTCAGGCGGGGTGGTCAAGTGATCGGGAAGATGGATGGCGCCCCGCTGCAGCATCTGGTCGCGCAGCTGCGGGAACCATTGTGCATCGTCGGCGCTTGTTGATGCATGTCGACGGTGCAGAATGCCGCGCCACTGCAGGCGACGCGAGATGGCGGCCCAGCTGGTGTGTCGTGTACAAGGCGTGTAGCGCAGCATGGAGGCGAAGAAAAAGTGTGAGGGCGCCTCAAGGAAGCTCGGAAGCGCATAGGCTGGTCTTGGCAGGCCAATGACGTCCGCGACGGGGTGGATGGGGCCCCAAGTAAGCAATAGTACATGTGATTTCCTACATGGTACGCGCATCGCCTGCACTGTTGTTGCTTGACAATTATCATCGCCGCCCGGCCATGGAACCGGCGCGATGGTGGTCACGTGCTGCTGACATGGCATTGCCGTGCCACTACGCCCAAGGCGCTGGCGGGACCCACATGGCTCACACTGAGGCTACACCTCTTCACCTGTCATGGGCCATGGCAAGACGCATCTCGGGATATTACCAGCCACCTGCTTTTGCGTGCGAGTGTGTTTTCCACGGTCACGGGCCTTGGCGCGCGTGACTGATTGGCTGCGCTGGCTACGACGGGCCCAGTGCCTTCACGCCAGCCTTCACCGTATTCTTGCAACCGTCGACGCCTTCTTCCAAAACACTCTCTTCTCTGCTTGGCCGTGTCTTCAGTATGTGTGCTTCGTACCGAACCTGTGGGTCGATGTTTCCTTTGGCGCCCCGAGTGCGTTTGTTATACTAAGCCTCCAAAGCACGCAGCAATCGCGACACCAGCGTCACACGCACACGCACCAGGTGACGGTTGCCCTGACTGTCCATATTGAACCACCGGCATCCAACACGTATCACGTAGCCTTGGGTCTTTGGGGTCCTATTAACCAAATCTTCATGTCCCGGACACGACGTGCACGGTTAGGACCAGCATCATGAAGCGCCTCGAGTGCCCCCTGTGCAGCCTCACCGTGCTCTCAAAAGATAGCTACTTCCTCCAGTTGCATTTTGAGCAGGCCCATACCGCCGGCTCTCCCTTCGCTGTCAAAGATGATCCAGAGCCGTTACCGCCTTCATTGCGGCCCAGGCCTGCCCCAACACGCAATCAGCATGAGGACACGCCTTCTTCCAGCGAATCCGATGACTCTGACGACTCTGACGACTCCGATGACACGGAAACTGACAATTCTGACGACCCCGACGAATCTAGCCAGGAAGAAAGAACTGTCAAGCCTCCCAACTTGGACCGTCGCGACTTTATTCCTTCTTCTGCCTCTAAAGATCGTATCGATTATCACAGCACAGAGACTTCATCATCCAACAGGAATACTGGAAAATATCATTCACGCCATCGATCCGCTACTATGCACAGCTCATCTAGCACCAGTCGCTCGCATAGGCGCCGTCTTAAGAGTACGTCGGTGGAGCACCCCGTGGATACAGACACATTCGACGCCCCGAAGAGGTCCGAGGGCCACAGTCGCAAACCAAGAAAACACGGCCACCGACGCAGGCGAAATACCAACGACAGCGATAAGACCACCATTAGCAGAAGTATCTTGAGTTTCAACCCCTTTGCCAAGTCTGACAAGGATGTCAAGCCACCAATTAAGAGTGCTCGCCTTGGGGTAGGTTTACTGTTCTCGGTGCCACCATCTGGCTAACGTCGCTAGAAATCTGAGCTTGGCCCTTATGCGTGGGAAGAACGCATGCCTAAGTGGCTCCACAAACAGCTCAGCGCCGGCCCTGAGATTACCATGGTCAACCGCATTGGGCGAGATGGTCGCCTTATCAAGCACGAGCACGTACAAAATGAGACGGCGGGCATCATACCCATTTTGGCCCAGCTATCCGCCCTCGACCGCACGGTCAAGCGGGCATACTACTGTCACCCGTCCACGCTTCACGTGGGCAAAACGCCCCACGAAGGTGGTTTTTGCGGCTATCGCAACATTCACATGCTGCTGTCGTACATTCAGGGAGCTAAAGCGCAGGGTCATGAAGAGTTCCCTGGCCGACTACCAACCATCCTGAAGATACAAGACCTCATAGAGGATGCTTGGGATAATGGTATCAACGAGATTGGCCGCATTCAGACTGGCGGTATTCGTGACACAAGAAAGTACATAGGCACGCCAGAGGTATGTACTCCCTGCTGTATTCCGACTCAGGCTTACTGTTATAGGCCCAAGCTTTCTTCCTCAATGCAGAGATCAATTGCGCTGTTGAGCAGTTTAGCGACAACAAAGATCGCGGCACCTTGGCCCACGAAGCGCTCCTTTCTGCCATGGAGCGATACTTTGCCCGAGCAGCTGCTAGCGACGGGTCCACCGTGTGCAAGACCCTCTTGCCCCCCATTTACCTCCAGCAGCCGGGGCACTCGCTCAGCATTGTTGGATTCGAACGCCATTACGATGGCAGTTGCAACCTGATGGTTTTCGATCCCATGTATTCTACCACTCCCGCTATGCATAAGTTGCTTGGACGCAAGAATATCAGGACGGCTCGGCCAGAAGTCCTGCACACATACCGGCGCGGATTTAGAAAACTTAAGAAGTATGCCGCTTATGAAATTCTCATGTGAGTCTTCGTTTCGCCGTGCTCCACCGTCTGCTGACTGATCACAGGCTCACGGCAACACCACCCTTATTCCCTGCTTGGGATGTATGAAACCTACCCTATCATTCTTAGCCATATATCTAGATTCCCAGCACCTTTCACAAACATCACTTATGCCTCCTAGCGCTTGGCTGGAAACTTCTGAATCCGTCTCCGATTTCTGGGGTTGAAACAGTTTTGGCTAAACATACGCTTTGTAGGTTCTTCGTCAATTTCCCGACTGTCGCTTCGTTTACGTCTTTTTCCGTGCTCGAAGTCTTGGATACGATGTTTACCCCGAAGACTATTTTCTACCAAGTTTTCCATGGCAGCAGTACGGCGGACTTTGGTCGTGTGACGATGCTCGCTTCGCCAGAGGAGAACCGCTAAATGCTCTCACGGCGATGGCTCTACGGCGTATTACGGGCGAGGGAACCTCTGCTGGTTCTGGCAATGGCAACAGTCCGACAAGCCCAACTAGCTTCTTCACAAACAGCTCTTTCCAGCATGTGCCGGCGTTCGAACAAGACTATCTCCCGTCATGGGCAAACGAACTTGACAGCACTGCGAACGGCTTTGCTCGCCTGTCGCAACCCACTAGCCACAGTTCAGCCTTCAACATGGGGTCTTTGAGCGCAAGCTTGTCTCAACCAACGGCCATGAAACCGCATCTATCGCTCCTGACAGACGTCGGCAGGAGATATCCCGGCTTTCCCACGCCCCTTTCGCCCACTTCGAAAGCAAGAGAATTATTTCCATCTCCGACTTCGGATGGCAGCGACGTAGCCCCAACACCCGGCACCCAGAGTTCCGCGGTGCGCTCTTTCAGCCCCATGAGCTTCGATGGCTCGGAAATGTGCGGTCCCTCGCGTCGCTGCGACTCTCACAGCTATGAACGCTATGCATCACGCATGGGTCTTATCGACGCCATACTCGCCGAACAACAACCCCACAACAACGCATCTTGCACACCTTTGACCTCACCCAAGAGCACTTCGGGTCTCGCTACGCCGCTAGCCAGTCCATCCCGCTGCGTATCACCGCGCGTAGCCATGCTAAAGAAACTCACGAGTAAACAAGACACACAACAACGACAACAAGTACCAGCAGCACCACCGCCATCTCCCAACTCCACCACTACGCCAGCCCCAAAACTCGAATTCTACCCTACAACCCGCAACCTCACCGCCCACCTAGTCTCATCATCATCATCACCACCACTACCACCACCACTCCTTGTACCCCCCACCCCACAGTCCACACCCCCCTCCTCCTCCTCCTCCTCCCCCGCCGCCATCCCCATCGCCAACGGCATCGAATTCGAAACAACATCGCCCATCGACCCCAGCGGCACGATTCTGCTCTACACGTCGAACCGCAGCGTAGCCTCCGGCCTCTTAGGCGTCCACCCCCTCTCGGAGCACCAAGTAGCCGAATACCGGTTCTGGCGGCCCTGCGGACGCCGCTCGTGCGGCTTCGGGTGTGGTGGCGCCGACGTGGGCGAAATGGCGGCTGCAAAGCGCTTGTTTCGTGATGTCGAGGATCTAAGTCGTGAGTGTGAGGAGGCGCGTAATCAGCGTGGTAGTGGTAGTGGTACTGGAGTGCGCGCTGCGAAACAGAGTACCCGCAGTGGTACTACCGGTGTGTTTCTCGATGGTCTGAATGACGACGACGACGACGATGATGTTAGTGTGAGCGCCGAGAGTAGCGCCAAGGGACGCGAGACTTCCAGGGCGAGTATCTGGGCTGGAAGGCGGCTTGTGAGGGACTGGGGAAGTTTTTTGCAGGGCTGTGAGAGGGAGGGTGTTGCGCCTGTTTAGTTTTTCTTCTTCTTCTTCTTCTTCTTCTTCTTCTTCTTCTTCTTCTTCTTCTTCTTTTTTTTCTAGTTGGCTTGATTGCCGAGGGGAATAGGAAAGTAGTGTTGTATTGTATTGTGTTGGTATTTTACTCTGTTCTGTTCTGTTCTATTTCTCTTCTCTGTCTTGCTTTCTTTTAATCGTCTTGCTTCCTCTTCTCACTCTCGACTTGAATCACACACGTCTTTCTCACCACCACGACGTATACCTGCACATGCACATGTACATGGCGCCACGGCTTCTTATCCACACGACTGAGATACTTCACGTTGCACGGCATTCATAGCATATCCATACACGATAGAAAAAAAGTGTTAATATTTTTTTTCCCAAGGGTATCAGATTAGACCTTTGCTGTCCCAAAAAAAAAATCAAAAAAAAGTAGAAACTCCAATCCGATGCTTAACAAGATGGGATCGCACACTTGTTGTGAATGTGGGTGTGGTAAATGCTACAGGCCCCAAATCCTTCTTTATTTTTTCCTGTCAACTTCATTTCCCCTCCAACCGCTCGTCTCGCCATTCAATGAATCGTGATGAGATCAAGGACTCGCTTTCCAGACAAAGACTTATTAGTCGCTATCGCTTCCATAGTCAACCAGCGGACCTGCTACAGGCGCCGGTCTCTTATTCGAAGGCGCAGCTTTGAATCCTTTTAGCGCAGCTAGCGTACTGCCCGATAGGATACCGGTACTTTGTTGTTCCTGTGGCTGTTCCTGTGGCTGTTGCGAGTGTTCAGCACCCTCAATCATCTTTCTGTCGGCAGTATCACCCGCTCCAAGCTGTTTGGCGGCTTCCCATTCGGCCTTTTCCTTGGCATACCAGACGTCGTCTGGGGCCTCGTAGCCCTGGAGTCCAAAGCTGCCTTCGACCTTGCGCCTCTTCTTGCTATCGGGGTCTCTGCCCTCGAGCTCTGCAACGTATGCGGCTGGTAGCGCTTTTCGGATTGCCTCGGCCGCTTGCTCCTCGATGCGCCTTGCCTCGCGCTTTGCAGCCTGCGGGTTTGGATCGACGGTTGCCCAGCGGACGTTGAGAATCTCGTTGTGGTCAAACGACTGGTGGTCCATGGCTTCCTTGGCAAACTGGCTGTTGGCCTCGTTCATGTACGTGACGAACGCTACACCGCGCGCCGTCAAGACACGCGTTCGCTCAATCTCGCCCCATTCCTGCATGTGTCGTGCGACAATTTCTTCAATGTCGTCGGTCGGATGAATGCGCCCAATGTACAGCGTGCGGTTCTGGCGCTGAAATGTGCCCACACCGCCCATATCGTCGCGGTAGTCGGCCTGCTTGTCGCGCCCAAAGCAATCCACGTTGCTGGGGAAAATTTCCGTAACCGTCGGCAGGCGGTGCAGGTACTCGCAGTCAACACCCTTGTGGCAGATGCCGCGCGCAAAGAAGAGGCAAAAGTACGCGCCGGGCGTCCTGTCGGCTTTTGTGTAGCCGCTGTCTCGCGCTATGTTGCAGCGCCCTGGCGCAGGGGTTTGCGAAAGGTATTTGTCTTCGCGGTCGCCGCCCGACCACTTGTTGTACCAGAGGTTGTAAATGGTGCCCGTCTGCGGGGCCTCTTCTGGCTTCACGGTCGCTGGGTCGACTTGAGGGCGTGCAGGTCGCCGTTTGCGCCGGATGATCTTCTTGACTTTTTTGCCCTCTGCATTTGTTGTGATGATTGTCTGTTCCGTCGTGGGGACGAGTTCGGTCGATGCGTCAGTCGCGCGCGACGTTTGTGCGGGTTGTGTTTCTGTCATGGTTGTGGCGATGTGGATGTTGTTGTGAGAGAATGATGTCGTGACGGAACTTTCGACAAGATGAGGCGCTAGTGCTCGTATAGCTCACCAATCATGCACGTGACAATGCCGCTTCACTACCTCGCTTTCCTATTGGACGACATGCCATATTACCAGAAGGCTCTTTTGAATTCAAAATCTGATACTTAAAATTGGATTTGAATTTCTCTTTGTCATCCAATTTCCGGAATATTCTCCCTTCCAAAATTCGCCAGCAGTGTCCTTACTTACTAGTAGTGCTACTCATCTTGACAGCCCCGTCGACTTCAACAACAGCCCCATTAACATACCTGGCTCCGTCCCCGAACAGAAATGCCACAACATCCGCTACCTCCTCGGGAGTCCCTAGCCTCTCTAATGCATTTCCATTTCTCATCCTCTCCACTGCCTCCCCTCCCTTGACAATCCCCGCATTCGTCGGCGTATCAATGTACCCCGGGGCCACGCAATTCACTCGGATGCCTCTGGGGCCAAACTCGAGAGCATGTGACTTGGACATGCCAATGAGGCCAAACTTTGTGGTGCAGTACACAGACTGGAAGGCCGAGCCGCGGATACCACTGATGCTGGAGACGTTTACGATTGCGGACCCGCGCTGAAGATGAGGCAGACATGCCTTCGTGACGAGGAATACTCCTTTGAGGTTTGTGTTGACCAATTTATCCCAGTACTCTTCAGTCGTGTCTTCTAGGGCTATGCTGGTTGGATTTACCCCCGCGCAGTTGAATACGTAGTCCAGGCGGCCAAAGCGCTTGACGGTGCTGTCTACAAAGCTTTGCACATCGTCTTTCTTCCCAACATCGACTTGCTGCACGTAGCAGGGCGTGCTGCTTTCTGAAGAGACGGCCTCGAGATTCGAGGAATTGATGTCGCAAAGGGACAGCGAGGCGCCGAGAGAGGCGAGCTTCAGCGCTGTCGCACGACTGCAGTGGTCTTAGCATGGCCCTATTTGGGTGCATATGCGGAAAGAGCTGGCAGGGATGGGAAAAGCATACCCGATACCGCTAGCAGCTCCTGTGATGAGGACCACCTTGTCTTGGAATTCTTTGGACATGATTATGGTAGGAAGGTCGCGTAAATGGCCAAAACGTCACTCAGGATGCGGATTGAACAGTCTGTCGTTGCTGACCATGAGCAGAAGTGATGACGATGTTTGTATGGGGAAAGGTGGGGGTGAGGTGGGATGCCACATGCATGACTCGTGCGGGTTTCTTATCTCAACCTACCACCAAGTAGCTTGACGTTGGATGGCAGTAACAGACGTGGATACAGGCATATAATGCGTTTCAAATATCTCATTTGGTTAGTTTCAAGACATTGTTCATCTGTTGATGGCTGGTGTATTCATCTGCTCGCAATTGAAAGCAGCCAATCACCGCATACCAGTGACGCACCTGTATGACGGGCCGTGTTTAGTGGATAGGCTGAATACAAGTGTAAGTAAATCTGGGACTCTCTCCACAAGTCTCAATCGATCTTCCCGTACAGCACGGCTTAAAGCGCCCAAACACCATGCAATGCAATGCAGGTCTGTAATCAAGGAAATGGACAAAGACAGCCATCTACACCAACACGCCATACAGACCAAAACTTGTAAAGTTGTCTCTGACTTTGAAAGACTATGGTATTCAAGACGGTAGCTCGTCTAATCGTGGTCCTTTTCTGACCTCTGCTCGCGATCGGTTCCGCGAACCACCACGACCATTGTTCTCCCGCTCCCCCTCAGAATCTGCAGTGTGTTCTCGTCGCTCGGCATCTCGAGGGCTGAGACTGTTTCTCGAAGCGTTTCTTTTCGGACTTGGCACTCCATTTGGTCTGTTGTCATGCTTTGCACTGCCGCCGCCATCCAGTACAAGGCTTCGCACTTTGCGCACCAAATCCTCCACCTTGAACGGCTTGGAAATGACGTCATCCATTCCAGCTTCGCGCATACTCTTCGTCTGTGCCTCTCTTACGTTTGCCGAGACACCTAGAATATGGCTATAACCCGCCTTGCCCTCGTCCTGTAGCTGCCTGATCTCCTGCGTCGCGGTATTTCCATCTTTGATGGGCATTTCTTGATCCATGAGTATGACATCAAAGTAATTTCTCTCGTCTGGACTGTTCTGCGCCTGCTGACCTCGCTCAGCAACAGCATCGATGGCTTCTTGTCCGTTGTTCGCTGTGAAGACTTGAAACCCGCGAGATTGGAGTTGGCGACGAAGAACTTTTTGGTTGATCAGATTGTCCTCGACAAGAAGAAGAGTGTGGCTTTCTTGGGTGCGAGGATCGCTTTGTGACCGCGATATTTCGTCGGCGCCATCTTCTTGTCTTGAAGTCTCTCCGCGACGGAGATCTGGCAGTTTTCTCTCAATCTGCGGCTTTTGTGACACAATGTCTTTCGTAGCGGATGCAGTCTCCTCATAACGCCGATCTGCGCTTGATTCCGGATGTGACTCTGGTCGTTCTTCCACGGGTGGGTTCATGAGCGAAGGGTTCATCTCATCAGTGTTCACTCCGTCATGGCTAGCCAGTGTTTTCGCCTCAGGACGCTCACCCTTCTGCTCCTTGATGGACTGGAGGTTGGAGTTGCTTCGACTGTAACTGGGGCGAGGTGGCCTTGATCCAGAATTATCTGACGGTCGCGTAGCAGTGTTTGAACTTTCCGAAGTGCTCCGAGATTGCATAGAGGGTCGCCCCTGATCGTTGCCTCCAACTGCACGACGCACTTTGAAGAAAAACCCAAATGTGGAGCCCTCGCCTTCTTTGGAGCTTACGCCAATATCTCCACCATGTAGAGTACATACTGTCCTTGTTAGTAGGTGAATAGTTCGCGGTCCAGAGCAGCCTGCTTACACTTGCGTGATATAAACAGGCCTAGGCCCGAGCCCCCGTAATTTTCCTGTGTTTTTGGCGTTGCTTGTCTGATGATGATTAGTCCGGTAATGTAGATTGTAACCAAAAAAAAACCAGTACCTGAAGCGTTCGAACAACTTGGCTTGACCTTCTTTGCTAATGCCTATGCCAGTGTCTTTGACAGCTACCATCAAGTACATGGCGTCTCCAGGCCCCCATTCCGATGTCATTGTTGAATCCAGATGGAATGCCTCTTTCTCCTCGCTGAAGTAAACGACATTAGGGGGATACGACGTAGGCCGTTCAATCGATGCACCCACGGATACGGTTATCTTTCTTTCGCCCTTTTTCCTCGACGTAAACTTGATGGCGTTGGTAATGAGATTTACGAGAACTAAGAGCAATCAGCGCGAGCCCAACTATGGAAGGACATGCCATACCCTGCTTCATGCGGTTGAGGTCAGCCACAACATTGTCTACCTGCTGCTTCTCATATGAAACGTCCATGGCGTAATGGAATTCAATGTTTTTCGCTTTGAACTCGGAGTGGAAGACTCGCAGTGATTGAGAGAATTCCCATTTTGGCCTCGTTTCTTGGACAGTTCAGTGGATGGTGCACAATGGCGTTGCTTGGGACTCACCGCGAGGAACCAGAGATAGCATCATAGAGTCTAGCTTTGAAAAGGACAAAATATCGTCGACTAGGGTATTCTGGTGCGAGACACAGAGGAGAATGGTGTCAGCAGCATCTAAGATGTCGGCTACTTGGTCGTGAATGTCATCGTGGTTGGCACCCATGTCTTTGGTAATTTCCTTGACCTCTTCGGCTAGATGGAGTACGGCCGAGAGCGGGTTACGAATCTCGTGCGAAACCATGTCTATGAATCTCTCTTGCTGTTCTTTGCGCTCCTTTGCCTCGTTGGCAGCCTTTTCCTGGGTCAACTGAGCCTGCTTGATGTCGGTGATGTCGATCACGGCACTGATATAACCGGCATCAGCTTCTTCGCTCAGGGGCTTCAGCAAGAACAATCTCCACTGCTCACCCTCCATGGCAGCAGGCTCGGCAACGTCGCACCTGAACTCTATCTGCAGCTCTGTCCGACTTTCAAAGGCATTGCGGTAGGCGGACATGACGTCCTCGTAGTCGTCGGGATGTATGCTCTCGGGCCAGGAGCGAAACTCGTTGTTGCCCTTGTTTGTCGTCAGTTTGAAGAAGCCCTCGTTGACGAATATGGCTTCAGCATCCTTGTCCAGGATGGCCAGGCCGTTTGGCAGCAGCTCGGCAAATCGCTGAAACATGTTGGTCTGCATGGAATCGGCCTGCTTGGTGCTAGAGTGGCTGCCCGTTTGCTGGGATTCGCTGTCCTTGAGCTTTGACCCTGGGTTCTTGCGCGCAAGCTCATCTAGGCCTTCAATGGGCATGTACTGGTCCGTCTTTTGGTTCTCGAGCAGCTGTGCCAGGACGCCCTGGCGAGTGCCATTCTCGTCGAGAATAGTGCTCAGGACGAGCTGCTCGTCCTTGTCTTTGGACAGCACGGGCAGGAAGTACCTGGCGGCTAGCGGGCGTCAGTGTGAGAAGGGGGTATTGCACGGGCATGGTTTGATGCTTACCTACCTTGACCGTTCGCCCTCTGAGCACCGTTCGCAGCGTCGCCAGGGCTTCATGTTCATAGCTCTCGCGCGCGCTCGACGCCTGGCCGTCGAGCCCGCCCCGCGCCGTCTCCCAAGCGAGGTTGTGTATGACAGTCATGTCCTTGCCCCAGAAAATGGCCGAGCAGTGGGGCATGGGCAGCACACAGGTGTTGACCAGACATGCCAGCGACGCTGGCCACGACTCGCGGGGACCTAATGCGGACTGCGACCTGGCGGTTGTCAACCATGGCGAGCGAATGGGCTGGCGCAGCCGTCTTCTCACCAGTCTTTCTGGAGCAGGCTCTCCTTGTTGAGGTCGAATACGGGCAGGCCTGTAGCGGAAAGTTTGTCAAGGTTCTCCATGGCGCCTCGGCGGGCGATGGGGACTGTGTGTGTCTTAAAGCGTCGGTAGCTGGCACTGGCACTGGCACGGGCACGGGCACGGGCACGGGCACGGGTGCAGAGAAGGCTGGTCAGGGTGTGAAGAGGGCGCGTGACGTCATAGCAGGGCGACTGAGCCAACACGACGGCTATGAGCGCATGGGCGGCGGGAAAGCGACCACGAACAATGCGGGCGGCTGAGGGGTGAAGAAGAACAGGGCGCCTGCGATGGCACAGCACCAGTCTACGCGGTCTAGGCCGGCAGATCGCTCGCCCTGTTCCCTCTTTTTTTCTCCCTGGCAGGACATGGATCGAGACTGGATAGGATCGCCGATTCGGGGTAACGCCAGACTCAACGCGGCAGCCCGCCAGGCACGTCATGGTGGGCGGCACGACAAATTCTGATATGGCGGGCAGCGCCTTGGAAAACGTCGTCGCTCTTTACCACTACCACTACTGTAGCCTGCCATGGATGCCGCTGGGAGCGGGGGGTCCACTTCCGTCAGTCAGCGGCAAACAGAGGCGCAGGCGTGGTGCTAGCTGCATTGCTACGACTATGCATCGAGCAGTGTAGTGGCAGTATAGCGCATACCTCTTTGATCCGGGGGAGCATGGTGGTGGTGGTGGACATGGCACACCTCGCCTACGCGGAACGTGATGCGAACAGAACGTCATTTTCAGTTGTACCCCCGCAGAGGATACGACGAGGCGTGTACTGCACATGGAATTGTCTGGCTTGCTGTCGTGCTTAGCCGCACAATGCTTCTAGTGCCGTGTCAACAGCGTCCTAGCCCGTATACCATGCAACGGCCTGACATGTCGTTGGCCGTCGCCGGTTCTACGACCACGACTGCATGCTTCGGCTTCTGGCCTCGCTGGCGCCAGCCTCCAACTAGCCGCGCTCTTCACAGCTATTGCCGCTTGCGGATCTAGCGTCTTGGCAGCAACTAGCGCGGCCCTGGCACCTCAGGGACCCGAGCCAAGTGCTGCCGAAACACATGGCCGTCAACGATAAACATGTGCATTGCCGTCTTGTGCAAAGGCGACGGCGCTCTGTTCATCAATCCAGCACGGCATACGCGGCGTGGAAGTGGCTTGGTCTCGCCAAAGCTATCATCCAAGACGCCGAGAGCATCGCGAATACGACTTCACGGGCGCCAAACCCATCCGAAGCGCCAACTTGCGTGAGCCATTTTCTGTTGCAAATGCTTGCGGGGCCGTGCTGGGAGCCTTGAATTGATCAGATGGCGAAACGACATTGTAGCGAAATGCGGCGTAGTCAACACTCACTGTATCGAGAATAGACGCCTGGACGCAGACCGCCATGGAACCCCAGTGTGTGGCTTGCCGGCAACGTAGAATCGGCAGTACCCGCGCCGGCCATGAACCCGTCTGCGAGCATCACTGTGCTGCGTCGATGTAGTAGTGCTGTAGCAGAGCAAGCGTTGGTGGCAGATATGGATGGGCCGTTGAATGCTTGCCCTCGCGCCAGACACGTGCCAAGTGGGTCTGGAACAACGGCACGACCCGACCACGGCCTTCTGCCTCACGAGAGCTTCACATTGCCCACCAGAGCCCAGGCTAAGTCGTGCACGGATATGGGCACATGGAATCGTATCAGCAACTATGCCGTAGCTATATAGCTCTGCCTCTGCTAGACGCAGACACTTCCGCGGTATTCTGATATCCACCACCCACTCCTTGGCCGCGCTGAGCTCTCACTAACAACGCGCATGCAGCAAAGATAGGCCCCACGAACCAATAAACCGCGTTACATAATCGTACCACCGTCACCCAGCTCATTGTCCCCGAGGTAGCCACCGGGCGTCGGACCTATTTTGGAGGGTTTTTTTTCCCAGCAGGTGGTGCGAGCCTGTGCCTGAGCCGGTAGCCCACCCTTGCCTCGCGTGTTTCGCGCTCCGTCCGCCTCCTATCCCTTGTCCGCATTGGTACCTAATCTGCAAACTCTATACCCTCGGATTCCCTGCCTATAATACGTCGACGAGACGAGCCGCTGGCCATGTCCAATCTACCCTCCTACTCGTCATCCAACAAGATGCTCGGCGCACTACCTTCCCCGTCACGCGACCTGGCTGAGCTCGCCAAAGAAGAAAAGGGCTTCACCTTTAACCACTTCACGTGCGAGCATGCCTGGGTCATTGGCAACATTCTTCGCAACGCGCTCCGCACCGCCGAATGCCCCGCCCTCATCCACATTGCCCTGCCCACCCAGATCCTCTTCCACTCGCCCAGCCTGCCGGGCATCATGCCAGATCACGAGAAATGGGTCGAGCGAAAACGAAACACCGTGTTGCGATGGGGCCACTCGACCTGGTTCATGAGCTGCCAGTTTGACGGCGACTACAAGACGTTTGCCGAGCACCACGCCATGAGCGGTGAAGAATGGACCAAGTACACCATTGAAGGCGGCGGTTATCCAGTCTTCGTCAAGGGTGTCGAGGGCGTCGTCGGCGCAATCGCCATTGCCGGGCCGGACATTGCGGGCGTCAACGCGCACAGCCTCGTCGTCAAGGCGGTCGAAGAGTACAAGGAGCTGCGGGAAGGGTTTCGAAGCCCCATGAGGAGCATGACTGTCAAATGACTAAACAGCTTGGGCGCGGGCAATGGACTGGGTATACAGTTTGGCGTGGACACAAAGGGGCGGAAGTGACAAGAGGAGCTGAGCACGTCAGTCCCCCAAGCGTGGTTGGGGGTTGTGGTTGCTTGATTCGCATGTACAGGCTATAATACAGACGCTGTGCCAGAAGTGCCGACCGACCGAAACCCGAATCGTCCGCCTACCGCATCGAAGGCTATTGCATAGCGGAACAGCAAGTTCCTCCCGGTGTTGACATATGGCGGGTGCTCGGGGAGCTGGGGGAAAACATAGTTGGGCTCAATGGCCGATCCCTCACCAACGGAAAATGAATACGACATGGCTGGATGGTCTAGAGAGGGAAAGCCAATGGTGATGTTGGTGCCGCGCTTCACGCGCTTCACCATCTTGGCATAGCCCTTGGGGTTGGGATTGGGGATGACAACGGTCGGCATCGACACGCCCTTGTCCGTTCTGATGTACATTTGCGCTATGCCCGTGTCGACAAGCACATGCCCACAGTTCCGTCCCTCGCCATTGATGCTGAAGCACATCCTTGCCATCGCCCAGTCCCTTGCATCGTCGGCATGGGTCAAACCAGGCTCCAAACGGCTAAATGCGAACCCTCGTGTGTTCTGGGGTGTCAGCCCTATCTGGACCCCTTCGCGTGATACAATGTATCCTGCCCTTACCCATGCGCGTGGCACCGGCTCGCCGTCGATGGCGTCGACGTTCAGCAGCGGATTGACACGCGGCGTTGCAAACGGCATGCCGTCCTTGACGCCGTTTCTCCCAAAGCCGACGCCCATGTAGGTGATTTGCGACGTGTCGCGTGCTACCGCTTGCTCGCCATTCGGGCCGGGTGGGCACTCGAATCGGTCTACAAGCGGATTGTACCAAGGGCATCTCCAACTCTTGTCAACAATGAGCACAGGGACAGTCGCAGTCGCGTACGAGCTGCCCTCGGCATGGAAATTCATGGCGAGTTCCACCAGGCGACCTACATAGAGGATCTTACTGCTCGTGAAGAAGTGGTGCGCCGGCGTACCCACGGTAGTTGATATGTTTGGGAGCACTGGAGCTCCGATTAGTGTTCCCGTGGAGCCAGTGTCGACGGGCATCTGGATGCCGACGCCCTCGACGGTGCACATGACCTGCGGAACATGGTTGGAGCTAAATGCGTAGATGAATGGAATAAAGATGGAATGGTTCTGAGACGACGAGTGCGAGTCGGTCATGCTGCTCATGGTGGTGACGTTATGGTACATGGTGTAGAGGACGAGGCTGGCGACAAGGATGGCGACGCGCCCAAAGAGTGTTGAACTCCTTGGTCTCTGGCGTGCAGGTGTTGAAGATGCTGATGTCGAGGGTGAGGTCGGCCCCCGCCGTGTTAAATAGTCCTCGGTCTTCATGTCTGTGTACAGGCCAGGGGTATGCTCAGGCTCGTATTGATGTCGTGCCCCAAAGGAATGACGGTGTGACATGCACGCAAGCACATTACGGCGGATGCATACATATGTAGCAGCGTTGGTGTCGTCGGGCAAAAGAAAATGTCCCCGGCAAGTGGTGTGCCGTCGACGTTGATACATAGGCCGCGCTGCTCCTTGTCCATGTGCTGGCGACGGGCCTTCCCCGCAGTACTTAGCGACTTATCCGAGACTCGATGCCAATGCTCGCACGCTCCCTAGTCGCTCTTAGTCAGGCACGGCGTCTCCTGCTTTCTCCAGCCAGCGCATTTCCCCCCCAATAGTCGACGCTCCCATGGACACCAGCCGCTGCACTCGACTCACTGCATTGCTCGCTACAATGCGCAAGATGCAGATCGTCACGTGTGCGCATGCACCTCGCGGCCGGGGGCCTACTTAGCCTGGTCGCTATTAAGAGCTGCGGCTGAAGGCAGCCACCCGCTTTTCCAACCGCAGCGGGCATACCAAAGACACCCAAAAAGGAGGAAAGTGGGCGCCGAAAATGACCTTGGCGACCTGAGCGATCGCATCCATCGGCCGTCCAGCGCCCTCGATTGCAGATCGAGCCTCGCACGCCTCGCCCGCCTCGCCCGCCACTGTACCGCGCACGCCTTCACCGCCTGGACGAGGAGCGCAAAGGAAGCCAGAGCATGCAGACACCATGGGCCGCTCACCATCTCGATCCAGCGACGGCGGCGAGTCCGCACAGCAGACGCGTGTCGAGCCACGCCTGCTCAAGGCCGTCGAGGACTCCAAGCACGACGAGGCCATTGCCATAATCGAGCAGGCCAAAGCCCGCGCGCAACCCGTCGACCATCTCCTGCGTATCGCCTTGATGCGCGCCGCCGAGCGCGGAAACATTTACATCACCGAGTACTTGCTCAAGAGCGGCGCCAAGCCCGATGGCGCGCCAGGAGGCAGGGTGTCGCCGCTGTTCAAGGCCATTGAGAAGAACCACGTTGGCATCGTGCAGCTGCTGCTCAAGTTTGGCGGCAATGTGGATGCGCAGGACAAGCAGGGGCGGACGGTGCTCATGACGGCGGCCTGGAAGAACCACTTCCACATTATGCACGAGCTGCTGCGGTGTGGCGCCGACGTCAACAAGAAGGACAACACTGGCCGCAATGTGCTGCACAACCTGGCCGCCGACAAGCACTGCAACTGGGGACGCGATGTCATAGCCGAGCTCCTCAAGCAGAACATTGCCATTGACGGCCCGGCCGGCCAAGACGACCAGAAGCGCACTCCGCTGCACTGGGCGGCGAGCACGGGAAAGAAGGAGCTCTGCGAGATGCTGCTGAGGAGACCAAGACTGCCCCGGGCCGACGTCAATGCAGTAGAGGTCAGGCAGAAGACGGCGCTTCACCTTGCAGTTGCACATGGGAGAGACGACATCATTGAGCTGTTGATCAAGTACGGTGCGGATGTCATGGCTAAGAGTGACGGGTCCTGGACTCCGTTGCACAATGCTTGTGAGCAAGGAAGCGTCAAAGTCCTGAAGATACTAATGGCCCAAGGAGCCGACGTCAATTCCAAGCTCTTGAACGGCATGACACCCTTGCACGTAGCGGCGCAAGCTGGACATCTCGACGTTGTCAACTGTCTGTTGGAGAGAAAGGACATCAAGCGAGCTGCCAAGGATGCATTTGGTATCACGCCTTTCTTACGGGCTGCCCAAAGCAAGAAGTCTGCACGCAAAGACATCATCAACACCCTGGCGCCACACAACCAGGTCGAGGCACTCAGTGAAGATGCGTTGGGCGCCGCAAATGGCTTCCACGCGACCATTGTCGACTTTGGTAACTTCCACAACGAAAACAAAGTCTCACGGAAGACGGTCTATGAATTGCTGTACGCCCGTGATGCGATCAATCCAAGGAAGCCTGCGGTCACGATTCTGCCCAAAGAGTCCAAGGCGACGAGCTTCAGATGGATACACTTCCCTGCAAACAACATGGCCTGGCTGGAGGCATTACTGACTAAAGCATTCATCGAAGAAGGAGCTACAGACGTGGAAGGTTTCAAAGCTCTGGAACGCTCGTTTAGCCACCAACACCGTGGACAGCAAATACACTCGCATTTCATGAGACCACTGTGTCAGAGCACGCCACGCGCGCCAAGGAATCACGACGACTCAGATCTCTCCGATAGTGCCGAGCAAGGGCTTCCACATATAACGGTCAACAACGCCCAGGGTCTAGGCATCGAAACCATCGTCAGCTCACCAGAAGCTGCACCGACACACTTTTCCAAGACACCTGCGCGCACGGGTACGGCCAGCACAGAACAAACAGATTGGACTGCAGGCACGGCCTCCGGAAATGCGACAGGCAGGGAAGGCAAGGCCAAGATGAAAGATAAGACTAAGAAGACACCGAAATGGAGCGGTTCAAAGCCGGCTGCCAAGCGATCCGGTGGCACTGACACGCCTACCCGGGGGTCAGAGTATCACGCCAGACGAACACCGAGTTCTTCTCTTACCCTCAGTGGTCACCTGAGGTCGCCCGGCAGTCCAGGCAGGAAAGATCCGACGAGCGTGGCAAAGGGCAATGTCTTTGCCTTTATGCCCTACCTGCACTTTGAGTCAGATCGTCGGCGACAGGAGATGCAGACTGCGATCAATAAAACGCAAATGATCAAGACGTATGAAAAGAACGATGTGCGTGCCAACAGGCCACCGCCTCCGCGCGCAAAGACTTATGATGAAATGCTGCTGCGGGCTCATTTGACTTCATCCCAAATCTCACTGCATGTACGGCGAACGCTAGACCAGTTCTTCTACCACAACATCGATACACAGTCACGTGACTGTGACCAAGTTGTTTATCGGTATCAGTGCAAGGCCAACGACCCTCAGCATGTGGACCCGAAGATCTTCATGGTCGATCAATTGTGGATGTGGACGCTAGGGAAAGACCTTATTGTAACCGCATTCCCTCAGCGTTGGCAACAGCCTCGCAACGACCCGCTCAACGTTCTCGACGGCATCATTGAAGACATCAATAGCAAGGCCAGAGACCCGGTACGCAGTGTGTACGATCTGGCCTTGGTCATCGCCGCAAGGTGCAGTGGTGTCTTTGATCGTCACCGTACCGGCGATGAGGACTACCAGTTCCTTGACATGTTCGAGGCAAGCATAGGCGATGCAACCGAGATGGAAACATTTTTGTTTAAGGAGTTTAACACGGCTTCGGCGCAAGCATCAGCATGGTTACAGCATCATCGTCGGCCGAACCGCTTTTCGCGCCATCTTGAGGCGGAGGGAAGACAGAGAGAGCATCTCAGTCGTCGTCATACGCCACATCACAACCACGCACACACTTTGACCGACCCTCCCATACGCGAAGAAGAATTCGAATACGATAATAGCGACCGTACACCTGCTCACGCTCCGCTGTTTGTCGACAAGCTACTCGACATTGGTGCAGAGACAGACCTTTTGGCTGAGATCAAGGACATTCGCGATGAATTGAACATGATTACGAAGGTACTAGAAGACCAGCGCAACGTGCTTCCAGACATGGAAATCAGCATCACAGACATATACCGCGAAGAGCACAAGAGTCAACAGGAGCTCAAGAAACGGTTTAGAGACTTGCTCAAGACAATCGACACCCACATCAAAGATCTTGAACGCATGGATAAGCAGGCCAAACGCATTTACGAATCCATTACCGACCTGCTCGACCTTAAGCAAAAGCACGCCAACGCTTTTGAAGCACGCTTCGCTCGCGATCAAGCTGCTGGCACTGCGCGCCAGAGCCAGACGATCATGGTGTTCACCATTGTCACAATCATCTTCCTCCCTCTCTCGTTCATCGCCGCAATATTCACCATCAACATCAAAGAATTCCCACATAATCCTGGTAGCGATCAGTCCTCGCTTCCGCTATCTCTTGTGCTCAAATACATGTTCGGCATTGGCTTTGCCATTTCCATACCCTTCATCGCTATTGCTCTTTCTTTCGACGCCATTGGCGATTTCTTCCGCGAGCTCAAACGCAGGTTCCGCGAACACAGGGTCCGGTCCAAGAAAGCCCACCAGGACGACAATTTCACCGATCCCTACACGGGTATTGAGAAGTTCGACTACGGAGACGCAGCCGACACGCGTACCATTGAGGAAGCCCTAAGCCGCGGACGAAGCACAGCATATCGGCCTGACGGCAGACGCAGCATTGAGAGCTACCTCAGCAGTGCTCGTGCAGCCCGATGGAATGACGGAGGCACGTTACTTCCCGTTGCGAGTCGCAGTACCGGACGAAGCAGAGACAAGTCTGGGGTAAGGGTTTCGGCGGGCTTGAACGGTCAAAGCACCATTGCCGATAGGTTGAGCATGGACAGGACAGGGAGACAAACTCCGATTGAGAGGATTAGCACTGGTTTCAGGATGCGGGGGAGTAGCGACTTCAACCGAGCCTAAGGACTAACGTCTGGTTTATGACGGAAAAGCACATTTGTTGCTAAAAATGGATATTTTGGTAGTGTAGATACCCTCTTACTCGTATACGCAGCTTTTGGAATGTTTTACAATTCTCTTTGAATTAACTTTGTAAATCCCTCAAGTTCTCCATGCATGTCTCTGCACCTCATCTCCAGGACCGGCATTACCCGTCCACATTCCAAACCTGGGGTTCACCTGCGGGCGGGCCCAGCATGGCGCAAAGGGTTTCCAGACTGGGCATAGCTTTACAAGGGAGGATCTGTAGTCAGATCTTATTACCCGACACACAGCGCGTATGTTCCAACAGAGCGGTTCGGGGGTGTAAATTTCCGGTGTACAATAAGCTAGAGACATTTTGGCATGTGGCACGCACGTCTAGACAAGTGCACCAGAAGTAAGACGGACAAGCGACCGATGGGCACGGAAATGATGCGCTTTCACCCTTTGAGCCCGGCCTGCCCGTCTCCTCCATTCTTTGGAGCCCCCTCCTTTGTTCCACGTCAACAAGAAAAAACCACCTCGGCTTCGCATCTTTCGCCGTTTCCGGCGGGCAAGAAGGCCGACCTGGTTGCAGAGGCCGCGCCTCATATTCGCCGCTTAAGTAAGCGTGGCTTGATGCCTTATTGCCTTTGCATGGCTATCCCCTCTAAGCGTTCCCGTGCTTATGATCCATTCATAGCACGCCTATTCACGCTGACGTTCTGGAAGATTGTGGCGTCAAGATTTGCTCAGCACTGTGCTTTGTTGGCGATGGTGCCAGGCAACTTCTCCGCGAAATCTATATCGGGAGGTTTAGGGCAGAGGCCGGCTTTTTGACCGACCTGGCAAACGAGTCAGACGTCTGGATTCGCCGTCTAGCCATCATTTATTTTTATTGACGGGCCACGTGGGAAACGGCCAGGTAGCCCTTGATACTTGACATGGCACGGGGCCTCCCGCGCCGCCCTCGTTTTTACTCTTTTTAGCCCTTGCTATCTGTACGCAGGGAAGCTCATTCGCTCTGGGCCAATCAGGGGCACAGTCTTGCCTCTCTTTATGGAGCAGATAGCATCTTGTACATTGCTGAGCCAGTGCGCATCTGAAACGTGGACCTATCCAAATTCGTGCTGCACTCACACCCATAAATATTTGTGCCGGTCCCCACCCGCTTCTCACACTTAAGGTTCTGGTTCTCCACATCAGTATAACCCTCTGGACTCCCTTAGCCATGAATTCTGATAGACGACTCACAAAGGCTCTCGAGGCGGCCAACGATGCTCTCCAGCACATTTCCATGTTGCCAAGTCTAGGCAGTCTGGACTGCACTCACATCGACAGACTGCTCGGCCGCGTGGTCGACCTCCCCACCGAATGCACCCAGAGGAACAGCAGAAGAAGCTTGCTGCTCGTGCGGCAGTGGATGACCAGTGAAGGCCCAAGTGTGGTGTCGCTCGAGGTGCTGGGGCAGCTGTACTGGCGGCTGGGCGAGCTCAACAGCACACAGTTTGAAAAATTCAAAGCTTCGCTCCAACAACAGCCGCTCTACACATCACTGGTCCAGGACAAGGAATTCAACGCACTCGTCCTCCAGCGTATCCGCCACATCCAGAAGTCAAAAGTGGATGCGTGTCAGGATTTCCTTAGCGAGCTAAGTGATCTCACCAGCGCACAAGGTGAGCCGTCTCCCCCCAGATGACAGACAAGCCAAGAGACAGAGCACTAACTCAACCAGTCGATTCGCCTATGATGAGTATAGAGAATCTTCGAGTAAGCTCGTGTAGCCCGACGCGATCTATGCACTCGCAAGACAGCGACTTTTCACAGGAAGCCAGTCTTCCAGGCCTGATGCAGCATACACCAGACGGCCCTCGGTCGAGTGAAAACATGGAGCGCATCCTTCGAGATTTCTACATCAATGGAATCTGTCCTAGCATGACGGTTGCCATACAGTCCAATTCCTACACTTCTCTCGTGCAGGTGTCCGAGGTCTGTCTCAGCACGCGATACGCCCTCCTCAGCCTGTCTGCCTCGTATCTCAGCGATCTTGTTCCCAAGCACCGAGATTTCTACCACAGAGCAGAGCTGTACTACTCCACGCAGGCACTGGAAGCACTGGCAGCCCAGCTCCGCGACGGGACTCACTACGACGGCGCACTGGCAACCAGCATGCTCCTCATGCACCACGGGATGCTGCATCTCGACGACTCCCCCGTCTGCTGGTCGTGCCACGCCCACATCCTCGACGCCGCTCCCTCCCGCGCCATAAACCCGCATTCCGACCCAGCCCTCTTCATCCGCGCATAGGTCATCCTCGCCCGCACCGCCCAGTCCATCGACGACCTGCAAAGCACAAGGCACCACGCCTTTGAAACGCGGAACTGGCTCGACGGACTTCCGCCCCCGGAGCCCCTGCGTATCTGCGGCATTCTGGGTGTCTCCCCCCAAATCCTGTTCTACATTTCCAATATCACGGGCCAGGCCTCGAACCCAAATCGCCTCAATAGGCTCATGCATGCACAGCTGCTCGAGTCCCAGATCCAGAATACACAGCAGTGGATTTCGGAGACGGAGGGCCCCGAGAAACAGATTCTGGCTTCCACGGCTGAGACGTTTAGGATTGCGGCGTTGATTCATCTGCGCTGTCGCATCTACGGGTATGTGTGTAATCTTCTTCGTAATCTATTCCCCTTCCCCTTCCCCTTCCCCTCCCCTTTTTTTTCTTTGACACTCAATCCCGATTTCGTCAAATCACATGGATACTCTACCAGATTCACACGCTTCGACCCATTCATCATCGCGCTCGCGGATAAACTCTACGCTGCGCTGCGCTCGCTGCCCGTCCATGGACCCCTGTACACCGCCATCTATCCCATCTGGCCCTTCTTCGTCGCAGCCGTCACCACCACCGAGGACAAGCGAGAGAGGCTGTGCCGCCGTGAGGGCCTCGCCCGCGAGGGAAACAGGGATAGACTTACCGCCGTCCTGAGACGCATCGCGGGAATCCGGACCTGGCTGGCTGACCAGGATCCCAATTGCACACGCCAAGATGGCTGGTGGGAGCTCATGCTCACGCCCGCCGCGAGCACCATGCCGCTTGGCACCAATCTGCTTTGTCTGGGGTAGTCTGAGGTGAGAGGTGAGAAGATGTGAGTGTGTATGTTGGCTGTATATATAATCTGGCTTGGAACCAGATTGTGCAGATGGTATACCCCAGCTTGTTTCTATTCCTGTTCTTTTCCAGCGTCTCCCCCCTAAAAAAAGTTTTTTGTCCGCATAGCGAGAGTTGTGGTCTTTTGTTTTTTTTCTGTGCATCTCTAGCGGGTGGTTTTTTTCTCTTTGTCTTTTTCATTAGATAGGGTGGGTTAGACTGTGTTGACCATGTCCGTATATAGACATACATACACACGCGCAAAAGACGGATATTTGTTGTTGTTGTTAGAATACTTACTGGGCCGAGATTGCGGTTGGTTGGTTGGTTTAGATTTTGGCATATGCATGTAAGTAGATGGATCTATAGATGGATAGATATGATATGATATACCCCCCCCCCACATACACATATACACACACACCCCTGCGTGCAAAAGACTCCTTCTTCTCGCGGATTGAAAAAAAGTGTCATTGACGTACTGTTTGTTCGACAATCTGTCAAAAATGGCAAGTGCATTTCCTCAGTGCAAGTAAGGTGGCAGGATGCGAGGATGGCGGTGGGACAAATACTATACCCCACTGACTGGAATCATCACAGGGCTCGGATCATGTGATCTTATGGATGGGTCATGCGCCCTTCTTCTCCTGGGGCCTTCTAGATACACACAAACTGTGCAAATTGAACAGGAAACACCAAGACAGCCTGATCGAATGCTCGTATCTCATCTTTTTTTTTAGCAAAACGGAGGACTACAAATGTCAGAATCCGATATCGACAGGACAGACGCAGAAGAGGAAGCTGAAATGTGCCACCAAAAAGGGCTCCTTGTGGTGTCCTCGTCTGGCACGTGAGTTTTCAGACAGCCCCCCTCCCAGGTCGTGAGACGGGGTGGCGCAAGGGACTCAGCTTGATCGCATGCACTGCCTCGAAGCCTGTCTTTACGAAAAGAAATGAAAAAGGCGGTATAAACCCTCTCTCTACCCTCTTGAATCCATCACGATGGTAGTTTTCTCCACTCAAAAAATACAATAGTACAGCTTCTTCACTTTGACGCGCAAGGAAAGCTCATGTCCCACGTATTTTGGCGGCAAGACGATGCCGCACCTATGTATGCCATTCTATCGCGTAGATGGAGCGACTCGGAAATTCTCCTCGAAGACCTAAGTAGCGAGCAGAGTATACAATTTAGACAAGAAGGCTGCTTAGCGAAAGTTTGTGTTCTGCGCTGAACAAGCAGTCTAGGATGGACTGTTGTACGTCTGGATCGACACATGCTGTATTGATAAATGGAATCTGCGTGAGCGCTTCAAGGCCGTCAATTCGATATTCCAGAGGTACAAGAATTTAACGCGAGGCTACGTCTTTCTATCAGACGTATCGACATGTACTGCGACAGGGGTGCCCCGGCGCACTGACTGAGGGCGTCTTTCCGTGCAAGCGTATGGTTCACTCGCGGCTGGATGCTTTAAAAGCTTATCGCTCTAGTGTTAGTTGAATTCTTTTCTTGCCAAGGACAGCGAACACGTAAGTAGGCGACAAAACATCGCTCGACTAGCTTATACACGGTTTTACAGGGATCCCGCTCGCAGCACTGCAGAATTGTCCTCTGGATGACTTTACTATCTCTAAAAGAAGACGATAGGCCAGACATTAGGCAATAATAGAAAAGAAAGACGTTTTTTTTACTGTCTGCTTGGAATTCTTGGCGTCTCTATACCCTTAGTATATAGCGAAGGACTAGAGAGCGCACAAAGAAGAGTGCTGGCTGAAGTAGATGCGAGTGTCAACGCACCGTTAATCATCTTCTTCTCGTAGAACCACTGCTTTGTAGGCTAAGAGTTGTAGCTTGCTAAGCTAGAAGTAAAGCTTTCTAGCAACTATTAGAACTTAATGATACTAGCTATTGTTAGCTCTAGAGGAATAGGCAAATCGCAGCTTGCACTTGAAGTCGCACATAGGACAAAGCAGAATATCAAGAGCTGCTTAGTCGTCTAGATCGATGCGAGTGGCAAGGACAGTCTCTACTAATCATATCCAGGTATAGCGCAGAAGCTTGGTGTCCTAGGCTAGGATGATGACTATACAGACATGGAGCGCATTATGCAGCAATGTGGAGCAGAAATGAATGCACGACAGTGTTTGTTTATCTATAATAATATAGAGCACATAACTCTACGATATAGTAGTCTTTCTATAATAGAAGCCACATACTTGGCTAACTTTCTACCGCAGTTCAAGCTATATTCTGTTATATTCACCACAACAAACCATAACATAGCCAAGGCGCTTGCTTCACAGGGCGTCATAGCTTTGCGAGAGCTGACACTAGACCTGGCGCTTAAGATGCTAGAAATCCGCCTAGCATAGCTATTCCTAGAGACTAAGTAGCAGGGAGCCAAGCACTTGCTAGGAGAGCTATAGTATCTTTGTTTAGCGATTATGCAAGCCTTAGCGTATATAAACGCTAGCTGTGTTATAGTGCAAGGATATTGCTCACAACTAGCCGCGCACAAAAAAAAACAGCTCGTCAGCACAGCAGCGACTTGCTTGAAGGCTGGAGTTAGTAAGTTTCGTGCAAAACTCTCTGTAGTAGCTATATTGCCTTTGTTTGTTGTTCAAGTCCTGCATACCAGTCCGCTTGCGGTAGACTATCTTTTCTTTACAATATGTGTAGATTAGAAAGATATATCCCTTGGTATTTGAGAGGCTCCCTCGACGCGAGCAAGAGAAGATGCTATTGGGGTACTTAACAAGTATGCCCTCGTTACTAGGCGACCCGCTGATTCTACGCTAGATCTTCACCGACTAGTCTATTAGGCCCTACACAACCAACTGTAGGTGCAGGGACAAATTAAGCAATAGACTGGGAGAGCTATTCAAACGCTTAATTCTGTATTCCTAAGCGATGATTATAGCAATTAAAGCAAATGGAGACGACTGCTGCCACACGCTCGGTACGCCGTGGCACACAGCCCGACGGACGACGAGGGCGAGACACTGGATCTTGCTTCGAAATGTGCCGTGGCTCTGTACAGCGACGCACGGTATGAGGAGGCCGAAGACCTAGGCGTGCAATTCATGCAAACGAGGAGGCGACTATTCAGCGACGAGCGTGTCTCCACGCTACGCAGCAAAGCCAACCTAGCAATGGTATTCATGGCGCAAGGACGGGAAGCCTCCGCCCAAGAGCTCCAGATACAAGAGGTAGAAGCCGAAAAGCGGCTCTACAGCGATGCAATCAATGCCAACCCAGGGCATTTGCGGGCAAGGTCGTTGCCGCCTGTTACGGACGAGGCGTAGGGCCCGTAGGCGGCAGTTTGGTAGTAAATTGAGGACTGGCAGGTTGCGTACTGCAAGATCTTACATATATATCAACAGGAATGCTTGAAAGGGTGAGAAAAAAGGTAATCGGGACTCACGTTAGCAATGCCCATCATGGCGGAGAAAATCATGGGCGCAATCCACAGGATCCCATAGTAGGGTCCCAGCAACGTCCACGCGAAGCCAAACAGGCACAATGGTTTCCAGCGGCGCGAGAAACAGCAGCCACCAGAGTCGTGCTGCTTCGGGGGAGGGGAACGGGGCCAGGACGCTCGCGGTGCTGCTTGCGGAACTTGATAATCGACGGCATGTACGAGGCGTAGGCGACAAAGTAGTTGAGCAGGATAGGCAGGAAAAGCCAGGCCTGTGCCCACGATGCCGAAACCCCATTGCTCGTAGACGGGGCCGAAGGACTCGAGGAAGGTGAAGATGAGAGCGTCGCTGAAGCCGCTGAGTAGCGAGAGCCATAGCACAATGGGCTCGGTGAAGAATATGTAGAAGCGTCTGCAAAACTATATCAGTACCCCCATTCACGCAGTCACACAAGTCAATAGACAACATACCTCCAAAAGATTGTACCAACATGCCTCAGCAAGACTCGATAGCCACCACGAATCTCATCCGGCCCATAGACACTCGAATCCTCACCCGTCTTGCGGCCCAGCAGGACCGTCGCTCTGGCCTCGGAGTTACCCATTAAATGAACGAGCTGAACGAATCCATTAATGGATAAGCTGGACCCAGAAGATGCCATTCGCCAGACCTGTGCCGCTCGATGAAAGCGCCGAGAATGGTGCCCACAACAGACCCTCCCCCCCCCCCCCCAACCGACGACAGCCACCAAAAAAAACCGCCACGGCAAATTCCTGCGCATCCCCCTCTCACATGTCGGCTAAGCACCCCCGAGCGTGAGTGAGCCGCCGGCCGTAGACAGGCCGGCCCAGCGTGCGGAACACAAAGTACATAGATAGGTACTTAGCGTAAGTACATAGTTCCTGGACAGCGCGCAGGGGATTTACCCGAGATTGATGAGGAACAAAGCTCAATTGCCGGATGTGCCAGCGCCCGTACTTCTCCAGATCCTGGAGCCGCCAGAGCTCGCATCCGACGCCGTGTGCGATGAGGAATAAGGCTTGCGGCACACGCGGGCGACCTGCTTGCTTGCTGACGTGATGATGATGCTGTGGTAAGTAGGGCAGTGAGTGGCGTGTGAGTACATGGATGCGTTTGTGTTTGATTGATTGTGGTTTGGATGAGGAAGACTACGATGAGGATTTGCCTATTCGTTTGCTGTATTATCAGATTGAGGGGTTTCTTTTGTTTAGGGGGGTAATTCGACGAAGTAGAGGATAAGCTCAACTCACCAGTTGCGCCAAGTAGGAAAAAGAATATCCAAGCTTATCCCAAGCATCGCTGTCTTGAAGCTCAACCTTTTCGTCCTTGATGATTCGATCCGTCTTGTCTTGGCCCAGCTCTTCGCCCTGGCCGTAATGAGGGCTACGCTCAGTGTCGGGCACAGCCGTAGCCTTGCCGTTTTCTACGATCGACATTTTCCAAATTGAATGCAAAGAAGGTTGTGTGGAGGATGTGGAAGGTCCAGTCCAAGTGGTAGAAGATCAAATATAAAGAGGGAAAGGGATATAATTAACCACTCTCTATTTTCCTAGCAGCTGTGCCTCTACATCCTCATCTCCCTCAATACATATGCCAGGCTACCCGTGTTGCCCCTGCCTGTGATGTCAAAGGCGGAGGGCTTGCCAAGGGTAAACTTGCTCCGCCAATCTAAGGCTTGTTGTCTTAAGCTAAGGGCTTGTGTCTATACACAGCCAAGACAAGCATGGATGATCTTGTTGGAAACAAGCGTACATCGACCTATGGCAAGAAACATGCGCTGCATTTCCCACGTCTGGGGAATGCGCGTGGTGGGCCAAGGCAGGATGAAGCATGGCGTCATTGGCGTTGTCCCTGTTGCTGCACATGGCGGAGAAGGGTAGCTGGCGTGGGTAGAGGATAGATCGTGTTTCCGCGGTTCAGCACCGCATTGTGTGTGACACAGCACACAGTGCCGCAAACTGTGAGGTCATCCATGGCAGAGTGAATGTCGGGGTCCTTTGCGTTAGCCTTTGGGGCCCCGCAAACACGGTCCGCGGCCCACTGGCGCTTGTTCGCGAACACGCGACAAAATGCTTGGCCCGACTACATGCAAGCGTTAGCTTCTGTAATGTACAAGATGATTAGATGGCTCAACGCAAGCTCTAGCTACTACTGCAAGTCAGAACATGGGGTCTGGTGTGTGGCTCCACCATCCCCTCTCCACTACCCGATCATCGCCACGTCGTGCTATCGGCCCTGTGGGCCCAACAGCAACGTCGCGATCGCATCAACACAGGCATAGAATCGCTGGCCCACTTCTGGCTGTGCCAGGTAAGCCGACGTCTTCTCCTTGATGAGGTCCTCGTGTTTCCACTCTTCAAGGGGCACGTCCTCCAAGCCCGTTACGTCGAACCTGAAGTACTTCATCCAGTTCCGCTCCATAAGCGCAGCGTGGTCGGTTTCAAATTTTTCGCCCCAACCCCTTGCTTCGGCCTTGCGATCTTCAACACTATTCGCCATCTCGGGGATTTCGCGGCTTCTATCAAGGCCGACACCCGTGCCCACGGACACGATGATCATCATATCGTTAGCGTACCGAAACAGCTTCCGGCATTCGTATAGGATGTCGCGGACGGGATTGTTCTTGGTAGTTCCGTGGTCTACAAGGCCTTTTTCAATGACAAAGCGCTGTGGCACGCCCTGCTCCGATTGTACATATCGTGGTGCCGCCGACGTGGCTTTCATCGTCTGCCAGATGGGCATGTCAGGCTCCAGGTCTGGGCCGGTGATGCGCCGTGTTTGATATGATCGTATCAGGGCCGCTCGATTGGTACCTAGCTTGCCGTCAGCATGACCACCTCACGGAAGAAGCCGTGAATCCATTACTCACCAATGTCCATTTGGGTTGTAATGGCGAAACTGTGCGCAGGGTTAGGTGTGGCTGCCCAGAGTTTTGCGTTGTACTCACACATCGCCCGAGTCTGGTCGTCCATCGAGCAGGATTTCATCGGGGCTGCCCAGCTCCTGTTGCACGACGCCCTTGATGGCGCTCTCCAGCGCGCTGTCGTCGACGTTTCGCACTTGTGCGTGAGGGTCGAGGTACTTGAAGTAGTCTCTCTTGTTCGCAAACACCTCTTTTGCGATTTGCTTGTAAGCTTCTCTAGCTCGGTGGGCTTGCATCCGGAGCCTGCACAGCATAATGGCTATCACGCCTCCGAGAGAGCTTCCACCAGTCAAGTCGAAGATCTGATGGCTGTCCAAGCGCTGCCCAACCTTGACACAAATTGCATTGACGAGTGATTCGACCAAAAGCAGGGCGGACAAGCCTCTGATGCCGTCGCCGTCAATCGAGAGCAAGATCTTAGTTTCCCTGGTGCGTGAAAGAATGGGCTGTGCTGGCACTACTGGTTTTGATAACGGCGGCTGAAGTGCGGGGTCGCTGGGCATGCTGGTATGATATGGCGGCGACGGGTGGCCATTGGCATGGCCCGCATGGACACTGTTCATCGAGGCGGCTGCCTCTATGGATTTGGGGGGGCCGACGGGCGCGTGGATGACGCCATTGGGCACTGCAGACTGAGTTCCATACGGAGAGGCATAAGAAGTGGCAGGAGTTGCTGCCGAAGGCGTACTGTGGTCGCGGGGCGAGGTGGAAATGATACGCTCGGCCACGGAAGACGGTGAAGGAGTGATCAGGTCGGCGATGGGAGGCTTAATTGCGGCTGGCAGAGACTGCGAGTGAGCATGTCGAGGAACAAACGACGGCGGGCCTGCCGAAGGAGGCGGAGAGGGCCAAGGAGTGTATTTGGAGTAGGGATCCCGAAGCAGGCGCGTCTCGGCCTCGTGGGCAACGCGACGGATATCCGCGTCTTGGGCCTTGCTACGCCATGTTAGCATGGACAGGCTCGGCCAGTGTTGGAGGATGGACGACGTACTACTTGACGTAGCTTACATCCCACGGCTCCCAGCGGCCAGACAACAGAAACTGAATCGACGAGGGGTGGGCGGGGTCGTAGAAGTAATGCGTGCCCTCGACTGGCGAGTAGCGGACACAGCTGAAGTCGACCAGAGTCCACGACATGCCGGAGAGGGTTCTGGTGGTAACGGCTGGGGTGGGTATGGCCAAGGGCAGGTGTAGGGTCGATAGACGAGCTTCCTTCAGCGCTCCAGGGGAATAGCGGTGGGCCCAACAGCATGCCCACAAGACAGGCACTGCAGCGAGACACTAGCTGGCTATCGGTGAGAGGCAGGCGGTTAATCAGGAAGAAAGGTCGACGGCTGCAGAGGGCGTCTGTAGGGCCAATGGCGGCGTGTCGAGCGGCCCGCGTACAGGGCGGGTGCAGCAGCCAGCTCGTCTAACGGTGAAGGGCTGAGTAGCGCCTCTGCGACGCTGCGGCCGCGTTTGACCGGCCAGATACGTGCCATTCAGTGCCGTGCGACGATACCGCCCGGCAAGTAAGAGCATGATTAATGGCATGGTGAGACGGGCCTTGGATGTCCCCAGCCCATCCCTGTTCGCTGCTTTCGCCGGTCTGGGGCCGAAGAGTCGCTGGTCGAGGGCCATGTGCATACGCCGTGCCGCGCGCGGGCGCCCCCCATGCCAGCTGGCGAGGCAAAAGAAAGACGGGGTGCCGGACTGCCGCAGCAGGCTATATCGAGGACAGCGCCGTCGCCGTTGAGAGCGGGACTGGGAGAGTGCATCGAGGGCGCTTATTCGCCGTGGGAGCAGTGCAGTGCGTGGACGACGTTGGGCTAACTAGGGGCCACGCCCCCCGCGGCCCGTAGCCGTACCGGTTATTCGGTTAGCCCCCTCCCTCCTCTCCATCATCATCATCATCATCATCATCAGCAGCATCATCAGCATCATCAGCAGCATCATCAGCATCATCATCATCACAACTACTGCCACTGCACACGCTGCCCCTCCCTACAGCCATCGACGCGCCAAGCTGCTCGGTGCGCGCACACGGGCTCCTCCAGCGCCCCTCTCCGCGCTCCTCGTCCACCTGCATCATAGCCCCCACTCAGTAGGGCCTTATAAACACCACTGAGCTTTCAAACAGGCTTTCCACGGCGCCAGAGTCATGGACACGCAAAAGTCTGTAGAGCACAGCCAATCGCACCGGCACTTTGCTTTTTGTGCAGCTGCCGAGCGCTGCTTGCTCGAGCGCTGCCAGCCTCAGGAAACGACAGGCATTTCGAAAAGCGGGGAAAAAAAGGCCACAGTAGTTCCCGCATTGGTCGATACTCGCGAAGATACTACGGCTCCTCTGCACCGCCTGACACGGACGGTGGTTAGGCGCGGGAAGAGATGCTCGAGGAAGGATTGCCGAACTGAAGATCATGAAATCCGGGCTGAATGCTTGAATCTTGCCGCCGTAGCGCTATATCGGGACACGACCAAATAGCCGCCTGCCGAGCCACACGTCCTTGCATATCCGTATCCGATGACGTTGGAAAGCGCGCCTTAGCCCAAAGGTGTAGGCCGCAACCCATGCACACTCACGATGAAGAAGCAGAACACTGCCCAGAGAAGCACGTTCAAGCTGGAAGAAATCGCACCAGTAATCGGGCAGCCAAGGCAAAGTCTCTGCCCCCGTCCAGCCGATATACGCACGGAGATCAACCAAAAAGGTTGGCAAAGGGGAAACCAAGCCAACTTGTCCAAACTAGCCGCACAACAACACCCATCATGGCAACATCTGGCATGTCAGGTCACGTCGTGTTTCAGCCATCAACTTCTTAGTCATGGAATACTTTGGACATGAAACACAGAGAAGAACCGCCCTGCCAGAAGTTATGTATGTACTATTAGTAACCACACGACACAACGCCCGCACAAGTAAGCCCTTGACCCCTTTCGCGCAACAACAACCGAGCCCTTGCAAGTCATCCAACACACACAACACACAACACCAAGTACCCAACGAACCTTGTTCTATTCTCAGCTGCCGAGTCGCCGTTTCCCCTTATTCTTGCATTGTGCTTTGGGAAATAGCTCTACAGCGTCTGATCAACATGTACGCTACTGCGTCAAGCACGTCGGAATCACGAATAGAAACAAGTGAAAGAAAAAAAAAGACGTTTGAAGAATGAGAATCCAGAGTCATACCGCCCCTCCCATCTCGTCTCATCTCGCAAACCCACATCTTCTGCACAACCACCAGCCAGACTCTGGAGAAAGTCCTACACTAGATACTCGAACAGGTGGTATGTAGTATCTCGAATGTTTCTTGCTACGTAACTTAATACTCTACATTACACAGCCAGACTGAAACCTGTTTCATGCCTTGTCCCCTCCCCCCTCCCCCCATCATTCCACCAATGCAATGCAAGGCAAAGCAACGACAAGAAAAAACAGTAATCCTTCCAGTAAGCAGTTGACACTCTACAATTGCAAAACCCAAGCGGCATCATAGCCATGTCTCTTCTGCTGCAAAGGATATTAGATTGCATCTGCCTGCCAGACAGGCAGCCAGTCAGCCAGCCAGCCATGTTATAATGAATCTGGTCCCTGTCCGCATTTGGGAACTTGATTATTTGCTCGAGACTAGGGCTGAATCGTACATACATACATCCATACATCCATATATATATACACATACATACATATTGTCGGACTCCCTACACCTTCTCTCTTTTTTCTTTTCTTTTTCTTAACTGGCGGCGCGCAAACATATATTCTAGAACAAAATTGCCATCCACGCACATACTTCCCCCCTACCCTCTCCCTGATGAAAAGGGACCCTGTCATGGCTATTCCCGCGTTCCGATTTTTTTTTCCGTTCAAGGCCATTCGATGTCTCGGAGACTCTTCGTGTCAATAGCCAAAAAAAAACAGGTACCGTGCACATGGGAAATTAAACTTCTATTCCGGGGAGAGAGAGAGAGAGAGAGAGGGGGGGAGGGGGAGTTCAGTTTTCGGGACAGAAAAGAAAAAAACGACACTAAAATCTCGTTGGAGGCTGGTGGTCATGGCGGTAGGTAACGCGCTCAAAAGTAAAGTAAGTATGCAATGCAGAAATCTCCAAAAAAAAACATGTACAATACGAATGAGAATCAGTCAGTAGTCAGCATCGGTTGCTTGATTTGAATGTACGCAGGCTGACGGGGATGCGCCACAATCTGACGCTCACGTCCACATCTGCACTAGAAGAACAAGACAAACATCAGCACCAGCCGTACCACGACCACTGCAACACGGTTCCCAGGCTTGGTTTTCGAAGCATATTCATTTCTCGCCGAGTCAATTCGCTATGAAGACCCTAGCGTTGTTCCTTCATGCAGCCCATGTTCTATTCATATCATGAGCCCCCGAATCCCACAGAAGTTGATGAACCGAATGAAGTTGAACTCCGAACCAATTCGCATGCAGCACATTTCTTCAGCCACTCATAATCTATGCCTTCTCAGCAGCAGCGGCCTTGGCCTTGACACCTCTGGGCTTCGATGGCTTGTCAGCCTTGACGGGCTTCTGGCTCTTTCGGATGGCAGAGGCCCTGGCGACGGCGTCCTTGCGGAGGTCCGGACGGTAGTTGCGCTTGGTGGTCGAGTTGACAATGGCCGAGTAGGTCCTGTGGCTGTCAGCGGAACATCCCTATCGTCTTCTGCAGTATCGCCAGGTTCGCGCTCCCGGGGCAGTGGTTCGGGGAGACGTACTTGCGGGTGGACTTGCTGGGGCCGAAGGTGGTGGTCTGGATGGCGGTCGCGGGCTGGTGGTGCTTGTCGGCCTTCTTGACGAGAAGGGTGACGCCGCCCTCCTTGCCGGGGATGACACCGATGGCCTGATTTGCATTGTCAACATTGTCTTTCTTGTTCTCATCCCGCATTCGTGCTTGGCGCAGCCGGATGCGCTGGTGGTGGCTGTACCTTGTTGGCGATCGAGCCCTCGTTCTGCGCACAGTTAGCCAACGCCCTCCAAAGTGCAGCATCTGCAGCATACCTTGCGGCTGTAGATGTTCCTCAGGTTAAGAGGGTCGCGCGAGAACTGGACGCCATTTGCCCTCTTGACGAGCGTGGAGCTGCGTCCCTCTGCGGCTTGTCAACGCCAATCGCCCGGTGGCTTCTGTGGGCCATGCTTCACTCACTGGTAATCTCCCAGGCAAGGTCGTGCGAGATGGTGGTGGCCATTGTGTCTGTATGGAATGTGGATACGGACGTCGTCTCTGAAAGTTCGCCAATATTGAAGGGAGAGGCCTCGTCTGCATTACCGCATGCGCTTAGTGCGTGTCTCGGGAATGGATCAACGAAGACGCCGACGCAGACGCCGACGCCACGGAGCGGCAGCGGAAGTGACGACGCATGAGCGCGAGGCGCAGCCCTAGGCCGTGAAAGCCGAGTCGACCAGTTCCGCGACACAACGAGCCATCCACGCCGTCCGGCCTATCCGCACCTATGCATCTGCCTTTGACGTGAAGGCCCCGCGTCTACACATCCCATCGCCCTGGTAGTCCATTCTGCTCGTAGTCCATTACACATCGCTTTCCTTTGTGACCCATCGCCAATCTCACTTCGCACCCGTCCCAGCCAAGTCCGCAGAGCACTGCGGCGTACACTTTGTCGCATACACCACAGCCCCTTCACCAGGCCACCAGCATCGTCGCCAATATGGAGTACCTTTTCTACTCCATCTGCTTCATTGTCCTCGCCGTCGCGACAGGTACTGCTGCGTCCTTTTCCCCGCTCACTACATAGCACTAACACACCACAGCCGCTTACTTTACTCGCCATCGCTGGATCCACCTCCTGCCCATCCCCGAGCCCATCTATTCGCGCCTGCCCACTTCCTTCCGTGACGATATTGAAGCCGGCCTCTCGTCATCGGCGTTTGACCTCAGCGGCAACGTAGAAGCCGGCGACTCGCGCCAGGGCTTGGACGACGCGGGCAAGAAGGAGGTCATGCGCATCATGAAGCGACAGGGCGTTGACTTTGACGAGGCGCGCAGAATCTACATGCAGGACAGGTTCAAGAAGAACAACATTGGAGCCGACGGAATACCCCGCGATCCCAAGTTTGTCAGCTTCTCGTAGTGCCAGGAACCGACGTGCAATCAGGCCATTCATCACAAGACCATCTCGTTGTCATCTCCTTTGTCATAAGTCTCGTTTGTCAGGTCATTGTTTTTTTTCATTTGTTGCCTCGAATGGGCTGGTTATATCTGGGTTGGGATGAGCAGATGTACGTGGGTCTGCGCATGTGGTTTTGGACGTCCAGTATCTCTGCCTTGTTTCATTTCCTACTTTTGTCTCTTCTTCCGCTGACGTTTGCAGCTTTCCTCGAATACATCTTTGTGTTTCTCCGTGTGAAAATTGACTTACTGAACGCATTACTCTCCACTTGTGACACAATCTTGCAGCGTCGGAGTGTCTAAAACGACGCGGGGACCACTTCCTTCTTGCATTCGTGGTGGGGGGCTTCAGCCCACGCTTGCTGACGAGACTAGCCCATCCTTGAAGCATTACTAACAAATACGCCCAACGCGTGACGCCTTTCTGTTCAGCTATGGCGTGATAATACCTATTCTTGCACCAAAACAACGCGTACCTATCTGGGCGCCTGGGCGTAACCGGGGGGACCCCCGAATCCGGGTGGAGGGCCAAAGCCTGGTGGCGGAGCGTTGAACCCTGGAGGCGGAGGGAAGTTTGTCGGGGCACCGCTTGGTGGGCGAGCAGGCAAACCAGTCGGAGGAGGTGGAAGTGAGGGATGGCCAACAGGAATAGGGGCGGCCGGGGGAGGCCTTCCATAGCCTGCGGGTGCGTTGGGGATAAAACCAGGAGGGCCGCTGGGTGGACCATATCCTCCTGGTCCGCTTGGTGCTCCAGGTACGCCTCGTCCATCTACGCCCATGGCCGGTCCACTCGGGGCAGCGCCTGGAGGAAGCTGGAAGAGATGTGCGGGTAGGGGCTGCACGGCGGGTGCGACTCCGTGCGCCTTGGCTTGTTTGGCAAGCATACGCTCCGCTTCGTCTCCATGGCGCTCGCCCTTTCCATCTTTCTTGTACGCATACTGGACTGTGATCTGTTTGGACATGATGTACTGGTTGTGCATGCTGGCAATAGCCGCGTCCGAGGACTCGAAGTCGCCGTAGGATATGAAGCCGTAGCCCTTGGATGCCGTCGTGATTTCGTCGCGCGCAACCTTTGGCGCATTCACCAGTGGTCCGAATCGGCTGAATGTGTCGTACAGGGTCTTTTCATCTACGCCTGGGTCGAGATTACCCACGAACAGCTCCGCGCCGATTTCAACATTCTTCTGCTTGTCGGCGGATGCCTTGTTAACGCGTATCCGACTTCCGTAGAGAGCGACATTGTTCAAAATCTTGGAGGCGTAGTCGGCTTCGGCTTCTGTGTGGAATTCAACAAAGCCGAAACTTTGGTGCTGGCCGTTGACGCGATCGACTGGCATGTTAACGTTTCGCACACGACCGGTGTTGAGCATCAGCTCGTGGAGGATACGGGGTGTAACGCGCTCATGGAGGTTTCCGACATATACGGTGGCTTCCTTGTTCTGCTCCCTGCATGGCAGTCAGCGTGTGTTCATGTGTTCATTATGCGCGATGAAAACAACCTACCAGTGACGGGCGCTTGGAGCCGACATGGTGCGCGGTTTTGGATTTAAAAATTCAGAATTGATATTTTGGATCGCTGTATGTCAATCGGTATGCGACTCGGTCAGTTACGGCGCGATGACTGCTGTTGGGTGTTGGAGATGCAGTGAAGATGGGTCGAAGATCTTGGAGCTCCAGAGTTCAGTAGCGCGCTAGTCTCCATATGGTTACTTCCGCCTAAACCTCCGGCCCGTGCATGGACCCCAAGATTTTGAGCTTTGCGCATCATCGCATTCACGCCCACCAAGCCCGCCGTCACCAATTCCGTCACCCGACCCGCCTGCACAGCCATCATGTACCAGCTATCGGAAGAGTCCAAGGTTGGTCAAGATCCGGAAAGACATACACAATGCAAGTACCTATGCTGACCGTCTGCCAGGAGCGCATTGCGCGCATCATCGATGTGTCCCGCGTCGCCATTCATTACGGCTACCTTCCTCTAATCCTATACCTCGGATACACACGAAGCGAGCCCAAGCCTTCTCTCATCCGGTGAGTTTGTCACTTTCTTGCGTTGATTGGGCATGCACGACAGTGGGACGAAATTTTGGGCGTCGATTTGGCATGAGGAGCGGAGAGAGCATGTTTGAGTCGCAGAGCTGCAAGTCTGTATCCGCGGGGTTCGCTCAATTGAGTCTACGACGTAACGAATCGGCTTTCTTTCGGGCTTTTTGAGCGAACCCCGCGGATACAGACTTGCAGCTCATGGGCTCTGCAGTCTTGGATGCATGTTGCCGGGTCTTGGGTTCCTGACTCTGCAACTAGTGCTTCGTGGGCAGTTTGCTAACAGCTGCAGTCTCTTCTCTCCCCTTGCGTAAATCTCGAACGATGACATGCCAACGACCGTTTGCGATTTTTGTACAATACTACACCCTCAGGCACATGGAATCTCGGGTGTGATGACGTCGGCCGCTTTGGCTGGCAGGACCATGTGTAGGTACATGCGGCCTCTGCTCTTTTCTACTCTACAGTGGCCCGCATTTGGCGGATGGTAGTCTACGCGGAGCGGACTTGTATTATATCTCAGCATCTAAGACAGAATAATGGTACCCTGCAGCATGGCCCGCGTCGTGGGGGTGCCCAGTCCAGACTGCACTCCACTCCCTGCACTGAACACCAGGGCTTTGATCGTGCGTGCCAGAATCGCTGGAGATGCAGCATCGAAGCGTAGCCGCAACCCTGTTGGTGGAGCGCAGAGGCGCTGTACAGGTATTGGCACCTGTGCGGGGCTGACGAGCCGTTGTGCGGAAGGAATAAACAAACGCCAATGGCGGCACGCTACCTGCCCCACGTGGGATCCGGGGTCGCCTACTTTAGTCCTTCGCCCCATGTTACTCTGCTTTTCCACATCTGATAATCGAATTTCCGCCCGCTGGCCTCCACTGCGCATCCCGTCATGGAACCAGAGCCTTGGACCCGAGCGCATGGCTTCGGGCCGGATCTGAACTGGGCGGCGCACTCTCGCTCCATGGCCCCACGCCTCCCTTGTCCACGGTATATCCCAAGCCTTCCCCAGATATCCTCAGTCGCCTGGAGCCAGTTTGTTGATATTTCTACTCTTTCCGCACTCTTCCGTGTTTCCTGTCCGCCCTCCTGGCTACTGTCTTCTGTACATGACCCGAATCACGCGCCGCCATGACTGTCCCCAGCATTGGGGACATTCTGATGTTGTCCCAGAAAGCCTGGAGGATCGGCCAGACTTTCGTCGCGTGCGAAAATAATGCTCCTCCCAATCTGCGATATATTGAAGTCGGCGTTAGCCGTTTGGCAAAAGCGCTCACGTTGCTAGCAGAGGCGCTGGATGCCGAATCTGAAAGAGCCACGTTCCAGCGCGCCGACGCGGAAACACAGGCTGGGATTGGTATCATTATAGGGTCTTGCGAGCGAACAGTCAACGATCTGGATTCCTTGGTCCAACAATATCAGGTCATTCGAAAGCACAAAACCGTGGGCGGTTTTGCCGTTGAGCGAGCATGGAGTGATTTGATGCTGGCCGAGTACGAGACCATCCTGTGGACTACCGAAGGCGGAGACGTCAACAACCTGAAAGACCTGCTACAGGTGCATACGAGCTCAGTGACTGTTTTGATGCAAGCACTGCAAAGGCCAGTAAGACCAATCTAAAAAAAACCGCAGCGACTAACATTGTGCAGCAAGTCTCTAACCCGCCTACAAAGCGTAGTGATGCCAATGGCAGAACGCATCGACAGCATGAACAATTCAGATTGCAGCCTTGAGCAGCAGCTGGATGAGCTACATCGCATAGTCCATGATCTGGACATAACAGCAGGAGACCATAATACACCACCACCAGTCCCACCAAAGGATCCTGCGCGATTACAGGGCTCTCAAGAACCACCTCAGGGGGCCCAGAGAACAGTCTCGTCGGATCCGGAAGGTTCTCAATCCCTGCATCATCCCAAGTACTCATTACCTCGCATTCCTCACGAGCCAAGGTTGTCTGTAGCCGATGGGGCCAGTGTGTCATCGACATCCTTATCGCCAACTGGGAATACATCTCGTTTACGGACCTTTCTGCCCTCTAGGAATAGCGTCTCCGAACCCAGCTACAGGGATCCATCACTGCGCTACTCTAGCAGCAGCTACAGCTCCTCGGACGCTGGCCAGAGTACCGTTGTAGGCCAAAGCCCACAGTCATTAGCAGGACATTCGCATCTTAGTCGACAACACTCGACATCAACGAAGAAATCATCACCATCTTTTGCATCTTTGGAGCCACGTCGAAGAGCTGACCACGTATATGCCTCACTCCTCTCGCCCCCGGGCACGGTATCAGAACATCAGCATGTATCCGAGATAACACACTCCCCACAGGCGCAACATAGCAGGTCTAGCCCTTACGCTTCCTCCCTCCTCTCACTGCCGAGCATGGTATTAGAAAAGCAGCAGGAACCCGAGACTACCGCCTCCCCACATGCGGGACCCAGCAGGTCTAGCCTTTACACTGCCTCACACGTTGGAGTTGACGACCCCGACCGCATGTTGACCTCAACGAGTCAGACCACGGCATTTCGAAAAGAAGCTTTCCGCAACTCGGCCATACTCTGTGACGTGTAAGCGAGCCATGAACTGGGGGAGGGGTGTTTTGCACTTTTGGTGCTGGCAAGAAAAGGGCACTGTTTTGGAGATTTACTCAGCTGACCACTTTGACCAGCCGCGGTAAGGCCGTCGAGTACTCGCATCGCATCAACCGCGACGATCCTCAGGACGTGGAAATGGTGCACGTCGCCGATGCATGCCGCATCGCCGTAGTGCGTAAGCGTGTGACGGACAACGAGACGCGCTTTGTCCGCGTAGTCACATCCATCTGGGTTTTTGCCGACGACAACCAGGCCCGTGTCGAGCTCCGCATGGAAGACGGCCACATGTACGTTCCGTACGCGAGCTACTTTTCGCCGTCCAAAATCTCCATTACCGTGCCGTGCGAGCTGCGATTCCACGATACCGTATATGGAGTGCGACCGCCGCAGATTGCAAAGACTAGTTGGGTCAATTATGTATTTGAGACGCCGCAGGGTTAGTTTCCCATGTCCCATGTCCCATGTCCCATGTCCCATGTTCCATGTCCCATACCCATACCCCTGTGACTAGCCGGCTGCCTCATTGATATCACTTTGGAAACTGACCATGACATGGCCCCAACACAGCAGCCGCACTGTTCCAAAATGAACTCATGGGCCGCACGCTGCTCGCGACATTCCGCACGGAACAAACAATGCGGCTGCACCACGGGCTCTCCAAATCGTTTGCCTACGCCGAGCAAATGTGCGGCCTCGAGACGCTGCGCATCTGGCACGACACGGACACGGGCGCCGTCATAGCCCTCATTCATTTCTCCGCCGACTTTCGAAACGGATACCTCGCCTTCTACCTCAACTCTGCGCTGGACCCGATCAGAGTCAAAGACGAGGGCAGTAGAGCAGTCAAGATTAAGGGGTTACGTGTGCCGATTGAGCGCATCTCTTCTTCTTCTTCTAAAAGTACTAATACTTCCACTTCTACTACTACTACTAATACTGCGACGACCAATACGGCAGCCGAGTCCGCAGAAACAGCATCATTATCAGCAGCAGCAGCAGCAGCAGCATCATCATCATCAACAACAACATCAACAACAACAACATCATCATCAACAACAACAGCAAAAGCAAAATTCAAATCCAAATCAAAGGGCAAAGAAAAAAAACAGAGCAGTAGTAGTGCTGGCAGCGTGAGTGGTAATAGTACTGGTGGCAGTAGAAAGGGCAGTCATGACGCTAGCAGCGCCACAACCGCTACAGTACCCGACAAGCTGATTACCGGGGCTAAAATTGAGTTTGCAACCGAGATGGAGAAGAGGGAGTTTTTGGCCCTGTGCAAGGAGATGCAGAGGGACATGGTCGAGCTGCCCGAGTTGAGGGGCGTTAATTAGCGTGTGAATGGAGAGGCAGGAAAGAAAGAAAGAAAGACGAAAATGTAGAATGGACAAGTCAAGTCAAGTCTGTAGGAGCAAGCAAGTAAGCAAGCAAGCAGACAAATATTGATGCTTGACTGCAGGGGGGAAGAAACCAAGCTAGTTCTTGTTTTTTTTTTCGTTTCTAGTCTCCTTCCTTCCTTCCTTCCTTCTTAGTTCCTTGATTTAATTTTATTCTTTTCCTTTGTTACAGCACTAAGCAGGAAATATACATAATACATACATATCGTATGACAGACAGAATAGGATAGGATAGGATAGGATAGGCCAAGGTATGTAGATGTAGAGATGTAAAAAGGCAAAGGCAAAGGCAAAGGCGAAGGGAAAGGGGAAAGGTATGTAGGAAGAAGCGATATATATATAACTATAAGTACATGTATGTATGTATGTATGTATGTATGTATGTATATAGCTTTCAAATGCAAAACCACCGTAAATCGAGCTCGATTTTTTTTGTTCTTTTTTTTTCTTTTGACGAGTTGTATTTATCCTTATGTAATAAGCTTCTTTTTTTTAAACGTTTCATGTTGATTTCCCCCCTCCCCCTTATTGGAATTCTTGTTTCTCTCGCTCTCTTTCTCAAATGTTTATTTTCTTTTTCTTTTTGTTTTCCAAGAGGCGAAGGGTTGAATAAATGAATAAATGAGTAGATGGATAAATAGATAGATAGATAGATATATGCACAGATGTACAAACAAACAAACAAATCTATATATAGCTAGAAAGTGTCTGTCTGTCTGTCTGTCTGTATGTGTGTGTATGTATATACATATGTATCTCTCTCTCTCTCTCTTTAATTTCGACAAACCTCGCATTACTTTACTTTACTTTACTTTACTTTACTTTGCACATACTTGGCACTTTGGTTTGTAACTAACTAGCTAACTAACAGAAAAAGAAAAATTAGTGTTAATTGAATATATATATATATAGATAGATAGATAGATAGATAGATAGATAGATAGATAGATAGATAGATATATGGTTTTATTTATACTTACAGAGATGTTGTTTTCTTGTTCTTATAGGGAGGAATTACATATAACAAGAAGAAGAAGAAGAAGAAGAAGAAGAAGAAGAAGAAAAATTACAAAGAAGAGGAAAAACAAAGCAAAAAAAGACACTCTGCTTACTTTGAATTAATTAAATTTGTTTGAATACAAGAAGAAGAAGAAAAAAAAACAAAGAGTCATTCTATCTACCATGGTATTTCCGCCCCGCCCCGAAAAAGAAAAAGACCTCCGGCATTCTCTCGTCCCTGATGAGGTGATTGACGACCTCCTTTCCATGATGCCCGAACACAAGGGCCCAGACATGGAAGAAGACCGCGACCTCCCCAAGTTCGACTACATTACATACATGCAGCGCTACATGGGCGCCAACTACACCAACGGACATGATGTCGACCATGCCAATGGCGATTAGAATGCGTCTTTTCTTGAAACCAGACGAATCCTTACTCCGGCCTTTGTGTAGCCCTTGGATTGTCCAAAAGATTGAATAATAAGCTTGAATTGGACATGTCCAAGACGCTTACTTTGATGAAGACTTGAGTCTTTTTTTTTTCTTGTTTTTTTTTGCATATTAGCCCAATTCACGTTTTGGTCTCGTTTTAGGATATTCACTCACGTGTAATACGGCGCGACGGTGGGTGGGTGGGTGGTTGGGGGAAATAAGGTAACTACTAAAGGGGGGGGTTTTTTCCAAAGGGCCAATGCTAAGTGTGTGTGGGGGGGGGGGCGTGGAGTTTTAGGCGTGTGTGCACACCACCTCTCTATATACATCATGGACCACGCTTTTATCTTATGCCGTTATGGATTTTCACTTTCTTTCTTTCTTTCTCAGCTCTGTGACGTATGGCTGAGATAAAGTTAGCATTCGTCTGCTATGTCTGGGTGAGGGACTTGGCTTACCTTGCCGTCGGCCACTTCCTTGAACGATTCAAACACCTGCTCGGCCGTGTTTTGGTCTTCCGTCTCGTCAACCATGAAGCGAATAAACTGCTCAAATGTGACATAATCCCTGCCGCCGCTCGTCTCGCGGAATCTTTGATGCATTTCTTCTTCGTCGTAGACCAGTCCTAAACTGGCCAATGCTGCCGAAAACTCCAACTCTGCCAGCGAATTTGAAACGTCGCGATCGAAATGGCGGAAGACGGATTCAAACTCTTCCAACTGTATGGGCGTCAGGTTGGTCATGTTTCGGGCAACCATTTGGTTTTCGAGGAAAGCCAGTTTCTTGGAGACGGAGTTGCGGACTAGACTCAGCTCGTACTCGAGCTCATCGTACGTGTATGTTGTGAAATCGTTTTCTTCGATATTGGCCTCGGCACATTGCTCGTCAATTGATGCGATGAGGTTCAGGTATTCGTCCAGTGGTGTGAGCGACTTGCTGATTTCTTTTGTATGCTCTAGTTGGTCCTCAACATCGCCCTCGAGCGCTGATATCGACGTCGACAGGGTGTTGAGGGCGAGAGCAAAGTCGTTTGCTTTGTCGGCAAACGACTTGCGCAGAGCATTCTTGATGTCTCGAATGGTCTCGTTGATGACCTGCGAGCGTTGTCGTTCGGCCTTCATCAAGCCTGTCCATGCGTTGTCGAGGGCGTCGAGACTGAGTTCGGCCGGGGGATCGTATGGGCGCAATCGGTATGTGGCGAGTTTTGTCCTGATGTTACCCAAAAGACCTACTAGATCCGACTTTTCAGCAACCATTGTCCGCTTGGCCTTGCGCTTCCATGCCGTAAACTCTGCTGATTGGGCTCTTGCGTCGGCATATGTTCCGTCGAATTTGGCCTCTTCCCAGTGTGACTGCTGCCTGGCAATCTGGTTGAGCAGCTCGCGCATGCGCCTCTCAAAGTCGTTTTGCATCTGCCAAGCTCCCTGCATGTTTGCCACAAACTTTTCCACTCTTCGGCCGGCGTTTTCGACTCGTTCCATCTGGGAGAAGGCATGGAACCAGTAGGCAATGTATGTCATGAGGGATCGCTCATCAGGCTTGGGGACATCGCACACATCCTCGACATCGAGCAGGTCCGGGATGCCAATCTCTTTGGAGGCAATGTCGAAGGCGAGCTGCATGTTTCCGCGGTGGTCGTTCTTGTCGAGGCTGTCGTAATCGATGAGGTCGGGGCGGTGAATGTCGAGCAGAGCGCAACTGTCTGTGTTAGCTGCCTGGGGGTGGTGGCGAGCATCGTGTGCACTTACAAGGCCAAACCATCGTTCCAGCTTGTCGAAAAGTCGCGTACTTCGACCTCGTCGTAGCAGGCCGTCTTCCTTTGGCACCACAGCAACAGACCCTCCTTGGCACTCAGACCCTCCTCGTTGATGTCGCTGATGGTGAAGCGCAGAATCAGGGTCCAGATCAGGCCCAGGATGATCTTGCTGTTGCCGTCGACGACATCTTCGGCACCCGTGTTTGTCAGTTGGATTCGTCGGCTGCGGATGAAGTCGAGCGACTTGTTGACGTTTTCAAACTTTTGTACACGCAGCTTGGGGCGCGAGGCATAGCGGCCGAGGGACTCGTTGCTGAGGATCTCGAGCAGGTGGATCAGTATGATCTGGGCAGGGTTAGCGATCGGAGGCGGGGGGTGGCAGAGGCGGGGAAGCGTTGACGTACACCGTCAGAGAGGTCGGTAATGAGATCACGGATCTCAACGCTCCGAATCTTTAGCTTGCTGTTCAGCCTGCATTGGTGTGGTCAGTAGTGGGCAGAGAGGGGGGGGCTGGAGGGGGGGGGGCGGTGGCACCATTTGGTGAAGGTCTTCTGCTGGACGTTGACCCATTGCTGTTCAAGCGGCGCCATGGTTTGGGAGCATCAGGGCACGGGTTGGGGTAACAGATGCTCGGCAGCTAGGAATAGGGCGTCGTGGGGATTGGAGGGTGGTGGGTGACGATTGCGTCGTCGTGTTTTCCAATGGCCAAAACAATGAATGGTTGACTGCGGGCGCGCGGACTCGGCTGTCGGTGTAACCCTGGTCGAAAAGGAGCGGGGCCCCTTGGATGCACGCACTTGCCGGGTGGGCTGGGAGCGGAAAGGCGCGGTGGCTGGCGTACAAGTTTGTTGTTGCAGAAAAAGAAAAGAACATAAAAAAAACCACGACAGCAGGCGATGCAATGTGTATTGAGGATTGGGAGAAGAAGAATGCTGACGACACAGGGGGGAGGGAGGGCATAGGGCATTGGGGATGAATGGGCTTCTAGGAGCAGCGGTCCCCACTTGCCCTCGGGGCGTTTGGGCAGCTGATTGGGCAGGCAGGGCATGTTAGTATATTGGACTTGGGATTACCCTTTTCCCATGGCCTGCATAATGGCCGGAGAGGGGGGGGGGTTGGGGGGTTGGGAATGCATGAGCATTGCAATGACAGTAATCCATCCATGCCATCACGTATTGCCAGATGCGGCGGGGGCAGTCACGTGGGGCCGGCGACGACGGGTTCTTGGCATGGGCGGGTGGTGGATTACATAAGATGGGCATGGGTGGCGAAAGAGGAAAGGGCCATGGGGACATGGCAAGACGGGGAAAGAGCGAGCCAGACAGTAGTGTACATGGACTAGACACAGGCAAACGCGCGCGGCGCTGTGGTTGCGTCAGCCCCCTGTTCTCGCTACACTTAGCGGTGCCATTATTGGACCACTGGCTGGGTGCATGTCTTGTGGTATGGCAGTAATCATACACACACACGTCGGGGCTCAAGCACAAGTGGGCGCTCTGTGCGTGGGTATCGGGCCTGATTTGAAATGACGAATCAGGCGGGCAGCGAGGGCGGCCAGGGCGGAGGAACCATTGGCAGGCGGCCAGGGCATTGTTTGCATGCGCCCAATGTTGGCGTGTCAGGCCATGGGTAGGCGGCGTAGGGCAGAAGCAGTAATCTCCGAAGCAGCTGCAGTCGACGCATCGGGATGGAGGGCCAGGCTATGACGTGCATACATGGCCGCCGTCGTCTTGGTGGCAGTGGCAGTGGCAGTGGCAGTGGCAGTGGCAGTGGCAGTGGCAGTAGTGGTGGTGATGGTGGTGGTGGTGGCGAGAGTTGAAACGAGCGCTCGGCAGAAGTAGGTGTGTCGAGTGCCGCTTGACGTGAAACACGTGGGCCCAGCAGCGCCGTCCATCTGGGTAGACTATGGATGTAGTCAGTAAGTAGCCGTGTACGTATGATGCAGTGTGCAGTACATGCTGGCTGGCTGGCTGGCTGGCTGGCTGGCTGGCCGCGGCTGTCATGGGCTGTCAGTCGTGGCGTCGTGTGGTAGTAGCAGCAGCAGCAGCAGCAGCAGGCGCCATTGACTCGGGGGACATGTACAGTACATGCACATGGGCAGCGTGTCGATGGTGTAGCGGGCTTGTCAGGTTTTCGGTGGTGCATGGGAGACGTGTTTCAGAGGCAGCCATGGTCGGGCAGGCAGGGCGGCTGAAACGCTCAGCGCCATATGTCGTCGACGGCTGTGTGTGTGCCAGTTGCCAGAGCCGTTGTCGCGCCCATGAAACGCCATTGCACTGGCGGCCCTCGCGCGGCCAATCAGGGCGCGCGCCAGGCGCTCTTTGCAGCCGCAGCGCCTGCACGTGAGGCCTCTCGACCCAGCCCACACGCGCACACACACAGCGTGTCCTACCCATACCCATACCCATACCCATACCCATACCCATTCCCATACCCACATCCATACCCACATCCACATCCACATCCACATCCACATCCACGCCCACTGCACTGCGCCTGTACCTGTCCCGGCCCAGACACGACCGCGCTCCACCCCCCGCTCTCCCTTCCGTCTCTCTCTCTCTCCTTCTCACGCGCGCACACACACGCTCGTGCCGGTGCTGGTGCCTGTGCCTGCGCCTGTGCTGGTGCCCGTGGTGCCGGTGCTGGTGCCCGTCTTGTCTGGCGGCCCAACCCTCTCCCTCTGCCTCTCCTCCCTCTCCTCCCATTGTCCCGTCTTCCCATGTGGCATTTTGCTTGATCCCGCCCCGGTGTGCCACGCATTGCCACAGAACCTTCGGCAGCGCTGGCCCGTGTCTTTTGAGCCCTTGCTCCGCTGCCGCCTCTCAACCCATCCACCCACCCCCTCCCACCCCCCCCCCCCGTGGCACTATTGCTCCGTCCGGCGTCTTGTCCACGACGACCCTTTGCATCGCCAGCCTACCCGCTCGCTCGCCGGGCGCTGCTCCTGCTGCTTGCTTATTCCTCGCTCCAGTCCCCCTTCACCCCGCCATTCACCGCATTCCCCCAGCACCCGCGCCGCATTTTGAGGGTGCGACGCGCTTCACACGCCACTAAGCCCGCTTGCACCGCTCCCGCGCAGCTATTGTTTGAATCAAAAGGTTGCCCATGTAAGTCTGTTCGCCTCTGCTCCTCTTCTTCTCTCCTTCTCTCCTTCTCTCCTTCTCTCCTTCTCTCCTTCCCTCTCCTCTCTTCTCTCTTCTCTCTTCTCCTCTCTTCTCCTCCCCTCGCCGCCTCTCCGCCTCTCCGCCTCTCTACCTCTCCGCCTCTCTACCTCTCCGCCTCTCCACCTCTCCACCTCTCCACCTCTCCTTCCCCCCCCCCAGCCATACAGCCTCGTCATTGCTTCTTCACAGCCACCATCACTGCACCTCACCACCGGCCCGTCCCACGCCCGCCACCGCCCATGGCCACCCACCGCCTTGCACGCACACATTGACTAATCGCGCCACCGTAGCATGTATTCGCGCGAACAGTTTATGAATCCTGGTCCCGCACCGCGACCGCCCACGGACCGCCCACGCCTCGCCCTCACCCCCAACACCAGCAACACACTGCCCGGCAACATGGCCGGCCTCAGCATGCAGTCGCCCGGCATGAGCAACGGCTCGCAAATGTCGCTCGTACGCACCCAGACAGAAAAGAGCGGCTCCTCCACCTCGACCGTCAAGGAAGGCATGGTCAAGGTCAAAGACGAGGGCCTGTTCAAATCCTTTGTCTGGGCAGATCGCTGGCTAGTGCTACGCGAATTCGAGCTCAACTTTTTCAAGAGCCCCAATGCTTCCAAGGTCTCCAACACGATCCAATTGCGAGACATTTTGGGTGTCGAGCGCTCAGACACGCAGCCCCTGTCTTTTGAAATTACTCGCGCCCTCAACCCTAGCAAAGGCTCGTCGCCACCCCGCGACGGCCCCACCAAAATCATTACCTGCAAGGTCGAGACAGACGACGACGTCTACTCGTGGATCGACAGCATCTACCAGCGCTGTCCCAGCATGGGCGGCGTCAGCAATCCCACAAACTTTACCCACAGGGTCCACGTAGGCTTTGATCCCAACAGCGGTGCCTTTGTCGGCCTGCCCGTCGAGTGGGAGAAGCTGCTCACAGCCTCTGCACTTACCAAGGATGACTACGCAAAGAACCCCAAGGCCGTCCTCGAGGTTTTGGAGTTTTACACGGAAAAGCTGGTCAAGCGATCCGACGAGCCCCAATACTCTACACCCCCGCCAGCAAATGCCGGAATGGACAAGCAGCTTGGCTATGCAGGCAGCGCCAATTCGGTCGCCCCTCCACGCTCTGCTCCTTCGGGCCACTACCCGCGCAAGGAAAGCTACAGCTCCGGCCGCCAGGACACACCCTCGCAGCAAGGCTACAGCAGCCAACAAAACTCTGCTTCGTCACAGCAAGAGCGCTATGAGCAAGAGAGGAAGCGGCAAGACGAACAGGCCAGGATGCAGCGCGAGCGCGAGCGCCAAAGACAGCAGGATTACGAGCGCGAACGCGAGCGTGAGGAGCTGGCTGCGTACAATGCCTCGCTACCCCAGAAAAAGGTCCCATTGGCCCAGCAAGAAGTGGGTGGAGGCGGCTACGACTCGCGCGACCCAAGCCCTTCGGGTCAGCGGTACAACCCCAGTCGCCCGGCTCCGTCGACGCCAACTGCAACGAGAAACCAGCAGCAAGGACAGCAGCCTCCGGGCTCGCTGCGCCAGATGGCTGCTCAGCGCCCGGCTCCTCCAGCTCCTTCGCAACAAAACAGCAGCTACGGCACCTCTCCTTCCAAGATACCCACCTCTCAACGGCCTCCGGTCCAGCCAAACAGCAACTACAAGGGCTCAAGCGGACAGGTGCCCCGCGCCAACAACGGCCAGCCACAGCAGCAGCAGCAGCAGTACCAAGGCTCATCCGCTGCCCCCAAGCCGCTCAATGTTGCTAAGCCTGCCGGTGCTCCCGTCAGCGATGCTGTCAAAAAGGCCGAGCAGGCCCTTACAGCCAAGCCCAAGGACGAACCCCCACGAAAAGATGTGCGCATGTCGAGCATGTCGGAGAGCGAGGTCATGGCCAAGCTCCGCGAAGTCGTTTCCAAAGAAAGGCCTCTGGACTCGTACAACAAGCAAAAGAAGATTGGTCAAGGTGCCAGTGGTTCCGTCTATGTTGCTCGTATTCGCGAGGGTGCTACTTCGCCCATGGCCAGGAGGGTCATGCAAGAAAACGGACCCCGTGCTCAAGTTGCCATCAAGCAGATGGACCTCCGCAACCAGCCCCGCAAAGAGCTCATTGTCAACGAGATTATTGTCATGAAGGACAGCAAGCACCCCAACATTGTCAACTTCCTCGACGCATTCCTGCAAGAAGAGCAGTCTGAACTTTGGGTCGTCATGGAGTTTATGGAGGGAGGTGCTCTGACGGATATCATCGACAACAACCCTTCGATTAGCGAGGACCAGATTGCCACCATCTGCTTCGAGGTCAGTTTCTTCGTAATTGTCCAAACGACACCTACTAACTCTACATAGACTTGCAAGGGCCTGGAGTATCTGCACAACCTGAACATTATCCACCGAGACATCAAGAGTGACAACGTCTTGCTCGACGGCCGTGGTAATGTCAAGATCAGTACGTATCTCCCTGCTATCCATCCTCGACTCGCTAACCGTCCATAGCCGATTTCGGATTCAGCGCCAAGCTCACCGAGCAGCGCAGCAAGCGTGCAACCATGGTCGGCACTCCCTACTGGATGGCACCCGAGGTTGTCAAGCAAAAAGAGTATGGTAACAAGGTCGATATCTGGTCCCTGGGCATCATGGCCATTGAAATGATCGAGTCGGAGCCGCCATACCTGAACGAAGAACCGCTCAAGGCCCTGTACCTCATCGCCACCAACGGTACCCCTCGTCTGAAGAAGCCAGACAAGCTTTCCAAGGAGCTCAAGGCCTTCCTTTCCGTTTGTCTCTGCGTCGATGTCAAGTCGCGAGCCAGCGCATCGGAGCTCATCAGCCATGACTTCCTCAAGAGCGGATGCAGCTTGGCAAGCCTGTCGCAGCTGCTCAACTTCCGCAAGAATGGAGGCCACTAAGCCACGTGCCAATCCAACCCGCAATCAAAAAGACAGGCCAAGTGACACCCCGAGAGGAGTAGTGTGCATTTTCACCAGCGTTCTGGACTTGATCGATACCCTTTTCATGTTCATTTTCTCCCTATCCAAGACGCAATCACGTCACATCCTTCCCTCGCGGTCCATGGCCTATAATGGAACCTATCAGAAGAGGACTGGGGTTACTCGTGGCCAAGTATGGGCACTCGGACGTACTTGGTCTACTTGCTTCTTGCATGCCGTTGCATAAAATGGTACATACGCCTCGTTGCCAAACATTTATTCATAGCCGCTACTCGCAGTATGTCGATACTGGACGTTTGGATTCGACCATGTGCCATTCAGTAATGTCCTCAAGACTTTTTTTATCTGCTGGCGGAATAGTATTTCGACCCTTTTTGACAACAAGGAGCTTATATCATCATCTCAAATCTCACGCGCCCTCTCATCCTCATTATAGGTTTTACTGATTTTTTTTTCTCATTTCATTTCACATTATGGTCATAGCGCAACGATATCAGGGCGTGAAGGTTTTTGTCAACTTTTTGCGCAAAATCTGGACATGACGGCGCAAACAGCTTATGGGATTCCCTGATGTTTGATTGTTTGCTCTCCCTCTCTCCCTCTATTGATCGCTTTTGTCTGCATCTTTGGGATCAAAGTGTGGATAATATTCGGATAGATGAAATGATATATTCCATAAAAGATTAATTCACTGGACGTTTTTTTCTCATGTCTTACGCTGTGGTGTTGATGTTTGAATGCATTAATTCTCGTCACTCAATTCACTGAGGCTTGTTTACTCCAATATTAGAAGAAGAAGAAGAAGAAAAAAGTAAAAGTATGCTTGTTTTACTTATTCGACAGAAGAATAAAGATGGTGATGTTTTTCTTTTCTTGTCGAGCATGAGACCACGACGACTGCGACAATGGCAATAATAACAACGATGATGATGATGATGATGCTGATGCTACTAACGACGACGACGACGACGACGACGACGGAAGCAGTATATATATATCCGTAAGTATATGCATACATACATACATACATACATATATACATACATACATACATACATACATACATACACACATACAATCTAGCACAATATTAATAAGTTCGCTTTAATATAACTACGTACATATGTATATACAGCTACTTTGGCCATGACTGTCCAATCCTATGTAGCATAGCATATTACTATCTAAGCCCTAAGTATACCCAAACCGCCCCCCCCCCCCCCACCCAAGCTCGCTATCCGAACTTTATATCCACCCAAGAAAGAGGGAGAGAAAAGAGAGAGAGAGAGAGACAAAACAAAGGATAAGGGGGGGGGCGGTGCATAGAACAGGAGGTGATGGGGGTGTCAAGCTGGATGTTGGAAATATATAGTAACTTGCAGGATTTGAGGGCAAAGGGGAGAGGGGCAAAGGGGAAATCAGGGTATGTATGGTGCTTGTCTTGGTTTATCTGCGCTGATGGGGTTCTTCTTCTTCTTCTTCTTCTTTTTCGCCATTCTCTTTTTTCAAGGTAGTTTCGTTTCTCGTTTCCCGCTTTTTTTTCTTCTTCTTCTGGTTGCTTTTCTTTGTTGCTTTGTTTTTCTTTTTTCATGTTTCGCCTACTGCTGCAGCATTTGACGAGGCGGAGTTAGAATACAGTGCGGCATGCAGATGCAGGGGTACTTACTTACCTTTTTTTTTCCCTCTGCTGTGGCGAATATGAGCTTTACTTTTCTTTTCTTTTTTCTAAACCCCCCCCCTCCCTTTTTTTTTTCTTCCCGCAACTCAACTCATTCACGCCTGTGTGGGCTTGTGGGGCTTGTCGCTTTTTGCCATTGCTCTGTCCCATCACCACGGCTAATCCCATGCCTTATTGCTCTTCCTACAAGTTAGTTGGTTTTTTTTTTCGCTTTCTGTTATCCATGCTGGCGTCTCGTTATTTTCTCTGAGCAACTAGAAATATTCTCCATCCAACTGTTATGTTTGAATACTATTCTACACCTGCTAATAACCATACGAACCCAAACCAGACCTATGTAGAATGGATGAGTACTAGCAGCAGCAGTATTCCGTGTAGCTGGCTGGTTGCAGTATCTACTGAACTTCTGGGGTTGAGTATTGCGATGCTGACGTACATAGAGTGCAAGTGGATGTAGGTGTAGAAGAGAGCTAAGTCAAGTAGAACTAGAGATTTTTGTTGGTATGCAGAGACTTTCCGCGTAGTTGCTCGATTGAGGCTCCGCTTGCCGCGCGCTTCCACGCTGATCCCGCGCTGCGGCTGCCTGTCCGCGACAGCAGCGGCAGCATTGGATACAGCCGCTTCAGCGAGTACGTGCGGTATCCTTCGCTGAGTGCGCGCGGCGGAGATGTACATGCTGAGATGAGTCGTCTTGGTCCTATCGAGCAGTATAGGGATAGTAATGAGGGGGACTGGGTGCTTGAGAGACAGGTTAGTCGTGGGAATGATGGTGCGCAGGGTGGTATGCTGTTTCGTGATCGGTGGGGTGGTTTTCACTTTGTGGCTAATATCTAGGTTGGGGTCTGTCTGGTCTGATCTGGTCTGTCTGGTCTGGTGCTGTCTGGGTCTGGGACTTGTCTGTGCTGAACGAGTGTGCATGTAGTGTGCATGTAAGGTTCGCACCGATGAGCCTGTGCATCTAGCATTCGCACCAATGACCCTGTACATGTAGGATTCCGCACTGGGGGTACCAGCAGCCGATCCAACAGCAACGCTGCGAAAACGGAGGAACACAGACATTCCACATATTTGGGCACAAGCCTGTAGTCGATTTCCCTCACCGAGGCCTAATCCCCTAGCCAAACTGTTCCCTGTATCCACCAATCAATCATCTGTTTTGACTTGATCCACATCCACAATTCCAGCATACTACTTGAATTCGTAATGTCTTTTTCCAAATCGGCTACTTGGATCCTGAGAGAGAAAAATCCTCCTTGTTCCCCGCGACCAAGGCACGAAACGTCAGGTGCGATGTTGTGACGCTGGCTTTGTATTTCTGGGTAGAGCTGTATCTGGTAGAAGGGCCAGAGGACGAACTGGGAATCATAGAGTGCGTATATATCTAGGCAGCTGTGATGGTTTGGCCTACCAGGAGTGTATTTGGCAAGGAAAACACTGCACTGGCTCGCTGCTTTCCTTGATGCTCCATAGCGATGGTATACAATATCATACAATATCACACGATATCGTACGCGTAGCAATGTCTACCTACACTACGCCTAATACACCATTCATAACCCAGCTACATCCACACACTAGTATCTATTTATAATCTTCCTACCTCTCCACATCACATTCCATACAGCATACAGCATACAGCATACACCTACACCGTATTCCACCCCACTCCACCAACCAACCGTACCGTGGCCGCAGGGGATGCCCAGGCGCGCCTCGATGGAGCTGCTGTGGCTGCGGAGCGTCGACGTCGTGGCAGTGCTGCTGGTGTCGCGGGTGCGGCGCGGGAGAACCATGCGAGTATTGGTTTCGCGCATGAAAGCCGCCGTCTCGTCGTCTAGGCTAGCGGGACGAACAGGGCGGACGGGTGCTGGACCGGGGCGCTTGTCATATGGAATGGTGCTGGTACGCTCGAGGACGGGGGGACTGGATACCTGTGCTCTGAGCTGCGGACGCGAGATGGAGATGCTGCGGTCGTGGGGATTGGCGAACAGTGACCGAGCACTGTGTGTGCTGCGATACGTGGAGCTCGCGGTGGCGATCGGGCGCTGCGCGTAGATTGAGGCAATGTCAACTGGGATCTGGGGCAGAGGCGGGGGTGGGGGAGAGTGTGAGGAAGTGGTCATCTTGCCGCTGAAGATGCGGGAGCCTAAGGTGAGATTAGACTGAGCTGGTCGAAGACGCCCAAGGGCGTAGTGACTTACTCTTGCTTCTCAGTGTTGCGAGGCTGGAGTACGACTTTAGCTTTGCTGTCTCCAGACCGCCTGTACGCGTGCGTTTTGCAGTGGATGGGCACTGAGGGGACTCTAAGTCGTTGTCATCGTCATAATCCGACAGATTGTCAAAATCGTCGTTGTGCTCACGCGCAGCAGTCTTGTTTTCAACTGGAGCAAGAATAGTAGACGACGACGAGTTCAACGGCAGAGCCGGCAGTGGCTTGTTCAGCTTGTCGTACTTGTCGTACTTGCGGCCAAAGAAGCGGGAAGCTGGAATCGTCAGTGGAGTGCGTATGGATACACGGACAAGAGACTTACGTTTCTTGGTGATAGCTCCCTGGATACCAGCATTGTATTCCACGTCCAGCTTGTCGTTGACAGCCGCCTTCTTCTCCGGACTGGACTTGTCCTTGAAGAAGCGCGATGCTAGGTATCTGTGCGTGAGTACAGGTTCTTGTAACCGATCTAGCCAAACCATAGTGGTTGAAACGCCCAAATAAAAAACAATCAATCGCTTACCTTTGCTTCGAAGACTCTTCATTGGAAGAAGTGCGGTCGACTACAAGTCAATGGTCGGCGTAGCAACTGCGTGTGAGTGATTGACGGTATTTCTAGCTTTGGATCTGTGATGATTGTAGTAAGTAGATTCAGGTTAGGAGATCCTCTAGCGGACAGCGTATAGCAGTGAAGTCAAGTCGAAGCGAGCGTGCGCTATTTTGAAGGTTCACGGTGAGGTGAAGAGCAATCAGTGCTAAGCGTGCCCCTAGTTCGAGACCGTAGACGATAGACGGTGAATGCTAACTAGGACCGGTGACTCGGACTACTCTGAGCTTATTGGACGCGAGATAGTGAGCAAACGAGTCTTCGGCCTTGGTTTCAAAACATGCAAGGTGAATTCGGGTTATGCATATCCAAAACCGCTGCAGTACCGTTCTTGCATGTCCTTGACGTCTCGCAAACATATCAAGTGAAGCTCACATGGTTAATCACCACCTCACATCATAAGCAGAAGCCAATGTTGGACATGAAAACTCTGCGCCCCCATGGGGACATCAGAGCCGAGCATCATGCCCTATGTTTTTCTTGATTTTTTACTAGAGGTTTATGGTGTTGTAGTGTTGAAAGAGTCGAGTCATGCCTGGATCCAGAACGTGGACAGCAGACCATTGTCGGAAGAAGCTCACGTCACATCGCCAGTCGAGACAACTCCATGGTGCCAAATGCACCAAAGCATCAAACGTGATGTTGAAAAACGCCAATCGTCCAGCTCTTGGGATCCCACACACCCATGCAGCAATCCATGAACCGTACAAAGAAAAGATCTTGTGCCGGACTGAGCACAGGGGACCGGACATACCCCGCAATCCACACTACGTCCACCAAACAAGAGTGACGAGTCATTCAAAACGCCGAAAACTCCGATAAATGAAAGTACAGTCATGCAACATGACAATGTCGAAACGCTAAAAAAACCCCGCATATTGACAAAAGAAACTGTGTAAGAGAGAGTAGCAGCACAAGGAAAGAGTATCTGGAGAGCAAAATTTGCAATATAGATGTGCAAAAGGTAGGTTACCTCACGCTCGAGGCATCCCCGGCTGTGTTGAGATTAAGCAAGCGCTTGAGATCCTGCTCCAAAGCTAGAGTGTCGGCCGGGGTAGAAGTCTTCATAGCTGGGGCAGCTGCGGTTGTAGGGGGTGTCGAGACCTTGCGTTGTTTTGCAGCAACCGACGCAGGGACAAAAGACATCATGGTTGTAGAAGGTTTTGGCGCAGGGACAGGAGAGCCGCTGGTAGCTGCCTTGTCAAATTTAGGCCCTGGTGCGTTTTTCTGGCTCCTGGTTTGATAGGTGTCAGGGCGACGCTGGGGTGGCTGCCTCCCAGGCGTTCGCCGTTGATTGTTAGGGCTTTGCTGATGGGGTGGTGCAGAGGGTGGTGGACGATGGGCATTGGGTGTTCCTCTGTTGCCTCCCTGGGGGTAGGCGTTTGGCTCCATCCTGTGGGGTTGAGGTACAGACGCGAAACCTGCAAAGGCGTCTTGGACGAGCATAGGAGAATCGGCCGTGATTTCAGTACGGAGGCCAGAGTTGCGCTTGGTGGAGTCGCCCTGGGCCGCTTTGAAGAGCGGGGAGAGATTGCGGTTACCATAGTAAAAGTCAGTGGACTCTTGGTTTGTGGGCTGCGCTTGCGGCGTAGTAGGTCCAGATGCGCTCCGGACAAGCGACCGGCCATCATGGAAAGGCGAGGGTGATTGGTGTGCCTGAGGCCCCAGTGGGCCCTGGGCACCCGGCATGGGTGGTGTTGCAGCAGTGGGTTTCTTCTGAGACATGGAAAGCCGGCTGAAGAGGTCTTGCATGACATCATTACCACCGCCCTGCTGCTGAGCATCTTTCAGCTGGGGGACGCCGTTGGGGTCTGTCAGGGAGCGCTGCGAGGCGGGTGGAGGGGACATGTGCGCATGCTTGCTCTCGCCGTCCAGCTCTATGGGAAAGATGCTGCTCAGCGAATGGTACGAGTCATGCTTGAGGTGGTGGGAGCGCGCCGGGTTGGATGAAATGAATGGATTATGCTGGGGTGGGGCTCCATGCTGGTTGCTGGCTCTTTCCGCGGCGTCGGCTCTAAACAGGAGATCCAGGGGAGACTGCTGGTGGCACGGGGGCGCAGCCACAGGCGCACGCGAGGGAGAGGCAGAAGGGCTCAGAGAGCCAGAATCGGAACTATCTTCGGGAGGAGGAGTGGGGGGACCGACGCGGGTCTTTGCGGGCACAGAACGAGAAAGAAACTTGGGTATAGGCAAAGCAGAAGGCGCAGGAGACGCGTGAAAGGTGGGACCCGCATATGCGGCCTGGATCTTGACGGGAGTTGCGGACGGGTTGATTGGGACAGGTTCAGACTCGGACGACGAGACGCGGTCAGAAGGCCTGGGCTGCGAGTGCTTCTTTGCGCTGCGCGGCGCCGAAGGCATGTGGCCGTCTTCGCTGGGGAAGGTGACGCTGTCGGCGAGGGCGGGGAGCGCATGCGCTTTGCTGGGCGACGCGGCCGGGCCATTACGCTGGCCGTAGCCATTGTGCGCGCGGTTGTTGCGCGGTTTCCGTTGCGACGGTCTTCCGGTGGTGGTGGTAGTGGTGGTGGTGTTGTTGGTGTTGTTGTTCTGGGGCGCCTGGGCTGGGCTCTGCGGCTTGCCGCGGGGCGCCCGTGGAGAGGCGGCAGTCTGGGTAGTGGACATGTTAGGTGGAGGGAGGAGATTGTGCTTGCGGGGAGGGTTATCTAGAGGGTCGTAGGCGGACGCTCTTTGTTCGAGATGTGAAGGTGGGCTGAATGGTGCGCGATGGCGCGATCGGGGTCGTTGTCTGTGTGTGTGAAGGTCGAGGTGTGCAAAGGCTGAGTGGTAGAGTGTTCATGTCCAGATTCGCGGGGTAGAGATAGGCACGCGCCGACGGGTGATGTAGGGCGAGGAGTGAGGGTGTTGCGAAGAGTGTTGGGCGCATCAGACGGTGCCAGCGCGGAGGTGGCTAAGGCCAAACAAGGCTGGTCTCGCCAAGGCGCACTGACGGATTGCGGCGGCGGGCGGCGACAAGTGTGTAAGGCTGGATGGCTGGCTGTCGAGGCACGCAGTGGGCTGCGAGGACCAAACTGATATAGGTGAGACGTGCCGTAAGTACCGTGGTTATGCGTCTGAAATGGCTCGGGATGGCGCTGTGCATTGCATTGTCTTTAATCCGCGAGGCCGACTCTAGTGGTGACGTGAATGGGCCCCTGGGCTTGGCATGCGCTCACTGGCTGCTGGGCGAAGGGACGCCTGCACATTGTGCCTGTGCCTGTGCCTCCAGCCTCCAAACAGGCCGCGAGCACGTAGCAGCCCTTTGCCACGCCGGAAAAACAACACCTGGAGCTGCCCAACGCTCCCGTTTCGCCTCACTCACACCCGCACACCACGGCGCCAGCACGTCCACCACCGCCTGCCGCACGCCCGCACGCCCGCACGCCCGCACGCCCTCGGAGCTCCCCCTCGACAGCTCCCCGCCCCCACCAGCCGCGCCCAGTCTCATCGTCGTCGACAATCCGAATCATGGCCGACGTGGACATGGCAGATGCGCCGCCGGCCAAGACCAAGACGTCCAAGGCCGGCGCCAGTGGAGAGGGCGAGAAGAAGCGCTTTGAAGTCAAGAAGGCAGGCAACACACCAGCGCCATCAAGAGGTTACAGGAAATGCATATGCTGACCCGACGCAGTGGAACGCAGTCGCGCTGTGGGCCTGGGACATCGTGGTCGACAACTGTGCCATCTGCCGCAACCACATCATGGACCTGTGTATCGAATGCCAGGCCAACCAAGCCTCGGCAACCAGCGAAGAGTGCACCGTCGCATGGGGCATCTGCAACGTAGGTTCCTTGCCTCCGCGCGTGCCGCCGCCGCTGCTAACGCCCCGCAGCACGCCTTCCACTTCCACTGCATCTCACGATGGCTCAAGACGCGCCAGGTGTGCCCGCTGGACAACCGCGACTGGGAGTTCCAGAAGTACGGTCGATAGACGGGCGTGGCAGCTGTGGACGAGCGGCTTCCACCAGGACGCAGTCGGGCTATTGTTTCATTCCGACGTCTGGCGTTAGTACGGCCTTTGCACAGGCGGGCGCTATCAGAGCAGCAGGTAGCAGCATGGGCGGTCAAGACGGTATAATAAGATTCCCATTATGATGAGCGGACACGTCTCTAGGCGCTTGTGATACATTTCCCATTCCACCCCTCCACACACACACACACACACACGGGCCCCGAGGCTGCCTATCCCACCTTCTCGCCGTCCACGTCGATGTTGTATTGCGAGGCCGCGTTGGAGGCCGGCAGCCACGACTCGGGGTTCTTGTTGTAGAAGGGCCACTGGGGCACGACGACGACGAAGGTGAGGGCGGTGCCGGCGAGGCCGACGTAGAGGGCGAGGCGGATGTCCTGGGCCATGAAACCGACGATGAAGGCGAGGATCTGCTGCCAGTCAGTCGCGCGGACGGGCTGCAGCCGGGGAGCGGGAGCGGGAGCATACGCCAGCAGCACCCAGCAGCACTGTGCTCAGCAGGTCGGCCAGCCGCTGGCCCTCAAAATCCTGCCGCGCCATGGTCAGTATTTGCGAGTCGTTGCGAGTCGTTGACGGGTGCGTGTATTATTAGGCCTGGGGCTCGGGGGGGTGGGGGGCGCCGCGTACAATCTGTCCCTCAAAGACATGGCGCGCTTGTTCGAGGAGTTGGTCTGCCATGGCGACTGCCAAGGGCGAGGGCAATGGTTGCGTTGCGGATTCCCAATTGTGAAGCCGAGTGTATGTATCGTGTCTGGTTGGAGAGCGGTGGACGGCCAGGCAGGCAAGGCTAGCCGTGTTTGAAGAGGTGGCATGTTCGCTCTCGAGAGCCCCATCGGACTGACTCCGGCACGACAGGGGCGTATCCGCGGCCGCGCCACCCCTGCAAGCCGTTCGCTCTACCCAAGGCCGGCACGCCTTTTCAGCACGTTTCCGCTTCGGTGGCTGTGGCCAGGAACATGCCTGAGTTGGGGCGGCAATTGCGCGCCCACGAGGCACCGTTTCACCTGCTCTCTCTCGCGCGCGCGCGCTCGCAGCCACAGCATCCGACGGCTGCCGCGCTGGCCTGGCCGTCCTTTATAAGGCCATGCATGGGCGGTGCAAAGGCGGAGGGCCGTGGCTCGTCGTCGCTCCAGCCCAATCAGTGGCGCGTGCTGTGGCGGCCCCTCCCATCCAGCAGCAAAAAAAAAGACTCGGCCCTGGCCCCTCTAGCCACACACTACATAAGACCCGCACCGCCCGTCTACCAATATTTTCACTACCCACCACCCGCCCATCGCGCCCACGGTTCTGCTGCCCAGCACACTCTCCCGCCTGCGTCGCCCGCGTCTGCATCTGCATCTGCACCTCTGCGCCTGGAAGCTGCGCCTGCGCTCCCACACGCTGCCCAGCCCAGCACCCAGCACCCTGCACCCACCGCCCCGTGGACCGCCATCCACCGCTGCGACGGACTGATCCAGCCGTCTTTGTTTTTCGCCCCATCCCCTTTCACAACAACACCCTCGGGCGCTACGGCGTCGATACTCGTCCAAACCACCAAGTTGGCGGGACTCTACCTCGACCGGCTCTCCCTCATCCGCCCCTTGCTCGGCACAAAAGCCTGGGTATACGGAGGCCATCGCAAGCCCCCATAACTGGTCCTTCGCTACCAAACAAAACACTCTCGCTACTGCTGATCCCATTCGCCCAAGCCTTCCCAGTCCCGGAGAAGGGGTTTGGAAGCCTGGCTACCGGTCCCTGTTTCCAGCGGCTTAGTGTAGGGGACGACCCTACGCGAAGCCATCGTCAAGTTGAGCGCGCCTCAGAGGTGGGCGCTCACAAGCGACCTACCCGCTTCTGTGCTTCCTGCGCCCCGTCACGGCGCTGCTGCATACACAACCATCCTGGCGTAATCAAGGAAACACCCGCCTCAGACCCGGAGCCCCACTCGTCGCCGCCTGAGTCGCCGCCTGAGTCGCCAACATGACCGACACCCCACGATCCGAGACCCAAACGAGGTTCAGCACCCCCGTGTCGGACCTCGACGACCACCGCTACCAGCCATTATCGCTGCCACGCGCCGAACCCACCTCGCCTGCCCGCTCGCGCCGGCCCACGTTTGCTAGCGCCCACGGCCAAGAGCACCCCAATGTGCTCCTTCAAGTCAACCAAGCCCTGGAGGCTGACATTACCCGTCGCGACTTTGAAAGCGCCGTTGTAGACGACGACCAGCTCCTGTCCCCCGATGCCTACGTCCGCCGCGGGTCGCTAGCCCACAGCCCCCAGACCCGACGGGACACGTTTCGACGCCCTCGCGACCCCGCCGTCGAGCGCCTGTCTAGGAGCAGGGCCTCGTCGACCAGTTCGCGCTCGGTGTCCCCTCCCAACTCGGTCGACGCATTCGCCGGGCCCCGGCGCCGTGACCGAGCCAACACACTTCAGAGCCATGCCGACTCGGACGTCGACCTAGCATTGCACAGAACCATGTCCCGCGGCACAGTGCGTCGCCCAAACATCAGCGACGAGCGGCCCGACGAGTTGCACAACGCAGACGTAGCATCCACACACAGCTCAGCCGAGGAGGACGTCTGCTTCCCGGTCCAGGAGGATACAGGCAAGACGACCAGGTTCGACTATGAAGAGCTGGAGGAATTCGTCGCAGAATGCCACGAAAAGACCCCCATTGTCCAGCCGCTCCGCCACAAGTCGAGCGTACTCTCGCGCATCTCGGCAAAGCCCAGGGTGTTTCCCGATCTGCGGCCCAAGTCGAGCCAATCCGGCACACCCAACCACCATGGCGACACGGCCGACTCCAAGGCCGCCGACCCTGCGGTCCAAGAAAAACTGGCTGAAGAAGGCCTGTCGCATGTCTTCGCCGACAAGCAGGCGCCCGAAGCCAAGGTCAACCGATGGACCTTTTTCTCGTCTGAGATGGACGACACCATCCACGCGGCCGAACTCGGCGGCCTCCTTATGCCTGGCGAGCGCTTCCGCGATCTGTTTGACACGCCATCGGACGGCGGTGTCTGGTGGCTCGACATGGTGAACCCGACGGAAGAGGAGGTTTTTGCCGTTTCCAAGGCGTTTGGCGTGCATCCCCTTACCCGCGAAGATATCTGCATCCAGGAGCCGCGCGAAAAGGTGGAGTTGTTCCACCAATACTACTTTGTCTCGTTCCGCTCCTTCTACCAAGCCGACAAGGAGTCTGACCAATACTTGGAGCCCGTCAACTTTTATGCCGTGGTATTCAAAGAGGGCATTCTGACGTTTACATTCTGCGAGAGCCCGCACACGCTCAACGTGCGCAAGCGCATCAGCCGGCTCCGCGACTACATCAACCTGAACGCCGACTGGATCTGCTACGCCCTCATCGACGATATTGTGGACAGTTTCGCGCCCGTGATCCGCGGGATCGAAGACGAAGCGGATGCCATTGAGGACCAGGTGTTTACAGCGCGCATTGAAGACTCGCGCGCCATCCTGCACTCGATTGGCGACTGCCGCAAGCGCGTCATGCAGCTTCTGCGTCTCCTGGGAGGCAAGGCTGATGTCATCAAGGGCTTCGCCAAGCGGTGCAACGAGTCGTACAGCGTGGCTCCGCGCGGCGATGTGGGCATGTATCTCAGCGATATCCAGGACCACGTGGTGACGATGATGTCCAACTTGGCGCATTTCGAGAAGATGCTCAGCCGAGCGCACTCCAACTACCTGGCGCAGATCTCCGTCGACCAAGTCATCCAGGGTAACAATAGCAACGCTACGCTCCAAAAGGTGACGGTGATTGCCACGATCCTCGTTCCGCTCAACTTGATCTGCGGTCTGTTTGGTATGAACGTCAAGGTACCGGGTCAAGACGGCAGCCTGGCTTGGTTCTTTGGTATCATTGGCGTCATCTGCCTCTTTGTTTCCGTGTGCCTGGGTGTTGCAAAGAGGATGCGATTCATCTGATGGCTGCGCGGGGTGGCTTTTTCTTTCTCAACCTTCTCTTCGTCTGTCGACATGACACGTACATGGTTTTTTTTTGCCTTTATTTTATTTTTCTCTCCTTTGAGTTACTCTGTCTATTTAGTGTACGACGTGACGCTAGCGCCGGTGTAATGGTCGGGTATTGGCATTCAAGTGGGTTGTCGGACAGCAACGATGTTGGACGATAGATACATATACACGAAGGCCAGAAAAGTAAAGAAGATTTGTTTTGAATCGTGTTTTAGTCGTGCATGTGGTGCTGTGGCAGCGTGGCGCAAGTGAGCCATGCAGCGTAGGCCCAAAACAGCAAAAGGAAGCGCATGCGAGGCGTAGGGCTGGCGGGCATGACTTGCATTCCTTGTTGGTTTCAGGCCGCGAATAGACTGCGTGATGTGTGGCAATAAGGAGCATACTTGGGCGTACAAGTAGAGGCACGTGTGGGCGTGACAGGCAGCGGGCAGCAAACCGCCTGGGGGAGGGGGCCGACTAAGGATACTGGATCCACGGTTCTGAGGGCGAACGAGACGCGGCCCAACAGGTACATGAGACAATAGGCGAGGCTAGCAGGCCGTCGCTCGTCACCCATCACGCGGGCTGGCGACAAGCGTTCGTTCCGTTCCATTCCTATTCGTTCCGAGATCGGAAGCAAGCAATGGCAATGGCGCCGACAGAGCAGGTCGGCCGAGGAGCACGACGCGGCGTGACGTGGGGCTGCAGCGTGCCCGTGATGGTGATGATAAATAAGGTGAGGGTGAAGGTTGGAGTGAGCTGAGCACCCAAGGCGAAGGTTGTATGGAGGGGCGAGGGGCGGGCCTGCAGGGTCGGAAGCGGTGAATTAGGCTCGTTCCGAAGGGCCGGCCTGGCTAATCCTTGTTTCGGCCAGTGCATGCGATCATGCAGCGCCTCAGCGGGGGCACTCCCTTAAAGTGCAAAGACTCACCCTTCCGCCTCGCCATTTCTCTCCCTCCCTCACCCCCTCTCTCTCTTCCCCCCCCCCTCCTCCGTTTATCCCACGCTCTCTCTCTATCTCTCTCCCCGCTGCTCGCTGCCTGCGAACCCGTCTCCCACCGACCGCTTCGCCTGCTTCCGTACATACACACACTGCTCCTGCAACCCCCCGAGCAAGAGCCTCACAACTAGCCGTCAGCATGGCGGAAATGGCACAGCGGATCCTCATGAATGAGTTCAAGCAGCTCAGCAAGGAGAAGTGGACCAACATCGAGGTGAGTTGGCGGTGCTGATTGCCGTCGACAGGCATGCATGGCCCTAGTGGCGATCGACGTACACGAGCACCCGGCTAACCACGTCACAGCTGATCAACGACAATGTTTTCGAGTGGAGCGTAGCGCTTATCGTCATGAATGAGGAATCCATGTATTACGGCGGCTACTTCAAGGCCAAGATGACGTTTCCTCGCAACTACCCGCACAGCCCACCAGGTATGTCACAGCCAGCCCGTGACAGGGCACGCGCTAACGCCATGTCAGACTTCAAGTTCATCCGGCCGCTCTACCACCCCAACATCTACCCCGACGGCCGCCTGTGCATCTCGATCCTCCACCCGCCCGGCGATGACGAAATGTCGGGCGAGACTGCCGCCGAGCGCTGGTCGCCCGTGCAGCGCGTCGAGACGGTGCTCATCTCGATCCTCTCGCTCCTCGACGACGCCGAGGTCTCTTCGCCTGCCAACGTCGACGCAGGCGTCATGCTGCGAAACAAGCCAGACGAGTACAAGGACATGGTCAAGAAGGACCTGGAGCTGTCCAAGCAGGATATCCCCGCTGGCTTTGTCATGCCTACCAACGAGACGGCGTGGAAGAAGGAAAAGGACAACGGCGACTTTGACATGAGCTGGGAGGACAGCGACGCCGAGAGCCTCGACTTTGGCGGCAGCGAGAGCGACTTCGACGAGGAGGACCAAGAGATGGACTCTGACTTTGAGGGTGACGACGACGACGGCGAGGACGACGACGACGAGCACAGCGCTGCCAAGCGCGGACAGACTCCTGCGAAGCACTAGGAGAAGGCAGGTGGGTTGGCCACTGACGTGTCTGTCCTCCGAGGCTGCCTGCATGGCACGACTGGATCGCTCCGAGGCGGCGCGTCACCGCTTCCTCTCGCCCTCCGGATAGGGTCGACGGTAGCGTACTAGGGCATACGCATTCTGCTCTCCCCGCCGTCGCCCACGTTCGATTCTCCCTTCTTTTTCCGGCTATTTATTATCAGCGAGGCGTTTGGTATCGGCATGGGTTTCATGGCGCTGCGTCTTCGACGGTCGCGGGTAGGGTGGTATTTACATTGCATGGGCATGGAGTTTTGGCGGCATCTTCTTCTTCTACGGGGCATTGCGAGATTCGGGCTGTGGCTTGGAGCGGGGTGGCTGCGTGTGCTCTGTTTATAGATGCAAGAATGGCATGATTATACGTCGATGTTGGTACAGTGGTGTTTACAAGTCTACCAGCCATGCCCAGTGCTCTAGCAATGGTATTCATACAATGGTATTCACAGGTCAGGCTACCAGCCCATGCCCAGTGCACTGCGGACTCTGGCCATTGTGCCTTCAGCAATGACCTCTGCTCTCTGTGCCCCATGCTCGGCATGCTGGATGAGCTCCTTCTGGTCTCCAGCCATCAAGCCCTGGTATCTCGCTCGTATCTCGCTGATGCCCGCATCCACCGCATCCGCCACCTTTGTCTTGAGCGCGCGCATACTCAGATTCTTCACGTCGTCTGCCAGCTCTTCCGGCGAGGCAGCGCCAGCGGCATCGAAGTGGAACATGAGATCGACGAGATTCGAGACGCCAGGGCGCTTTTCGCGGTCGTAGCTCACGCCGTCGATGGAGTCTGTCAGGGCGAACTTCAGTTTGGCGTGGATGGCGGCGGTCGAGTCGGAGATGAGAATGCGGCTCTTGGGTTTGGCGTCGCTCTTGCTCATCTTCTTGGTCGGCTCCGTCAGGCTCATGACGCGCTTGGCGGGGCTGAGCAGCGTCTCCGGGACCGTCAGCAGCGGGCGCGCGTGCACATGGTTGATGCCAATGGCGAGTTCGCGCGTGAGCTCCAGGTGCTGGACTTGGTCCTCGCCCACGGGCACGTGCGTCGTGTTGTACAGCAGAATGTCGGCGGCCTGCAGCACCGGGTAGGAGAAGAGGCCCAGCTTGAGGGCGTCTTTGTTGTTGGCGGCGGGGTCAAGCGGCGAGGCGTTGGAGGGGAGGGATAACTTGCTCTAATCAACCAACATGGTCAGTTTCCGTCTTTTTTTGGGGGGGTTTACTTGGTGCTGGCGAGAGAGGCATGCCTTCCACTGCGTCATGCGGCCCAGGTAGCCCATACTCGCACCGCAGCTGAGTATCCACATGAGCTCTGCATGCTGCTTGACGCTGCTCTGCGCAAACATGATGCAGCGCTTGGGGTCGAGCCCGACTGCAAGCAGGCTCGCCAGCATCTCCTTGCGCCATGCAGCCAATTGCCGCGGATCCTGCCTGGCGGTAATCGCATGCAAGTCGACAATGGAGAAAAGCAGCGTTGTATCGGGCGATGCCTCGTCCTGCAGCCGCACCCATTGTCGCAGTGCGCCGAGATAATTTCCCAGGTGTGGCACGCCCGTCGGCTGGATGCCCGAGAAGATGACTTGCTTCTGGGCCTTGGGCGCGCGCGAGGGCTGCACGGATGAATATCGCCGGAGACAGGTGCGGCACAGGCGCAGAGGAGACGGTGCTGCGCGGTGCAGCGCGACGAGTGGTGAAGACATTGGCAGCGGGTGGTTGACACAGAATGCGGACCAAGACGGGGGCCGACACCGCCGCCGGCCGCGTGCTCAGCCACGCTGGAAAGCGCGGCCAGGGTTGGTGGGCTTTCGTCATTGTGGCACTGCCGCCCGCCCTCGCCCACGCCTACAAGCAGCCATGCAGGCACAGGAACATTGTCCCCATTCCATTCCCGCTGCCTTCTCCCCCCCTCCCCCACCCACCACATCGCCATCACCTCGACTCGACTGTGCCTCGCCCGCCCAGCCCCAGCCACCAACCAGCACCTGTGCACTGCATCGGCGGAAAACAGCGGAACCGCAATCATGTCTTGGACCGGTAATTGCAGCCCAACCCCATCATGTCTGTCGTTGGGGAAGTATCCAAGGCTTACGAGACGACGCAGGGTTCAAGAAGGGCGTCAATCGCGCGACCACGCAGGTCTTGATGAAGACGGGCCAGGTCGAGCGCACAAATGACCGCGACTTTGAGACTGAGCAGCGGTATGCGCCCCCGCCGCCTCCCGATTCTCCTTTCCCTTCCCCCCCATCCAGGCATCCGACCATGTCCCATGGCACCCGCTAACAAGACGGCAGGCGCTACCGCACCATGGAGACGGCGGCCAACAAGCTGCAGAAGGAGGCCAAGGGCTACCTCGACTCGCTGCGCGCCATGACGGCCTCGCAGATGCGCATTGCCGAGACCATCGACGCCTTCTACGGAGACGCAGGCACCAAGGATGGCGTGTCGCGCTCGTACAAGCAGGCCGTGACGGATCTCGACGCCGAGACAATCAAGGCGCTCGACGGCCCCTACCGAACAACGGTCCTGGATCCCATCCAGCGATTCTGCTCCTACTTCCCCGACATCAACGCCTGCATCACCAAGCGCGAACACAAGCAGATGGACTACGACCGCATGCGCGCCCAGGTCCGGAAGCTGACGGACAAGCCTGACAAGGACGTGACCAAGCTGCCGCGCGCTGAAAAGGACGAGCAGCTTGCCAAGGCCGTCTATGACCAGCTCAACGACACGCTTACCACGGAGCTGCCCCAACTCATCGACCTGCGAGTACCCTACCTAGACCCCAGTTTCGAGGCTCTGGTCAAGATTCAGCTGCGCTTCTGTGCCGAGGCCTACTCGAGAATGGCACAGGTACAACAGTATCTCGATGCCAATACAAGAGACCAGTATGCTCAGGGTGAGCTGGACGCACGTGTGGAGGAGGTGCTGCAGGAGATTCGCGATCTGAGTATTGCGGGAACGGTCTAGCGAGGCAGACGAGGGACCACCAAATGAGAAAAGACTTCATTTTCATGCGCGATCAATTCTTCAGAGGCGTTTGGGGAAACATCGACATTTTGCGGCATGGTTTAAAGGTTTACATAACTGAGCGACGACTTGGAACGAGCTTTTGCATGCGAATACTGTTTTTCGTTCTCGTCTGCTGCTTAATTGACTCGAATTCTCAAAGACTGGTGTTTTTAATGTCTTGTTGAATTTGGTTTTGTATAGGGGGGGGCGCGTGAAGGGGATTCGGACTGACTATATCATTGCAGATGACTTCAGGCATTGCCACCACCCACTCTGTAGCCGAATTTCAGCAGATCCTGCTCTTGGATCTGGTCTTTCTTTTCCAGCAGCTCATCCACATCCCACGTGGCGCTCAGCAGTCGTCCACTGAGCCACATGCGCTTCTCCCGACTCAGCCATACACAAAAGGCGCCGCACAGCTTGACATCATCTGTGAGATCTGCAGCCGCATTAGCAAGGGGAGGGCTTGAAACTCCATGGCATTTCACCCCATGAACAGGTAGAAAGGAAAAGAAACTCACAAGCCTTGTACTCCTCCGGCACAGACCCGCCCCGACAACTCCGTCAACACAGACCCAGGATGCACGGCAACAGCCAGTACGCCCGCATCGCGATACTGCGCCGCTATATACTCGACTAGCCGCGCCTGCGCAAGCTTGGACACGCAATACGCTACTTTGTTGAGTCCCCCCTCGATCATGCATGCGGCGAAGGAGCTGATGGCGATGAAGGTTTTTCCCACAGCACTGTTTTTGTCTCCACCACCACTACTCTCCCGCAACAGCGGCAGAAAATAATGCGCTGCCAGATACGTACCCTGCACATTAACATCAAAAACAGCATGGAAATCACGGGGATCCCCCTCCTCGACCCTCTTTACTATCGGCCCCGAATATCCCGAATTAAAAACCACAATATCGAGTTTGCCCTGCGTGGCTTGCTTCACGCGCGCTGCGAGCTGCGCCATGCTATCGCTCGACGTGATGTCAATCGTTTCGGTGAGCACCGTCGTCGTCGTCGTCCCCGCATCCCGGCTTTCCGCACGCACTTGCTCGGCGACGGCTGCGAGCGCGGCGCCCGACGAGCTGCGCGCAGCGAGAATCAGGGTTGCGGCGCCGGCGCAGGCGTAGGCGCATGCCATGCTAGCGCCAATCCCGCGCGACGCCCCGATTACGAGCACGTTGAGGCCTGGCGGGAGGGTGTTGGCGTGCGGTGAGAGGCCCGATGCCGGTGTGCGGTGCAGAGTGCGTGTGAAGGTGCTGGCTCGCGTCGCGTCGTTGGCACCTTGTTCCGACATGGTGATTGTGCGGGTGGTTGGGTGGTCAAGTAAAGTAAGTACTCAAGTAGGTGGTGTGTAATGAAGATATCTCAAGTACACCTACAGTTTATAATACTACTTTGCGGCTTGTACATGAGCATGAATGCCGTCTCCAAGTGATTATATATATCTATCTATGTATATATATATATATATATATATATATTATTTCATCTCTATCGCCGCCGCCGCCGCCGCAGCAGTACCTGTTAAGCGCCCCCCCCTCCCCCCGCCCCCGGATACCCCGGAAACAGGGGAAACCGTAGCAATAGTGGGTATGTTGAATGCACCTACTGTACATACCACACCTACATACATACATACATACGTAAACTATATAGAGTTCCCCCTTGTTGCCCCCCCCTTCAAGCACGCATGCTTACAAAGCAAAAACCCCCCCCCCAAGTTGAGAAAATTCCAAGTACTTGACCCTTGGTTTTGCTTGGGCTCGTGGCCATGCTGCACACACCGGATACCGGATACCGGGATACCGGGATACCCGGGGCTTCGTGCTTCCGTACACTGGGCTTGGAAGGCGGACTTGGGTGATGACTTTTCTTTTTCTTTTTGTATACATGGGATTAAGTATTGTAGTTAGGGGGGTTTTGAGGAGAGAATTAGGGGGAGGGGAAGTTTCGCAAAGGTCGGTTTAATAGTGGGTGGTGGTGGTGGTGGGACAGATGGGATGGGGGATGGGGGATGGAGAAAGTAGTGTTTTAGTGTGGGTGGGGTTGTGGTAGTGTACACCTACTGCACTATGTATGTCTGTATGTATGTATGTATGTATGTATATATGTATGTAAGACTCTGTCTACGATGTAAACGCCGAGAAAGGGATTTAGGTGGGATGTCCTGTGGGTATTGTGTGGGAGATGATGCGGCGGAAGAGATGGGTTTTTCTATGTGTACTTCATTGTGCGGATATCTTTTATTTACGTGAAATGGTAAGGGCACTTTGATATCTTGATGGTGCAATGAACATGGCGAAATGAGCTATGGTGAGGTGAATCCTGCGGCTGTGAAACTCTGGATCCTGTCTTGAGTTGAATACAGTGCATGTCGTGTTCTGGACAAATAAAAAAATTTACTTAGTGGTCTGAAAATGAGGGCTTCGACAGTTCTAATAACTTCGAGGCTGTCCAGGAACTGTGGGGCGTTGTGGTCCTGATACTGAGACATGTTGTTGTAGTAACTGAGAGGATACCCAAGTGTAGCATCGTAGCGCATGCGAGTCTGGAAGCCGTGGCCTAGGTGAAGCATTTGAGTCACGGTGTTTGAATAAAATACATCTACTTTTGTTACAAACATATCTCATGGCTATTTTAGAAAACTACATTGAACCTTCGCATGCAACCACAATTGTCATTTATCTGGCTGGTATCAGTGAATAGATCGATCTCGCCTAGCACACACAGCGCACGTGATGATTTCTCGACTATGAAGCGGAAAGTTTACGATATTCAGAGCTGCTGCGCCACGGGGGATCTCTCGGCGAATAGGATTGTCCAGTAAGTTCTGGAGCATACTATCGTTGAAATAGCCCACCTGCATTCACATGCCTTCACATGCATTGCTCATGAGATATTTCCATAACATAATGCAAACGAGTGTTGTGAGTTATGTCTGGTCGGCGTATTTTTGCTTGTGTACGATTGATTATTGAGGCATACACGTGGAAACTGGGAGAAATTCTTCCAGCCCAACCTCAAGCTGGTTTGCGAAACAGTAACCGAATTTTATTCTGAAAAACTGACGCGTATACGATCCAGTATATGCGGATCTTCAGCCGCGTATCTGCAAGGTGCATGGGAGGTCCTCGAGGTGTAACGTAGGCGGAGAGAATCTCTCGTGATTATGCGGGGTTGTGAGTCTAAGATTCGCTACGCTCTGCAGAGCGCAAGGATATGGAAAGCCAATACGCTGATCTCCAATAAAGAGATGGCAAGAATGCCATGGCTCATACCGAAGCATGGCATGGCTCGTGTGATGATTGATGATATGGGACGATGCTGGGTAGTACGACACAACCAATCAGCTGTCGTTTAGCCGGGTGGCAAATGACGACGTTGCCAAATTTCGCCAAGCGCGCCGCCACAGCTCCGCCACGATCCTCAACTTCATCAGCAATCCAGTTCATTACCGCCCACCGACCGCCAACTGCTCCACTGTATCTGCTGCGCCAAGAGGAGAATTTCTGCTCGACATTCTGGCCATTCATCCTCCTCTTGTACCCAGAGCAGCCCAGACCCCGAGGATCCGGGCCGACGTCATACGACCGTTGCAACACCCCCAAACCCCCTTGGCGATGTTTCGATGCACGCAATACGTGTAATATAGCAAACAGTCGTACTTCCTCGGAGCCATCGCGTCGCTTGGCAAATCTCTTCTCCGTGACATATAAAGACCCTGCCGTCCGTCCCTTAACCACCATGTACCTCATCGAATACATTCATCGCTCGATACAGATTTCAGAAATCCTTCGTGAAAGATACTTACCATGTCGACGCACCACCCCGGAACCTGGGTCGCGAACAGCAGTGACCAAGTCGACGTCACCGATGCCCCCTGGGCCCTCACAACCCATCTGCTCGCAATCAACAACCAGCAAATGCGCCGCGTCACAAGACATCCCTTCCTAGAGCGTGCCGCAAAGGGCACATTGTCTAAGCATCTGGTAGCGCAGTGGCTATCAAACGATAGGCAGTATATTGAGGGCTATATCTCCATTTCCCAGCACACGCTCAACCTGCTTCGCAGTACTCACAACTCTACAACTGCACCAGGAGCTGAGCCGGATATCGAAACACGCCTGATTACATGGCTAGAGGCTGCAATCAAGAATGGAGAGCGTGAAAGGGATTTGTTTCAGGAAGTCGCCGACATTTACAAGATCGATATGTATCCTACACCTTTGCAAGACAATGTCAAATCGGAGGGCCTACGTCGCTATGAAGCCCTGTTCAACAGCGTCACATCTCAACAACCAAACTCTTTTATCCCCTGGCTAGAAGGCGCAGTCCTGCTATGGGCAACCGAGAAGATCTACTATGAAGCCTGGACATGGGCCCGCCGTCAAGATACCAAGGGATCGCCACGAAGCTACGAAAACGATTTGGACGGCGGCGCCATGCGCAGGGAGTTTATTCCCAACTGGTCAAATCGTGTTTTCCTCATGTTCGTTGAGCAACTAGAACGCATCATCAACGAGGGTGTCAGCCTAGCAGTGAACCGTGACGCTCAGCGGTGGATCGACGTGAAGAGCAGAGCGGATCCAATCTGGAGGGCGTTGCTGAATGCCGAGGAAGCTTTCTGGCCAGACATCCATGGCAGTGAGTGCGGTTTACTTGAGCCTGGTGTCCAACGACGCGAAGACGGCAGAATGGATGGCACCACCGTGCGAAGTACCGGCGATAATGAGATAGTGAACGAGCAGCAGGGTGGCCGAGCAGGTGATATGCCCGCAATGCGCAACCAGCAGATGGTCACATAGTCACGAGATGAAATTGTCCTTGGAGTTTGGTGGTTTTATTGTAGATGCATATAGTATTTCGTACAAGTATATTGTAATGAACGGATTTATCACTGGGATACTGTTAGCCGTGGAATATTGTGTTGAAGATTGTGCTGAATAGACAGCCTGGGAGAAGCGCTGCAAACAGGAATTGACTGTGGGCCAGTTCAGCATAACACAACACGGTCAGATAGGTATATACTGCCAGACTTGAAAATCTAATAAAATCCAGCTGCCGCTGCCGCTGCCGCTGCCGTAACCAAAACCACCGACCACTAACAGCGCATGCCAGGAAGAGCTTCTCCACGGCGGCCCGATATAACTCCGGCGTAGTGGCCTGTGCGTCCAGTAGCTTGGCCTCCGCGAAAATCCACGCGAAAAAGTTCGAGATCAGTGCTCCGCCAATTGCAACACCACCACTCAACACAATAATCGCCATGGCTCTCGTGCAGACCGATCCCGACGCGTATGTGATCAAGCCCGAGGCGGCTGCGCCCGCCATCGACACCAGCGACTGGCCGCTGCTGCTCAAGAACTACAGCGATTGTATGCTGCAGCTCCCCATATAGCTCCAGACTGCTTTGCTAATGCACATGTAGTGCTCGTTCGCACCTCCCACTACACTCCTATCCCCAATGGATGTGCGCCGCTCTCGCGAGACCTCAAGTCGTACATTAGCTCTGGTGTCATCAACCTCGACAAGCCCTCCAACCCGTCTTCTCACGAGGTTGTGTCGTGGATCAAGCGCATACTGAGGTAGGGAGCACCGTAGCCACCGTCGCCTGTCGTGTTAACTGACGCCGTGTAAAGAGTTGAAAAGACCGGACACAGTGGTACTCTCGACCCCAAGGTCACTGGTTGTCTGATTGTCTGCATCGACCGCGCCACCCGTCTCGTCAAGTCCCAGCAGGGAGCTGGAAAAGAGTATGTGTGCGTTATCCGCCTGCACGACAAGCTGCCTGGGGGCGAGGCGCAGTTTGCGCGCGCTCTGGAAACACTGACGGGAGCTCTGTTCCAGCGACCCCCACTCATTTCTGCCGTTAAGCGTCAACTCCGTATCCGAACCATCCACGAGAGCAAGCTGTACGAGTACGACAATGAGAGGCAGCTTGGCGTGTTCTGGGTGAGCTGCGAGGCCGGAACCTACATTCGTACTCTGTGCGTGCACCTGGGTCTTTTGCTGGGTGTCGGTGCGCACATGCAGGAGCTGCGCCGTGTGAGGAGTGGAGCCATGGACGAGACTAAGGACCTCGTTACTCTGCACGACGTCCTCGACGCCCAATGGTTGTATGACAACAACCGCGACGAGGCCTACCTGCGCAAGGTCATCTCTCCTCTCGAGAGCCTCCTGATGAGCTACAAGCGTGTTGTTGTCAAGGACAGCTCGGTCAACGCCATCTGTTACGGAGCCAAGCTTATGCTGCCTGGCCTGTTGCGCTTCGAAAAGGGAATCGAGATCCACGAGGAGATTGTGCTCATGACGACCAAGGGTGAGGCCATTGCGCTCGCCTATGCGCAAATGTCGGCTGTCGAGATGTCGTCGTGTGACCACGGCGTTGTGGCTAAGATCAAGCGCGTCATCATGGAGCGCGACCTCTACCCCAGGAGGTGGGGCATGGGCCCGGTCGCTACTGAGAAGAAGAAGATGAAGGAGGCGGGCACCCTCGACGTAAGGCACGCACTCCCTGCTCTCAATCGCCCCTGCTAATGCAACCAGAAATTCGGCCGTCCCAACGACAAGACTCCTGCCAAGTGGAACTCTGAGTACAAGGATTTCAACCGCACTGATGTTGATGGTGCCGCCGCACCTGTGGCTCAAACCACGTCGACTTCTGAGGTTCTCGCTGCTCCTGCCATCCCACCTACCGGACTTGGCTCAGCGGAGGAAGCTGAGGCGGAAGCCGAGACCAATGCCGCTGAGGATGGAGAGAAGAAGAACAAGAAGCGCAAGAGCCGAGGCGACGGTGAAGAAGAGGGCGATGAAGACAAGGCTGAGCGTAAGCGCAAGAAGAAGGAAGAAAAGGCAGCGAAGAAGGCGGCCAAGAAGGACAAGAGGAAGAGCAAGGGCGGCGATGACAGCGACTCCGACTAAACGATTGATACGTGATCCATGGACGTCGGAATAGCGATCAACGCTCTGTTGCGGCCATGCATACGAGCGCAGTGCATGAAAATCGTTGTACATGTCATAGCTACTGATACTACTACTCTATCCTTGGATACCAGCTTCTTCAATGTAGCATACGGAAAATGGCGTTTGGGAATTGGGGCATTCAGGCGTTTGGCGCGTCGAAGCTTCTGCGACAGGGGCGGTTGACTATGTGTTGAAGTGCGACAAAATCATAGCTAAATATGTTGAATCCACTGTTTAAACTTTGTGCACGTTGGTGCTGGATATTAGGTTGTGTGTGGTTTCATGTTTCCTCCGGTGTTATGATTTCCTATCTAAACTAACTATTGACTATGTCCAAGTCGCAGTTGGAGTAGAAGGTGGGAGGTCATTAGCAACGATGATAGACTGGCTTGGCACCTGGGGAGTAGTCAAGGCTATGGCACCATGACCAGTTCTTACACTCACCAAATCCACCACACCCATGCTACCATGCCACCATGCCCTTGCTCTCATGTCTGACAGTCCTTTTCAGCTGCAAAAGCGACCCCGGAAGTATATCGATGCATGAAGAATCAGAGTTTGGGCGATTAGCGAACTTGCCAGTAATGCCCATCAAGACTGGTGGAGCAGTGCAGGGATGGTGTTGCAAGTCTTACCAAAGAGGCAATACTTACAGAAGCTCGAAGCAAGGCTAACAGTCATACTACTCGTCAGCAGTGCAGTAGGTGCACCTCGCATTTCCAGCCGGCAACAATGCGCTCTGGAGAGCAAGGAGTGGTGTCTGCTGTCACCTTTCCTTTGATTTCCATGCAATCCACGTACCAGTGGTGGTGGGGCATTGGGCAAGCCATGGACAAGATGATTGCCGCGGCCCTGATATGCACGTCATATCCGTGCTAAGCATCGAAGGATACTAAGTTGGATCAGGCTCGAAACTAAGGCTGAGAGAAAAAGAAGCTACAGCGGCACGCGCAGGCGACAAGCCGAGCGCGACACGTCCGGGTATGGTCCACCATGCCCGGTTTCTAATTGTGCATCCCGGCGCATCATGTTTGAAAAGCGCGGTAGTCGTCGCTAGTTGGTCGAGGCCGAGTTGGTGGTGTTGAACCTTCTCGAACCTTCTCTCTGCTTTCCGGGTTGCGCGACCGGGCCCGACGTCACCACTAGCGCCGTTTGACAAGTGGAGAGACATTCGAAGCTCTCGAGCGATAAAAGCGACGGCAACCTCGTCACCACCAGAAACCCATAGCCCGAACCCGATTTGCGCAGAAAAAACAACACTGTATTTGTTAATTATTGCCGGTCAAAATGGTCAAGGAGACGAAGCTCTACGACGCATTAGGTATGTATGCTTGAGCTGCCCCTCCACCGCCACGCCCACCGCGAGCCGACTGGGCGGGGTGGTCGAGGGTTGCGGGTAGACACATGGACGCTTTGCTGACTTTGTTGCACAGGCATATCCGAGACCGCGACGCAAGATGAGATCAAGAAGGCCTACCGCAAGTCAGCGCTGAAGTGGCACCCCGACAAGAACAAGGACAACCCGCAAGCTTCGGAGAAATTCAAAGGTATGTCCACGACTCTCACTGTGCTGCGGCTGGCGTATACATGTGCTAACAAGATGTTTAGAGTGCTCCCAAGCTTACGAGATTCTTTCCGACCCCGAGAAGCGCAAGACGTACGATCAATATGGTCTGGAATTCATACTCCGCGGCGGCGTGCCACAAGAAGATACCGGGGGCCCTGGAGGCAATCCATTTGCAGGTGCTGGAGGTGCTGGAGGCTTCCCATTCACCGCATCCGGCGGCATGCCTGGCGGCACACGAACCTTCCACTTCTCGACAGGCGGCGGCGGAAACGGATTCAACTTCTCAAACGCCGACGACATCTTTGGAGAATTCATGCGCAACAGCGGTGCCGGCGGCGGCGGCGGCGATGACTTTGACTTTGGCGGTTTCGGCATGGGTGGAATGCCTGGCGGAATGGGAGGCATGGGCGGCATGGGTGGTATGGGCGGCATGGGCGGCGGCGCAGGCGTAAAAGGCAGTCGATTCCGAGGCGGCCGACGAGCACCAGAACCCGAAGTCACAGTTGTCGAAAAGCCACTGCCAGTCAGCTTAGAAGAGCTGTACACCGGTACCACCAAGAAGCTCAAGATCAAGCGCAAGACGTACGACCAGAGCACGGGCAAGCAGAGCACACAAGACCGGATCCTCGAGGTGCCAATCAAGAAGGGATTGAAGCCGGGAAGCAAGATCAAGTTCTCGGATGTTGGTGACCAGGTTGAGGGCGGAACACAGGATTTACATTTTATTGTGTCCGAGGTAAGACGTCCCCGGTTGTTCATTCAAGAGCATCTGCTAACAACGTAATAGAAACCTCACGCCATGTTCACCCGCGAAGGCGACGACGTCAAGCATGTCATCGAGCTCGACCTCAAAGAAGCCCTCACAGGCTGGCGCCGCACTGTACAGACAATCGACGGCAAATCACTCAGTGTCGGCAGCGGCGGTCCTACAGGTCCCACCTGGACAGAACGATATCCCAACCTGGGCATGCCCAAATCAAAGAAGCCAAACGAGCGAGGAGACTTCATTGTTGGCGTCAAGATTAAGTTCCCAACCAGCTTGACACCTGCACAAAAGGAAAAGATCAAGGAAATTCTGTAAAGTGGTGGGCCCTGGATCATTCTCATTCTAGTATATCTTTTTTGTCTTGTTATTTTGCTTGGTATTATACAGCTCGTACTGAGCGGCGGGCGCTGGGTGGAGTTTTGCTAACTTTTACGACCTTGGATGAAAAGGCCTGATGAAAGACATACTGGTGCAGAAACTAGTGGATGAACTACGAAGTAACGCGTCTACGATAGACGAATCTATGAATTGCATTGTAATACTGCATGTCTCTGACCGTTTGCATTGAAGGCTATTGAATACACAGTGACGTAGTGAATGATAACTATTGATAGTAGTTCTTATTCGTTTGCAGTACCCGAGAAATGTATCCGAAGAGGACCAGGCCTAGGGGGGTGTATGCTGTGAACGGTGAGACCAAGACTCCCGATATGCGCTTGACGTCATACAGAGTCAAGAGGTCTTGTTTGCTTTTGAGACGAGGTTCCACTTCATCGCGCATCTGACATGCACTCGTCTTCCATCACCTGGTCAGATGCACGCTCTTGTCCTTGTCCTTGTCCCTCCGCACCATGTGATGCAATCTGGATTTTTGTTTTCTTACGGCCAGTGTTGCATCATCCTTGCTGCGTCTCAGATAGTAGTGAATGAGCGGACTTGGCGGGTATTGTTGCTTTTGCTTTGTGGTTGAGCCTTTGACTGACTGAGACTAAAGTTCTGCTAACTTTGATATGTTAGAATAGGAGAGTTTTTTTTTCAGTTAAATCTATGTTCTTCATGTCTGAAGAGACTGGTAGTTATTATATATAGTACTTTAGTCCATACAAGGACATGTGAGTGGCCTTGTGAAAGGGTAAGAAGCTAGTGGTATATTTTCTGCTACATGTCACCACCAATTTATCCCACTAGAAGAAACTTCTTCTAAAAATATTAGCAAAGCAGCTCACTCGACACAAGTGAACCTAGCCTGTTATAGTATACCACTCGCTCTAACTCATTACGCGTGTACAAACTCCCGGTTTCGGAGTGAAAGCACGTTATTTTGCCAAACGCTCTTCACTCCTCCCCTTCCCCCCCTTTCCCTGTCGGTTGCTTGCTAATCCGGATCTTTGCCGCTAGTCTGCTCCATTGGATAGGCAAATATGATTGTCAATCGAAATGGCGACACCATCTTCTGAACTGGAGTTGCAAAGTGATGCCGGATTTACCACATTTGCCGACGCACTTATGATCGTGCCGTACCGAAATCGAGGCTCGGTGGACTTCTTCAGACTGCGAGCATATTTTGACGCCCTCTGCCCAAACGCGAAAAACCACATCCTGGCACTGCGCGAGGACCCATCGTATTTTGCGGATGAGTTCAGAGACATTGCCGAGCATACCTCGAAGTTGATGCAAAATTCTCAAGGAAAGATCCATGAAACTGTCGGCAGCACTGGTTTTCTGATGGATAAAGCCAGAGAGGTTTTCATTGATGCATAAACCATGTATGTTGAATGGCGGGAGCTTCATCGACTCGCTGACAGCTTAGCAAACATTCGGTCAAATGATTCGAGTGGTAACTTCTCTTCTCTAATAACCGAACTCAGCTGTCCAACCTGAAACATGTTGCAACTCATGACCCGTGTGCTCGCCTACTATGCATTAACGGCGCCAAATATTCGATGATTCTTTGTTCGTCTTGATGAACATGTTGAGAATCATGGCTGTAAAATCCTTTCACAGAAGATCACTTGCTTGGAAGAGTATCAACTGATTGTATCATTTCACAGCATGACGCGACAGCAAGGCCGCAAAGGACCTGAGAATCACGCCTTGTGCCTTTTCCTGGATCATATAGCTACCATCATGCGCAGAAAAAAAGCCGCGAGAAATCTGCTATCTCCTAGAGTTTTGGAGTTCTTCTCCCAGACGTCCCTCATGGGCGAGTGTGTAATGCAGCTATCGGTATGGTTTGATAGTCCCCAAGGATACAGCATCGACATAAATGCGCCACACTCTCACTCCCGCAAAGAAGAAGAAGAATTCTCAAGGTGGCTCTACCGCCTTGATGACGCAAGTTTACCAGTAGATCACATCAACCCATTTCGGGGGGAACTGACTTACCCTGTCGACAAAGCCCGCAATGCAAGAAATGTTCGAGCTATGCGCCCCGCGGAATCCAGTCTCGACTACTTTTGGCGGTGTGTGGACAAGCTCTACGAGGTGCAGACCGGTATTGAGCAATACGAAGCCATTCGTCAGTGTATTATTGAGGGCGGTCAGATGCGACGTACACCACCTTGGGAGGATTCTGAAGATATGAAGGCGAAGTATACACAGAAGTCTGAGCACACCTACCAGCCGTTCCCCGAGATGTCTCATAACACCACTATACAGATCATCGGAGCCTTCAACAAAATAGATATTGAAGAGAAGATCAAACCGAAGACAAAAGGCAGCATAGATTCTCCGATTGCCGATGCGACTGCGATCAACGTCGTTCCAGCTGTCAGCGAAAACAATGTTCAGCAAGTATATAACTTAGACAAGCGTGCTCTGAAGGCTATGGAGACGCTTTTCCATGTTCCTCAAACCGAGAACGATGATGTCCCCAAAGCTGTCAAATGGAACGAATTCAAACGTGCCATGGTTCGTATTGGATTTTCCGTGGAAAAGCTACAGGGCTCAGCATGGCAATTCAATCCCGTTGATGCTCCTGGCATCAGCCGTAGCATTCAGTTTCACGAGCCACATCCTGACAGCGCAATCCCGCATACAATGCCAAAGCGGTTTGGAAGGAGGCTTGAGTGGGTATACGGTTGGAACAGTGACAGTTTCAGGTTGGCTTGAGTACTGAGAAGTATCGAGATTCAGGGTATCGAGTCGTTGGAGGTTCTTATTATATGAGGAAATGGGTATCGTGATGATTTTGGGAATGTATAATGAACCGCTAAAGAAGAGCCGTTGGTATGCCAGACAGCACAGAAATAAAGGAGGAGCGCATTTGAATCCTCTCAGAACTCAACCTAATCTTCCCGGATACATGATATCCACAGATGCAAGACTGCTTGTAGTGCTGTCAAGCACACATCTCGTTGGACTCGTAAGCGCAATGGGAGAAACCAGTGCCGTCGCGTCCCGCGAAAGACGCCACTCAGGCGGCACATTATGCTGCATAACCTCGACCTCAGACACCTGGCTCGACGCCAACATCTTCCCATCTTTCTGGGCCTCTACATCCGTCGGGATCCCGAGCTGGGGCGTCCCGGCATTCGAGCGCGTCTGTATAATACGCACAATCTGGCTCAGCACACCAAACTCAATCTTGAGCTTGAAGCTATACACGAGCGACTTGAACGTGGTCTGGATCATGTACAAATTCAGGAACTCGGTCGTCAGCAGCGCGGTATCCAGGACAAGCAGCAGCACATTCATAGCGACGAGCTGCCACATCCATTTCCGGGCTTTGCCGTCCAGAATGACGCGCAGCAGCTTGTGCGTTTCCCACAGGTACACGCATGAAATGCCGACTTCCTGCAGTGTAAACAGCACCATTTGGATCTTCTCCATGACCGCTTACCCGCGCGTGTACACGTCTGGGTGCTTGGTGTACTGCCGCAGGTTGAGCGTTACCGTCGGCACGCACAGACAGATGGCGGAGACGATGATGGTCCAGAAGATGGCGCGGAGCAGTTTGAGGTTTGGCGAGACGAGGTGCAGGCGTGAATATAGGACCATGGACTGGCCTGGTACCATTAAAACCCAGCCTAGCGTGAGGAGAGTATTGTAGAGATATGCATTGTGCGCGACGCTATTCTGCTTCATCCAAGCTCCTGTTGCAACTCATCCAATCAGTCCATCTCGTCTCGTCTTGGTAGTCGGAATTTGCACTCAACATACCGGTTGCATATGGCACGATACTCAGCGCATTAATGATAAGGCTCCAGAAGTACAAGCCCGAGTACTTTTTAAAGATGCAGAAAACAATCACCAGTATCTCAATCGAATTGTACCACGAGATGGCGGTAAAAGCCGTCATGGCCCGTGGCAGCGTGCGGTTGGCGCCATAGATATCGAAATTGGCGCCCGAAATGCCGTTGCTTTGCGTTGCGTTTGTCATGATGCGGATTTTAGTGCTGTGATGATGGTAATGATGATGATGATGATGATGATGATGATGCCATGAATGAATATTCTATCTCTCTGTGTCTGTGTTTGTGTGTTACACAAAGCCAACCCATATATGACGCACATTCATACAAAACCTCCAGCCAAATGTATACTACGGATGTATGTTTGTAGTGTAGTGGGGGTCCAAGCCCATTCGGGGGCGCCGTGTAATCGTGTGTCAGCAGCAAGTCCGATAACTAAGTGGAGGACTGGATGCTTGCTGTCTTGATTGGTGGAAGCAACGACAACAAGCGAGGGTTTTGCGCGGACTACGCAAAGAAACAAGAAAGCCCAAATGCTAAATTTAGAGTCGGAAGAAAAAAAAGTCCACGAGGCTACATGGATGGGTGGGGGGAAAAAGGTGCCTGATGCGGTATAGATGGCTGTTGGCCGAGTGTACCTATTTTGAGGAATTAGATCGAGGAGCGCTCCACAATACACACACACATGCTTATCTGTGGGATTAGGTATGTAGGAGGATCTTTGTTAGTTGTCGGTGTATGATCAGTAAGAGGTACCGACTTCCATTCGAGTTGAAATATCCAAAAACAGAAAACAAAAGACTATAATTAGTAGGAGATGCATGCTTATATCCGCGTTAAAGAATATTTATTATACACCACGCCCCTTCTACCTTGACATCTCATCATAAGATGAATCAACGGCTAGACTCTGAGATATCACAAGCTTCCGCCAAGTGCAGCTAAGCAACCGGAGCACACGCTTCAAGAAGAGAATAGTAACGATACGTCAGCGAGCCAATCAAAATACGCGGCCTGAAGTCCGGGAAAGCAAAGTAAAAGCATGTTTTTACCCAAGGCCGTTAGATGATCGACTAGTCTCCGCGGAGGTGCTGGAAATAGTAGAATGGAGATTGGCGAGGCGGAAAAGTCGGGTAATCTGGAAGCTTGGTGCTCTAGTGTAGACATGTCTAGCTACGACTACGCACCAGAGGTCTTAGATTGGATTCTGTAGTGAAATTTATGCAGGTATTTGATAGGATGGTAACATGGGTATTCAAATGCTCTACTATACAAGGGTTGGTCCAAAGCCGAATGCGAATGGACGTTCTAGGATGAAAAATGGACTCGTGCAAGAATTCATAGGAACATGTAGAGATGCCGAAAGCTAGACTACCAAACGCCTTGCATGCAATGCCAGAAACACAGACTAATGCAAATAACGCAAATATACGTATCATGTTAGGTTTCGGCGTGTCCAGTGGGACCTTGGTCCGTGTCTATGATTTGTTAGCATTGATTCTGAGCAGTGTTTAGAGTACTTACAATCCATTGTAACAAAAGCACGGTCTACCTCGTTCAAACCCTCAAGACAGTACTGCAGGGTCTCTGCAATGTCGTGGCATGTCCTCAGTGGAGTCCCCTCGTTCATGAGTACATCAATCTCGACGCAAACACCGTCACCAGCGTGGTACACCTTGAGGCTCTTGAAGCCCTCAACGAGTGGTGCAAAGCGGTATGCCATGAACATCATCTTGCGTTCTATGCGTTCATCTGCGGCTTCTCCAGTAAGACGGGTAATGTTTTCAAAACAAGTGCAAGCCCAGTCGTAGATGATGTACAGCGAAAGGCAGGCTGCACCGAGAGGATCGAGCCACCAGACATTGACCTGGGCACCGATGAGAGGGAACAAAAGAGACAGGGTATTGAAGTAGACATCTGTGGCTGTTAGATTTTAAATCAAGCAACTCGTAGAAAGACATACCAGTCTTGCAATCCTGAGCTAGAGCCTGCACTTGAGTAGTTTTGACCCTGGCGCATCCAATCCAGATTGTACCTTTGACAACAATCGTAGAGACCATGGCGAAAATGGCTGCAGGAGGAAGCGTGGCTACGCTGTGGTCGCCACTAGGTAGCAGCTTGTTGATGGACTCTTGGAGGATTTGGAGGAAAGAAATGACCATGATGATGGAGAAGACCAGGATACCGATGGGTTCGAGACGCTTGCGACCAATGGGAAACTTTTTTCGCAGAGATTGAAGACGCCAGCCGACGAGCTTGTTGGTAGTCCAGATGATGACGGTGCAGAGCAAGTCGAGAGCGGAATCAACGAGGGACGCGATCAAAGAGAGGGAGTTTGACCAGATGGCGGCGATGCCTTTGGCGATGAGTAAGAGGATGTTGACGAGGACATTGATCTGTACGTTGTCAGCTTGATGCGCACCTGTTGCAATTGCAAGACTCACATTGATGGCCCATCGGACGTGCTTGGCTGCCTTTCTCCGCTTCTCGCGCTCTTCTTCCGGCAGGAAAGGTTCCAAGTCCTCTCCGCTGAGACCCAAAGGACCTCTGTCCTCGGCCACACCATCGTGGTCGGGGTCCCTGGGGTTCATACTGTCGACAATGTCGTCGGCGAGCGAAGATACGACCATGTCGACCTCGGCCCAACCGTCAATGCGTTCGTTTTGCTCTTCGTAAAACTTGCGGACTTTTTTATTCTTTATTCTCTTGAGCTACAGGCAGTATGTCAGAGTCAGTCGTGTCTGTCGAGTTCTCTGACGTACGCTTTCCTCGCTCTTCCTGTAAACCTCGAGGGCATCGTGGTCGACCTTATCGATCAACTTGCGCTTGAGCTCCGAGGCGCGGTTGTCCTTGACGGTCTGCTCAATGGCGTCCCGAAAGCGCTGCCTGGGCTTGACAGGATTGATGGCTCCATAGCCGCTCTCTAGATCAACACGCTGGTATTTGGTGAACTGCTCGGGATTGCCGCGACTGTTGACGTTGCCATTGCTGCCGTTGAGCAGCTGTCTTCCTCCGACCATGGCTGTGTATGATCAGGAGGTTGCTGATATGTTGGAGGCTTGTGAAAAAGGAAAGTATGGAGCAGGAATGGACGGATGGAGGTAGTGGCGAGATGGGTGAGCCAAAGGAAAGCTGACAGCACACGACAGTGACGACGCGACGCGCCGGCAAACCAAGGCACATATGTAAAGTTTGAGAGGCTGAAGGCGCCAATGCGTAATAGCGTGCAAGAAGGCATCATAGTCTGGCAGGCTAAACCAGAAGCGGCTCTGTGCCTGCGTGGGGAGGGATTTCTTGGTAGAGCTTGTGCCTGCTTGCGTCAAGAAAGCCGCATGACGTCATCGGCATGGCGGCGTGTGGAGATGATGTCGCCTTGGCAGGCACGTTCCATGCATGTCTCAGTGGTATACTGGCACTCGTACCGACACTTGTCTTTGGGAGTTGTTGAAATCATCACGGCGATGGGCAAGACGGGCAGACGGGCAAAGACGCAGATGCAGGCTCTATATACAGTGCACCACCACGTGACCATCACGAATGGCGGGCGAGAACATCACCACCACCACCACCACTGCCACGGCCGTTGGACCCACTGCTCGGCCTTCGGAACCCGGGGCGCCGTTCCGAGCAGCCGAGAGGCAAAAGCAACCATCCTTCGCTTGACCTTCCTGCCCATTCCCCTCGACATTTCACACTGCCGTGTCGGCGCCATGAAGCCCGTCTTCTCTTTAGCGCCATCGCTAATCTCCAGCCTTGCATACACTACTTCCCATCGAGTACCACCTGAACTATGGCCTCACAGCCCTCGACAGCCTTCCTTGAGAGCCCACGAATTTATCCCAACGCCATGACAAGCTTGCCATTCCTGTTGGCCAAGACACGACAAGCCCACCGGCCCTTCAACCGCTTTACATAATCATGGACCCCGCACAACGTCTCATCTCACCCGTGCCGTCCGTTTCATTCAACAAGACAGGCGAAGCCCACATCCCTTTGCTGGCTTCACGCGCCCCATCAGATATATAAAGACTTCATCTCCCATTGTCCATCTCCAAATCCTGACGTCCAGACAAATCATCATGGCGCCGTCAACAGCTCATGACCGCCGCAGCAGCGATGGCATTGTGCTCTTTCTATATGCTGTCCTCGCTGCACTCGGCCTGTATACCATGCGCATAGTGACCACCATGAACGACGTACCCGTGGGCTTCATGGAAATGCTGCAGGCGCCCACCCTCCCTGACGGTACTCTTATCAAAACAGTCTACACCGGTATTGAGCCTCTCGATCAAGGCTTGACTGCCATGGTCTCGGCATTTATGCTTGGTTCTACCGGATGGAACCAAGCCTTTTACTGGCAGCCAGAGATGTCAACAATCAAGCTCATCAAGCCGAGCTAACTTGATACAGTAATAGGCTAGCTTTTTTAGGCCTAATCATTACTATATCGCGTTAGCTCGGCTTGATGAGCTTGATTGTTGACATCTCTGCTGGCAGCAAATTCACTTTCTCCTCCAAGTTGCCCCCATCATCGCCATCATGAATGTCGAGGCCTGTCGAGTGCGGAATCAGAGTAGCTGGCTGAAATAGTGAGTCGTTGCTTGACGCATCTGTCACGGCATTTTCGTCCTAACCCTCTTTAGTACTGCTTTCTGGGCCGCTATCTACCAAAACATCGGAGGCGCTACCATCATCACCATCTGGTGGATGCTTATCCATAACATGTCCAGCCCCAAGTCTTACTACCAAAGCGGGCGCACTGTTCCCCTACCATATGCACGCGTCATCCTACTCGGAACTATACTCTTTTACATCATACCTACTTTGGCCATATGGCTCCCTACTAGCAAGAGCATGGACGCCCTCCAGAATATCTTGGCATTTTGGCAGTTTACTCCTCTCTTGGTCAACATTCCCCTCTGGCTCGTCTATCCCACTAGTTCCTTGACCGTCACCTCCAAGAACAAGAACAGCGACATATTCCACCTCCGCATCCTGTACGTCTTCATGTTCTTCTTCTCCATAGCAGTCCACTGGTACACCATCTACGGCATCTCTGTCTCGCCACATCCCGATGTCACGTACGCCCGCGTCTTTGTGCCCAGTACATACACCTGGAAGAAGGACGCAGCTTGGGGCTTGTTATGGATCTTCCAATGCGATTGGGTCGTCATGACCGTCATGTGTGTCATACATTCTTGTGTCACAGTGTGCGATATCCAGCGCGTGAAGAAGGGAGAGGCTTCGCTCGAAAACATTTTTGAGAGTTTTTTGATCATCATGACCATCACCATTGGAGGTGGCCCGCCTGCAGCACTGTCTGCGGTTTGGTATTGGCGCGAGGGCCATATGGCAGCGATTGAGAATGCATCCGCGGCGAAGAAGGGTCAGTAATGGGACCATGATGCTGGTAGTCAGATGCCATGTGATGTCATCCATTTAATGTCCTACTTGAAGCGCACCCGCGGGGTATCAGGACGGGGAAGCCCAGGGCTTACGGCAAATCGTGGTATGGAGAAGAGACACAAGGAAAACAAAGATGTAATGAAAAACATGAGTCGAAAATCGCAAGCAGCGCGTCTTGTGCGTGCCATGCAAGAACAATCTACTTTAGTTTATTTTCTTTCTTGAACTAGTCTTGCAACGTCGCTTTTCCCTTGGTATTTATGAAACTATCACTATTCTATGCCTGCCTGTTCAGCAACCCGCTCAATCAAATCTGCCATGGCAAATTCAGCATTCTTCACTTTTCCATCTCCGCAGCCTACGGCCCAGCCCTACATGATTGAATTTCGTCCTTCCTTAATCCTCGATTAGAACGGTTGAATAAATACTACTCATGGCCGATCCAGAATAGGCAAAAAAACCTCCTTCACACCCCCCAGCAAAGGCGACTCAAGCGCCCGCTCCCAGTCATCCTTCCGTATGCTCTCCAAAGCCTGCACCCCAATATCCACAAGTCTCTTCGTCCCCTCGTCATCACACCACTGCACGCCCACAGGCCAAAACGCAACATGCACTGCGCAATGCACCAGCATCCTACGAAGCCACGTCTTGCCCAGCACCTCAGAACCTCCCCTCGCCGCAACATAGGCACGCAGAAACGCCACTCGCAAACCCCTACCGCCTCGGAAGCGGTCGAGCAGAAACGCTTCAGCTGCAAACTGGCCCACGTCGGTTGCACTCGTGCCGCGGCGCACCATTTCCCAATCTGCAATCGTGAGCTGCATAGCGTTGTTTGCTGTGTTGTCGTGAGTATGCACGAGCACGTTGCCGGGCCAAAAGTCGCCGTGACACACGCATTCGTTGTCAGTGGCGAGGAGACTGCCGAATTCCGCGTTCATGGCATGTGCGAGGTCGGGGGCGTAGCTAAACTTTTCGAGCGCTGTGTGGAGTCCATTGTACGAGTAGCGGTATATGTTGACTGCGATGTGATTGTTTTTGCTTTTGCTGTTTTCAGTGTTCTTGTCTTCATCTGGTAGCGCGAGAGAAACGGCCGTGGAAGAAGTGTGCAGTGCTGCAAGCCATGCTGCTAGTTCCTGGCCAATATGCGGTATGTCGAGTGCGGAATCCGTGTAAGCTTCTTTGAGGTTACGGCTTCCGCCGTCTTCGATCTCAAGTAGTTTTCTCGCTTTGTCGTAGCTCAGGAGCCTGGCTGCATGGACAGTTGTGTTTGGGGGGTTGACGAGCAGGGTTCTGTTCTCAGAGGACAGCATAGCGAGGATGTTGGCTTCGTAGTCCATGCGCGTGGGATCGAAGGCGAAGTTGCTGTTGCTGTGGAGATAGGGTGCTGCATGCTTGAAGATGCTTGTAGAGCCGTCTTCTCGTGTCGAGCGGTATACGTAGTTTGCTGTGCCGCCTGAAAGCAGCTCAACTCGGGGGTTTTCCCGTCGAGTGGCTGCAAGATAGTCGATAAGCCCTTGCTCTGTGGTGAGATTGTAGGATGAAGCCATAGTTTCTGAATGTGCTGAGGAGAGGGCCACCTCGTCTGGATACTTTTATTGCTTTTTCTCAGATGTATGCAAACTACCTTGGCTACATGCCAGCGTGTAGTCAAGTCGTCCTTATATTTTGCGATGCATCCATATGAAAAAGCTTAGTTCCATAATCTGTGTGCCTCAGGCATGGGGTCATTATGATTGTATATGAGTCATGCGCGAAGAGGTGTCAGTAAAGGAACGGTGGTAGGGGTTGTGCAGCCACAAAGGTGGGGCAGGCTAGTTCAAAACCGGAATGGCTTCTATTCTTCTCTCAGCTCACATCCAACATACATATCAGAATATTCTACTCATTTATTTCAAAGAAAAATATTGAAGCAGTAAGAATTTCTGAGTAAGGGCGGTTAAGGCGGTTATGTTTGGCTTCCTCTTACGATGTAGATAGCAGAAAATGCCTTAGCAAGTCGCTGTTGTATAATGCCAGGTCCGGATATTTTGCTATAGATATTATGTAAACAAGGATTGTGATTTCCAGGTAGTATTACAGGGTAAGTATTCGTGCATAAAACTGGGTGCAGCAAGTTTTAGGAGGTAGAATGATAGGAGTGGTTCTAATAACCGCTATGGATAACTATCAACCACCGTCACTTCCACGCACGACACTCTGCACGCCCGACATGCACGCCCGGCAACGCCAAGCACTACCTCTGAAAAATACACCCGTCAATCTCTACGCCCGGAAACCACCGACACTTTTACTACCGTCAGTTCCACCGCCACCAACAACTGTTATTTCCGTCAGCTTTCATTACTCTTAAGCTGCACTACTGCTATCAACCTCGGACAACCTCGGACAACCTCTACCCACCAACTACCCCTATTTACGACCTCCACGCCTGAAACTCTTACTGCTAACTACTGGATTTGTATTTAAAGTACAGATCTCTCTACAATGTAAACTATCAACATGCTGTATCTCGCTGCCTGTCACATCAATGAGCTTACAAGTAGCCCAGATACCAAGCATAAAACTAGCACTACCGGCAAAACTAGTTCAAGTAGACAATTGCTAGCACATAGGTGAGACAATCAAGTCTCTTGACAAACTGATACAAACCAGAAGAGCAAAGACGGTAAGAACTTATAAGATAGTTGTCTACATCCATAGCGTTAGGAGTTAAGGGAGCTAAGTAAGGTAAAATAGCAAGCAGTTCATAACTCTCTTTGTTCATATTGAGGCCTTAGGAAAGTCATGATCAACTCAATTTTCCCCTTGGTCTAGGCAGCAGCGGGAGATGTGCGCCTCTATGCACGTGCATACTAGTCGTTCCGCTTCTAGCTAACCTGTTTGTGCGATACTATAAACGCCTCCGCATATCTTCTTCCACGTCAAGGAGCGGCATTCTCTTGAGCTCAATCATTGCGACCTGTTACATTACAATTACCTTACCGAACCTACCACAGTCTTCCGGAGATACTTGTTCGAGATTTCGATACTACAATGGCTAGCGACGAGCTAGTTGGAAGGATCCATAGTCTAACCCTTGAGCAAAGTGGGGGCCAAAACCAGGCCCATACCGCATCTCCTCCGACAAACAGCCGCACTGCTTTCCCGAAGGAGAATGTCAATAACCTTGTCTTGTACGTCAGCGCCACGGTTTCTCATGCGCAAGCAATTGGGACTGCAACCAGGCATATGGAGGACTTTGAGATCGGATCCATGTCCGACGTATGTTTACTCTATGAGCAAGCTAAAAGGCTTATAGAGGTCCAATCCAGACTCGAAAATGCAATAAAAGCAATTTTAGAATCGCCAGAAAGCTCGGTTGTTAACCATCTTAAGTCCCTTGGTCAAAACGAAACTAAAATCTCGCACGCGACACCAATTGCACATCTTCTCTCCCATTTCGATGGAAAAATCAGAAACATTGTCCGCAAAGTTCTTGACAGGGCAAAACCAGAAGAAGTGCTGTGGAGGATTGCGGAAGAATGTTTCAAAGAAAGCTGTTTTCAGGGAATTCTCAATTCCGACGACTACTTCGTTCCACTCGGAGAGACTCAAATGGGTTGGCATTACGACTCAGACTGTGAGGATGAATTATACTTTGAGAATGAAGGCCGTCTCGATTTGGACGAGGGCTATGCAGAATCTTGGCGCGAAAGGACGGAAAAGAGAATCGAAGGCGATAGGGAGAGAAGAGAAGGTTGGAGGGATTTCTGGATCCAAGTGCTGGACCATACACTTGGAGGACCCACACTCTTCTATCCCCGAGCGAACAATAATGTCAAACTCCCGGAAATGCCCGCCGTACCGCCGTATCTGTTTCGAACTTTTGATAAGTGCAGCCATAGACAGATTGCCGAGAGTGCGATAGCATCGTCAGCAAGTCATGAACCACGGAAAAACCATAAAGATCTTCTAGCCATGGACAAATTCAATGCGGCAAAGTTGCTCTATAACCATTTCAACTGGCGTCACCATGACAAGAGAGGCAAAGAAATCAACTTGGCATCTTGGACTAGCTCCCTCCCTTACGCCATCCAATATGCGCTTTACAGGAGACAGGATCACAAAGATCAAAGACGATTACTTCGCGATGACGAAATCAAGATATGCGTGATTGATACCAGGCGGTTTCCCAAAGGTCAATTTGTGCGGGATATAGAACTGCTCAACGCATACCATGCCACTGCCGAGATGAGCAGAGATCGAGAAGTGCTCAGCCATTTCAACTTTCGCCTGAAGACCGAAGCATACCATAACGGTGAATATCTGTCACAAGGCGCGGTGAAACTTGCAGGCCGGTTCTGCATGGTTTCCTTGGAGCAACTAGAAAACGCAGGTCTGTTCAGACTGTATCCAGAATTCAGTGTTCAAACATCGGGAAAATGGGCAAAAGTGTTGTGTTATCTGCGCGAACAATGGCGCGATGAGCAAGAAACTGCCAACGAAGACATTGCATGTGTTCTCAACATTGCATTGACCTGCTTCCAGCCCTTCAATCTCCGCGATATGGTTTGCATACTTTTGGCTTTTAGAAATCGCAGACTATCGAGTAAGTGGACATGCTCTATGTAATAAGCAAATCTGACGAAATAAGGCAACGTTACCCCTTCCGACTATTCCAAGCCCCCCTCGTGGGCTGAGAAACCGGCCGATGTCAAGCGATACTGGCAACTACATCAGACGCTGAAGACTTTGGAAAGGCGGAATATCGATCACAGTGTCTTGCGTGGCATCTTTGCGTAAATTATATAGTTTCGACGGGCACACAGATAGAGGTAGTGGTTGAAAGGCTGTGTCCCAGTTAGCACTTCAATGTGTTCTTTGTGGAAATAAACGGATATTGTTACCGTGCTCAGCGATGTGTTAGTGCAAGACCTTGACTCAAATCTGTATCGGAGTGCTATGACAAAACACTTTGTGGTGATGTTATCGAACACAGTTGTTCCTCTTTCTTATGTTCCGTCCATACCTGGCCAAATTCCAAAACGCGCTATCTACATTCAGCTGTCAGTACGGGTGTATAAACTGTTTAAGAAACCACCAGCAGAAGCGAGAAAGATAATGTAGAGATTTTCAGAAGCTTAGCCTGACATCTCAATACTTGCATAGATCCATGCCTTGTCCCATCCTCTGCATTGAAGTCTATCAATTCATCAACATTATCTTCCTTTGCATCGCCGCATGAATCGAAATCTTTAACTCTTATTATATAACCACATGGCCCTTGACGCCTCCCTCATTACTATCACGCAACAGATTCAACGCGCTCTTAATCGTCCCTACTATCCGCCCCACAAACGTATCCGGATACTAAGGAACATAGTAAATTTATAAAGCAGACAAACACCACAACTCTACCCATGCCCAACGCTGTGAAAGGCTGGATAGAACACGCCCGAAGAAACTGCACGTTGTGGAGAAACATCCTGAAAATAAATGCTTAGAAGAACAGTTTAAAGCCTCAATAAAGAAAAAAAATATGTCTATCTTGTTATCTAGACTACCAAGGAAATTCCATTTGTCCCTCCCCCAAACCGCACACTCAATGCTTCCTCAGCCTCAACACCATCCACCCAAACAACCTATACGCAAACACAATAACAAGCATATACCCGACATACTTTCCCACATTACCCGTGTTAAACCCATACACGCTCAACACAGCCTTTCCCTCAACCAAGCACTGATCCTGCAGCGCACTCGGATACATGCACTGGCACGTCCCATCAGCCAGTCTCTGACAGGCATAATTCCTCTTACCAAACTCATTCACCATCATGCCGCGAAAGACATAAGCCTGGTAATCGATGTAGTGAAAGACGTAGCGCCAAAAGACATTGAGCGTCTCAGGCTGGACCATAAACCCATTTACACACATCCACAGGCCGTTCGCGAAGGCGGTTGCGGCTAGTGCGACAACGAAGATGGGGATGAGAGAGGCGAGCAGCACGACAAGCGACTCGGCAGCGAGGAGATCGAGAAACAGCCATAAAACCCACATCCAGAAGCCGTCGGCGGAGGGCCGGAAGTTGCCGAGCCAGTAGCTGATGATGCTGAAGAGAATGGTGATGAGGAAGAGGTACGGGATGCCGATGATGAAGTTGGCGAGCATAAACGAGGTGGGGCCGTAGAGCCCATTCGCACGCTCTTTGCTGTACATGGCGAGATCCTCCAGGTACGCGGGGATGTAGGCAACCGCCATGAAGGACATGAATGCCCCGCCGAAGAAGATGGCGTTGGTGAAGGCTTGGATGTTGGTTTGCGTGGGGGACAGCCGCAGCCATACTGTGCCCATCATGATCGCGAGGCCCATGTACATGGCGATCCGGATCCCGTAGGCGACTATGTCGCGGTATGATTTTATGAAGGACCGGTGGATCAGTGTGAAGGGGATGCTGGCGCGGCTGGCGGTCGCATGGAGTGACATGGACGTAGAGATGCTTGTCGCGTTTGCGGACGCCGCGTGGATTCGCTCGGATACGGCGATTGCGGTAGGGGAATTGGCCCACGAAGTGTGCAGGTCGTTGAGGCGCTGAGTCGCCGAGTCGTTGTCAGATGCGAAGTCTGTGTTGACAAGATCGATGACGAATTCAGCGGGATTGGTATACAGAGGAATCTTAAACACATGGCACGTTAGATTCCCGACTCCATGGTTGTGCTCGTAGTACTCACTTCGTATCCCAGACCTGCAAAGTAACCTTTCAGCTCCTTGACAGCACCATTATACACGACCTTGCCCCTGCTTATGAGCATGAGCTTATCGAAAAGCTCAAACGTGGTCGTCGACGGCTGATGGATCGACGCAATAACCAGGACTTTATACTTCTTGGCGATATTCTTGACAAAGTTCATCACCTCGAAACTCGCAGCCGAATCCAGGCCGCTGGTCGGCTCGTCGAGGAACAGGATTTTGGGGCTCGTAATGAGTTGACTGGCTACGCTCACACGCCGCTTCTGGCCGCCTGACACGCCCTTGCGGATCGGTGTCCCGATTAGAGTGTCGGCTTGGTTCTGGAGTCCAAACGAGGATAGGAGACTTGAGATGCGTTCTTTGCGCGCGGCCTTGCTAATCGATCTATGGACATGTCAGTCAAGAAAAGGACACTCCAAGTTCAAGATAAAGGGGCTTGCGGGAAAGACATACCTAGGCAGTGCAAGTTGAGCTGCAAAATACATAGTCTCCCTGACGGTCAGAGACCCCACCAGAGCATCCTCCTGCTCAACATAGCTACTCAGTTTCCTGAAGGAAGCCAGAGTCGTGGGCTCCCCATTGATACGCAGGTCCTGCTGCATAGTAGCCTTTGGCGTGGCCGCCCGATGAGCCAGTACATTGAGCAAAGTCGTCTTTCCGGAGCCACTGGGGCCCATCAACGCGAGGATCTCGCCCGCCTCCAAGATACCGCTGACATTAGATAGGATGTCAAGCGGCTGTTTCGAAGCCCGGTCTTTGACTGTAACAGTAACATTTTCCCAGCTAAAGTTTTGCACCACGTTGTTAGTTAGATGGGCAAAGTCCGTGGCATCGGCGCCCTTTTCGATGTCCTGCGAGTCGACTGTCGACGACATTCCCGGAATAGGAAATTATCCAAGCAGTTCAAAAAAAAATAAAGATAAAAGATACTCTGATATTAAAACACTACCCGACTCAAGTGGATTAAAGAAACAGCAAGCACAGAAATATTTATCCTCAGCCACCGCAGGCGTTCAAGGCCCCCCAAATCAACATAGACACGAGCCCCCCGTACAGCCATCGGGGAACAAATCATCGAAGCCATGGCCCTCACAGCTGAACCCCTAGCGCGTAATCTTTCTCCACCCCAGCGTTGTGCTACAGATCAGCACACACACAACACACACGCCGAGGACGAACAGGCGGAGGAGCACGAATGCTTATTAGCAGGAGAAGCGAGGCTGAGAGGTTGAATTGCAATCCTGACGAACATGTTTATGCAGCGTGTGCTGTGAACAGTCGGCATTGCAGTTCACGCGCATTTCGCATATCCATATAGAGCGGCACAGGTGGCGCGGTCGAATTGTACGAAAGCAAAGGACACCACCACCCAAGGGCTGGGTTTCAAGGTCTTCGGAGTCCCATACTGTGATAAGAGGCTCGCGGAAAATGCTAAGAACAATTTACATTGTGCCAAGAGTCCAGGCTGGATTGCAGAAAAACCTCAGCCTCGAGTGGGCTCTGCTGACAGCTGAGGTCGCCGGATCCCTGTCGGCTCGGCGACGTTGGAGGCGCACGGCCGCTGAATGGTGGGGAGATTTGCTACCTCGCCGACCTTTTAGCACATCAGAAGCCAACAGGCTCGTGCTTTGACGCTCCATGCAATGCCGTTGCGAGAGAGAGAGAGGGCTTCTTGCCTCGGATTTCCCATGTGACGACTGCGTACGAGTCCCCGAAGATACGATAGAGCCCGCGACGGTTGGTACTGGATTGGGAATTTTCTATTCCGCTTTCTTCGGCAGCGTCCTATACTACTACCATTTTCCTGCCACCCACCGGCTAATAAAAGAACTCGCTCAGCTCTAACAGCTGTGCATCGAGCGACCGCTTTGCTTGCACACTGGCTTCTCTGTTCTCGGCGTTCAACTTCTCTTCATACGTCATTTGTAGCAGTTTCTTCACGTCTCCTTCTCCAAACCTCTCTCCTGGAACCCCAAAGCCCTTGCCATACTGCCGTGCTCTTGCGACGATCGCCTCTGGGCCCGCGGTAAACAAGTCAAAGAAGAGCGCAGCATAAGGAAGGGCTGCACCCTCCTCGATGTTCTTCAAGTTTTGTTGCAGGACGAGAATGTTGAGCTGCATGAGGGCACAGCCATTGCTGTTCATGCGTTCAATCTTGGACGTGCAGAGAGTGAAAAGGTACCTGTCCATCAACGCCGCCAAACCGCGCGTGATGTGGCTATATGAGTTTGCGGGGATGTAAGTCGAGACTTCCGTGTCGAAAGACACAAGCGTAGAGTTGAGAGCGAGAATGGCTGGGTCAGGATCGTTGAGAAGCGTGTCGATGTAGACGTTTGATTGCGTACTCGTGTTGAGTGAGTACAGGATTGTACTGCGGATGGAAAGATGCAGAGTGCGTAGAGCACGGGTGGAAAGAGACTGGTAGCTCGCTACTACTGCATCGAACCAGCTGCTAAGTGTCAGTGCATGCTTCATACGTGTAGCTGTCGGGCACTTACGCAGCAGTGTCTGTGCTCAACGGCAGATAGACAGGAGCACCTTGAGGTCTTGGGTCAGAAGAAGCGAGCTTGGTCCATCGCCTGTTGTGCTTCTGGCCGCCAGACTCCATGTTGACTGGATCCGAGGCACGATCACTAATGTACCTCAGCTGTGCCGTCTTGGTAGCCAGCCACTTCATGCTGGTGTACAGCAAACATAGATTGATGATGCTCTTCTTGTCTTGGATCATGTCAATCTGGTCCAAGGGCTCTTCGGCCTCGACGGCTTCGATGAGAAGGGCGACTTCGCTCTCGACGGCTTGATTCATACTTGCATGGTCAGAGGGATCAACTTGCTCCAGACGAGCAATGAGTTCTTCCATGGCATCCGACTCAGCCCAGACAGCTGGAGCTCTCATGAGACGACCACTAGCTGTGGGTTTTGAGCGGCTGACAAGAGCCTTGTACCAGCCCTTGCATTTCTGGGCATACGTGTCCATTTGGGTGACGATAAGCTGGGAGAATGCTTGGTCGTGGGGAAGGTTATCAAGCATCTTGCAAAATGCCAAGATGCGAGTGAAGAATTGGGCGGTGCTCTACTACATTAGCTTTGATAGAAGTCCTGTCGACAGATCATACCTTGAATATGGGCTTCTTGGAATGTCTTGCCCAGTTTGCATCTTCGGCAAACGAGTCAAGCTCGACGAAGGTTTGTGTACAGAATTCAATCAGGGTCTCGTCAAGCTGTGGAAGGAAAACATTGACGAGGAAGTCGTCGAGGAATGAGGTTAGTGTACTCAAACTGATATCAGCATTAGATGGCACGACCTCCTTGAGCCTATTAAGAAAGTCGAGAGAAGGCGGAAGCAGGATGCCCATGTTGAAAACACTCGGCTCCACGAGTAGTTTGTGTCCAGTGGCACTACCGTCGAGATTGGTAGTGTTGTTGGTGTGGACATTCTCGAATCTCTTCAAGTCTGACACAAGCCCCGGCACAGACGTTTTGAGAATGAGCTCCAGATCGGTTCGCTCTTTAGAAAGATCAGAAGCCTTTGTGTCGACATCAGTCAGCTTGAACATGCGCTTATTCCGATCGCGCGGCGCACGGGAGAATACGCTAGCAGTCGCCGCCTGACTTTGGCCGCCTCTGTAAGAGGCCTCGCCGTCGGTAGCCAGGTAGTCGTGGAGAAGGGAGCGTATCTATTAGCATATTAGCAAACCACTACATACAGAAAGCGGCAACTGGCTGTACCTCGCTTTGGTAGAGCTTCCACAACTCCTTGAAGCCACGGGTTAGTGTTGTGCTCGATGAACGGCCGTCACGTCGGACGATGCCCGCAACGACGTCATGTACAACACGATGGCCCTCGGCAATGGCCTCGAATCGCGCATACAGGGTCCACATCAAGTCGTTTAGCAGTGTTGTGCGCACGTCCTCACTTTCAATCTCCGTCTTGGACTTGGCACCCTTCTTGGCCGTGTAGGCACGTAATATGCTGGGATGGCGTTGGGCCACTTCATTGTTGGATTTTTCAACCACCTTGAACAGCTCGACAGGCAGCCTCTGTTCAATGGTGTCGATTGCTACTTCTAGACGGTTCATCTTGTCGAGTGCCTCTATAACGAGCCTGATGTACTGGAAAGTGTCTGATTCTGGGTTGTGGGCAGAGTCATCGGTCATCTAGCATGGTCAGCAGCATGTCGCAAAACACGGCACAAACATACTGGTTCGGAAGTGTCCAATGTGTCGAGGAAATAGTACAGCAGACGGCCTCTGGCCTCTGTCTGTGCACGCTGGGCCACGTCGCGATTGACTTGGTTCTGGGCGTACTCCTTCCACCTATCTTCGCAGTAGGGAGATTTGAGGTAGAGATGGCTGTGGAGCTCCTCAATCAAGATGTCAGTGAGAGAGACTTCTTGGTTGCTAAGATAAATACGCAGATCGGACAAGGCGCCGATTTTTTCCATGTCCGTCTTTCGTATCATGCGCAGCGCATCTTGGAGAATGTCGACGGCGGTCAAGAAACGCTTCTCTGATATTTGCGTCTCCAGTCGCTCGGGCATGAGCTGCAGTTTTTCAATGGTGTCGAGCATCTGCAACATCTCGTCGTAGTTTTGGGAGGCCGTAGCAAACTCGCGGAGCTCTGGTTTGGCCGTGGACAGCTGCGACTTTGCCGAAATGAGGGAGCCCTTGAGGGTCCTGACGCGGTGTTGGGAGCTCTGAAGACTAGACTGGATCTGGTGAAAGGTACCAATCGAGCTGTTGAAGCCCTGGTGGTGCTCTGCGAATGTTAGCCAGCGACGCAGGCATAGTGGGAGGCGAGGGTACCATTGACGATGCCCTTGAGGGCATTCTGCAGCTCGTCATGAGCCTGTTGGAATTGGCCGGCTTGACTTGCCAGGCCGAGGGAGCTCGAGTCCATGAGCTTCAGAGCGACTTCGATGGGCACGCACTGGTCCTTTGTCATAAAGTCCCAGTTCTGGCGGATGAAGTGCAGGACCTCTTCGATGGCCTGATTGCCGGGACCGTTTGCATGGCGCGGCCTGTTGCCGTTCTGGCGCTCGCCGCTGCGACGCTTTGCTGGAGAGCGCTCGATACTGGTTGGGCGTCCGACGGTGCGGGGGCTGCCGTCGCGGGCAGAGAGGCCACCGCCTCCATAGCCACCAGGCCTGCGGTCGCGGTCACGGTCGCGGTCACGGTCTCGGTCACGATCGCTGCTGGGCCTTCGTTCAATGTCGTCGTCCTGGGTCAGGCCGCCATATCCCCCAGGGCGCCGGGGCCGGTCGCGTTCGGTGCTGGGCCGGGGCGCATAGTTGTCGGGGGGAGCATTCATGCCCCCATATCCGCCCGGGCGCCGCGAGCGTTCGCCGCTAGGACGGCCATTGTATCCAGAGTCGCCTCCAGCGTAGCCGTTGTAGCCAGCGTCGCCGCCGGTGTAGCCGTTGTAGCCGCCGCCGGCGTAGTTGTTGGTGCCGTTGGCGTAGCCTCCTCCATTGGCACCCGCCTGCGAGTAGCCTGGGATGCGCGACATGTCTGTGTTACCGAGTTGGGGGGGTCTGGCTGGGTGTCGACACTGGCGCTATAGTCATTGTCGGGGCATGTGTGGTGTAGGTATTAGGGGAGCATGTCGGTATGGATGCTACGAGCAGCAAGTCACCAAGTATTGCCTATGTCGCGGGCTGACCGGGGGGTTCGTCGTCGCGATTCGCGCCAAGCCTGACTCGCTCCGCACCGCCTGTCGATTCCGCGCTCCCTTGTTACTAGTAGAAGCTCTGCCTCGCGATTCTTTCTCCACTCCGTCCATTCCCTCACCCATCCACTCACTCATTCTCCCACGCCAACCACCGACCCGCCCCCGCCCTGCGCGCCCTCACCGCGCCCTCGCCGTCCTCGCCCCCCCGGACCTTCAATGCCGCGCTAACTCGGTCGCTGCATCTGCATCTGCATCTGCATCACCGCCTCGCTCGTCTTGCCCTCGCATCCACAACATGGCCGCAGTGCACGCCAACGGCGCGAATGGCGTGAACGGTGCCGGCGCCATGTTTCCACCGCCACGCTACTCGGACGTGCCCAGCTCCATCACCATCTCGGTCGCCGACGACGAGGGCGGCCAGCTCGACGTGGAGATCCCCCTCGACGACCAGATCCAGGACGACCCGACCGAGCTCTGCGACATCCTCGAGGCCGAGAAGAGCGCCACGTCCACCTGGGTTCAGGTCGCCGTCGCCTATGCCAAGCACCGCCGCATCGAGACGGCCATTGACGTGCTCAAGCAGGCCACTGATGTCTTCAGTCGCGCCCGCGCCGACGACCGCCTCAGCATCCTCAACGGCCTCTGCTGGCTCTATCTGCTCAAGTGCCGCGAAGCGCCGCGCGTGAGGCCTCGTACGTGGCCTGCCCTTGTCTCCCCGCCCCTCGCCCGCTAACCTTGCGCGCAGAAAATGCCGACCCAGACACCAAGCTCAAGGAGTTTTGGATCCAGTCCGCTACCGGTGTACTCAACGACGCCTCCCGAATCAGCCCCTCGCACCCCCCGCTCTTCCTGGCCCGCGGTGTCCTGTACCTGCTCAAGGCCTCTCTCCAGGGCCCGGCCACCGCCGCCGGCTCCACCGTCAGTCCAGAGCGCATGGAAACGCTCAAGCAGGCCGCCAAGTGCTTCGAGGATGCACTGAGAGCGTCGGGCGGAAGGAATCTCATGGCCAAGATGGGCAAGGCACGCGTAAACTACTCCATGGGCAAATGGCAGGACGCTTTGAAGGCATACCAAAACATTCTCGAGAGTTCGCCAGACCTCATTGACCCAGACCCGCGCATCGGCATCGGCTGCTGCTTCTGGCAGCTGGGCTACAAGGACGAAGCAGCCAACGCCTGGCACAGATCTCTCGAGCTGAACCCCAAGTCCAAGGTCGCCTTGATCCTGCTGGGAATCTACAACTTTCAGCTGACTGCCAATCTTTCCACTTCAGACCCCAAATTCGCAGAGCTGATCAAAAAGGCGACAGGTGAATACATCCAGCCCGCGCTCAAGATAGACAACCAGTATCCTCTGAGTTGCGCCACAGTCGGCAGCTATCTTGTCCTCCGCAGGGACGTCAACAAGACCGAAGATGTCGCAAGACGCGCCATCGAGCTTACCGATACCAATGCCATTGCCAGTGACGGCTGGTATCTGCGTGCCAAGGTCGCGCACCAGCAAGACAACATTGCATTGGCCGCCGAGTACTACTCCAAATCGGACCAGGCTCGTGGTGGTGAAGAGCGGGGCTTCATACCCGCCAAGTTTGGACTCGCGCAAATGAATGTCATGATGAGCAACTACGACGGCGCAAAGTTTCGTCTCGAGAAGATTCTCCAGCAATCGCCCAACGTCGAAGCGCAGACGCTGCTTGGTACCTTGTACGCCGAGGATGTCTTCACGGCGCAAAACAACAAGTCCAACGAAGACAAGTCTGCTGAGCTGAAGAAGGCGCTCAAGTACCTCGAGAGCGTGCAAAGTGCATGGAAAGACCCCAAGAAGAAAGTTGTACCTGATCAGTCCGTACTGCTCAATCTTGCTCGGCTCTATGAGACGGAACATCCCGAAAGGAGCCTCAAGTGTCTCGAGGAGGTAGAGCAGATGGAAATAGAGGCCATTCCACAAGAGGACTATCCAGAGGGCATAGAGCCAGGTCCCGAGCTCACAACGGCCCTCCGCGTATTGCTCCCACCGCAGTTGCTCAACAACATGGGTTGCTTCCACTTCCAAGCTGAGCGCTACGTACGCGCCCAGGAACTGTTCCAGGTGGCTCTCACTGCATGCGTCAACGCTGAGAGCAGAGACGACACCATCGACACAGACGCACTCGTCACTTCTATCAGTTTCAACCTGGCCCGAACTTACGAGGCGGAAGGCCAGACGGATGAGGCGAAGAAGGTGTACAACAGCCTGCTCCAAAGACATCCCGATTATGTCGATGCGCGCATCCGCCTTACCTACATGGCTCTAAAGGAGAACCCCCAGGACGAAGGTCCAAGAGCCGTCAAGGACCTCTTTAAAGAGAACGAGGACAATGTTGAGGTTCGCGCCTTGTACGGGTGGTACGTCAACAAGTCGAAGAAGAGGACGCATAACTTTGCCGCAGACGACGAACAGCGACTGTACAAGCACACTCTGCAAAAGTCCGACAAGCACGACCGCTACTCACTCATAGGCATGGGCAATATCCACTTGGCCATTGCTCGTGAGATGCCTCGCAGCTCTGAGCAAGACAAGGAGAAGCGCCGAAAAAGCTACGAGCGAGCCGTTGAGTTTTTTGACAAAGTCCTGCAGCTGGACCCAAAGAACGCATATGCCGCTCAGGGCATCGCAATCGCCTTGGTTGAGGACAAGAAGGACTACGCAACAGCCTTGCAAATATTCACAAAGGCCAAGGAGACACTCAAGGATCACAGTGTTTTTGTCAACTTGGGTCACACATACTGCGAGATTAAGCAGTACGCCCGAGCAATTGAAAACGTACGTCTTCTACCTTTTGTATCATCATTTGCTAACACCTTGCAGTATGAAGCAGCTCTATCCAAGAACCGTCACAATGACCCAAAGATTTTGGCCTGTCTGGGACGAGCATGGTACCTCCGAGCAAGGCATGAAAAGAGTGTAGCCGGCTTCCGGACTGCACTCGACTACTCTAAGCAAGCTCTTAAGGCTGCCCCGTCTGATCTCAACTCGCAGTTCAACGTTGCCTTTGTCCAGTTCCAGATTGCTACTATGGTCTACTCACTTCCAGAGCATCAGCGTACACTTGAAGAAGTCGACGACGCTGCCACCGGTCTTACAGAAGCTATTGAGGCACTTGAGAAGCTCGCAAAAGAAGAAACACCACCTTTCCCACGTGCTGACATCACTTCCCGTGCTAACATGGGTCGCAATACTATGGTCAAGCAACTTGAGCGTGCGCGCGAGAAGCAAGCAGCATATGAAGGCGAGAACGCAACCAAACTCGACCAGGCCCGTCGTCTCCGCGAAGCAGAGAAGAAACGCCGGGAAGAGGAAAAGAAGCGCGCTGAAGAAGAGGCGTTGGAGAAGAAACGCAAATATGCTGAAGAGCAAGAGCGTCTTATCCAGCGCGACCGTGAACTTATGGAGAAGCGCAACGAGGAAGAACGCAGGCGCATGGAGGAAGACGAGGACAAGGAGATACGTAAAGCTGAGCGCAGAGCCCGCGGGCCCAAACCCAAGCGCAAGAAGAAGGATGCAGACTCTGACACGGATGGCTTGCCTTCGGATGATGACGAGCCACGCTCCCGGCGTCGCACCGAGGATCTATCCGACGAGGAACGGCCGCGCGAGAAGAAGAAGAGGAAGCTTGCCCGCAAGAGCGAACCCTCTGGCAAATACAAGTCCGCAGAGTTCATCGACGATGAAACTGACGAAGACACGGCGCTCCCAGCAGAAGACACCCCGGCTGCTGGAAGTGACGATGAAGGTGCGGCAGCTGCCCCACGACCACGCAAGGCCCGTGTCGTGGACGAGGATGACGACGAGGATGACGGCACCGCCGCTCCAAAGGCAAACGGTGATGTCGCCATGGACGACGACGACGAAGATGAGTAGTAGAGCCCCCGTCTTCACCCTTGTATCTGGGCGCGACATGATTTTAATCCATTACTTATATCCTGTGTGGGCGTTTTCTTTTTCTTTAGATCCCACCACATATGTGCAACTTTTCTGTTATTCGTTTTTCCCTTTTATCTTATTTCTTCCAATATGTCTTGCATCAGCGCCTTGGCGTCCACGGGCGGGGTTGGGGGGGTTGGGGGGAACAGCATTCAGAGGTTGACCTCCTTTTTTTCTTAAAAAAAATTTGGTTCTTTTTTGCAAAAGAAAAAAAATCATAGCAAGGCGGATCAAGAAGAACAAGAGTAAAGAATTTTGTGTAGCGCTTGAGAGAGAGAGCAAAGGGCCATTCTATGGATTAAAGGGAGGGTCACGCAATGTACGATATGAGCTTCATTTCTTGATCATCCTTGCACAAGTGAAAAAAAGTCCTCAGTGACTATATACCAACGTTGCGACCGACGCGAGTTATCCCTACAACGCCCACTCCTCCTTGTTATCGTTTGCGCTGATAAAAGGCTCATTGACGAGCTTGACAGCGAGTTCGCTGCACAGCACACTGCAAAGACACACGTTAGCATCTCAGTTACATTCACGCATATACGGAGACCTAAGGATCAGGGAGGGGGTGGGGGATCGACTTACCAGCTACTCCCGACGAGGGCATCCAACTCCTTGATGGCCCTCTCCCTGCCGGCACCCGTCTTAATGCCCTTCTGGACCTCGACCTGCAACTCTGCGATGCGTTTTCCGCGCGCGATGCCCGCGAGCTCGACGACGCGCTTGGCGAGGCAATCGCTGTGGAACGCGTGCTGGCAGGGGAAAACAAAGAACTGGCGTGCGAGCAGCGGGAGACCGCACACGTAGCAGCGCTCGCCGGGCTCGACGATGGCATAGCGCTGCTCGAGGGCCTTGATGTCTGATTTGATGTGTGTAGCTGTTGCTTCGCTATCGTCCATTTCCTGCTTGAGGCTGTCGATCTTGCGGCTGTAGTCCTCGAGGGCGGCGCAAATCTCCTCTTTGAAGTCGTCGATGACGACAAAGTCTGGGAAGAACGGGATCAGGTCTTCGATGCGGAGGAGGTCGACACGGCGCAGGAACTCGATGGCGGTTTTGATGCCGCTGGATTGCGAAATGACCTTTTTGGCAATGGCGAGCCACAGCTTTTTGCGTAGAGCGGGCTCTGTGTTTGAGCGGTCGGCGACCGAGGATGCCAGGTCGACTTCGTCGTATTTGAGGGCGAGATCGACGGCTTGCACGTATTGTTGCATCCAGCTGTAGATGTGCACGCAGGACTGTACGCGCTTGTGCTGGATGCACAGGCGGAGGGCGAAGTCGGCGTCGTAGTTCTGCTCGTGAGCAAGTGATTGGCCTTCGAGATAGGCCAGCAGCGCCGATTCGTCCGTCGTGGGATGGGATGCGTAGATGGAGATGAGGGTGTTGTGGATTGCAGCGTCTGTCGAGTTGTGTTGGTTGATTTCAAAAAGGAGATAGCGGACCGCTTGGTTCTGGTGTAGAGGGACTTTGGTGTGGTTGTTGTAGTTAAGGAACGCGGGGATGAGCTTCTGCGCATCAAAGGTAGAGTGGCGCATCATGATATCCACAAGCTCGACTGGTACATGCGCCATGAGCACCGAACTGTACTTGTAGAAGATCTCTGGATCCGTCTGCTTCTTGAGAACGCCCAGAGATTCCTGCCATCGCTCTCGCTGGACCCAGTATGAGAGCACGTAGTTGTAATCGTTCACGACTGTCGCAAAGTAGAGCAGCTCTTCTTCCCGGCCATGGCTGCTGATGATTTCGTACACCGTCTTGCGGTCCAAGTCTGCTTTGTACTTGGAAACAAAGTCCTGGTACTCCTTGCGAATAACCGAGAGTTGGTCATGCGTTTCGGCTGTGTTCATACTCTCAGAGAGCTCTGCTTTGGTCGTGATGGTGTCGTCTAGCGTATTAAGCTTGGCCATGTAGAGTTCAATCAGCCATACGGCCACCATGGTCCGCTGCATGATGGCGCCTTTCTTCAACGTTGACAATTTGGTCACCAGGTACTTCCGGAGCGCGTCTTGTTCGCCATTATCGATGAATGTCAGGGCGACTTGCTCAAACGGCTTTGTGCTCCGACCGTACACAGTCGCTGCTTCCATAAACTGATTCTTCCCGACGAGATAGTCTCCAGACGCTGTGGCTACTGCGTCCTTTTGTGCCGGTGTTTTGGCGTACTGTGACGCCGCCTCAAACTGTTGCGACTTGAGCATAATCTTCCACACGTCCCTACTCTCGTCTGTTATTACGACCTCGAATATCTCCTGAGTAGTGAAAAGCCAGTATGTATTTTTCTTCAAGTCCGCCACCAGGCCTAATGCGCTTTGTCCAGGATCAAGCACGACTTGGTCCAGAATGACAGTGTCATCAAGTCGGTTGATGGCGACAATCCTGCCTTCAACCAGTTGGAGGATATGCCACTGGCTCAGGACCATGGAACTGACCGCATCTTGCGTTCTGCGAGTGCGCCCGCTGGCAGTCTGTGAAGGCGGTATCTGAGATCTTGGCAGCATCTTTGCATCACCAAGGACCTTGCCGCCAAGCTCCGAGGTGTCCTGTGACATGTACAGCTTGCCATGCAACACACCTTGTGATGTGAGCCAGCCGAATACTCTCTCCGCATGCGCGTCCTCTCTGTTATGGCTCTCTTGATTCTCCGGAGAGACGGCCAACAACGAGGTCGCGGTAGGAGCCACATTCGACACTTCGTGCACTGTTGCCGATTCGCTTTCAAAGAGTCTGGAGAAGATGGATCCGCTTCCCTCGTGTCCCTGGCGTCCGACTTTACCTGCAAAATGTAGAAAAGTCGATGGTGTAGCTACGATGACGCGCCGCAGATCTGACCGCCCAGCCACGGTGTCTGTCCATAACCCAGTAATGGGACCATCATTTGTCCTGTATACGCTCTTAAGGTATCTCTCTTCTCTCCTGTAGAATTCAGATGAGGGCTCAATGTAGACTTCGTACACATTGCCGTCTGACGCCCCAATAAGAATCTCCCTTGTTGATGCGGTGGGTTGCGACGGATTCCACGATATGCTCTCTATCACGACTCCTTTTAGTCTCGACAGTGCCTTTGGCGTACGCGATTGTGTGTGAAGATAGTAGTTCTCGGCGAGGGTCGTGGTTATTATCAGATGGGATGCCGAGGGGTCGAGGAACAGGCGCTTGATGACGCCGATTTCCGAGGGCTTCTTCGGCAGGTCAATGTCTGCATGCAAGTAAGTGTTTGTTTGCGGTATTTCTCTGGTGAGGAAGTATGCATGACGAACCGTCAATGTCTGCGGGACTATCCAGATCGATTCGCAGAATGCGGCCCGTCGAGAGGGCGAGTATGAGGACATTGTTCGCCACGGCAGCGGCTACAAAGTCGGAAGATATGTTGAACTGCAGGGACACGCGCTCTATGTTGAACATGGGTAGCGATGCATCGTCTTGCATGTTGCTTGTGCTGGGCGGCGCATACCCGCTCGACATGTCGTACGCCATTATGGGATCAGGATCAGCTAGTCGCTATCGTACACTCGCTTTCATGTTTCGCGCCGCACTCTGCTGCTCTTCCCGCTCTTTTTAGATTCCACGGTTCCGTTGCGCAGGCTCGTTATCGTTGTGGAGGCATCTTGACAGCCCGTGGTGACGCCTAAGCTCGGAGCTTGGACGTCGGCAACGGGGCGGAGATAAGCCGGCTTTACGGTAGTCCAGGTCATGTGACTTCGCGTCTCGCTGGCGCCACACCCACTACACGCCTTGTATAATGAGCCTACTTTGCATTCTCTCGTTGTTATGTACTCTTGCTTCTTCCCTGTTTTAATAGAATATCTGTTTTCTTATTAGATGTCCTGTATAATAGATATATACTAGTACTATTCCGATTGACGGCAAATTCTTCTAAGTAATCTGTTATCCATTCATCCAGAAATTATTGACTTGTCCTTCAACATGCCAGTAGAAAGTAATTCTAAAGCACAACGATAAACACCCTAACGGTCTGCGTTGGGAACCCATGTAGGCCACTTGACACGTGTTCTAGACCTTTGTGGCATTCATTCATGAAGCTTCGGGTCAGCGCATGCTGAGTAAAGAGAATTGACGCGTACTGCCTCATATCACACTAGATGAATATCCTGCTCTTCTACGTCCCAACCCACCCAGTCTTTGCTTCCTTCACTCCCTAGAAGTGTCCCAAAACGCAACTGACCGTCTTCACCTCTGTATTTCTCTTTTCCCGTCACAAAACTTGCCCCAACGAAATTGTAGTACCGCTCTGGTCCTGTAGGCCGCAGCATACATGGCATTGAACAACCAAAGATAATGGCGCACAGATCTCCGACTTGTGTGACTGCGGGAGCTATTCCCATGTATCCACGTTCTGTTATTACAAATCTGCCCTCGTTTGCCCAGTTCAAGACGCTCTCTAAGAACCCATCTACATTATAATACGTTCCATTTTCGGGTTCCTTTCGGCGCAAGATTCCAGGTGGGGAAGATTCCGCTTCCAATATAACATCTGTCGCAAACGCTGTCCTGGATACGTTCCAGGACCTGTTATTGTCATCGTACCTGCCTAGACACAAAGTATCCAGAAAAGCATCAAGCAGGTCAGCCGGTCTATATGGACAGTTCTGTGTGTGAAGGTTAACATTCTTCCAAACTTCGGATAATGTTTGCAGCGTTGTTGACTTGTCCGTGAGAATATGCGAGACAAATCTCACACTATCCAACACAACACCCCGACATGCGAATGTAGTCTTGCCTTTACAACCCGGTTCATATATGAAACTATTACGAGACGTCAAGACGGTCTTTTTTCTGGTAGAGATTATGACCGATGATCCTCTTAAATCCCAACGGGGTATCCAGGATGCGGCTGAGAGGTTTAAAGCGCTAATCGGATGGAAAACGTAGTCTAAGATGCAGGGAGTCCTAGTAAATTTGGTGTGTTCCACGACAAATTGCCTATAAACATCCAGGTACGGTGAGGTGTAGTCTGGGGTCATGGTGAAAGCGTGTTCATTGTCTCTTGACAGCTCCATGAAGGCGTAAATCCTATCGCGTGGATCCGACACATGTAACGGTGCTGCATTCTCAAGATCTTCCAATAGAGCACGATCTTTTGAGGGAGCTTGAATGGAAAGTGAACCGGAGAAGCTTCTGTTGCGCCTTGCGTAAGCAAAGACATGTGATACAATATCTCGACTGAAAACACCAGCGTCCGACAAAGTCTGTGTTGCTCGCATGGTCGACCAGCAATAGGCGCGCATCAGGTTTCCCCAGTCAAAACTGCTCGAACCCCAGATGACTTGGCCGACTTGAGCAAAGGCTGCTTCTCTCACAACCCAACCGCGTTCAAACCATTCTTCGCAGAGCAGATGGTACATTGATGCCCATCGGACATTAGATAAAAGTGTGCTGTTCTCGTCGGGAAAGGGGAATGAACCGTACGACATATCGATGTTTTGGCAAGTTTCCTTGATCATTTGATCAACTTCATCGAGCAAAGAGCACAGCTGGGGACCATGGCTGCCTTTGTCAGGTCCTACGTAGATCAGAACCCGCTTTGCCGAGCGGTATAGCTGTCCCATAATGGCGACTTGGTGGCCCTTTTCATCTGAATCCTCTTGGTTGATGCAGATGCCGTCTGCCCAGAGCTTACGTGGTTCATTTGGAAGGCGGACACGTTGAAGAACGTTGTAGAGGTTTGCGGTGACTTTGATGCTGCGACCATTGCATATGATTCTTTTGTTCTTGATGTCTTTTCCCCAGACATACGATATGGCTTCGAATTCAATCTGCGGCAGGGGCGCGGTGCAAAGGCTACAGTCGAGTTGTTCATTACCCACACCGGGCTGAAGGATCAAGTAGCGAAAAGAATCATCGCGAGGCAGCTTGTTGTATTGATAAGGTGTTTCAAGGATGGATGAAACTTGACTTGAAATTTGGTCAATGTCCTGCATCTTGCAAAACGACAATTTGCATGTGTATGTGGTATGAGAAGAGTGAAGGGAGGAAGAAGCAGGTTAAGCCAGGCTGACATCTGCGGCTCTCAAGAGAAACTAGTTCCTCGCCATATCCTGCGCCACAATGCTCCTAACATACCCCGCCACCTTCTCGGCCACCGGTACGCCATGCCTAATACAGAACCCATGCGGCCATCCTTCTCGATGATCAATGTCCATGATGGGTTTCCAATTTTCGCCCAGACCATCTGCCTCGTCGACTTCGCCTGCGTCAAATCGACCGCGACTGTTGATCAGAGCATCCCGTGTTGCATCCGCAACCCAATGATCGGTCCGCGCAAACAAGAAGCGCAAAATAGGCCTTGGGTGTGGGTGCTTGGTTGGCGGCTCCGAGGCTGAGGCGCCCCAGATTTCCTCGTCCCAGATGTCGGTGTCGATCTGGAACATCTCATCGCGCGCCATGTGAAGCGCTTGTTGGATGCCGTGGGGAGACTTGATGAAGGCGGCTGTCGTGTTTGCAGCATCCGGAGGGAAGCCCATGAATTTTGCCACGAGCGTAGCTATAAAAGACATGGGAAGTAGACAGGTTAGAAAGTAGACAAAGAGTGAAGCAAATACTGCAAAATTGGAGTTCTTGAGGAAGGGCTATAGCACGTGGTTAGTCTTTATCTGTCGTGTAGAGGAGCAGGTTAGACGTACAGCAGCCTTCATCCCGCTCTCGCTCCTGGCAATGTCCACAATTGTCGGGAACAGACCTATGGCGCCAACGACTCTGGTCTCGAAATCGTCACCAGCCAGGCCATGCGCCCTCAGCCTACGAATGATTTCCAGAGAGATATACGCGCCAACCGAATGTCCCATCAAGATGACTCGAACATCCTTTGCACCCTGCTCTTTCACCTCCTCCACCAAATCTGTCAACTCATCTTCAGCATGTCGGATTTGGTCTTGCAGTCCATATGGCGGCTGTTTGCGCCACTTGATGGTCTTGATCTCGGCAGTATTCATTTCAAACCCAGACAGACTCCTTGCATACACCTGAAACTCAACATCGCGGTCTGATGCTGTATTATGGCTCAGGAGACCATACAGATGTGTTAGAAAGGTACGGTAGTATTCAACGAGTCCTGGGTTGCCGGTAACAAAGTAGATGATGTAGGTCCGGGAGGCCGATTTCTTACCGGGCTCTGGCGGTGTGCGGAGATGAATCAGGGAAGCAGGTGTAGAAGACATTGTGATTTCAAGCTTGAGCTGCGTATTCAGAGCCAGAAGAGGTGATGTAGGAAAGGAGCCTGAAAGAGCGCTTTTAAGGGCGGTCTTTTGGTATCTCGGCTGCGCTAGGTCCAACCTAGGTTCAGCAAATGCGCTAGGCCTTCTACGGCATGGCGGACAGGTCAGAGACAACGAGAACAACTGGACAAGGTCTGCGCGAGGCCGATCCACCGTTACCGCTTTTCGCTCGATGAGCCACTGAACCCGTGTACTTACCAGTTACCTTAATGGTAGATGCAATCTCCTAGCTTCTTTTTGCCCAGCCACAGTGCAACACGACACTTTCCAAGCGTCTAATACAATGCGCTGACGCATTTCGCACACATCGCTGACAAAGATAAAAGCTAATTGGGTATCATTGTTGAAATTCGTACGGTGCACCAGTTTCTCTTTACAGCCGCCAATCACATCGTTCGAGAATAGTTTACTCTGCGTTCTTGAGAAACAACTCTAGGATCCCTACCATCCTCTCCTTTCGAGCCGCCTTCTCTCTCTCCTTGCTTCCGTCTTTCCATCTTACCAAACAGTCTGCACAGATGACTGCGAAGTTTCGCACAATCAGCTGCCGGATAGCTACTTCGGGCACTCTGCTCAGTGTTTTCCGCCTGACCTTAGCCTGTGGGCTGGAAGGAAGACTCATATCTGCACTCGCCCGCTTGGAACTCGTGTCCTCCGAGCGTGGCTTTGATGCTTCCGTAATCTGATTTGCAATGTTCTGGAGGAAGGAGAGGATGAGAAGAAATGTCGCGTTGTGGTTAGGGGCGGAAGCGAGGATTTCGAGGATGGCCATTTTATCGTCGTCTGGGGAAGCAGGGGCGTTGGACTTTTCGCGGCGGACCAGGACCTCTTCCAATTTCTCCCAGATACTCTCCGTGATGACGCCGTCAGTCAGGCTAGAAAGAAAGATTAGGAGAACTTCAGCCAGCATCTCGACTCTTTCCCCACTGCGCGTCTCAGGGTTAAAGGCGTCAGCAAAAGATGTGTCGCAGTCCAATGCATCAAAGAGCTCAGCAAGCTCATCCCCCCTCTCCTCTCCTGCATTATTTCGTCCTTTTACGAAGGGCCATCCTGCGTTGCCTTGCCAGGGCGCTCTCTCTCCTTCACCTTTGGTCATTTCCCATTCGGCCAGCGTACGCTCCGTTAAGTCTTCTATCGACTCGGTCAGCCGGAAAATTTCCCTAGGCACGCTCCATTTTACCTCGCCACGGGCAGGTACCTGGTTCTGTAGCTTTCTGATACCGCCTTCGGGGATTTGGATCAGCTTGTCGATGGACCTAGCAAGCGTGGATGGTAGCCAATGGGCACGAATGGGCAGGAAATGGTCTCGTCCGTTGTCGATGCGCAAGACGAGGACCTCATCTAGCACCGAATCTCCTTCGTTGAGATCACGCACAGATGTCGGGTTTTCAATCTTGAGCTTCAACTCAATGTTGAGGACATCTGCAGGGTCGAGAGTGAAACGCTGGTGAATGTCATCCGGCTTTGGCTTGTCGGGTTTGTCCTGCTCCCTGTCGAACGTGACGCTGAGCCAAGCGGGAAATGGTCCGGCAGGCTGGCCCTTATCTACTGGGCGATCTGCAAACCCGAACGTGGCTGGAACACGTCCAGTGTTGGCGATGGTCACACTGCGCCGGTAAGACTTTGCGAATCTGACCTCGCCAAAGTCTACTCCTTCGAAGGCGCTGTCTGTTTTATTTTCCTGGTCGGGCGAAGAGGAGCCAGTGGCACGTTCCACTGCTACGGCGATGGAGGGCCGGCCTTCGTTCTCTTGACGGTCTATCTCGCGAGCCACCTCAGCGTGCACAGCAGTCTTGAGCTCAGGGACAACGGCATCATATTGCAGGCGAAACACGGCATCTAGCGGCTTGTGATCAGAGCTGAGCACGCGCATATGTGTAGTGTAATACTCGAGTAGCAGCTCAGCCTAGCGAGATTCAGTCAGCAAACTATGATTCCGTAGCAAGGGCCAGCATGCAGCAGCATACGTACGTATAAATCATCTTTGGTTTTTATCGGTTCTGGCTCGGGCGCCTCGTTCTCGTCGTAATCATCGTAGGTCTCGCCGTCGGTGTCTGGGTCATATTCGTACATGACACCAAAGTCCCCTGGAACAGACATTCCCTTTGATGATAATTCCTCTTCTCTTTGACGTGCAGCTTCTCGGTCCCTGACCTTGGCCTCGTACTGCTGTTTGGATGCTCGCGTGCGATAGATGATGCGATCGCACCAGCTTGGGCAACGGCGCTTTTCACTCGAGTCAAAGACGCCAACCTTGCCAATATCGTACTTGTAGGATGGCAAGAATTTGATCGGGCCCTCTTCCCAGCCCTCATGGAAAGCCTTGCCTTCTCTCATCATTTGGCGCAACTCGTCATGTGGCAGCAGAGACGAGATGGTAGTTTGAAGCGACGCTGGATCCAGTTCGTCGGGGACGGGAATAGCGTCGTGAATTTGCTCGGACGAACGCTTCGAAGCGTACCCTGAGTCACCGGACGTTGACGGCCTACCTTCGCTCTCGGTTTCGTCCATGTCTTTGGTATGAATGGTGAGCAAACGGCGTACGTCATCGCCCGGCATGTTCTGGAGGCGATAGTTCAAATCACCGAACCAAAAGGCAAAATCCTCGTCGCCTAGCCCTTCCCCACTGGTTTGGGACGGGCCCAGTCCATCCATAATGGGATCGAAGCGTGTGCGCGATTCAATTTGAGCAGCGTCCCAGTTTCTTCGATCCAAGGATGCCTTGTCAGCGCCAGCTGCAAGATGCGAATTGATGAAGACAAGGCGTGTTGTCTCGCCTAGAACCAGACGCGTCGTGACAGCTCCTTTGTTGCCCATGTAGCCCATGAGCCCAGTGCCAACGCTCGTAGTGCTGACGTTTTTTATTTGGGGGAAAATTTCAGGCGACGCATAAATGGCCAGCCACAAGCCGATCAGCTGCTGGTCTGCGACAAGCTTGTAACCTTTGGGCAGGGCCGCTTCGAGCGAGGCCTTCCACCTGTTCACTGTAGAAGGATCCGTGTAGGGCCTAAGTGCTTCCGTGGGCGAGGTAATGTCGACAACCTCCTGCAAGCCGAGGACGTATATATCGACTTCTTCCCCGCCTGGAACAGCTCCTCCGTCATGATGGGGGACCGTGGGCAGGTCGGAGCTGTGCCTTGCTTCCTGGGCAGCAATCGTCTCCCTGCCGCCTTTGCTATGGTAGCCAGGGTCCGACACGCCCAAGCCGGCCATGACCTCTTCGACGCCCCTTCCCTTGATGAACCATTTGCCTATGTCGTTCTCTGTCCCCTTTTGGGCGCCCGTGTTCCAGCAGCCGACTTTGATGCGCACAGTCTGCGGCCGCGTATACTCGGCGCGGCGATCATAAAGGGCCTGCGACAGTGAGGTTTGCTGCGTAGCGGCAGAGGCTAGCGTCGGGGTGGGCGCATCGACGAATGCGCCAGGAATGGTGGCATCCAGGCGCTCCGTCAACCGGACAGAAGAGGCTCCGGAGGCCATGACGGGGTCGAAGCGAGTGGGCCGGAGGGTGGAGGAAGGGGAGGGAGGGAGGGAGAGAGGGAGGGTTGAGGTCGAGGGCCCAAGTCACGCGCAGAGGCAGGTGCAAGCACAGGCGCAGGCGCGGAAGGAAGTCGCAGTCAGCGCATGCTGGCCATAGTATATTGGTATTTTATGGCGGATGATTAAGCAGGCTGTGGAGCCACACGCACAACTTGTCAGCCATGACGACGTCGAGGGCGCGAGCTTGGTTGATGGCGCAGGCCGGGGGCGTTGGAGTGGCTTTGCAAGGCGGCGGTGCTGTGCTTGGGGGGAAAGGGAGGGGGGAACGGGGGCGATGGTGGGGCCCAAGCACAAGCTTGCTGTGACGAAAGAGACCCTCTTTGTGTTATGCATGTACGGTCCCTGAGTCTGATTGAACACGCCTCTCTTTCTCTCTCCCTCTCTCTGCATACACACATAATACTACAACCACCCGCACCCCCATCCCTAGCACTCGATGGCGCCACACCGCAAGGCCCGCGCCGGCCAGCCCCAGCAAGCTCAGCAACAGCAACCACCGCCCCAGCCCTCCGACTACGAGACGGATGCGCCGCCTGCTGTTGACGTGCCCCTCCCTCCGCCGCGGTCCAACGAGGAGCTCAACTTCTCTGTTCTTCGCCGCCAGTGTCCCGATCTCGTCGCCATTGAGCATGTCACGCCGTATGCCGCATTGTACACCTTCAACCTCGAGACGCAGCAGTGGGAGAAGATGGGCATCGAGGGCACCCTCTTCATCTGCCAGCTGACGCCGTCTCACGAGGGCGCCGAGCGGTACTGCGCCATTATCCTCAACCGCAGAGGCCTCGACAACTTCTACCAGGAGCTCACTAGCAGCGAAGACATGGAGATTTCGGATCCCTATGTCATCATTCAGGGCGACCAGGTATACGGCATTTGGATCTTCGCCGACCCGCCACCTTCGTCGACTGCCAACTGCCGCATCGAGACTGCTGCCAAGATGATGGCTGTCGCCGACCGGGCACGAATCAGCCGGGATGCTCTCCTGCCTCCGTCCCAGGCGGCCCCGCCTGGAGAAGCAGACTCATCGGTGCCCATGGGCCGCCAACTGTCGCTGCGCGAGCTCTTTGGCCAGCAGCGAGAACAGGATGCCGACTTTAGCCTGCACCACCACGATAGCCACTCGTTGCCGAGCATGCAGCAACACCAACAGCGTCATATGTCGCCCTCTGTCGCTGCCCCAGCTCACACGGATGTGCTTGGCCAGCTGTTCCTGAAGGCCAAGCAAAACCACAATGGCCTAGACTGATGTGCTGCTGCTCACTCCAGCTTGTTGCCAAAATCTGTGTGCAGATTCCAAAATGCGCCGGCAGCTGCACTCCAACATTCAACTGCCTTTACATGGGACTAGTCGCTGTCTTCCATCGTGTGCTGGCATGTTTTACCAGCGAAAAACAAACACGTGCAGCTTTTTTTGCACAATGTCCCATCTGCTCAACTCCTGCACAAGGATTACGAGTATTGTCCAATGGGGAATGAATGTAGCTAGCGATCATCGGGACGGATATTGAGGTCGGACCGTGGTACTATAGGCGCAAAGCTCCAGACGCTGCTTATTGCGCTTCGTTATCATCAATTGTCGGGACGATACTCCGTTCAAGCTGATGATATTGTTTCATCATTGAATTCTCAAGACTCTCCCCGGCGGCGGTGACATGCAGCGAGTTTGTGTTCTAGTCCTGTGCTGCCACTCGTTGACATGTCTGGTAGGGCTGGCAGTGACCTCACCCCTCCCACACATCCCTGCATTTTACCCCACGGCGGGGCACCCGTCCTCCCAAAAATTTCCCCTCGCAACAGTGCATCATCGCAAACACACAAGATTGCAACATTGCCGCCCAATTATACACCATGACAGAAAACGTTCGAGTCCTCCTCGTCGGCAATGGCGGCCGCGAACATGCGCTTGCCTGGAAACTCTTGCAATCGCCTGCGACCGAGCACATTTACGTGTGCCCTGGTAACGGCGGGACTGCCACGCTTTCGCCAAAGGTGACTAATGTCACGCATGTCAAGGACACGGACTTTGCAGGCCTTGTCCAGTTTGCAAAAGAGAAGGAAATCAATCTGTTGATACCAGGGCCTGAAGCGCCGCTAGTTGCGGGCATTGTCGACTACTTCAAAGACAATGGACTAGAGAGCATCAAGGCGTTTGGCCCTTCGAAGAAGGCGGCCACTATGGAGGGCAGCAAGACGTTCAGCAAGGATTTCATGAAGCGCCAAAATATCCCCACTGCAGCCTACGAAAACTTTAGCAAGTACGAGGATGCAAAGGCATACCTCGACACCATTTCGCACTCGGTGGTGATCAAGGCCTCGGGCTTGGCAGCTGGAAAGGGTGTTATTATACCGCAGAGCAAGGAAGAAGCACAGGCGGCGCTCAAAGACATTATGCTAGATCGCGAGTTTGGCGCTGCAGGCGACGAAGTCGTGATTGAGGAATTCCTCGAGGGCGATGAGCTGTCCATCCTCACATTCAGCGACGGCCACACAATCAAGTCGCTCCCGCCCGCACAAGACCACAAGCGCATCTTCGACAACGACCAGGGCCCCAACACAGGAGGCATGGGCACGTATGCGCCCACACGTATTGCGCCCCGCGACGTTCTCGACCGCATCGACAAGGAGATTCTCCAGCCCACAATCGACGGCATGCGCAACGAGGGTTTTGAGTTCAAGGGCGTGCTCTTCACGGGCTTGATGATGACCAAGGATGGTCCCAAGGTCCTAGAATACAACGTCCGCTTCGGCGACCCAGAGACGCAGAGCCTGCTCGCACTCATGGAGGGCGACCTCGCCCAAGTCATGGTGGCATGCGCAGACGGGCGCCTGCAAGATGTCGATGTAAAGGTATCTGACCGTTCGGCTGCTACCGTCGTAGTCGCAGCCGGCGGCTACCCAGGCAGCTATGCAAAGGGCACAGTCATGACACTGGATCCCACACCTGAAGGTAAGTTCCTCGCATCGCACTAAGCCCAGATCTAAAAGGCTTGCGCTGACACACACATACAATAGACGTCGTGCTCTTCCACGCAGGCACTTCCTTCTCAGACAACACGCTCAAGACATCGGGAGGCCGTGTCATTGCATCGACAGCCACAGCACCCACGCTCGAAGAAGCAGTCGCAAAGGCCTACGAGGGCGTCAACTGCATCCACTTTGACGGCATGCAGTTCCGCAAGGACATCGCGGGCCGCGCTTTGAGAAAGTAGCTGAACGCGCGGTTTCTGGCGGCGAGCAGGATCGAGACTGGAATTGAATTGGGCGTTTTTTTTTTCTTTTTCTTCTTCTTCTTTAAGAAAGCAATTATGGATTGGGGTTCATATATATCATGGGTACTGTGTGTGTGTGTGTATTAGATTTAAATAAATCAAAAATTCAAATCAAAAACAGAGTGTGTGACATTAGTCTTATTTGATCATGTTGTGCCATATTTACATGATTTATACGATTCGAGCACACTTTGGTGCTTTGTGTGTGTGTGATTGTGATGTTACACAGCAGCGTCTTTTGGCCCCCTACAGTACAGTATATGTATATCTTTCTAATTGCTATACTCACATATACATGTATAGAAACCATATACAATTTTATTTTATTTTATTTTTTATTACCATCTTCTTTTCTTTCTTTCTCTCTCTTCTGGGAAAAAAAAGAAGAAGACTCGACTTCAGTCAGTCAGGCAGTGAGTGAGTGCATGAGCGACTTGATTCCTAGCTTCCTACATAGCTACATACCTACCTAGCTACCTACCTACCTACCTACGTGGCTGGCGCATTTAGCATTTTAGCTATTAACATGGAGTCAAATATTATCATTACTAGGTAGGTAGGCATGGAGAAAAAAAGAGAAACAAAAAAAAGTTTCCGGTGTACGAAGCCAAGCCTTGTTTTAAACGTGTCATGGATAATGTATGTTTTGAAGTCCGCCTTTTTTTCCTTCTTCTTCTTCATCATCCCCCGGTCTCTCTCTGTGTCTATCCATTACTGTTGATGTTTTGGGCTTTTGACTTTGTGTTTTGTTTTTTCCTTTTTGCGTTTCTTCTTGTCGGGTGAAACGGGTGGGTCTTGGTTTTTGCGTTTTGTGCCTGGGGTGGCTTGGGGTGGGGTCGTTTGTTTGATGGTGGTGGCTACTGACTCGGCATGGCTGGATGCTGCTGGGATATCAGTAGCTTGTTGGTCGTCGTCGTTGTGCGTCTGCGCCTGGGCGTCGGCCTTGGCTTTTTCTTCTTGCTCTTTCAGACGCGCAGCCCGGAGCTCGTTCTTTTGCCGTATCGCGTCTTGCAGGATGGGACTGTCTCGTTTCAGAGCGTCGGCTGCGGCTGCCACGCCGGCTTGTACTTTGTTTTGCCCGTCGCCGCTGCCGAGCCACTCGTCCTTGTAGCCCCATCCTGTGAGGTATATACCTATGTGAAAGCACTGGATGCCGTTCGAGTCGTACGTCATAGGCCTCTCTTCCTTGGTAACGAGCTTGATGTCCTTGCCTAGAATGAGCCTGTTGAGTTCATTGCGCGCTTGGGGGTTCTCGATAATCTTTTCCTTGAAGCCGAGTAGCTGCGGGGCCCAAAGCTCCGTGAGCCATGCCTCGGCGGTCGCGAAGCCGTTTTCCGGGTCGGAGAGTACGATTGCGGCGACGTAGGCCTCGACAATGTCGGCAACTACTTTGCGGTATGGCTTGGAGTTCTTGTCCCATATAGTGCGGTGCTTCAGGCGATCGGGAAACCCATAGGCTTCGGAGAACTTGCCCAGGGTTGAGTTTTCGACGAGGCGTTCGCGCCACGTGCACAGCTCGGGCACGTCGACGTGGGGGAAGCGATTGTAGAGGGCGCGGGAGGCGATGAGCTCGATGTAAGCGTCGCCCAGCAACTCGAGGCGTTCGTAGTCTAGGCTGAGGTCCTCGCCCAGCGTCGAGCCTGGGATACTGGGGTCGAAGATGGCGGAGCGATGGGTGAAGACGGCGTCGTGGAGATGGGGCTCGGCGATAGGGGGGAGGGGAGGCAGGTCTTTGGCCGCGCGCACTTTGCGATCAACGTAGTCGGGGATAGCCACCTGGACTGCGCGGTCGGGGCGCTTCTCGTCGAGTTGGCGTTTTGCTTGCGCCGACTCGCCATTGTCTCGAGCACACAGCCGGCGACGGAGCTCATGCGCATGGTAGAGCGTCTGCTTGTCTGCGCCGGCAATGGTTTCCTCGGCGACAAACCTGTCGAGCAGGGCGACCAGGCCCGTCTGCATGTCCTTGGACGAGAGCTCTGGCTGGGGCGCATGGGGGAGATGGGGCAGCGCATTGCGGTGAGGGGCGTGCTGGTGCTTCTTGGTGTGCTGGTCGCGGCCGTAGTGGCTGAAGCCGCCGCTGCGTTTGTTGGAGGCCATGCTGGTGGGCGTGGGTGGCGAGTGGTGTGTTTGCGGGAGACGGGGAGACGAAGTGGTGCATGTGCAACCGTTGGCGGCGGGCGCTAGTGGCGGGCGCCAAGGGCACCTCCGATGACATTTCACTCTCGCCGCAGCGCCAGCGACATCACGCTTCTCCCCCACGCATTGCATCCACCATGGCGGTGCCACGACAGCGCGTGCTGGACCTGATGAGGGTAGGCTCCGTCTCGTTTGGACTGCGGCAGGTCACGTGTCTCGATTCTTCTAACCCGCGCAGGTCCAATGCAGCGTCTTCAGCACGACATACAACCCCGAGCGGCTGCGCCTGGGCTCGCGCATCCTTCACCAGCGCCTCAAGGGCCCCGCCGTCGCCTCGTACTACCCGCCGCGCATAGGAACCATCAGCCAGCTGCGCAGCCTGTATCCCGAGCACCAGATCATCGACGAGGCCGAGGAGGACTGGCTCGAGCACCTCAATGTCGCAAAGTCGCGGGGCAAGGGCGCGCCCAAGAAGAAGAGGACTGCTGCTGGTAAGCACCCGCACCCGCAGTCTGTGGCCGGCGACGCTGACGCTGACGCGCTGCAGAATCCAAAAAGTTCAACAAGCGGAAGTAGGCGCATGGGTAGCGGGCACCATCATGCCACTGGGCTGTACAAAATGCACGAGTCGGCGTTGAATTCAGGCGCGCTACATCTTGCTCTTGACCTCGTCCTGTGCCTTTGCTCTCCACTCGCGTTCAAACTCGTCGTCCCACGCCGTGCGTGCCTGGCGATGCTCGGGCAGCACGGGGGCGTTCACCTTGTGATGCTCGACAGTGCAGTACACCGTCTTCCCGTCGACGCTGGTCATTTCGCCCCGGATCATTGCCATCTGCTTGCCCACACTCACCACCCTGCTGCTGAGCCTGACCTTGACGCCAATGGGCACGGCCCTGAGGTATGAGATGTTGAGTGAGCGTGTGACGCCGCCCATGAACTCCCAGAAGCCAGGCCGCGCGATCGGACAGAGCGCCGACGTGGTGGCCATGTCGAATATGACGCCGGCCGCTCCGCCGTGCATGACATCTGGCAGGGGTCAGGCTGGGACTATTATTATTATTATTATTATTGTAGTTTAACGTCCTTTCTCAGCCCAAAGGGCTATATAAGACGTGCAGGCTTAAGGCCTGCAAGTAACTACGTAGGCTAGAATTTAATCTAGGTACAAATTGAGTATGTACAATGTAGGGGGTTATCTAAATGAAGGTGAGGCTCGTAGCCTAGTAGTTTTTTAGTGAGTAACTCTCTCAGATCCTTCACTTTAAATGAGTCTTCCTCTCAAGTTTTAACGAGTAACTCTCTCAGTCGAATAGGTAGTTTAATGAGTAACTCTCTCATGTGGGTGGACCATAAATATGGTTGTGAGGGGAGAAGGATTCGAACCAGGCTGGGACTATGTATAGCGCGTAGACGTGTATTTGATTCCACGGCGACAGGGACCACGACATACTGTTGAGATTGGAGAAGCTGGGGGCCATGACCATATCAAAGGCCACGGTGCCGTCGGGCGTCGCGTCGACCAGCTCGAGGCTGTCCATGACCTGGCTGTCAAAGTCCTGGGCGCTGTCAGCGTACCCAAGCACAGCATAGTTTCGCGGCGTGGTGCTTACTACATGGCCTTTGGTTCGCTTGGCCGCCAGGAGTTTGTACTTTGCGAACAAGGCGCCGACGGCCGCCATGGCCTTTTGGCGGTCGCCCTCGTGCTCGCTCATGTCGAATCTGCTGCAGCTGGGCGAAGGGCTGTCTGGAGTGTCGGGAAGATGGCCCGTCGCAGGCTAGGCCGCCGTGCATACATGGATACACAACGATAGTAGATATACATGGACACCAATACGGCGCGCCATGGGGCCGACCCGGCGGCGGGTGATCGGCGGGCCTGTCTTCAGCCTCGGCTCGGGCTCGTCTAAGCAGAGGCTATGGCAGGGCTGCGTATAGCACATGTTGGTACCATCTGTCCTTTTTTCGCCCGGGTGCGCGTGCAATGACTCTCGGCCTGGCGTCGCCGTCGTGGTGATGGGGTCATGGGCGTCCTAGTGGCGTCACAGGCTCTCCCAACTGTTTCAAAGTCGCGATTCGCACTGACCTGACAGCTACGCGCCCTGCCGATATGGGTGTAGATAATGGCCGTCTGGCTATTTCTGGCAGACCAGCGACTAGCAGATGACGACCGTCTTCCATTCCGGGCCGTCCGAGACAGTCTGCGTCCCGTTCTCCTGTCGCGGTGGATCTGTTCGTCAGCCACCGACTTCCGCCGCCGACACTTACTGACTGCAAATACTTATTGCTTGCTGTCCACTTCTCTCTTGGCAACCCTGACTTTTTTTTTGCTGCTGCCAGACGCTCGCAGAGGCCGTTGCCGTTGTCTTGTCCTTCACCATGGGCTCCGAAGTCGTAGCCGTGCCGCCTCCTCTGCGCAAAAAGGTCCTGAGGGTCCTGTTCGTCTCGCTGCTGCTGGATCTGGTACGTCATTCCGTGTTCCGCCCCCGGCCGACTGCGCGCGCGCACCCGACAGCTAACAGCAGACGCTCCAGATATCCTTCACCTTCATCCTGCCCCTGTTCCCCAAGCTCATCGAGTTTTACCGCAACCACGAGACGGGCGACCCCAACACGGTCCTCTCCAAGATCCTCGCCGGCCTCAATGCCTACAAGAACTCGTTTGCCAAGCCCATCAACTCGCGCTACGACATTGTCCTGCTCGGCGGCGCTCTCGGATCGCTCTTCTCCCTCTGCCAGGCCATCGCCTCGCCCTTGATCGGCACCCTCTCGGACCAGCATGGCCGGCGCACCGCGCTGTTGTGGTCCATGGCCGGCAACATCCTCAGCGTTGCCCTCTGGGTTGCCGCCACCGACTTCCGCACCTTTCTCGCCAGCCGCGTCGTGGGCGGCTTGAGCGAGGGCAACGTCCAGCTGGCCATGGCCATTGCTACCGACATCAGCGACGAAAGCCAGCGCGGCTCGACAATGGCGCTCGTCGGCGTCTGCTTCAGCATTGCCTTTACATTTGGCCCCACTCTCGGCGCATATCTCTCGACCCTGCGCATCATGGACAAGAACCCCTTCGCCATGGCCGCGGGCTTCTCCCTCTTCCTCATCGTCACCGAGACAATCTATCTGTATACCAGCCTTCCAGAGACGCTCCCTGCGGTGGTCAAGACGCAGAATGCCACACCCAACGGAAAGGCAAAAGACAGCCCTGCACCCAAGCCGCGTGCGCGCACAAACTCGCATTTCCTCCTCAACGCCACGCACTTCACCTTCATCCTCTTCTTCAGCGGCATGGAGTTTTCGCTTCCCTTCATGACATACGATCTGTTTGCTTACGAAGCAAAGGACTCGGGCCGCTTGCTCGGCTTCATGGGCTTGGTCGCTTCGCTACTTCAGGGCTCCGTGGTGCGTCGCATGCACCCACTCAAGGTGGTTCAGATGGGTGTAGTCAGCTGCACCATAGCCTTTGTCATGCTGGGCAGGGTACAAACGCAGGGCGCCCTCTATGGAGCCGCTGCTCTACTGGCTGTCACGAGTGCAACCGTTGTTACCGGCCTTAACAGCTTGTCATCTTTCGAGGCTGGTGCTAGCGAACGCGGAAACAAGCTAGGCAATCATCGAAGTTTCGGTAAGTCCCCAGAGTCGCCTTTGTTTTTCTTACCATTACTTACTCTGTCAGGCCAAATTGGGCGCTCTCTGGGACCCCTAATCTTCTGCTCCCTCTACTGGTGGGCGGGCCGAGAAACGGCATACGCCACTGGAGCCGCTGGTATGGTAGCCGTAGGCGGATTGGTATTTGCAGGGCTCAAAGTCCCACCGGGCACGGAGAAGGTTTCCAACAAGACTCAGCAAGCGGCCAAATAGACATGCGCCTTCACTCTGATGTATTTATAGACATCGCGTAATACACTACCATCTCTAATTCAATTGACTTTCGCAAGCCCAGATTGCGCGCAGAAACCTCGATGTACAGCACTCAGATCTTGGAGTGTCCATGACTCGCTTGCTGTAGATCCACAAACCCCCCCGCTTACCCCAACTCCTCTCTTGACTCGAACCTCGGCATTGTTTTAGTTGGCGCAACCAGGGGGGGAGGTCATGGGTCGGCCTTCTACCATACCCTTTCTTTACCGCCCTCACCGTTACTCCCACACCTCGGTTGCGCATACCTTTTGAAAACAACAACCATCGCCGCAGGAGAACCGGCCCAGGTTGACAAGATGGACCCGACCGCAACTGCTGCCGCATCACTGGCAGCTATCTCTGGCCTTGCCGCATACCTCAATGCAAAGTATCACATTACACAAGATCTGTCCGTATTGAGGGCGAAGAGCAATGCGGCAAAGAACTTTGAACAGCTCGGTATGTATGTCCAATGTTGCCCACACCCAACTACGCCAACAATGTAAACAGTCAAAACCAAACGCCAATGCCTGTGGTACGCATTTGCTCCCCAGGTTCCAAAGTACAGCAACAACTTGTGCATCTGGTCCCGCACCAAAACCTACACATGGCAGCAAGTACACGACCGCGCTGTCCAATGGGCCAACTTCTTCCTCGCCCAGGGCGTGAAACCTGGCGATTTGGTCGCCACCTATCTCATGAACAGTGCTGATTTCATCGTCATCTGGCTCGGCCTTTTGTGTATTGGCTGTGCCCCGGCCCATGTCAACTACAACTTGAAAGACGAGGGACTGGTCCATTGCCTGAAAGTTGCCCAAGCGAACCTCGTTCTTGTTGACGGGGACGCGGAGTGCTTGGAGAGATTCAACGGCGTAAGAGAAAGAATCGAAGAGATGGGCGTCAAGCCATTCGTCGTGGACGAGAACATGTTGGCGAGTGTCTACCAGGGCAGTACCGTCGTTCCCGGGGACGAACTGAGAGAAAACGTGAGTGCTAGGGATCCCATGTGTCTGCTTTATACCTCTGGAACAACTGGATTCCCCAAAGCCGGCAAGTTCATGGTGGGCCGATTCCATGAACGCGGAAGCTCCGAAACTCCTCCCTTTGGCCAGAAAGCAGGGCCAGACGGCGATCGCTGGTACTCTTGCATGCCCTTGTTTCACGGAACAGGAGGCATAGCTCTCTTGAGCGCGGTGACGACCGGCATGAGTGTAGCGGTAGGACGCAAGTTCTCAGTCAAGACCTTCTGGGACGACATCCACGACTCGCAAGCCACAACATTCGTCTATGTTGGTGAAGCAGCCCGCTATCTGCTCATGGCGCCGCCACACCCACGCGAGAGAGACCACCGATTGCGCGGCATGTACGGCAATGGCATGCGGCCAGATGTATGGGACCGGTTCAAGGAACGCTTCAACATTGCCGAAGTCATGGAATTCTTCAACTCTACCGAAGGCGTGCTGGGCATGGTCATTCACAGCAAGGGTCCCTTCACAGCAACTACCGTTGCCCAGCACGGAGCTATCCTCAGGCGCGCTATACACAACGTGTACGTGCCCGTAGCCGTTGATCCGGAGACAGGGGACCTGATCCGCGACCCAAAAACTGGATTCGTGAAGCGTAATTCGTACCAGGAAGGCGGCGAAATCATCGTTGCTGTGCCCAGCGAAGACGCGTTTGCTGGCTATCATAACAATCCCGAGGCCACAGCCAAGAAATTCGTACGAGACGTGTTCAAGAAAGGCGATTTGTACTTCCGATCTGGCGATGCGCTGCGGAGAGACGACCACGGACGGTGGTACTTCCTGGACCGGCTGGGCGACACATTCCGATGGAAGAGCGAAAACGTGTCCACGGCCGAGGTAGCCGAAGTGCTCGGAAAGTTCCCTGGTGTAGGCGAGGCCATTGTATACGGGGCTCTGGTCCCCAAGCACGATGGCCGCGCTGGCTGCGCTGCTCTCCGCTTATCCGATGGCATCACCAACCTGGAGACATTCGACTGGAAAGCCTTGCTAGAGCATTCCCGCAACAAGCTCCCCAAATACGGGGTGCCCGTATTCCTGCGCCTCGTCAAAACATCCAGCAACACGGATAACCAAAAGCAGAACAAAGCACCGCTGCGCGACGAAGGGATTGACATTGACAGGTATGGCACCAAGGTGGTGGGAGGCGCCGACGACGTCGTCATGTGGAGCAAGCCGGGCCAAGATGGATACGTCCGGTTTACGAGGGATGACTTGGAGGCGTTGAGAAGTGGGAAGATTTCCTTGTAGTAGATGGATGCATCTTGATACGACATATCACGCTTTTTTTTATATTTGGTAGTCTAGAATCTTCAAGTACCTAAAACCCAAGAGTGGGGAGATGAAGGGTTGGGCTAATTGTATAGATACATGAATATGCAAAACCCCAAAAACCAACAATACTTAACTCGTTCAAAAAGGTTCTTGTCCCATAATATTCTCAAAATGGCTCATTTCAAACCCATACCATGCATATCGGATAAGTATCGCCGCGCATCAACCCGTGACCATGCCCCAATTGCCGTCGCTTATCAAAAGACGCAGTGTGATTGGCGCGCTTCCGCCCAGCAAGGTCCCCATCTGTCGTCGCCGCAAAGGGGGAAACCCTCTCCACTTTCGTTGCAACAAGAAAAAGGAAGATCTTGCGGGGGAGGGGTTGGGACGCCATGTTTCGCTCTCACCATAGTCGGGCTGGTTACTCGCGTCTGGATACTACTATGCCGGACCTCGAGAGGCGATTGGTTCGCAAGCTCGGTACGTGCTCGTATATGGCAATGTCAGTTTATTCACGCTAACATACCGGAACAGACTGCTTTATTCTCGTAGGTCATTCCAGTTCACGGTAATACTGATGTTAGTGGCAGCTGATTTCAACCCCGCTAGGTGTACTGTTGTGCAGCGTATTTCTTCAACTACTTGGATCGCTCGGCCTTTTCCAACGCGTACGTGTCTGGGTTGAAGGAGTCGCTGGGACTCAAAGGCAATGAGTACAGCATCCTGCTGTCCATGTTCACGGCGGGGGGTTGTACGGGCCAGATACCGCACGCTCTGATTATCCAAAAGGTGGCGCCTCGCTTCTGGCTGCCCTTCACGCTACTGGTATGGTCCGGCCTGACCATGTGCTCTGCGGCGTGCAAAACATATGCTCAGCTCTGCGTCGTGCGCTTTTTGCAGGGGTTTTTCGAGGCGAGCTTGTATAGCGGCACCATTTACATTCTCGGGTCTTGGTATAAGCCGCTGGAGATTGCAAAGAGAACTGCTATTTTCACGGCTGTTGGCCAGATTGGTAGCATGTTCGCCGGTGTCATGATGACTGCGATGAATGAGAGCCTGCACGGACAGACGTCTCTTGCAGGGTGGCAGTGGGTATTCATCATTAGTATGCATATCCCGTCTATTGCCCCCAACCCCTGCTTCTGCTTCCTCGGTACTGACATGTGAAAAGACGGGGCCATGGGAATCCCCTTTGGCATCTTCGGTTTGATGTTCTTTCCGAACCTTCCCGAGTCGCCCAACGCGCCCTATCTCAGCAAAGAAGAAATCCAGCTCGCACTGGACCGCCTCCCGCCCAAGAAAGATTGGAGTCACGACATCAGCCTCAAGTCACTGGCCAAGCGGATTCTCACCAAACCAGATGTCTACATACTCACGCTGTACTCGATGATAGCATGTGCGCTCGAAGCGATTGTAGTCCAAGGCCTCTTTCTCCTGTGGATGAAGTCTCACATCGAGCAATTCCCAACATATGCGACGACCACGTATCCCCTCGGCATCCAGGCCGTCTCGATTGTTTCAAATATCGGAGCTGGCTACGTCATCGATGTAACGAACCGCCGTGTGCCCATGGTCATCGTAGCCGGGTCTCTGCAGCTGATCGTGGTCATACTCCTGCTGAATCCCAATCTGCCGACTGCTGGAGTCTTTTTCGGATTCTACCTGGCCGGCACTTCATACATTGTGAATCCCGTCTTGTACGGGTGGGCCAGTATTATTTGTCAGCGCAGTGGCGACGATGCCTCAAGATCAGTCATACTCTATATTATGAGCATGGTGCAATCTATACTATACACCTTCTGGGGCCTGGCCCTCTACCCAGCCACAGATGCGCCCTACTGGAAAAAGGGCTACATCGCCATGATTGTGGTGGTATTTGCATTTTTCGCGGCAACAGCTGCCGTAACTTGGGTGCGTATATATCGACACGCCCCACCCGGGTCGTGAATGGGCGTCCTTGATGCAGTGAGCCAGAGCTAACCCTTAACACAACAGTTGGATCAGACATCGCAAAACGCGTCGCCGACTGAGGCAAATGTCACTCGTGCCAACGAAACACCAGACGATCGGAACAAAACCGACTGAGCTTGGGGGAGAAGAGAGAAAATAGAAACATGTTGTTATGGACCAACCGTGTATCGTATGCTGTCTCCGATATGCTACGCAAGCTGACAGTCTTGGTGAGGCTTGCGATGCAAATGGGTTTCTCGCCATAACCCGAGGATGCTTAGTGAGACCATTAACCTCTGTGCTAGTGATAAGGTGCCGCTACCCGTGGCTCCCCGGGGTGCTAACGATGTGACAGCCAGACCATAGCGCGGTGAAACCCCTTGGTTGTTTTCATCTTCTCAAAAGTGGCACTTTCACTAATGGATCCAACACAGGCCTTGTGCATTGCATCCCTTTTTTTTCATCACCATCATCATGACCCGGAGATGGGACTGATGAACGGGACTCTGTTCCGATCAAGTGACAAAAAGCAGTCGATCGATCAGGGATGACAGTGAGCCAAGTCGTATGACAATTGAACAGAAAGGAAAGAGAAAACCAGTATTTGTGGCGCAATGAGAAATACCACACATGGACTATAGACTGGGGGAAAGAGTTGGCAAAGACGGTTGCATTAAGGAACTGAGGCCAACGTCTCGGAACAAGGCAAAAAGTGTTTGGAGGAGGGGGCGCCCGCGGAGGAGGAGGGGGGGGGCTATATCCTGGGACTTGTAAAGAGATGGGGTATAATGCATTCCTACGTGACGAACGAAAAAGGGTAATCCGAGAGGGAGAGAGAGAGTGTGTGTTGGGCGAGTCAAGGACAACCCGAGTCAAGAAAAAAAAGAGATGGCAAATGAGGAGAAAAAGAGTTACCGAGGGCAAATCCTTTGGCCCTATAGAAGCTTGGGCCGCGTCATTTGCTTCTGGTCTTTTCGACCAAACACTTGGTAGCCCGTCGACCGAGTGTGATATCAATGCATGTGCAGCTGCCGACACACACACACACACTTCTCGGAACTCCGGGCTCGGCTTATAGGACCGCGGAGATTTTAGAAGGAGGAGAAAAAAAAATTGCTTCGGATTCTTACTACGGTGTAACTGCTTATGATTATGGTGAGGGAAGCATTGAGGGTATTTATTATTAGAATATGCAAATCGTCCCAAATGTGCAACGTTGCTGACCCGGGGACGGGAACGGATACTTAGCTATGTATGCATTGGTGCCTGGAACACAATGGGGGAGATGTGCTTTGCATATTGATGGTGTGACACTTGTAAACCCCCCACGGCCGAAATGCAAAGAAGAAGAAAAAAGCGGCTGCGGGACGCTGAGATTTGAGATGCGGACTGAGGGTAGGATGATGGATGGGGGGGGGCGTCGTCGTGTGTATGCAGATCCGTAGGTAATACAGTAGTTATCTGGGCTTGCCTGCCTCGGCCCACACTGGCAGCCGGGATGCAGAGGTAATAGCTGTCGAGGTATAGACAGCAGCAGGCTGTAGGAGGATCGGCACTGGTAATGCGCCGTGGTCGACCCTGGGGGGGTTGCTGAACGTGGGGCTGGGGACTGGGAGGGAGAAAGGGTCACAAACAACGGTTGGCTTGGCACACGTACAACGGTGGCTAGTGGCCCCCCTGCTCGCCTCGCCTCGCCTCGCACCTTCGACTCTTCCCATTCATCCCCCTCTCCCCCTCCCCCCCTGGCCTGGACCTTCACGAACCCCCTCATCACAGCACGCGGTACACGCTCGTCAGCAGCGGCTTGCTCTCACGGCTGGCTTTTGCGCCCGCCCAATTAATTTCCTTTTGGCCTCAACACACCTTGTCCGCTTTTTTTTTTTTTACCCGGCCGAGCGAGCGCGCGCTGCCAGCCTGGACTTCTTCAGGCGTGAAACGCGAAACGTCGCCTTGATGCACTCTGGCCAGCGTCACTGCCATCCGGTGAAGGCGACAGTGTCTGCTCTCTCTGGTTGCGTTCGCCCACCGTTCCCAGTGGCGGCGACACTCTGGCACCGCAGCTGATCTGCCGGATTCGCTACGTGCTCGTTTCAGGTGCCCGTGGTGCATAGCTGCTCGAACACTGCGAGTCTCGGATGCTTCCCGCTGCTTTGCCCATTTTCCTCGCGCGCGAGTAATGCACGCCCCGAGAAACGCCACAAATTGTCGGGCTATACCAACCCTCGACTATTAACCAGGCTTCATCTGTCTGCCCTGGCTCGAATCACAAATGTTTACGGGCCCCAATGCCATGTGGCAAATGAGCGGCCGAGGCGCTGGCCTGGGCTGCTCGTTTCGCTTCGAAAAAACTGGATATCATGGCACATCGTGCCCACGCCAACCTCATTTTCGCGACAGCTGTCGAACCTGCTAGCCATGGGTTTGTGCATGGGACGGTGGACTCGCACACTAATAGCTCACGGCCTAGTGTGAAATAAGATTGAAGCTCACCATCTTAAGCCACTCGCATCTATACTGCCATTCTTCTTGTCGATAAGAGCTGGACTCTGAGTCGACTTTCCAACGTGGTACATACATATGCCCGTGGCGCTGGCCTCGCCCACACACACACATACACCACGCTCGTCTTGTTTTTTGCGTCCTTTTGCCCTACATTGCTTCTTGTTGATTGTTGATTGTTCCTTGTTCAGATTCCCCTCTTTTGATTGCCATGATGGCGCAGTCCGCTTCTCCACCGGTGCTTGCACCTCGCGTGCCAGATGCTCAAGCCAAGGGCGACTTGACTGACTACGCTGCCAGTGCCAAAGCACACGCTACATCCAAAAAGTATATGCAAGATCTGTTTCCCGGCCAGAACAAGCCCCTGCCGCTTCTACGGGATATAGAGGTGCAGGAACGCGCAAAACCCTCGCACAGTGTACCGCAACGGCATGCTCTTGAAGAGCGGGTTTCTGCTCCGACTATAGATAATAGGCTGGACCCCCGATCACTCGAATGCCTGATCATGCTCGATCAATCATCAGTCAGCGGAATTGAAACGTCGCCGGCATCTTCTGCTTCTGCCTCTGCGAGGTATCAGAATAACGCGAGACCAGCAGCAGCTCCCGTGACACGCTCAGCAAAGGGCTCTCACCGATTCAAGCGGCCGAGGCGCTCTCTTCTCCAGCTTCCACAGGGGATACTGGGACATATACTAGCCTACGTTTTCGCCGAAGAACGTGCTATATCAATTACGCCATATCAGCCACAGGTTACACCGCAACGCTACCGACATCGCCATGGCGCTGGCACTGTCGACATACGGACCTTTATGATGCACCCTGCACTGCTCGTCTGCCACCAGATGCGTGCCATGGGGCTGAACATTGTGTACCGCAACAATCTCTTTGTAATCAACCTGTGCGAAGCAAACCGGGCGGCACACGCAAACGAAAGAGACTCGGGCAAGCATTGGGACTGCTGGACAGCCGCCAGCCCTCCTCCGCACATGGTCCAAACCGCACTCACGCACGCCTCGATTCTCCGCATCGAACTCCCCGTGCCGAGCGCAGAACCGGCAGCAGTGCGTGGAGCCACCAAGCGGAAAAAAGATTCGCACGAGGACAAGGGCGTTGTTCTGGAATCGCTGCGCAGACTGACTGCCCTCATCATTGGCTCGTCGCCCGTTTCACAGCCAGAAAGGACGCGCGCCCCGAGTCCAGCTGCCCCCAAGGCTCTGCGTCGCAAGCTCAGTTTCCGCTCTGTACGGCGCCATGATTCGCTGGAATTCGTGTGCCGCGGCGACTCGCCGCCATTGTTCGTCAGGGAGCCGCTAAGCAGCTTTGAAGTCGTGCTCGTCAAGCCCGCACTCACGGCGCCGGTGCACAGCCACACGCTCGAAATGGTCACCATGTGCAGCGCCATCCCCGTGTCCCGCACCCTCGCATACTACCTCGAGCTCGACGGGCTCCGCAAACTCTGGGCAAAGCGAACGCTAGGCAAATGGCGCGGCTCCGAGCCCGACGGTCCAAGATTACTACACGGTATGCATATGCTCCCAAGCTCCCTTGTTTCACGGTATTGCTACCCACTGAATTTCTCTCGACTAACAAAGCCCGCTAGACCTCCGATCGCTGGGCCACCCCCGCCTCGCAACAGACTGCCTGCAGACTTCCGGCCGCCCACGGGATCCCCGCGCTCCACCTCCTCCCTTGCCACCCGCCAGGCCCGAAGTCACGAGTAGACAGCCATCCTTGAGACGCACGAGGTCTTCTTCCACTTCCGTTGCTCCTACTGCTACCGCTACCGCTACTGGCGGCAGCCCACCCTCATTGCCGTCTCACAGACACCTCCCCGTGTCACTCAAAGAAGGCAGTGTAAGCGTAGCAGGCAAGTTCCGCGAAATGGAGCACCTGTACAAAATCACCTTTTTGAAGAGTAGCACCAATAAGCATTCTCCGTCGATTGGAGAGATTCAGCATATTACCTCGGATATGCGCAGAGGGGTCCACTAGAACACTTTTCAAACTCATCCCCCCCCCTTCCTCCGACCCTCCCTTCCCATTCGTTCTTGTTTAGTACTGTTTCAGTTGAAACAGTGTTGTCTCCTTTGCGAGACACACATACATACATCGCCATCAGCATCATCATCATCATCATCACGTTCATGTTCATGTTACCATATTGGGACGAGAAATCGGGTATCATGCCCACTCTCTCTATTTCCCCATTGTCTATCGTTAACCTTTTTTTTTCTTCCTTTTTTTTCTTTCTTCTTCTTCTCTTTCTTACTTCTTTCCTATGTCCATCTAACCTCTCATTTGTACATTTAAACAAAAATGCCACAGGCATGCATTAGGGTAGTTTAGGCTTTGCCATTGGAAAATTGGACTACTGCCCATTTGCCGCTCCAAGCCCATTTTCGTGCTCCGCTGTCGTCGCCGCCGCCGCCGCCGCCTTGGGTGGCTTTGATGCGCTCGTCTTCGCCCGAGGCGAGTCCGACGACTACGTCGGCTTTGCATGTGCGAAGCGCGAGAACGCGGATGCCAGAGCCGGGTCCCATGGGTCCTATGGCGGAGGTGAAGGGCGTGGTGGCGGGCCAAGCTGCCTGTTTGTGCGTGAGTGAGTGAGGTTAGCCATGTGAAAAAGATGAAAAAAATGGTAAGTAGGGCCATACTCACATCAGCAGTCAGCTTGCGGTAGTTCAAGTCTCCTTTGAAAATGACGAGCTCGCTCTCCTTGAGATCCTCATACAGCTCTGGCTCCGTCTTGGGCAGCCGCCAGTAACTTCCAGCAGCAGTCCAGAAGTCATTTGGTCGCAGCATCAGCTGGCCCTCTGCATGCATGCCACTCCAATGCTGGAACAAAAAGCGCAGATTGGCGCTCTCTGTGTCCGACAGCGGCACAGCCTGTTGCCCATTGTGCTTCTGGTCGTCGGACAGCGCTTCGTAGAAGGCGGCGGGATCAGCGAGGGCCGAGAGCAGCGCGCCAAAGTCAGCGGGCAGCACGTCCGAGACAAACCAAGGGATGGACTTAGGATGGAACACGACGTTTGTAGCCAAGCCCGACGCAACTAGGTATCCAGCGAGAATGAGATCGACAAAGAGCTCGAAGCCCGCATTATCAAGCACAATATCCACGCGTCGGTCCTTCTTGCCTTGTTTCTGCGCGGCGCGCAGCACGCCAAATGCCTTGTCCAAGTCATTAACCAGGATATTCTTCTCAGACTTCTTGCGCGCCTCGGAGCCCTGCAGTTTCTGGATGTCCTCGTACGAGAGGTTGGTTAGCAGCGAGAGATCCGTGGCGTTGCCCCAGAGACAAATCTCGCACATTTCGGTGAAGAGCAGTTTTTCGGCGGCTTCGAGTTGCTCTGGCGTCTCTACACTACTACTACTATTCGTTTTTTTCTGCTCAAGCTCACTGACAATATCTTTGTAGCGGGCGGCGAGTTCGACGACTGCGGGTCGCGACGATTTAAAGGTGTCCATTTTCTGGCGGGCGAAAATGTCATACGAGCGCCATGCCGAGGATTGCTTGAAGATGCTCGCTATGCGTCTACCTAAGCTCGTCAGTTTTTTTTTCCGTCGGCGTACTGCTGCTGCAAAAAAAAAAGAGGGAGAGGGGATGTGTCTAACCGGTACAAGTAGCACTCTGCAAAGAGCCAAGGGACGTTGTGCCATTTGGGGTTTCCTCGCGCAGCCAGTTCCTGGTTGTAGGCCTCGACGTCGCGCTCGCCGTCATCGGCAATGGGTGTCAGCTCGCGGTCGTGCTGCAGCTCGTACTTGAGCTTGGCGAGTTCGGCGACGATTGTTTTGCCCTGGCTGATGGCTGCCTCGTCCTTGGTGCTGTGCAACGAGCGGTGCACGTCGTCAATGCCCTGGGTTATGATGACGGGCCATCGCGAGCGCGCAGACGTATGCGCAAACGACGTGGCGTCGCTGGTGTTGTACTGGGGCACGGGAAATGTGTCAAACTCCATGGTGTGCTGTTACGTTCCGTCTGCTCGAGTAACCAGGAGTCGCTTTGGTGAATTTTATATCCCTGGGGCCACACGCGGGATTTCAGTTGGTGACGATGGCGGGGCTGCTGGAGGGGCACTCAGGTTGCTCACCAAAGTTATTTTCTGGGGATGCTTCGGAATTGCCGTTTCGGGATTAGCTCCACAATTTCGCATACGGCATGGCTTCTGCTATCGATAGCGAGGATATGCGACTCTCTCTCTCTCTCTCTGGTTCTGCAACCATATGACAATGCAAAGGGCCGATGCGGCTTCTTGGAGTATCTTGTCCGCATCGAAATAGCCACGGTAGAGAAGCAATTTGGCATTTTCTCTGGCGAGGCACCAGGCGACCGGGTCAGAGTCGGATATGTCGAATGCATCATTGCTGGAGAATAGGCTTGTTCACCAGAAAGGCGTGCTATGGTATTCTTTGCATGCAGAGATCAAACAAGCAATTAGTTTTATTTCCGACTGGAAAAGCGTCTGGGATGCCGCTGAAAAGCCATCTTGGGGCACGTCACTAGCAACGCAGGGTCCACCGCTGACTATTTTGCTCTGACGAATAGACGCGACGCAGTGACATGCCGTATCAGGTACCTGCAGCATACTTAGGACCCGGTATGCAAATGTGCTAAGATGGCATTGAGACATACTACTGCATCTTGTGTGAAGTCGACTACACCACAACAAAGAGTTGCACTGCTGCATGTATTGCATAAGCTCATGAACGTCTTTCGCACCTGTCTGCGCTCTACCCGAAGCACTACTCCCGCATTCAGTTCACGTCCCTTCTTTTCGTCGCATAGCTTCACAATGAGCTCTCATCTAAACGGAGACCTGAACAACACTTCGGCCGAGCGTACCCGAACCGATATTGCAATCGACCCAGCATACCGAGGCATATCGCTGGCCATCCCTTCGTCTGAAGATGACGTCGATACAAGACAGAGATACCGGCCTTTCATCCTTCACCCCGAGACAACAGAGCAAGATTGGATTGCCCAGCTTGAACTAAGCACGGTCCTGAAGATGGTGGATATGCAGGTCCTCCAGCAGGGAAATGATCGGCTGAGGGTCCTGGTCCTACATGAAAGCATGCGCCAAAGGTAGTCAATAGAGTTGATAGTTTGCCATTGGTATGCCAGAGGTCTGCGCTAAACATAGATATGTAGGTCCTACTCGCGCCTCCTAGCATACGAAGCCAGTCGCATTCTCTTTCGGCTTGGCTGCGACGTCCGCATGTACGACCCGACTGGTCTACCGGTCAAGGACGATGTGCAGCATTCACACCCCAAAGTGCAAGAGCTGCGTGAGCTGAGTAAGTGGAGTGATGGGCACATTTGGGTCAGTCCTGAGCAGCATGGCAACTTGGTGAGTTTGCAATGGCTGTACGTTCGTGGCATCACTAACCGACGTATGACGGCTAGACGGCAGTGTTCAAGAACCAGATTGATTGGATTCCGCTCTCGACTGGCTCGGTCCGTCCAACCCAAGGGCGAACGCTTGCGATTGCACAGGTAAATGGCGGCTCGCAGTCCTTCAACACGGTTAACTCGTTGCGCATACTGGGTCGGTGGATGCGCATGTTTACCATTCCAAACCAAAGCTCCATTCCCATGGCATACAAGCAGTTCACCGAGGAGGAGGCTGGCAGTAGACTGATGCCAAGTGGAAATCGAGACCGACTCGTTGATTGCATGGAGGAGTTTGTCAAGTACACAATCGTAATGAGGCCCCATTTTGACCTGTTTGGGGACCGCTACAGCGAGAGGGAAGAGAAGCGAGTGAAGCAGGAGAAGGAAGAGAAGAAGCCGGCTGCGGAATAGTCTTGTCGATTGCATGGATGCCACAAAAAATGCAGAACAAAATCTCATGCATGGGCTCACGGCTCTTCTATCTTTGGTCCATGAGCTCTAGCACAAGTGTGTTCTTGACAACACAGTCTTTTTGTCCGCGACAGCCCAGACTAGCCTTGATGCGATTCCGGTCTGCGTCGCCACGCATCTCCGCAATAATGGTGGCAGCCGTCTCGCACGATATCAGCAGTCCGGTATCCATGGGTCGTTCTTGTGGGACAGGGGTGGGAGCGCAGAAGCAATTGGCCGTGTTGGGGCAGTCCGGGTCGCCTTGGAGCATGGAAAAGGTCGAGGCACTACCGTCATGAATGCCACCGTCTGGTGGCCGGGAATAAGATGGCTCGTGTGGTGCAATGGACACGGCAGGCTCATATAGGGGTAGAGCAGTGGGCGTGTTGGTATGGCCGTCAACGGGATGCGCTTGGTGCTGTACAGCGCCAGCAAGGGGTTGGTGGGCCGGTTGGATAGTGGGTTGCATGCGCTCCGGTTGCCTCTTTTCCGGCACCCGCTGTGTGGGCAGAGGAGCGGCGGCGGCGTCGAAGGAGCGCAAATATGCATCGACCTCATCGCGCGTCACACCACGGCTGGCAAGCAGGCTTCGCAGGCGCGCATTCTCCTCGGCAACCTTGCGTGCAGCGCGCTGCATGTCCTGCGTGGCGGCAATGCCTTTGAGTTCATACTCCTGGACTCGGCGCTGCAGGTCCTGGATCAGCTCCTTGCGCTGGTTGCGAGAACGGCGTTGGTTCTCACGAATCCGTATCGATGACGGAGTGTCGCTAGCCTGCTCGCTGTTTAGCATGCGGTTTCCCATGACATATGCTTGGAACCCACCTTTTTGGGCATATTCAGACTTGGGCGCGGGTCGGGTGGAGGGCAGGCCCCGAGGCGGGGAATCAGGATGCCTTGGTTGCTGTTGGGGTCATGGGTATGGGGAACGAAGTCAGTAGACCACGAGCCGCGTTGCGCTTGGCTTCCTATTTCGGCTTGGCTTCTCTCTGCGCAATGCCAATCCAACCTCTTCCAGCCGCTTCTTACATACAAAGTAGATTGCATACATGACGACGGCTCCTGTAAGTACGGTATGCGGCTCGCTAGCGGCGGATTCGCAAGCAGTGGCAGCTCGCCGCGACTTGCTTGAGCTGCTTAACTCGACTCCCTCCAGGCCTTGGCTTTCTTGGCCTTCACCATCCCCCGCCCACACCACCCTGAAGACTCGTCATACTCATGCCCGCTCTTATCTGACCGCCTATAGTCAGACCTCAACACCTTCCACATAGGGCTCTTCGACCACGGCCCCTAGTGCCCTCCGCATGCCCCAATGCTTGCTACAAAAAGCCAGAATGTGCCGCCGTCTGGAGATCTCTACTTATGTCCTCAGGACGTCCGGCCAGTTTTGTTTCTTGCGTCATTGGCAATAGTTCACCATGGTTCTGCCGAATCGGTCGTTGCTAGGAGTAGCCGGTCTTCTGGCCCGTGCCGCTTATGCTCAGTTTCCACCAACACCACAGGGCGTGACAATAGTCCAGTCGCAGCTGGAGAAAGGTGTCAGCATTTCATACAAGCAGGCAAGCCATTTCTGCCTCATGTTCCTACTGTTCTCTTACCATATTCCTAGACGGACCTCTGCGAGACCACGCCAGGTGTTCGAAGCTTCTCCGGCTATGTCCATCTTCCCGCTGCAGCTCTGGCCGATTTGGGCGTCCAGAACCAAACCTATGAGATCAATACGCATTTCTGGTTCTTCGAATCTAGGAAAGACCCTGCAAATGCTCCTTTGTCAATTTGGATGAACGGTCAGTCACATGTGGATGCGCTTAAACATCACAATCTGACACGGGTCAGGCGGCCCCGGCTCCAGTTCCATGCTCGGCCTTTTGCGGGAGAATGGCCCCTGTTTTGTTCATTCCGACTCCAATAGCACGTATCTGAACAAGTGGTCATGGAATAATGAAGGTCAGATGACCCAACACGCATTTCTAATCTTTGATGGCCTAATTGCTGACATACTCAGTGAACATGCTGTACCTCGACCAGCCCGTGCAGGTAGGTATGAGCTACGACAGCTTGGTGAACATTACCAACAACTTGGATACTGGCGAGATCAAAGTCGTGGATTTTGGACAAAGCCCTGTTCCGCCACAGAACAACAGTTTCTACGTCGGCACTTACCCCAGCCAAAACCCGAACATGACCACTCGAGGTACCGAGAACTCTGCACGAGCGCTCTGGAACTTTGCCCAGGTTTGGTTCCAGGAGTTCCCTGAGCATAAACCCAACGATGATAGAATCTCCATTGCCACAGAGTCTTACGGAGGTCGTTACGGACCCGCTTTCGCCGCCTATTTCCAGGAGCAAAACGAGAAGATTGAAAACGGAACATGGCGCGAAGCTGGACAAACGCATATATTGAACCTGGACACCCTTTTGATCATCAATGGCTGCATTGACCGCTACGTACAATGGCCAGGGTATCCCAAGATGGCATACAACAATACATATGGTATTAAAGCCGTGAACGAAACCCGCTACAACGAGGCACTTGGCAACCTGCACAGTCGAGGAGGCTGCTTGGATCAGATTCAGAACTGTCGAAACCTCAGCATGACATACGATCCGACCAACCAAGGTTTCAATCTTACCGTCAATAAAGTATGTGAAGCTGCAGAAACCTTCTGCTCCGCGACGATTCGAGACCCCTATTTCGATAGCGATCTTAATTATTACGATATTTCCGCGCCAGGCGCAGCATCTTTCCCTCCGCCATGGTACGCGGGCTTCCTCAACCAGCCGCATGTGCAGCAGGGCCTCGGGGTGCCGCTCAACTGGACCCAATCCAACTCGGCAGTATCAAGATCCTTCCGTAGTATCGGTGACTATCCACGCCCTGGCTGGAAAGAAGATCTGGGATACTTGCTCGAGGAGGGCATCAAAGTTACACTGGTATATGGCGACCGTGACTATGCATGCAACTGGTATGGAGGCGAGTTACTCTCTCTCGCAATTCCCTACGACAACGCAACTTCGTTTGCCGAGGCGGGCTATGCTCCAGTCGTTGTCAATGACACTTACATCGGAGGCCAAGTGCGGCAGCATGGCAATTTGTCATTCACGCGCGTCTATGAAGCCGGTCACGAAGTCCCCGCCTACCAGCCAGAGACTGCCTACAAAATCTTCATGCGTTCTCTTTTCAATCGAGATATTAGCACGGGCAATGTCTCTACTGCCGAAACTCCTGGCTACGCGACCAAGGGACCAAGCGATGTGTCCAACATTACCAACCAGCCCATCGTCGATCCAGGGTCGCAGTGCTATGTGTTGGATCGCGATCAGTGCACCAAGGACCAGTGGAAGCGCGTAATGAATGGTACCGCCCTGGTGCGAAACTGGATCGTTGTGGATGCCAATACCAGTCATCTGTTCCCGGACCTAGGGGGAAATGGTACTGTGGTTAATGGATCGATGCCGTCCGGTAGTGGCAGCCCTGTGCCCGTCTCCACAGGTGCTGCGTCTGGAGGCGCTTATGTCGGTTTATGTGCCAAGGCATTGTTCGCAGCAGCGCTGGGGGTCGCCTTGGCTATGTAATACTTTTCCCCTTATCCAGATATAACAATCGAAAATGGCTTGCGGCTAATCAACATTGTTGTTGTCGCGAAGCGCCAAGGCTCTGCCTGACTAGTGTTTATCAAAGTTAACTAACGTGGTTCATAAGCGAGTCGGTCACTCCCCACCAGCGCGTTGACGTTGACACGTTATCACAGTCTTTTATTACAGTCAATAAACTATTGCAATATACCAAATTAATTGTCAGAATCGCTACTATCACTTACGCTATCTATCTCAACTGCGCAGGTACGAGCGTTGTGTCCAGTCTGCTTGCAACGCCCGCACCGCCGCTCTCCTCGCACCCTCTTCGACGCACTCTCACCATCACCACGACTGCTACCCGCCTGTTCAGCTAATACTTCTTGTACTTCGCCTACAGTAAGAGTCTCTTCTGTCCGTACGTATCGCCGCTTGCGGCTCTTACGCTTATTTGCTGTGTCTAGAGCCTCTCGAAGAGCAGCTACTTCCTCCCTCATAAGCGTCATCTCATGTGCTATTTGCTGAGCCCCTTTACTCAGCTGTACAACCTTCTCGTCAAGAGAATTTGCAGAAGACCCAGGGCGGTTTCTTACTCTCTGTCGAATAAGAGTACTTTGAGCCTCAACCTCGCGCGCGTTGCGTGGTGTCTGCGCCTGCCAGGCGGCTGTCCGTCGTGGTGATTGTACTGGCGTCTGCACCACTACATCAAGCTTAGATAGCACAGCCTGTGGGTCATGTGGGACTAGACCAGCGCCTCTAAAGCCAGCTTGGATATTCTCCTTTGTAATAGACTGCTCAAAAGCAGCCTTAAAGGCTGGTAGGAAGGTCTCCTTGCTGATATAGTGGGTGCGGTTGCGTGCCAAGCCTGAAACAGCGTCGCCATACTTGCGCTTCAATGGCGAGAAGCAGGCGACGTTAAGGGGCTGCAACAGGTGAGACGAGTGTGGAGGCATGCAGAGAAGAATAATATTCTTCTCCTTGCAAAGATCTTGAAATTCGATGGAGCAGTGGCTCTCATGGCCGTCAATAATAAGTAGTCGATACCCACCTACAGTAGAGCTCTTTGTATGGGTATTAAAGTGCTCTAACCAGGCAAGACCAAGCTAATTATTCGTCTAGCTATTGGGACTGACCTTAAGAACCTAGTTAGCAGGCAAATTCTTAAACTAAACGTTGATAAGCACCTTGCCCGCAAAGACAACGAACAGTGGTATCCAGCGACCCGACGCGCCCACGCCTTGGATCACAGTAACCCACTCACGGTTGCCTAGCTGTATCCGCTTCTTTTTCCTATATCCTTCTAATGCTGTGATTAATAACTATAATAAAATCTTGCCTATCATAAAGCCAGTTTCGTTAAAGTTGTAGATATCGTCGTCCACAATACCCCACTTCTGCCTTGTCGCCTAGACTAAGTCAAACCAGCGCTGGATAGCCACTGGGTCCTCGCAGGCGGCTCGCTGGTGATTATAGGGACGGCTCTAGCGCGTACGGAGCTTAGCAGTCCGCCTAACAAAGTTGTCAACCTAATTCTTGCCAATAGGGTTGCTACCACGCTCCTCTAACAGTTTATTGGCCATTGCTTGAACCTTAGCCTTTGTAGGGGCAAATCCACGCGCAGACTCTTTAAAAATACGTCTAATAATAGCCTCCTCTTCTAACTTATTTAGGCGCTTTGAATTTAGTTCACAGTCGCGTTAGGGGCGCTTTCTAGCCTGTTGATCAGATATTGTACTTTGAGGCACGTTATAGATAGAGGCAGCGCGTCTTTAGCTTTAAACACGTTGTGATTAGATATTAAAAAGAGCAAGTTAAAGATCTAATTTAGGATAAGTTAATTGATAGTTGTGTTGTTGAGACATAACGCGTTGTAGTATCAACGTCGACGCGCTGGTGGGGAGTGACCGACTCGCTTGGGTGACCGACTCGCTTATGAACCACGTTAGATATACTGCAAGCTAATGTTGGCGTGCAATAGATTGTCATTGCCAACTGACGAGGGCTACGTGTGATTACGTGCGAGCCGGTGTTGACGTGTTTTGCAGCTTGCAGCAGCATAGTTTGTTCCAGCAACATGCATGTAGTCCCTGATTTGCTTTTTCCATTATAGTTTGCATCAATGCTCAGGCGGTTTGTCGGGTCAGGCTGACGTCATGACTGGATTGATGACGGCCACCTTAGTTAAACCTACCTGCACGCATACCATCTTCAGCGTACCACCAAAATCATCTCCACAACACATTTTCAACAATGTCTCGAAATGCGTACTCGGCATTTCAAAAACACCTGTTGTTCTTCTCGACACCCACAACTCCGCCGAGGCTCACTTTGGGGTCAGTCCTGCGTGCTGCTGTGTCACTCGGACTGGATGTGCCTGTCGCAGTCTTGCTGAGTGTATCCCTGAGACTTCTTTATGCGCCGCTTCCCTATTTCTGGTCTCCCATCATCGTCGACAGAATCCCGGTTTCATCCCATCGCACTCAGCTCGAGTCAACCAGACTCTTACCGGAGAAAACGGAATACACGTGTTCGGACCTCTTGGCTCTCCTCAAGCAGAGCGAGAAGCAGGAAAGTGCAAAAGGATGGCTGGCACACATGATTGACCAGGGTCATATCATCGGGTTCTGGACAATGGCGGCGAACACGCAAACGCATACCGTTAGCAAACATGACGTCGAAAGGTTTCAGCAAGGCAACTGGGAAGAGGCGGTGGTTGAGAGACGCGCCGGGCGACACGAGGTGCTGCCGCTCTGGAGAGGCGGGCCTATCTGGGTTGGCGGCCACAGCTGGGCCGTAAGGAAGTTGTTCGGAGTAAAAGTCTATAATGCCAAAGGACAGTAGTTCGATAAGACTATCTCGAGACGGCGCGTGGAAGGTGCAGGAAAGATCCCCGACCGGATTTCGCAAGACATGCGAGGACAATTCGACGCGTTCTCGTTAGTTCTGTGCTCCCTGGTCTTGCATACGGCTCTCGTTTTCGGCATCTCTCGGACCATGCATGCATCGAATGGGTTGACCTCTCGAGTTCCCGGAATTGGTCGTTTAATTCACGCCCTCGCGTCTGTATTCTTCAGCTGAGTGTTCTAGTAGATGTCTTGGTGAGTGCGTGGGGACCCGGGTTTTTTGTTTGGTTGCTTCGTTTTTCTACTACTTCGCTATGCACGTTATCAACAGTCTGGGTGACATTTACTAGGCCCCGACTAACGCAGAGGGCGAGACTCGCCAGACCCACTTTTCCTTATCCGAAGAGCCTCACGCAATTCCGCGCTCACGTAACGTTTAGATGAGCAGGAGTCGTCTAATATTTATAACGACGGGCGCCGATCTCCGCCATGTGGAGCCGAGCTGTCTTTTTAATCAAGAAGCTGCCCTGGTGCTGCAGCGTACCAACCGCCTTGCTCCAGTGTTTTGCCATCTGCGAGCCCAGCACAAGACGCCTTCTACGACACCGAAAAACATCCAACCATCCCATCGCCGTGGTATTCCAGGCTGCATAAAAAACTCAAGGACGCTCCATTTGGCCAAGGCCGGCTGGTCACTGACAGCGGGAGCAGACCAAGGGATGCTGGAGAAAACAGGACCCCTGGGTCCAAGCACCGATGTGCTTCCGTCTAGGTCGCCTACGCCAGAGCGCGACAACAATGCCAATGCATCCCCTGCGAGTATGGGCCGTCGCGATTCATCCGAATCCGCACACGCCAAACGCCACGATGATCTCGAGCTGGCCCAAACAAAGTCCATTGCCGAATCCATGTCTTTTTTTCGCGAATGTCTCTTCGTCACTTTACTCTGCGCGGCCCAGTTTGTCACCCAAGTCGGCTTAGTGGGAACCCTCACCATCATCCACATTATCGGATCCGATCTTGGCATCACCGACGCAGGCATCCTCTCCTGGTTGATCGCGGGCTATTCGCTGACAGTTGGCACCTTCATTTTACTTTCGGGTCGCTGTGGGGATTTATTCGGCTACAAGAACATGATTATCATCGGATACGTCTGGTTTGCTGTTTGGAACGTAATAGCCGGCTGCAGTGTATATCCTCACAAGAGTGGTGGACAGGTGCTCTTCATTTGCGCCAGGGTATTTGGAGGCATAGGACCGGCGATCATGCTACCCAATGCGCTTGGTCTTCTTGGATCGACGTACCATGAAGGGGAAAGAAAAGACATGGTCTTCTCACTGTTTGGAGCATGTGCACCTTGTATGCCACACCCTGAATCCGTGCTAGAATAATATTGACGTGGTGTAGGTGGTGCCATCCTGGGTGGTCTATGTGCCAGTCTCTGGTCTCTCGTGTGGTGGCCCTGGGCATATTGGACCTTTGGCATTGCACTCTTTGGCTGCGCCGTGGCGTCGATATTCATCCTTCCTTCGGTGCCTGTGAGCGAAGAGGTGCGTCAACTGTCGAACCGCGAAAGAGTTCGAGAGCTGGACTTGCTTGGAGCAGCTATAGGCCTCACTGCCATGATACTGTTCAACTTTGCGTGGAACCAGGCTCCGGGATTCGGCTGGGAGCATCCGTACATCTATGTCCTTCTAATCATCGGACTGCTCCTTTTCCCCGCATTCATTTGGGTTGAGGTAAAAGTGGCCAAAAAGCCTCTGATTCCATTCGAGGTCCTTAGTACAGACGTGATATTTGTAATGGTCTGCATGGTATGCGGATGGGCTGGTTTTGGTAAAAGCTCCCCTTCCCTAACTTGTTTCTGAGTCTGCAACAAAAAACTAACATGAGCTAGGCATATGGGTCTACTACTCTTGGCAATTTCTCCAACGACTCCGCGGTCACTCGCCACTTCTCACCATTGCTCAAACCTGCCCTATCGCCCTATCAGGCGTCGTTGCCGCTATTACTACGGGTCGCGTTATCTCACGCACAGGCCCGGGGTGGGTGATGTTGATCAGTATGCTTGCCTTTTTGATAGGCAACACATTGGTCGCGACAATGCCCATCCACCAGACGTATTGGGCGCAGGCTTTTGTTACTACAATCATCATTCCCTGGGGCATGGACATGAGTTTTCCTGCCGCCACGCTCATCATGAGCAACGCCGTGGCGAAAGAGCATCAGGGCATGGCAGCGAGCCTGATCAACACAGTCGTAAACTACAGTATCAGTATTGGCGTTGGCATCGCAGGCACCGTAGAAGTCCACGTCAACAACGGCGGAAAGACGACTGCGGATGAGCTCAAGGGATATCGCGGTGCCCTGTATTTCAGCGTCGGAATGTGCGGCCTCGGTGTCGTGACAAGCCTGCTTTTCCTCTTCAAGATTCGCTTGAGGGCGAAGAAAGCGGCACAATGACCCCCAGCCCGTTGAGCAGGCGTATCTAACGTCCTATCTAACGTGCATCGCGTTCTTTGGATATGAGGGGGTTGTTATATTATGAAAAATGATATAGTTATAAACAACTTATTAAAACCATTACTACGGAAATACGTAACTTTTTTTTCTTCAACTATACTTGGACGTCTATATTCTACTAACGTGTTTTACAAGCGAGCGCCGCGTACAAGCGAGCGCCGCACCCCACCAAACCTGCGCACCTCTATAAGCCTGTAGTTCCACTACAATATAGTTGTTTTACTATATATTAATATAATAGATTAAGCAGTACCTAGAGTATTTTTCTTGCACGTACGCGAGTTGTGGCCAGTTTCTCTACACCTACTGCAGCGCGCTAAAGCCTGGCGGCTAACACCTAATCGCTCTCCTCCCTAACGCTCTTTATAAGCAATCTGCTAATTAGCCTTACGCTAAGCAAGTAGATCCTCTCTAGCTCTCTTTATTAGCACTCTATGCTTCTATATCCGCTTCCTTTTACGCTGCCTACGCTTTATTGCTGCCTTGTTAGCCCTCTTAAGGCTAGCGATCTAATCGCGCATTAGCTTAGCTAAGAGCATTATTCTCTTTGCCCTCTTCTTAAGCTAGCTAATCGCTACAATAATTAACGCTAGTAATAAGCTCTTATGCCGCTAGACCTAATTACGTATTAGCGTTAATTAGGCTTTAAGCTCGCGTACGTTGCTTAGGGTACAAGCCTGCTAGACAGCCTTTGCAAGAGCAGCTACTAGAGTAGGCGTACGCAGCTGTACGTTAAGCTTTAATAGAATAGTGTCTAGCTAGAAAGGAACAAGGCCTGCGCCTTGAAAGGCTAAGTAGATATTAGCTGCCGTAAAGGATCAATCGAAGGCTACCTTAAACGCTAGCAGAAACTCAAGCTTAGTGATATAGTTGATGTAGTTGCGTATTAGGCTCTCTACCTTACAGCTATACGCGCGCTTTAATAGCGAGAAGCAGCCAACGTCAAGAGGCTAGAGTAGGTAAGATAAGTGAGGCGGCATATAGAGCGTATAGATATTATTTGCCTTATAGAGCTCTTAGAACTTAAGTGACTGGTAGCTCTTATGGCCGTTAAGAATAAGCAGCTAGCGTACCCTAATAACTTTGCCATCTGTATGCTTAACAAAGTGCTTTAGCTACTTAACTCCTAGCTTATTAGTTGTCTAGCCGTTGTCGCTAACTGCGATCGCCTAGTCGCGTGGGATCTCTATCTCCTTATACTAGGCAGATAGGTGATGCTTGCTAGTAAAGATAAGGAATGGTGGGATAGACTAGCTAGCTGCATTGATCCTAGCGATAAACGTTACCCACTCTTAGCCACCTAGTTAAATAGCCTTTGGCCGGCCTCTTCTCTCTGACGCTATAACGACTAGCTAAGTCGCGATCTTGCCTATTATAAAGCCTGCTTTGTTGAAGTTGTAGACGTCTTTGTCATAGATGCTATACTTAGCCTTTGTCTTCTCTGCAAGCTTAAACTAGCTCTTAATTAAGACTAGATCTTTACATAAGGCTCTCTGCCTATCGTACGCTTGATTAAAACGCGTTGTAAGACTGTTAGTACGCTTGACAAAGTTGCGCGGCTAGTGGACGCCAACCTAGCTAGCGCCGCGCGCAGCTAGCAGTCTATCAGCTATATCTCGCACAGCTGCATAGGTAGGCGAAAATCCACGTAGATCCAGATTAAGTACATGATCAATTATCACCTGCTCTTCTAGCTTGGTAAGCTTCTTTGAGTTGGGCTGGCAATCGCGTCGGGCAGGCTTGCCGACGCGTCGGCGGCGGATTGTTCGTTCTGACACGTTATAGATAGCAGCAGCACTGCGATTACTCTGTATCTGACCAGATTCAATAGAGGATATAGCGAGCTGGATATCTGCTTTATTTAAAGCTAACTGACTAGCGTTGCGTTGAGCCATTATGTATTGAGATGAGAGAGGTGCACAAAGTTGGTGGGGTGCGGCGCTCGCTTGTACGCGGCGCTCGCTTGTAAAACACGTTATAGTAGAAAAAAAGCATGGGTAAAGCTTGTACAGAGAAACCATATGATCTAATGGCCAATTGTCTTCTATAATGATATGCGTTACTAGTTTTGCAAAAAAAATACTGCTATGCCAAACACACACAAAAAAACGCCATTTGCAAGGATATACCTGGACGCGTTTCTTGACTTAGACTAAGAGAATGCACACACACACATATCAGATGCGTATCTGTATCGGTATTTTTCAAAACCCCCTTAGACACACAACGATAACCCAATAACAATCGCAGGGGGAAATACAAAAATCCAGAATGCGCAAGAAGACAGGACAAGGAGGAAGGACAAGGAGGAAGGAGGAGGGGGTATCTGCTAAACATTGTTTTCCATAGGCCCTTTGTTTTAATTTTTTTGCTGGAGTTCTCTTTAGACGGGCGCGCCCCACGCTGCGCGCAGGCGACGCGCGAGTTGTATGTCTTTTTGCTGTATGGTGACGCGGCGGGCGTGGATGGCGCACAGATTGGCGTCGTGGAAGAGGTTCACGAGGAAGGCTTCGGTGGCTTCTTGCAGCGCCATGATGGCCTGGCTTTGCCAGCGGTTGGGGCCGTCTTCGCTCGTCACGGTTTGTGCGATTTCGCGGACCTGCGTATGCAGTCTTAGTAAATGGAACTGCGTGGTTCAAATGTGCCAGCCATGTAAAGAGGGGCGCGCGCTCACAAGACGCTGGAACGGAAGCTTCAATAGCAGCAGATCCGTCGATTTCTGATATCGCTTGATTTCGCGCAGTGCAACGGTGCCGGGTTTATACCGTTTCTTCGCGCGATCCGGTGCTGGGCCTGGCGCGCCTACTGTGTGCAATTGTCAGTCAATCGGAAATGTGTGCGCGTGTAAACCCTGCTCCCCTCCCGCTTCCGATTTGCAATTTTGGTAGTGGGTTGGTTTGGTTTGGTTTGGTTTGGAGAACACGTACGGCGCTTGCCTGACGACTCCCTTCTGCCATCGAGACTGGCTCGTCCTCCCCGCGACGGACGCGCTTTGTTGCGCCTGGCCGGAGATTTCGGCGGCATTTGGAGAGAGAAAGGTGAAATGTGGAAGAGTGCGAGGTGTGCGCGCGGAAAAAAAGGGTGGTGCCGCGTGGAAGAGGGAGAACTGAGTGCAAGGCAAGAGAGCTTTGGTGGTGTGTGTTTTGGAATGGGAGCGGCGCGGCTGGTGCGCGCGTTCACTCGACGCGAAGTCGCTGCGCTTTTCACTGAGCGCGTCAAGAGAAGGCGAAACACGCGGGTTTGTTGGGGCTATGGACTGCGGAGGGATTCAGCGTAACAAGGATTACGCAATGCGGTGTTGCATGGGCCACGGCTGCATCGTCGTCGTGGTGTTGGCGTTGTTTCCGTCGAGGGGTTGGGGCGCGCGTGCGCGAGTGTGGCTGGCATATTGGCGCGAACGCACGCCAGCCAGCCGCGGGCATCAGATTGGATCAGATTGGATCAGATTAGATTTTTCCGTATTACGTCAGCGCCTCGGAGCGCGGTCGGATCAAGTCACGTAGCCACATGGACTTGTGTCTTCACGCTCGGATCCAGCAGCGTTGCCTGTTGACCGACACCTGTCCTCTCGCTTTCTCACCTCTTGCCGCCCTTTTTTCTTTCTCGATTGCTCCATGTCTGGGCGTTCGGCCGCGGAGTCTCCTTTCACGTCTTCCTGTCATTTTTACGTCGACCAGAGGTGCTATTTTCCGCGCCGCCACAGCGAGAATCGGACAGCATGGCCAATGTTCTGCAGGGCGGGGACGGCATGATGGGCGGGGTTGGCGGCTTCCCGCTCGAGCGATGGTTCTATGAGATGCCCGTGTGCACTCGCTTGTGGATGACTGCTGCGCTGAGCGCCAGTGTGCTGGTGCAATGCCACATCATCTCGCCCTTCCAGCTCTTTTACAGCGTCCGGACTGTCTTCTTCAAGAACCAAGTGCGTCCAGTCTTACTTTCAAGTGGGAGTTGGTTTTGTGCGCGCGCTGACACATGCTGCAGTACTGGAGACTACTCACGACGTTTTTCTATTTCGGGCCGCTGAGTCTCGATCTTCTCTACCACATCTTCTTTCTCCAACGCTATGCCCGTCTCTTGGAAGAATCGTCGGGCCGCTCCACGGCACACTTTGCTTGGCTCCTCACCTTCGCTTCCACAACGCTCCTCTGTATCGCGCCCATGTTCTCCATGGCCTTCCTCGGCTCGGCTCTATCCAGCACCCTGATATACATCTGGAGCAGGAAGAATCCAGATACCATGCTAAGCTTTTTGGGGCTGCTGGTGTTCAAGGCACCCTATCTTCCTTGGGTTCTGCTCGCCTTCTCGCTCATTATGCACGGGACGGTGCCTAAAGACGAGATGTGCGGCATTGTCGTGGGTCACGGTAGGTTTTGCCCTCGCTGATTCTTCTGCGACTTGACTAAAGAACTGCAGTCTGGTACTACTTCAATGATATATACCCGCCGCTACACAACAACCACAGCCCGCTCGACCCTCCTACTTGGTGGATTCGCATGATTGAAGGGCGACCTGCTCCCAGCCAAGAGCCAGTCGAGGATGAGGTACCGACAGATGGGGATGCACCTGGTGAACATGACCCGGTAGAGCCTGCGCCCATACATTGAGCATTGCTTAGGACAATGGCAATTTCATTCACATTTTTATGGCCACTCATGGTTTAAGATGCTCAACGAAATCTTCACATTACTCTCCATGCATTGACCGCCTGCGCCCATGTCCCATGCATGGACAGATCCATGTTCTTAACATGGTTCTTTTTCTTTACAAGCAGTTCTGGTATGGTTGCATTGCTTTTTCCAAGACGCGGCAGGGCATCGTTCTCTTGACAGCTGCTCAACTGGGTGCATGTGTTTATGCTATCATCATGCTCAGACGCGCAGGCACAAGACAGCCCTCTACGCTCCCTACTCACAAGGTTTACGGATGATGCTCGATTGTCCATGCAGTTCCGTTCAAGACTTATTGCCAGCTACTGATTCTTACATCTCCCATGGGCCTGTTGATCTTATCAGCAAACAATCCCCAATCGAATTACCGTTTTCATTGGTCGGCTCAGTAAGCTAGGCCGTCGATATCTCCACCATTGCTAGCAATCTTAGATGTTTTGCTTCCAACGCCATGCACACAACATGCGCTTAAATGCACACAGCAACTATCTTTCAAAGAGTAGCTCTACTGCTAAAACAGGAATATGGTGTGAGCAGCTTCTTTACATGGTGTGATTTCCGCGAATGAAATCATCGCAATGCCACTATGCCTGCCGGTCCTGACACAATCTTCCCGCAAGTGCTATCTGGAGCATACATACCATGCTATCACTTCTATCGGTGCAAACCATTTCGCTTGGCCAAATTTATCACTCAGATCAAACGATAGAAACAGAAATAGCCATGGCAAATGTGAGCAGGCAAGAGGAGCAATCCGATACGAATTGGATGCAGACCGTGATCGCAGCGGTTCAATGCACAATATGCATATAACAAGAACATAGCCAAGCAGCATAAAGATATCAATGTTTGTGTATCCGGTACACAGCAATGAATGTGGCGCATGCATGCAACGCAATGTGTTCGACATTTGTTGGAGGCGTGTTCCGCACTGCATGCTGGAAACCGTACTATATTCGCTTGGCGGGATGTTACATAGTTGAACAGACCAAAACCGAGTCAAAGCGCCTATCGAGCCCTAGTAAGGCCGTCTCCCCACAAGTTTCGAGGCTAATGTACGTGGCCATGGTGAGAACTAGCACTCGCGCTAGCGGCCGATAATTAATATATTTCTCATTTCGAAACATGCAGTGATCTGCCTAGGACTGATTGGGTAGGCAGTATGTTCAAGTGGATGCAGCTATGGCGCATCATGTATGTCCATGACTCTTTGGCGAGGGCCCCGAGGCTGAGCCGCCGCGGACGCACGTGATGCTGACTCATCCGGTCGGTCTTTCGCCCTAGCTTGCTGATCGCCCCTTGTTGCCTTTTGCACACACGACCGTCCTCTATAATGATTCTGGAAGACGCACTTTTGAGTGTCTGCAATGGGCAGAACACCAACTACACGAGCATGCGACAGGTGCCACGCCGTCAAGGAGAAATGTAGACGCGTCCCCGGCCAAAACGCGTGCGAACGGTGCCATCGACTGCAGAACATCTGCCAAAGCCTAAGACCCGTGGGAACTGCTGGCCGCAAGCCTCGTTACCATCGCAATGAGACTGCTACCCCCGAAGCTCACACACCCCGCGCCTCGAGCGAGAGCTCCTTTGCAGCCTCTCCAGCCTCGACGTCGCCATCGCCCGTCATTAAAGCCACCACTCCAGCCAGCGCTGTATCTGACATCACCCCCGTACCCAGGACGCCCTCCGTATTTGCCGGTTTGAATGAGCGCGAACTGTTCATTGTCCAGTGCATATCCCAGGGACGGCCAAAGATTGAACAATTCTTGATAGCGCCCAGCTTCCGTGTGACCCATCACAAGACTTTTGCGCGACACCTTCACAATGCGCCACCATGGATTCACGACGCGTTGATCGCTACGGCCGCTCTGTTGGCCTGTGAATATGATGCCGAGCCATCCAACGAAGACAGAGCTATTGGCCATAGGAGGGCTGCTTCGGCCGTCTCTACTCTGCGCACTGTCAAGACATTTCACCCCGGGGAACTCTCTTCCGTCTTGCTGCTCGCAGTGAGCGCCGTCACCTTTGCGCTGCAAGTCTCTGGAACCGCCTTGGCCATTTGCAAGCACGCGCTCAACATCATCAAGCCTGTCTACGAATCGATTGATTTACTCGACTCTGATTGTCTGGCTCTTTTCGTCTGCCTCATCATGTCCGAGGCGGAGGAATGCCTTTTGGTTGGCGAGATGCCGACAGTACGATTCAGAACCGACCTCTCGGATGGAGCTGTGGATCGCTATATGGGAATCGCTTGGCCTCTGCTACCCTATCTGTACGACGTCGCCAAAGTCAGCTACTTGTTGCGCCAAGACGAGCGCCCGAGTCCCTGTGAACTGATGGCGATGCTCGATGAAATGGAGTCAGCTGTCTACGCATGGAACCCCGCGCTACCTCAGGACTGCGCCGACCGCTTCTTGCAGGAAGAAGTGGTGCGATTACTGGCTCAAGCCAAGGTCTTTCGATGGTTCATACTCCTCATGATACATCGCCTGCGCTATCCTTATGGCACAGAGTCGGCGGTGGGTACAGCACTGTCAGACGCAATACTAAAAGAACTGCAGTCGATACTCCAGCACACCAAATCGTCCATACCACACATGGCGGTTCCCTTACTGATTGCTTGCTTCGAAGTCACAGACGCCCGCGATCGCCAAGCAGCATTTGAGAAGAGTGATGACTTAATAGATTTTTCACAGCAATCGCGAATCAAGTTCAAGGATCAATTGACTGCATTTTGGGCAATTAAGGACATTCGGGGAGAGGTACATTGGTCCGACGTAATCTCATGGCTTCCGCAATGACCCGACTTGCCTCAGCAAAGACAGGACGTTTACACTACAATCGAGAGCTTTCGGGTCATTGCATGCACAGCACGCAACCCTATTTATTCTACAAGTGTTCTCCCAATGACCGATGAGCCGGCTGTCGCATCGCCATCTGTTGGTACTTCTTCGCCGTGTAGACCCTCATCCTCTTACCCCAGATGATCAGTGGAATAGGCATCAAAAGAACCAAGAAACAGAAGGCAGCCGTGATAAGGGCAACGTTCTGAATGCCCATTGCCTTTGTCCAGGGGGAAAGCGTGAAAAGGATGATGACAGAGAACACGTTCCTCATGAAGACAATGCCAATCATGGCGTCACCGAGAATCTGCAAACCTTCAGTCAGTATTCACGTCGTATTTGGGCAACTTGGCTTGGTTTTCTCACCTCTTGATAGCAATCCGTCACGTATGCAAGGGCAATACCGCTGGCAAGCACAAAGGTGAAGCCAAACAAGCCGAAGCCTACAGCCATGCCCATCCAGTGCAGACCCTGGAGATGTTGTTAGTGAAGGGCAATCATTGTCAAGGGCGGTCAACTTACGCGAGACAAGACCAGGCCAAATATCAGAACACCGCCTGGGAGGATGAAGGCAGCTGCAAGGCCGAGGCGAAGACGCATCTCAGGCTCGTAGATTCCTCCATTACGCCTCGCGAAGAACAGCATTGCGCGATCGTTGAGCCAACCACCGGCAAAGAAGCCGAGAAAGGTGCCAGTGAACGGGGCAAGATTCATGAGTCCGACTCCGGAAGGACTGAAGTTGTAGGGTGGCCGGATGAGGTACGTAGCCTGCATCGAGGACATGAGCGCCAAGCACGCCAGGATGGTGCCGTATGTAAGAGCGGCGTAGGCGACTGCTGGGAAGAGGAAGAGGACGTAGATAGGCTGGTAGAAATGATGCGCGATAGAGTAATCCGAGGGAGTTACCAGAGCCATGCGTTGAAAGTAAGTCTTTCGTGGCAATGTTGGGTCAATCCGTGACTGAATCCTCTCCATGGCAGTATGCTTGATATCTTCGGCAGTCTTGGTCTCGCTCTTCTGCTCGAGGTCGACAGCCGTGGTGTTTACTGCAGAGGAGCCCTGCTCGCCCTCGAGGATGGGGATGTATTTCGATTCCTCGAAGCAGAAGGTGACGAGGAACATGTTGATGGCAATGAAAATGGTACACCAGTGCCAGATCCATCGCCAGCCTTGGGACTGGACCACGAAACCAGAAGCGACGGGGCCAAGAGTCGCACCGACAGCGGTAAAGACGAGGTACCATGCATTCATGGTTCCGTGCTCGTGCAGGAAGAAGATATCGGCAATGGTCACTTGCACGACGGCCTCGCTCAGGGCTCCACCCAGACCTGCGATGAAATTCGCTCCCATATAACCGCCGTAGCTGTTGATCTGGGACTGCCATGCGACACCAGCCAGCTGCAGTGCAACGCTAATCATGTACAGAGGACGACGTCCGTACTTGTGCACAAAAGGCATAAACAGCATGCAGCCAATGCTGAGGCCAGCATTGGTCATGGCCACTCCATTGTTCAACTGGTCGACGGTTAGGTGCAGTTGGGCGATCAACTGGCCCCAAGACGGGGAGCCAACTTGGAGTTGTGCGAATGTCCAGAGCACGTAGAAGCCGACCAAGCTGAAGTTGAGCATCTTACGCGCAGTGGACCAGTTCAACGGGTCATCTGGATCACTGGTCGGAATGGGGTGGAGGATGACTTCGGTGGTAGTCCGAGTCACTGGAATTCAGGGGTCAGCAAGACATTGCCATGCAAGGATCACAGAAACAACATACAGTCCTCCAGCCTTACGGTACCTGGCGCCCAGAAGGTTTCATCGTCATCATCAATGTGGGGATATGGCTCAGACATTGTAATGCTTGAAGAAGAAGGGAAAAAAAGGCTTGAACAGGTGTTTAAAGGAAGGGACCCTTTTTTTTTTCTTGAGACACAGGAACGCGGAGCCTGATGGGGTCTGCGATATCCCTACAAGACTGGAACCTGTGGGCTTATATATACACGGGCCTTCTGGTGATTTGCCGTTGTCAAAGCGCTTTTGGGCTCACGCCTGGCATTCCCCGGATTCTGCAGCGCTGAAAGGACCGGGGGCTTATCGGCCCAATTACACGGCCTATACCCACCGGCTTGGCACCCGTCGGCCGTGGGGTAGCCGTCCGCCCATGACTGCCGCTTGAGACATTCCACACGAGTATACGCTCAGTTTACGCAGCGCCTGCCCCTCCAAGGGCGTATACGTTTTCCAAAGACGCCAGATCCCCGCATACTCTAGTTTCGGATGCCCTTCACGGCATTTGCAGCAATTACCGGCACACATATTTAGACGTATCCCCCCCCCCTGCCGGGTGCTGACACCGTACTTTTTCCTTATTTGCTTCGCAAACATGGCCGCATCCACTACTACTTCATGGGATCAGAAGATTGCTGCCAAGCGGCAGGCCGGCCGTGACAAGATTCCCAAAGAATGGCTGCTGCCCTCTTCCATCTTGGAGGGGCTCCAGATGCCGCTTGACAAGCACCCCAACCGTGTGAATGACTTGGACATTCCACGCAAGTCAGGCATCTTGACAGCCAAGGAGCTCGACATTACCGAAAACTACACGGTGGAGAGCCTGCTGGCCAAGCTGAGAAATGGTGAATTGTCGGCTCTCGATGTCACAGTAGCCTTTTCGAAACGAGCGGCAATTGCCCAACAACTTGTATGTTTTTTGCCTTTTCATTCCTTCGCGGAATGATTCAATATCTGACATTGTGCCTTTAGCTATCTTGCCTGACGGAGACATGTTTCGCCGAAGCACAAGAACGTGCCAAATATCTCGATAATGAAAGGGCAAATGGACGTATTGTAGGACCGCTTCATGGGCTGCCAATCAGTCTCAAGGACAGCTTCCAAGTGGCTGGTCTGGCTGCAACCATTGGGTTTGTTTCTTTCCTAGACCATGAGGTGTCTAAGAGCAACTCACCACTTGTGGACATCTTGCTTGAGCTTGGTGCCGTGGTGTATGTGAAGACGAACCTTCCACAGACTCTCATGGTAAGCTCAACTGCTGCAATCATTGGGAGTATGACACTGACAGGCTCTTGTAGACGGCAGACTCCGAGAACAACGTATTTGGACGCACATTGAACCCAGTCAATACAAGCCTCACAGCTGGAGGTTCAAGTGGTGGTGAAGGTTCACTGATGGGGTTCCGAGGAGCCCCCTTGGGCATAGGCACGGACATTGCAGGTGCGTTTAATCTTCCAGTCTTGTCCATTGCTTCATACTGATGTCATTGAACAGGTTCTATTCGTATCCCGTCTCTTTGCTGCGGTACCTACGGTTTCAAGCCCTCGTCTTCGCGTTTCCCTGACGGTGGCCAAATTAACCCAGGCCGGGATGGCATGTCATTCTTCAAGCCTTCGGCTGGTCCTCTAGCCAATGACATGCAGGCTCTTGACTTCCTATACCGCTCAGTCATGTCGGTACGGCCAGCACTATACGACTCGAGCGTACTCGACGTGCCTTGGAGGGATCTCTCAAAGTCCCCAAGCACAGGGAAGCTCCGCATAGGTGTTCTCTCTGAAGACCCATCCTACCCATTACATCCTCCAGTCAAGAGGACCATGGCTGAAGCAGTGAAATTGCTAAAGGCACAAGGTCACGAAATCTACAATATCGATCCAGCCACTGCACAGGTTGACAATGCCTTGATGATTGCTTTCAACTATTTCTTCCTGGATGACAAGCCCATGGAGTTTATTGCAGCCAGTGGTGAAGAGCTAGTGACGTCAGTGAAGCAAAGCATGGGGGTATTCCACTCGGTCAAGTCCACCTTCCTCGACGACATTGCCGGTCTAGAGGGCGTTGTTAGGGTGGCTGCGATCAACACAAAGAGAGAGGCCATTATCGAGGCATGGAGGGAGATGTGGAAGCAGCAGAAGCTGGATGTCATGATCGGGCCGCCCGCGCAGCACACGGCCGTCCCGCATGACACGTACGGCCTGCCGCCTTACACACTACTTCTGAACGTGCTCGATGTAAGTTGCTACCATGCCCTATTCTTCCTCCTTGACTGCACATAGGCCAGCTGCTGACGCCCACGACAGTATCCTGCATGCGTGATACCTTTTGGCAAGTCATCCAGCCAACTCGACCCTGAGCCTTTTACCATGGGCCCAGGCCAATACGGTCCGAATTGTAGGTCAAGCTCTTTTCGCCGCAACGGCAACCCTGCTAGAATCCGCACTGACTCATGACCACCTGCAGACGACCCCAAAGCCACGGATGGCGCACCCACCTCGATTCAGGTCTTCACCAACAACATGCGTGATGAAGAGTGTCTTCACTACGCAAGTGTCATCGACGCATGCTTGAACCCAAAGTAGATTAGATCCGTCGCAGCAATGCTATCACGAAAACAGTTACGAAAAAAAGAACATGAATCGCGAGATGACAAAAAAAATCGGTGGCATGCATAGACTGGGAGATAGGGGCTGATGGGGACCCTTCACGCATGACGGCGCATTTTGGTGGAAATACATGGCATCACATCAGCCAGAACAAACACAAATGAAAAAAAAAACATTAAACAGATCAAACTCCTCTTAGCATTGTCGCGCAGTGAACAGCCACATGTTTCAGTCGGTCAGTCATGAACCCCGCATGGCGTCAGCGTAAGCACCCGTACGTACATACAGCCACCCCCAGAAAGATCATCGACTGTGCTGGACGACATGCCGAATTTGCCTCGTACGTGTATCAACACGAGCCAGCCATGACGGACGCTTTGTTTGGGAGAAAGAAAAGAAACCACTCTCTTTTCTCAGATGCAATTCCCGGAGTTTCGCAAGGATTGCCTGGGAGATGCTAGGGAGAAGCCAGTTTTGGCCTCAGGCACACACACCCGCACAGACACACAGACAAAAGCTACCAGCCAACAAAGCGGCTCAAGCACACAAAAACTGCGATATCGATATCCCGCTCGTTTGCACGCACAAGTACGTACGTACACGTGAGTTCGCGAGTGGGGGGGGGGGAACGTGCCCGTCAACCTACCATAAGCAGCTTAACCCGACTGCAAGCACACCAAACCAAACACCTTCTCTTTCTTTCTTTCTTTCTTTCTATCTCTCTCTCTCTATCTCTCTAGTATATGTAAGCACTTGCGGTCCCGAACAACAGACACACACGCACACACGCACGCACATGACTGTTCGAGGCGCTTGCCCCATGCATGCATGCCGAGGTGCGTACTGACATTCCGTGCTAAAAAAGGTCCGGTTCCGACATCCGATTCCCGTGATTGGTTGGCGGGCTCTTTACTTTACATTATAGGCCGAGTTAAGTATACAAATCATGCCACTGCGCGCCCCCCCCCCTCTCTCTCTCTCTCGGGCCTGGGGAAAACCTTCCTCCCGCTTACTTGTGGAGGTGATCTGTGTGTATGTGTGGCCTGGAATCTGCGTGGCTGTGAAACCAAGTAATGTCGGCGGAGAGTCCGCTTGGGGGGGATGTACGAGCTCACGCACATGCTGGAAAGGAAAGAAAACTCCGCCTCCCTCCCTTCACCGCTTTGCGGGCGGGCATACCATATCGTAGTAAGGTGCACCGAGAAAGAGAGAGAGAGAGAGGGAACGGACATGTCCATGACCATGGAGCTGCACTGACCCCCTTTCCCCGAGATTTTTCCCCTTTCTTCTTCTTCTACTTCTACTTCATCTTACCCCCGGATCCGGGGGGTGGCGTCTTACGAATCGGGACAGCAACACGGCGCTTGTGCTGGTGCGTGTGCTTTAGGGGGGGGCGCTAAATGGACACGACTCTTACATACTTATGATAAGTATGTAGTTATGGATGTATGTATGTATGTATGTATGTATGTAGTTTCACTGATAAGACATCATAAGAGCCTCAGATATAGTAAAAGTACTTAAACAACTAATTTACATACATACATACGTCCGAGCGATGAATCCAACTAAGCTTAAATTTTTTTATGCCGCAGGCCGCATTCGGAGACTGCCGCTTTGGGGTGGCGAGGGAAAAATTGGTTTGGTTGAGGGGGAGGGTGCGAGGCGTGTGCGAAGGGGCGGCATACCTACCTATCGACCTTACTGAGTGACTGACTGGCTTTGGCCAACCCCCCAGAAAAAAGAGCCGGAAGAGAGAGAGAGAGAGAGAACAGAAAAAATAAACAAGTTAATCCCAACTGCCGTGCTTGCTAGGGCGGCCAAAAAAAACCCCTCCCCCCAAGGAAGACAGCGGCAAGCCGGCACTTGAGAAAAGGAAAACGACCAGTTCCACCGTGTCATTCTCCAGAAGCCCCCCTTCCCCCCCCCCCAAAAAAAAATAAGAAGAAGAAGGTTTATTTACGCGACACATGATACCAACGTATTATCTGGGGAAGACCAAAAAAAAGAATACGCTCGGCAACTCGGCAGTTACCCCTTGGGGCGGGATCGATGCCGTAACCAAGGTAAACTTAGTTATTGCTTGCCTTTTCTTTTTCTTTTTCTCCATTGAGTTTGCGTGCGTGAGCCACGGCTATAGTACAGGGTGAAGACTAAACGAAAACCAAACGAAACGAAACGGAACGGAACGGCTAGGAAACCTTGGCGTTCCTCTCGGTCTCTTTTTTTTTAATCTGTGTGTGTGTGTGTGTGAGAGAGAGAGAAAGAGAGAGATAGGATGTGAATGGATAGATGGAACAAACCGGCCAGCTCCCTTGTCAAGCTACATACGTATGTACACTAGGTGTAAGTACGTACGGGGGGGGGGTCCACATAATACTATACTTACATACATACTTACGTCCGTCTTGCAGATCCGAGGGCGGCAGATAAACGCACATACGTACTTACGCAACACGCACATGCAAGCTTCGCACATACATACATACATACATACATGCATACATACATGCATGCAGCAGCTTGCGCCACGCCTGGTGCAAGGGTGGTGTATTGTTATTGTTATAATACCATTACTCATCGTGTTTGTGTTTTGCTCCGCCGTCTTTGGTACTTATTGCGCGCGTCTCCTGCCTGTCGCGGTAGGTCCATGCGAGCAGAGATACGCATACGAGAGAGAGAAAGATATGCGGCGTGGGGTCTATCTTTTTTTCCCTTTAATCTACTCGGAGCAAAGGTCCTAAACCAGAGACAGCCACACGCGTGTTTCTGTTTTGGCCTTGGAGGGGCGTCGTAACACACCCCCAGCACGACGCCACTGGTGGGTTGCACATGTGGGCAGCGGAGCCGCCGGAGTCGGGAGTATCCAAGTGTAGCTGGATCCATGGCACGTGTCCATCATCTCTCAAGCAATTCCGCAACAAGCACAAGCACAAGCACAGAACGGCCTTTGTGGGGAAATGAGGGGGGAGAGAAACGCCGTTCGTCTTACATGTGTGCGCGCGGGCCTATTTCGTCTCGGTGGGTGGGTGCGTGTGGGCGAATAAGCACCGCTTGCTTCCCGCTTATAGATACATAGATACATAGATACATTCGAACCTAAGTATGTACTTACTGACAAGCACAACCAAGAAACCACTACAATGTGTAAGCAAAAGAAAAAGAAGGTTTATTTACCGCTGCCTATAAAAGACCTCGCTTTGTACGTCGACCGAGTATCGTTTTCAACAGTCACCGTCACCGTGTTCGTCTGCATAATTCCAATATCGCCCGACATGGCCGTCCCGACACGCCCCATTTCCTCGTCGTCGTCCAAAAACGCCTTCTGGCTCGACGTATCGCCGTCTCTCTGGAACGCGGTCCAGCCCGCCTCATCGCCCTTTGTGCCCGCCTGCACCGTCGTAATGGTCGAGTGCTGGCTCCGGTGCAATCGCGATAGCGGCACGCTTGGATTGGCGGCCGCCCTGGGCGTCGAGCGCGAGTGCGAAGAAATGGTTTCCTTGAAGAAGACACGCAGCACGGGGATACAGCCGCCGATGATGGCCGTGGCCGTCTCCACCGACGTCCAGATGACCAGATCGACACCGTTGTAGGAGAAATCCTTGTCTTGGAGTTGCACCTGGTACACTCCTCGTATAATGGCGCAGATGCCCGCACTAAACGACGATATCAGTATAAGACCTTTGCCACTATGATCTGGACAACTCACAGCATGCCCATGCTCATGGCAATGCTCACGCCAATCTTCTCGCGAAACTTGAGTTGAATGCGCCAGATCAAGGGCCACGGCAGCAGCGCAAGTGCAAAGTCAGTCGCCGCGCTCCACGCCGAGTTGAAGACGCCAAACTGGAATGCCGAATCAGAATCCCAACATGCGTTGGGATCCACGTTCCACGATGTAGCCAGCGTTGGGCATTGTATCCACGGGCTGATGGCACACGGTATAGTGATGACGAGAAGACTGCCAATGCAGAACCATACGATCCAGCGTATGTAGCCCGAAGTGATGCGCAGTAGAGTAGCCCCAAAAGAGAGTTTGGACAGCGTTACCGTCACACTCGAGACAGTGGCCAAGACGGCGGCTCCAAGACCAATGGTGCCAATGTTTTCACTAGGAATGTCTTGAATGCGTTTGCCAAAGCCTAGTATCTGGCCCGCCTGCGTGACGGCGGCCTCTGCCAAAAGCAGAACCTGTGAGGTTTTTGGTTAGCCGAGCTGCTACTGTACTACTGGCGGGCAAGTCTTTTGTCCTCGAGGAACACGATGGTGGGGGGGGGGGCATCTCTCACCCACGCAGAGAGCAGAATATGGTCATCCCACCATAGACCTTGCTTGCGGGACAACTTCGCATAAATCCGTAAGCCCAAGAAACCGCCGCTCAAGGCCGTAAGCGCCCATGTAACCGCGACAATCAGAGGCCCATGGTCCGGCACATCCATCTCAAGCTCGGTCAGCCGGGGGCGGATGGATAGCCAGTGCTCTGCATTCACCGCAATTCAAGGTACCGCAATGTCATGGACAAGTTTGTATGGAAGGGACAGGCAAAAAAAAAGAAAATTACGAGAGATGAATTCCGGAGGAGAGGGCGCCCAGGGAAGCATGATCTGCCCGGGAATTGCACCCACGGTCCTTCTTCATTCCCAGCGCCGGAATTCGATCAACTAGAGGGCTTCACTAGGGGGGGGGGGCGGGTAGAGATATGGGTTAGTGAGGGGACCCTTGAGTACCCGGCGGGCACACAACGCCATGTGTTTCAGCAGTCGTACTCGATAAGCTTTCTCGACTGGGCGTAGAAGCCGTCAAGGCTTAGTAACAAGGCGAAGGCGCCTCTTTGCTCGTGGCTACCACGCGTGCTGAGGCCGTTGGGCACGCTCCGAGGCGCCTAGAGAAGAAGCTTGCGCACGCCCAGCGCCACTAAACAATGGATGGCCTGATGGCTGCTGGAGATAAAACCGCGAACGCACAGAACAGCGACGAGCAATGCTGCACTTGGTTATGCGCATTGAGTCAAGGAAGCCACACTCGAGCATTTCCGGACCCCGGAGATGACGGGGAACAAAGACCATGTTGCCGCAAGCGGGAGTGAATACGAGTGAGGAAGCAGAGCGATTGGCTGCCAAATAACCTTTGCGGATCAGCCGCCGGGACGACGTGTGTGAGATGCTCGATCGATGCTGGGTAAGCCGACTGCCATGTCCATGTTGCCATCTAAATTAAGAGTATTAGTACTACTATAAGACGCAAGCATCCATACACCCATCCATGGTCGGTTGGCCCAGCTCAGCCTTTCCAAACGTCTTTGGGACAAGCCTCCAATATACATACGTAATCTGCGACTCGCACAAACCGACGCATGCAGCGCTGTCATGACACGGCATCGGCGTCGGTGCCGCACGACCGGCACCACTAACCTGCCCAATAGTGCTTTTCAATAGACTTTGCCCCCCCCGCAATAGCCACGCGAGTGACCGACCACACTATGTATACTAGCATGTCCATGCCGGCCGCCCCAATCGACCAACCAATGCATTCAGACAAACAGAGGGCTACGCTTAATCGACCCTCATTGCCAGCCCGCCCCCTCGTGCTCGCGTCGTTGGGCACCAGCAAGGCGCTTGCGCAGTCGTCTGATCAACGCCAGGCCCCTGGTCTAGAGCCGGTCATGGCCAGGTTCCAACCCACCAGCATTCATCTTCAAGCACCCTCTTACTCGCGCGAACACATAGGCTAAAGTCGTCGGATTGCTTGGGAGCCGCTTCGGAGCCTCCCTCCTCGTTGGCACGCGCGTGGCTATGTCCAACTTGACACCTTACACCTTCTTGTTGAATTGACTCAACTTGTCTTGCACCGCCTTCTTGACATCGAATCCTTGCACTATGCTGCCCCTCCGTCTTCTCAGCTCGATTTCCGCCTTGACCTCTGCCACAATCTCGTCGATTTCCTTTTCCGGGTCGTCTGCAATACCGAGAAGTGGCATGTTGCCTTGATCAAGCGATACACTATCGGCCGACACGGTTCTGGCTAGCCTCTCTCTTCGGATTTCCTCACGTGCAGCCTTCTCAATCGCGGGATCGTCCAGCGGGCTGGCTGGCTGGGGCGGTGCACGAGCAGACTGGCGTTGCACAAGCATCTTACGGAATGGAAAAGACCGCGAGAAGAGGGCAAACGATGCCGCCACGCCAATAAGCGCGTAAAAGTAGACGCGCACCCAAACTTTGATCGTATCCGAGAACCCCAGCAGGATGAAGGGTGCGACAACAAACGCAAAGACGATTTGTGTGAGAACCATGGTGCACATGTCATAGTACTTCTTCGACGGTAGAGGCGCTTTGCCATCGGGAGTCAGAAACAGCGGGCGAATCAAGCGACGACCGTCTAGACAGAGTTAGCATGGCACGCGACATGGATTGAGAGGGGCACCGACTCTTTGCAGCAGTCTGCACGAATGCGGCGAGGACAAAGGCAAGATAGTAGCCAGGGTAAAATCCGTGCCAAAAGGCACTCGTCACGAAAGTTGCCAAGGTAGCTCGGAAGCCAGGTTTCTTGCCCTTTGGCGTCACGCGCAAGTACATGTAGTTTCTGAGCCAATTGTTCGTGTTGATGTTCCAGTAACCAAGGTATGCGCGAGCATTTTGTGCGCGTTCAATCTCCAGGGGGTTAATGTTGGTAAGGCGGTCCCATTTGGGCCGGTGTGTCTTGGGGTCGAGGCCATTGTACCCAATGCCCGAGAGAATACAGGCTCCTTCCGACAGGCTCCAGACGGCGTAGTACTTCATGCGCGTGGTAAGGCCAAGCATGTACAGCTGCCACACCCTGCGCACGAAGTTGTACCGTCCCCAGTCGGCCCCGAGAAAGAAGGCAGGATAGTACCAGCTTGAGAATTTGATGAAGGCAGCCAGCCACAAGGTGCCATAAAACGCCTTGATGGCTGCTGGCGTTCCGCTCCGAGGGATTTTGCGCTTCTTGCGCGTAGGTGGAGCCTTTGATGGATCTGTGCCTGGCGGCAGCGTGAACATGGTTGTGGTAATGTACTGGCTGTAGTCGGCATAGTCGAATGCCGGCCCAGCCATGAGGCCAGGAAAGAAGAGAACGTAGCCAGTGTAATCGAGGAGACTGGGCATGGTGCGGATTGCATGCTCACGTTGAAAGTCGGTCAGCTCAGAGTCAGGCAGACGGCCGTCTTGCACATTCCAGCAAAAGGCAGTCAGCTTCATGACCATGACCATCTGGGCTCCGGTGATGTCGAAAACGGCGGGATCATTGACAGCCTGGCGGTAGATATGATTGACAGACATGTGGCCCATGAGAAAGACAAAGCCAATCCAGGGCATGTATGGGGAGTGGATCTTGGATGCGATGAGGTAAGCACCACTAGCAGTGATGAATATGGTTCGCAGGCCAGTCCACAGGTCAAAGAGACCAACCAGGTAGAACATGGACACACTGAGGCAGTCAATATGCTGACGAGGCTCTGCAAGGGATGAGGGGTGACTAGACGCACCTGATGACGAACAAGTTCTTCTTCCATGGGTCCTTGTCGGGTATCCGCTTGAGTAGTGCCGCCAGCGGATATGACAGGTAGAAGGAGAAGACAAGTTTTACTTGGACACCAGGTCAACACGGGCACAGCCAGTGCGGGTCTGGGGATGCTTACGCTCATCTGCCGAGTTCCCCAGCATGTCGGCGACATATTCGAATGCTTTGCCGTTGTCAGCACACGCGGCAGTTGTTCGGTGGGCTCGCACCTACGGGCATTGATGTAGGGCAGCATGGTGCCAAGCGAGGAGCTGGTGCTACCAGGCGTAGAGCGTACGATGGATGGATAGATGGATAGATGGCGAGCAGGAGGAAGAGTGGCGGTAGAGTTGTTATACAAGAGCTCTTCCCATAGCGGCGGTGACGAGGGAGTGCTGCCGAGGTAGGACGGTGGTTGTGGGTGGGTGAGATTATAAGAGCAAGAGTGAATGCGTGAACGTGTCCCAGCATGACGTTTTTCGGTGGGTCGTGCGGCGGCGGCCAGCGCTGAGTGGTCAACTTTTTGGCGACACACCAGAAACACCAGCGACCAACGACCACGCGACCACGCCGTCTGGGCCATCGACGGGCGGAGAAGAAGAGAGAAAAAGAAAGAAGCCATGAGCGCGACATACAACCTCGAGCCGAACCCCACGGCCAAGGTCGTCCTCCACACCACGGCCGGCGATCTCGAGCTCGAGCTCTTCGCCAAGCAGACGCCCGTCACGTCGCGCAACTTTCTGCAGCTGTGTCTGGATGGCTACTACGACAACACCGTCTTCCACCGCCTGGTCAAGGGCTTCATTATCCAGGGCGGCGACCCCACGGGCACCGGCCAGGGCGGCGAGAGCAGCTACGATGGCGAGCCCTTCGCCGACGAGTTCCACAGCCGCCTCAAGTACACGCGACGAGGCCTGCTGGCCATGGCCAATACGGGGGAAAAGGACGACAATGGCAGCCAGTTCTTCTTCACGCTTGCCGCGACGCCCGAGCTGCAGGACAAGAACACGCTCTTTGGCCGCGTCGCGGGCGACACCATCTACAACCTGATGAAGATGGCAGAGGCCGAGATCCGCGACGGCACCGACGACCAGCCCATGTACCCTGCCAAAGTCACGGGCGCCGACATCATTATCAATCCTTTTGAGGACATGGTCAAGAGGGTCCAGGCCGCCGCGCCCGCCGAGGCAGAGGCAAAGAAGCCCAAGAAGCCCAAGAGGAAGGCCGGCAAGAACGTGCTCAGTTTTGGCGACGATGCCGATGCCGACGCTGCGCCCATTGCAAAGAAGCCCAAGTTCAACACCAAACTCGTCAGTGCAGCCGAAGAACAGCCCCCGTCGTCGAAAGCCCCTGAGCCGGCCAAAGCCATCCCCATACGCAATCCGTCTCGCAAGTCGCCCTCGCCACCGCCAGCACCACCGTCGCCCAAGCCTGCACAGAAAGCCGCGCCCCAGTCACCGCCTGAGCCCATAGCCCGCTCTCCACCCCCGCGACAGCTGTCGCCAGAAGCCGAGAAACGAGCAAAGCTTGACCGTGTAAACCAACAGATTGCCGAGCTCAAAGCCTCCATGAAGCGGACCACGACAACACAAGACACGGCACCTGTCAAGAAGAAGTCTTTGCTCGAGGCCATGGTCCCGTCATCAACAACGCGAGGGCGGAAGCGGGGTGCTGGTGCTAACACAAAAGACGAACAGTCTGCACTAGACATTCTAGCGCGTTTCAAATCCAAGCTCGAGGCCGCGGAACCGGCTTCAATGCCCAAGTCAGCCGCGGCGACACCAGCAGGAGACACTGCGGACGGCAATGGTGACGGACACGCTGACGGTGGTGCTGAAGAGGACGAGGCCGCTTGTGATCTGCACTTTATAGTAGGCTGTCAGTCGTGCAAAGCCTGGGATGCGCAAGAAGACGACGATTCCGACGACGACGCAGGCTGGATGTCGCATTCGCTCAGTTTTGCAAAAGACAGACTAGGCAAAGACTTGGAATGGAAGCGGAAGAACGAAGAAGAATTGCTGGTCATAGATCCAAGGGAAGAAGCAAAGAGGCATAAAGCCCAAGGTAAGGCGAAGAGAGAACGGGGATGATACCACAATGAGAACAGCAGGGTGAACCGACCATGTTACACATTCCAGTAATACACGTGGGTCTGATATTGCTACATCGCCGTGCGCCTCTGAGGCTGTTGGATCATGATGCCACGAGCTGCCCGCGCTATCCACCAGTGCGCCGCACAGCACGGAATACTGCCTAGGTACCGCAGTCCTTGCTCTGTGCCAAGACTTCATAAGTGGGTGAGATATGCAAGTCCTATTCTATAGGAGTAAAAGCAAAGCCGTGTCATTTGAGATATAGGCTACGCATCGTGATTACATTGTAATATACATATTATTACACTACTAAACAACTATGGATACTGTCCTGTGATAACAGAGTTTGTGTATTCAGATATCCCCCAAGCTATTTCTTGAATCAACTACGCCGTGCTGACCAGACAGCCAAATGTGTTTAGTCTTTCTTTCACTATTGTTCTTTCAGGTTCCACATGTAGGCGGTGTGAACGCGGAGAAGTGATAAGGCGAAAGCTGTAGCCTGCTACTCACCTTCACTTGATCGCACGTGCTCCTCACCACCTTGATATCCTCCTCCCCCGCCGCCGCCTTTATATACTTGACTCCTCTTCTAACAACTCAACCGCTACCCAACACCTACAAAGCCCACAGCGCCCAGTACAACGTCCCCAGCCTACAACTACCAAGTCCTCCTTCTCATTACCAGTCCGGTAAGTCACTTTCTCTGACTGTTTCACTTCTCAACTGCACTGCGGTGATCATGGCCGTCGCCTCAAACAGCATTACAAGAGCGCCTGGTACATCTGCACGTGTTTCTTACTTACAATTCTTTGGGTTCATCACGAGACATACACTCACCTTTTCCACCTGTGAACCCTTAAACCTAGCTCACGCTCCACAGTCTCCCAGTCCCAACAATGACGATCAACTGGGGCAGCAAAGACGTCCTTGAACGCCTCTACATTGCCACGCTTGCCTCTCTTCCCCACAGCGTACGTATTCCGTCACACCCGTCCTTTGAACTGCTCTTGCCGATCAACCGCTTACATGTACTTACGTGTTTGTCTTAGATTGACGTGCACAAAGTGGTGCGGCTCTACGACGACAGCGACATGACTTACCATGCGCTCGAGAACCGTCTGCGTACCTGGAAGAAGCAGGCAAAAGCACTCAAGGACGCGAACGAGGCCAACACCAAGGCCGAGAAGACGCCTGCTAAATCCCCGGCCAAGTCCCCAGCCAAGTCCCCCACCAAGGTAGATACTGGTGCCAAGAAGGACAGTAAGTGTTACAAGCAAGTCCTGTCTATTTGTTGTATCATGAGACTAACTACGTGGTAGCCGTCAAGAGCGGCAGGGTGACCAAGTCAAAGACTTCGGCTCGTCCCAAGCGTCAGCCAAAAGTCCGCTCCGACGACTCGGACAACACCATGGGCAGTGACGACGACGGCATTAACTATTCGGTCTAGAGTATGAGCTCTGTCAACTGCCTCACTTCTTGAAGCATACAGATTGTTTCTTCAAGGATGATTGAAGGAAGATAGGATACTGCAAACGGCACATACCAGGCCATGTAAAAAGGCGGGTTTCCCCTCTTGCTACAGTACATATGTACCATGCAACAACTGTCTTGATTTCTTTGGCTTGACAGATGTATGGACGACAATAGAGTCGCTAGTGCTTTAATTAATCACTCGGTTCTCAAATATACTTCAGAGAAACACAGGCTTTCTGAGTTATTCCTCCAGATTCCATCCACTCTTCGCCCTTTTCGCCTTTATGCACATGAAGAACCAGACAGAGCATCAATGCGCGACATCTCCCATGATGCCGCGAATCACCGTGTCTGATTCTTAGTACCTGCCATATGAAGAAAACTTCTGCATGTATCAGTAATATACACTGCACCATGCATACATTTACAACATAATCCCTCCAGTCCCTTAGCAACGAACGGACACTTCATCCGTGTCCATGCCAATCCCGTTTCTCAGACCCTGGACGCCCAGAAGCGCTCTCAAACCTCCCGACCTGGTGGATTTCCTAAATAACATTCTGTTTAATCTTAGCTTGAGCGCTATACGATCCGACTATCTGATACATATCCTGGTTCGACACCGCGATTACTCGCCAAACCCACCTCCAACCCCGGATATGAGTGCCGGACACGAACATCGAATACGAGTCCTGTACCGAGATACGAACGGCTATCTGCTAGCGCCTGCGATGTTCCTAACAAGTTAGAAGAAGGCAATTCGCCGACTTTCCCAAATCCGTATGTACTTACTGCTTATGATCACACTAAGACATCCAGCGAGAGAGGGAACCATGCTTTGGACTATATATGTAGTAGCGACCAAATGCTCGATGGTGTATGAGTATGGGTTGTTGGTACATGCACGCGCGAACACCAAACGACATGGGAATTCTCCGTTTTTTGCCAATCTACGGAATCCCGTCTTTGCGGGGCTTTTGTAAAGGGGACATTGGGGAAACTGGTATTAGGATATCTGTGTGTACCTATGCAGATATTCAGGATTTTTCCTGCATGTGGATGATGTGGAAATGTGTTTTTACGTGGCGTAGTTTACGGCGAGACTATGTGTATGCATGCATGTTATGCCATGTTACGTTATGTATATTGTTGCGAGATGCCTCGGGGACTTGTACTGCTGAACCATTGCTTCATATCCCAGACACGGGCGTGTGGATGCGCATTCACATGGTCTTCCAAGAGAAAGACTCCCTGGCAAATCAACACTTTAACATGACCCCCGTGTTTTTCGACTACAGGGACGCATGTCTATTCCTACACTCCCAGGACTTTAATTCGAGATACCTGGAGTCCCCCTACATGTAGACCAACAGAAGTGGTAAGAGAGCCGTCTCAAAGTTGCCGACGTCATAGCCGCTAGCAAGCGGAGCTAGTCCGTTTTAGGCTGCTTCGACCTCCAAACCGAACCTCCTCCTATACCAGCCAGCCAGCCACGCGCATACCCCCTCCTCTTCATCACCACACCGGTACTACTAACGATGAAAAGCCTTCTCATCCCATCTCAAGAGCATCCTCGAACGCAGCATAGAAAAACAAGGTACACACCACGATCACTCGTTTACACCGTGATAAGCATCGCGCTCTTCACGCTGGTACGCCCGCCATTCCACACCAAACACGCTGGAAAAAAGCAAACTCAGTTCCAACCCCCTAGTTTCTTTCCACGCGCTCCAGCCATGAGTACATTAGACTTGAGTCATCGTCGTCGCGAGTATCGCGATTCCGCAAATGCTCAATCGACACGTATCTAGCCAGCGGCCTCTCGTTCCTCTCATCAGCGCAACAGCTACCGCTGGAGGAATACGTGCAGCGGCGGGACGCGCTCGCAGCCGAGAGTATGGATGCGTTTGTAGTCGAACCAGGCTACGCATTCAGCTACTATGCCAACGTGACGCAGCAGGACTGGGAGCCATGCCAGGGGTGTGGGCCACCGCTTTTAGATAAGTACGGTACGGATAAATGTTAGCCCGATCGAAAATGTCTGTGCGCAGCGTTGTTCTTGAGCGCACGGACAGAAAACAATAGCTTTACCCCCCCCTTTACAGCTACAGCAACGTTTATATAGCTATTCTAAGTTAGAAATAAGTTATAATTTTCTAGTAAATTACAAAAGAGAGATAGTATTACTTCTAATACAGAATCAATAAACTTAAATATGCTTCTATTACCTACTAGGTGTAATGGGCGGGCCCAACGGGCCGAGCGTATGACTACTTACGCCATCCATAGCCAAAAAGGCAGTAACAAGACTTCAAGCTTCTTGAAGTCTAGGTAGTCGTATAGATATACTCGATCACACACACACTTTAGGCGTAGCCTCTTACACTAGGTATATAGATAGATAGAATAAATAAAGTATATGATTTATTGCTTAGCTCTTAGTAGCTAGAGCCTTACTATCCTTAAATACTAAAACTACTAAAGTAATTTTATTTTTAGTTAAATTTTTAACTAATCTAATAGCTTAAACTTGATAAGTATCTCTTATATAGTGTTATAGTACAATCCCTATTAGAGAACTGTTAGGAACCACGTTCCTAGCCGCAGGAGGAGGCTTAGTTGGAAGCCCTTTAGCTAGCTTATAGTATATAAGCCTAAAGCCTATATAAAAAAAGCTAAAGATTTATTTTAAAATATAATACTACTTACTATTACTATTAAGCTTTTACTTTTTCATTGTATACAGAGGGGTGACACGAAAAAAACGTCACTTAAAAAGTTGTTATTTTAAAACTTTTATATCTAGCTAGAAAAAATAGCTAAAAATAAACGGATTGCAGATCTAGAAAGCCAAAGATCTCCTAGTTTGGCATAGTGAGCCCACCTCCTGCTTAGTCAGCAGCTCTGAGCGGAGAAAAATTATAGAATATAGGAGACTAAAATGATAAAAATTTCATTTATTGTAAAACAATAGTCCTTACTTACAAAGGCTTAGTTTTGAGATATGTGATAGTCTATATATAGAAGATCACGTGACATGTTTTTTTCTATTTTTAGCAATCCTCTAGAATCAGATATCAAGTTGTAAAGACAAAGTTACTAAATTAAGTTTAGTCTATTACTAAGCCTGATTAGTCATAATATACTATATATTTGATTCTTTCTATCCTGAATTTCTGATTTCTTAATTCCTCACTATGGATCCAAAATTCTCAAAATTTGAAGCTGAAGTTGCCCGTTTGTTAAAGGCAAATATAGCCATTAAAAATATATCTATTTTACTTAGTAAGCCACCTAAGGCTATTAGAGACGCTATTTATCGATTTAAAAAGAAAAAAATTAGAAAAGAAAGCTTGAAAGAGTTAGTAGAGGCGGAGTTTCAAAGCTTTCAGAAAGAGATAAAAGATCTATTAATAGAGACTTAACTAGGAGCCCTAAAAAGACAAATCGCCGATTATTAGTTGAAAATGACGTCAATATTTCAACTAGAACTTTACAGCGATTTTGAAAAAGAGAGGGCTATTCTAATAATATTGCAAAGAAAAAATCAATTTTAAACAAAGAAAAAGCTAAAAATAGATTAAAATACGCTAAGGATATGCTGAAAAATCTATCTAATATTAGATTAGATAGGATAATATTTTCAGATGAGTCAGCAATCCAAAGAGGCCCAGGATATAGAGGAGAATATGTAAGAAAACGCC